GAAAAAAGTACAGCGACCCTTTTCCTTTCACAGTAACTTTGACTTATATGCGCAGGAGAGAAAGAAAAAACTCATGAAAGCTCTCTGTTTACCCATCCGCAGCCATTTTCTTCTTTTTCCTCCAACCAGCGTACGCACTTTTGATGTGGTTTACCCGAATTGTACCTGACAGCTAAAAGTAAAACTGTTGTTTTTTGCCCCGATCCATTACACTCTTATCATTGCGAGGCGAATCGAAACGTACGGGCATAACGAAAGAGAAAGAGAGAGAGAGAGGAAGGTTTTCCTGACTTCATTTTCATCGCCCATACACACTCTCTCTCTCTCTCTCTCTCTTTCCCTCCCTCTCATTGATAACCGTTTTTTCGACGACTTTCCGCCTCCTTGATAATATTTATGGGGTATTTCACCTGTTGGCATTTTTCCGTTTCAAAACGTTTGCGTAGTCAGAAAAAGTTCGGCGTACATTATCGTAAATTACTCTGTCAACTGATACGCATCGCTTTTTGTGTCGGTCGCGGAAAGGACACATTCTTTGAACTACGCCGCTGTTGTACATGTATACCTTGTCCAAATAAGTTGCAAATGTTTGGGTTATTTCTCAGCACAAAAAAAGGTACACTGCTTTTTGCAAATGCGTGTAATTTTGGAGGTTAGATGACCTCCCCCAGCCTCCGTTCTTCTTCTTTTTTCATTAAATACAATGTCTCACTCAGTTTCTTTCAAATTTCGACCAAGATTTCATAACGTGCAGATGTTTTGCTACATTACATGCAATGTTTGTTCGTTCGCCTCGAAAGGTGTATAGGCTCCTCTTTTCGGCCTCTTGGCACAAATCCAAAAAAGCTTCGTCATCGGTGCCTCCAACAACACTTCAAAGCAGTACGACGATCGAAATGTTGTCACTTGTATAGGCTGAAGCGGACCGGACATAAAACGATTCAGTTCGTCCGCCGGTGACTTCGTTTTCCATTCAGTTAGTGCGCGTTCTTCAATTGAAGCGTGGACCGATAAGAAAATCTAATTTTAATTGATGACTCATCTATTTTTGTTTCAAAATGTCAACAGTTCACTAAAAATGCGTAGGCGCAAGTGTCAGTCAAATGATTTTTATAGTCAGGAAGTGTGAGGTGGGTCAAAACGTCCCTTCCGTTGCCAGCTTTCGTTTTCCCATTGCACTTGCCGATTTGATGAACAAACAAAGCGGTCTGAAATCTCACGTCAATCAAAATATCCGCCCTAGCTTCTTCCTTTTTCATTCATATTACTTATTGTTAGATCGTGTCTCCATTGTTGCCCCTAATAAGGTCGATATGGAAAAGACGGGGAGAGCGGCCCATTCAAAACAGACACTTGCCGATGACAAGTTCACGAAAAGAGAGAGAGAGAGACCTCAGTATTTCTAGAAGCCCATTTATATGCAAAATTCATTGAGACAATCGACACCAGACCGGATTCCCCGTGGGAGCCGGCAGCCTTGTATCTGTCGGCTTATCCGATGGTCCGTTGGGACGAAGGAAGAAAAGAGGAGAGAAAGGAAGCGCCTTTGTTTGTACGGATCGCTTATTTATTATGCAGATTGAATATTGGCCCCCGTTCGGGGTCTCTTTATTAGACAGCTCAAATGTTGCACGCCTTCCCTCCTCGCACGGACGACCGTATCGTATCGCATGTCCATTTCTGATTAGCCGTCGTCATCCTCTTTCTCATCTAAAATCGAATAGTAATAATTGTCGCTGCCCACCCACACCCAGTCATTAGGCTTATCGGACCATCGTGCTCCGTACTGCACACACCTGCCCAAAGGTACGTAGTGACGCAACACTATGAGGTTGAGCCGCCCCCACAGAACCATTCTGTCACTTCTATGTTTGACCAGTAAGGCTTGCCCCTTTCTTGACCCCTCACCCACTTCACTTTTGCCGTTTCTCCCCTTTTTTTCCGTTTTTTACTCGAAACTCACACGAATAAAACTCGATTTCTATTTCTATTCTTCGCCCCCTGCAGCCAGATTGATGATATGTGATGGAATGATGCCCTTCTTCCTCTGTCGATCTCAACGGCTCCTTGATGTCGTTACAAGCATCTGCCCTCGCGCGCACACGCAGCTGCACACTGTGCCCTAACGCATCAAAAGTATTGCATCATGCGCATAGATTACATAAGGAAATCTGTATGGTTTTACGATCCGCCTATGCTTGATGAGGATGAATTCCGGAGAAAAGGCCTTTGCCCTTCCTGCAAAATGTTGAATTTTCTTCGCTTTTCGAGGCTTGGTCCATATTTCTTATCTTTCACATTCCCCTCCCAATCACAACATCTGCCTGTCTTTGACATTGTCGAAAAAGAAGCTTGGGAAAAGGCATTTTTGAATGACTCATTTCCGTCGGGGCTTCACAATTTCTTCGGTGTTTGTAAACAAGTGGAAAACCGAATCCGGGTAGTTTTTAGAACAATGTAGGAGCGACTACTCATGAAACCCGAACAATAGGTGCCAGTTCTGCGCTTCGAAAGTGCCCGTCCGCTTGTCTTCCAAACCAAAGTGTACAATTACTATTACTGAAAGCGCGAGCCATTCGAGAACGTTAAGCCAGGTAATCCGTGCCTAATGGAAGGAATCATCATGCGTCCAATTGGTTCATTTAATTAGCACGTTCGTTTCGTTCGTCTTCCATACGTTCTTTCTGCACGCTAATCCGGCCAATTTCGCGCACACACACAGGGGCTGAGGTGTCAGAACGAAACAACGAAATGAGCGATCATTTTGAGTGCCATTAGAAAGTCAGCTTCTGAGCAGGGACGAGCTGTCAGTCAAACGCACACCTGCCGTCTTCTTTTTTGGCCGCTAGCCCTCACGTCTTCAATCTCTTTTATCCCTTCCGTATGTCTCACAGATTCCCAGGATTACCGTCTTGGAAACAATTATCCAATCTCGAGAACGGGAATGAGAACAGTCGGGGCATTGTTACCACCCGCATATCCGAACAGCCTTCCCGCCGTCGGTATTACCTTGTCGAACGCGCATCTCCGTATGTAGGAACTCTCCACCCCGCCGCCTTTTGCCTCATTATGCTCGTATACCTCATTCTAATTACTATAATTATATTGTATTCTTCCCGCTAGTTGCGTTTGCCACTCTTTCGGAGCTAAGAAACAGAGGACATACGCGACGAAGGACAGGTGATGTCTTCCGTGTTTGGACCTTTTCTTCGGTGCGTGCTCATCACTTTATTCTCCTTTTCTTCCGTCCATTCAACCCCAAATATTGGAGGGTAATGAGGGTCAGAAGAGAAAGTGTTCGATTTGCATACGTAATATTTGCACTACAATTGATTGGTAACCAATGCTTCATTCCTCTGGCCGTGTTCTACCCTTTCGCAGCTTCTCACGTTTTACATATCAATGGGAGTGAGTCGTGTTGGCACCGCGGCTGGCACTGTCACTTCCAATACCCTCACCTCGAACACTAATTTCTTCCTGCCCCCCAATGATGAGGACGGAAAGACCGAGCAGCTTCCACATTTGTTTACAGGAACGGTCCGAACCAGACGTCGGCTGTAAAAACCGCGGCAAGTTAGGAAATACAGTAGCTTCTTGCGGACTTTCCGCCGCCATCACCATCTGGCTGACGAGCGAGCTGACAGCTCCACACATGTTGCTTTTAGGGTCTTTCCTTGATGATACCGCGTGCGCGAGCGAACAGACGGTGCGAGTGTTGTAAATCCTCCGGGGCGACTCGGGCTCGAAGTAACAGTGCGCCCCGCAAAAACAGTCGTAAAACAGGCGGCTTCGGCTGACTTTCCGATTTTCCGACCGGTCAAATCTACTCACACAGTCTAGACGAAAAAAAAGTGGAAAAAAACAAGAAAAATCTAGCGATTACGCATCAAAACAAGGGACCTCTTTTCCAGGAGGATGACTCTTCCCCTTCCCCCACCCCTGTCTTTTCTTCCTTCCCTTGAGTCATCAGATACAGTACCTTTCACCCACGCAGAGACGATTAGTCTTGAGTTTGACAAATGAGGTGGTTGCGAGGTAGAGCAGTTTGAGATAATTGTTTTTGCACAGTCACTGTGCATCCGATTTTATCGCAAGATGCCGACATCGGTCCGCTCCATCTCGAGTATGCTCCACTGGCCATCCCTCCCTCCTTTTTTAGTGACACAACTTATCTCCTTCGAGTCATCTCTTTTTTGCGGCATGTTTTTGCGCAACTGACCACCTACCGCGAAAAATGTTTATTCTGCTGCTTTTGTTCAGGCATGATGTTGCAAATCGAAATGCGCACCGCATACAGGGCCTAATCGGTCCGGTCTTCGTGTTCAACTGTTTTGAATATTCAAATCAGTCCCGGCGCCATCGTCGTCGTCGTCCTTTTCGCTTCACAGGATCATAACTTTGATGATCGAAGTCGTTCAGTCTTCCGTACCACTTCTGAATCAATGAAGCATGCCGAATTCCGCGCATGTTTCTGCTTAGATGGACAGATTGGAGCCCATCTGCCACCTGACCTTTCCTTTCCGTTCGTTTCGTAATCAGCCAGAAGATGCGAGAACTCATATTTCTTTATTTTTTCTAAAAGTCGATCTTTCGTTCGAATGAAACTGATTCAGCTTTCTTTTCCAACTAAATCTCTTCCGTCTAATACCGTGTTTTTCTTCTCAATTTCTCATTTTCTCTCATCTCTCATCACAAAAACTTTGAGAAAAAATTTTGGAGGGAACAGATGCCAAAAGTAAAAGCGCGCTCTCTCCGCTTCCAACACTATTTTGTACCATCCCGTCCGGCAGCCGACACGCCCCCTGGGGCAATCTGGGCACTGCCCGCCCTCTTCGGCCGGTGTTCAGTTTGTGCACGCGACCTCTCGCCCCCTCGTCGCTTTTCTCACCTCGGCCAGACGGACGGCTTTTCGATATCGTTCCTTGTTTCTCTCTCGTTTACATATGTCATTCCAAATGCTAATTCCCTTCCATACCGTACTGTATTGCAGACCTCAAACGATGCGTCTTCTCGTTTTTGCGTCGACGTTGCTGCTCGTGACCACGGCTCTTCCGGCAGCCACCCGCGTCTTCATCGGAGAGCTCTACGAATACAATCTCGGCGACGTGCAAACGAACGCAACCGGCAAGAATGGAGGTTCGCTCCCGTCCTGGCTCATGGTCCGCAACCAAATCCTCCAAGGAATCCCAACCGAGTTCGACGTCGGAAGACACACGATCATGGTGAGTCATGGGGAAAAAATAGAGAGAGAGAGAGAAACTACGTGGCGAGGGGCCTTGAAGGCAGCATCTAGGAACTGTAGGCGTGAGTCATCCGAGAAGCAATCAATTTAGCAGCTCGCAAAGTGGCACATGAGTCAACTAGCGCCAATAACTGTCGGTCCTATCAGAAAACAGGTATCGATTGCTATAGAAGTACCCTAATAACACTTAGCAGCAGCTTTTTTGAGTTTCTGGATTAAAACATGAGAGATAAGTGGTCCGCAAGGGCTGAAGAGCGCGTGAGTTGAGTGGGAGTCACTTGGTGTAACATGCAGTATTTATAGATCAAGCCAATCGGCCGCAAGCCGTTCTACCTGCACCTGAACGTCGAGGAGGAGCGTGAGAGTGTCTGCGGACCCAACGTTACCTACTGGATGGAGACCTACCACGAGCAGAATGCTACGCTCGCCAACCGAATCAACAGCGCCCTGGCGATGGCCGAGCTGGAGATCGACCCGAAAATCAAAACCGTCCGTGTCTACTCGTTCAACTTCAGCAGTATCATCCGTGAGCTCGAAGAAATCAACGCGGAAGAAGTGCACGGACAGTACATGGTCATGTGGCGAGTGAGCTGCGACGACTTCGATGAGGCCCTCAGCTACATGGACGACTTCATGGAACGTGACGACGTTGACTACGACTCCCTCAAGCTGGCGAAGGGATTCTTCAAGACCGGAGTCGCCCCGAAACCAACTGAGGAGGCCGAAGAAGAGACGACCACCACCCGACTCGTTCGGACCACGACCGAAGTCTCACGCACCACGAGGAAAGTTATCACTGACAACAAGCCAATCCTCCTCAACCGGCTTCCATCTTTTGCCTGCGTCAGGTAACACATTGGATCCAGAGTTTCAGAGAAACATAGTAGTATTTCAGAGGTGAGATGTGCGAGCTACGCATTCCAGCTGAGACCTTCAAGGATGCTGAGGACGGTGACACCTTCAAGCTGCGTCTTTCCGTGCTTGCTCTCGACAATGCTGAGGTCTGGATGATCAACGATCCGAACAAGGGGCTGATCGGAATTCCGATGCGCACCGGAGAGTACAACTACCGTCTGGAGGCTCGCGACCAAGCCGGACAGCTTGCTTCCGCTCCTTTCCAAGTCAACGTCAAGCCGGCTCTTCCAGTCAACCACCGTGTGCAGCTCGAGATGGACATGCCAACTCCGGAACAGATGGCCACCATCCCCGCCAAGAGGAACATGCTGCTCCGCGCTCTTGCTCGATCCCTCAAGGCCCCAATCCATTCCTTCACCCTTCAGGAGATTGGATTCAAGAACAACAAGACCATGATCGCCTTTAGCAACAACTCGATCCCGTACAAGACCTGCGACGAGAACGCTCTCGAAGCCATGGCCGCCAAGATGATCATGAAGCAAAAGATGCGGACCAAGACGGAGTTCGTCAAGATCATGGGCAACCAGTTCTACGTCCGCCGTGCCACCCTTATCCGCCAGGGCAACTGTGAGGACTCTGTGGAGATCAGCACCACTGCCCCGACCATCCAATCAATCCAAGAGGCCGATTCGCAGCTCATCCTCATCTGTGTCCTCCTCTTCTTGCTCCTCGTCATTGCAGTGGCCATCATCGTCTACTGTGCCTGCGTGAAGAGGAACGGAAAGAAGAAATCGCCGAGCACCGAGTACGTTGCCAAGGGACTGCCTGTCGTGTTCCCGGATGAGGTGGACGAGAGCGACCCAACCCACGCCGGAACACCGATGCTTGCCCGCGAGGAACGTCCGCCACTCAAGGTAAGATCCCTTCCTGATGAACAGAAACAAGGAACGCACGGTCTTCGTTCTCACACCGCTGTCCTCTCAAGATGAAAGACTCGATTATATCTCGTCGCATTTTGCAGGTCTCGCAGCACGAGAATCCCCTCTACAAGCCGCCACCGCCAATCGCCAGCAACTCGCCGCGTCTCGGACAGGCCTCGTCGTCGTCGAACCAGAAGCTTCAGTCGCCGTTCATTCCTCCCTAATAACCTTCACTCTATCCGCCTCTATATGCAATGATTCCGTCTGTCCCCGCTCGTCCTAAACTTAGCCACTTTCCTTTTTACTGTTTATTTCCCCCGCATAGACATGCCATTGATCATGGATCTCATCTCCAGACAAGGCCACACACTCACACTATTCCCTCCATTTCTTGGAATATTAGTCGTGTTTCTGACCTTTTTGAGCCATGGCTTGCATTTCATTGCTCTCTCTCTCTCTCTCTCTCTCTCTCTCTCTCTCTCTCTCTCTTTTTCTGTCCCTTCCAAATCTTTCTCTCATCTCTTTTCCAACGAGGCACCTCATAATAATGACCAAGATTGTTTCTGTAGTTAACGTCAAAATGCATTTTTCCTTCTTTCTCCCCCATAATCCCAAACCCATCTCATTCTCAGCTTTCGTCACCCCCAGCACTTTTCCTCTTCTTTTTCTTCCAATCACATATATATCCATTATTCCACAACGGTGACTTTTCCATTCTTGTATGCTCACTGAGCCCCGAAACTCCATGGGTTTCTCATTTCACTGTTTTGCTTTTTCTTTTTCCATTTTTACTTTAAACTCCAACCCCTAAATAGTTTTTCTCTCTTCCATTTGTATTATGCCCACCATTTTCCCCCGTTTTAACAGTCCTGTTCTTCTTTACTCTACTGTTGTTTCTTTTATAAATTTCACGTTTAAAACAGCAGAATTTATGCAAGAAAAAATGAGCAATGCGAGCGCTTTATCGATTAGCAATGGGCGCGCCAGCGGTTTTCATTTTGCAAAAAAATTTACAGCGGCGAACAAGGTTCTCTCTTTTTTCTCCGACAAACTCCATCTGCCGTACCAGGTGCCATCGTTCCATCTTCTCTCTTTTTTTAGTCCAACGGGTGGGATGGCAGCTGAAGTTAGTGCCAGGTGCGGGAATTTTTTTTCCGTTGCCTCCTATTGGTAACCACAGAAGTTGGAATGAAATGGCAGCTCTTAACGACTCGTTTTAGGGTGTGCTGAATCGGGCTCGTTTTTCTGAACAAGCATTTACTCTCTGGTGCAGGTGCAGAGGTCGGTGGTGCTGGTGCTGGTGCCAGGTGCCGTTTCAAAATCGGTTACAAGAAGTGTTGCAGCTGGATGTGCCGTTGTTCATCACCTGGTGCCAATGTCTCGTTACTGTTGGAATCTGCTCGATTCTTCATCTGGGGACCAGGCCTGAGCAATCGACTCGTCTCCCAAAGTTAGAACTTTACTTGAGGACATGCAAAAAAATTACTACACTGCGCCCAATAAGTATAGGACCCCCCTCAGTTTTGGGTGTTCCGAGAAAACTAGAAGAGATATCAAAAATCTGCAAGCGCCATTCGATTTGGAATACAAAATAACCCCCGGACCCAAATTTGTACAATCTGAAAACTATTTGTACCCGTCCACCATCAAAAAGTCACTTTTTCCACCGCCCAATAAGTATAGGACCCCCTCACAATTTTGACGGATTTTTGGTAAATTGAAGGGAATTCAGCCATTTTTTTCATATTATTTTTTTATTATTGTTGTTTTTTTATTGTTTTTTTATATTATTTCGACTTTATTTCCCAACTTTCTATCATTTTTCTGATTGGATGATGAAGGATCTTTGAATAAATCTGTGAAAATGGATTTTTTTAAAGTAAACATTTTTTATTCAACAAAATCAAACGATAACAGGGAAAAAATTAATAACTGGTCTTGCCTCCGTTCTTCTGAATGACTTGGAAAAGTCGATTTGGCATGCTCGATACCAGATTCTTCAATTCCGCGGCTGTGACCAAATTCCACTCGATAAGAAGGGCATCTTTCAGATCCTGGACACTGGCATACTGTTTGCCATGGCGGTAGACACGACGAACCAACAATCCCCAAGCGTTCTCAACTGGATTGAGGTCTGGGCTACACGCCGGCCATTGCAGAACCTTGATTCCTTTCGCAGCGAGCCAGTCTTATGTCGAAATGCTTTACATTCTCCCATTTAGTAGCAAGGTTCCTTGTCTGCAAGAGTACTGTTCTCAACGTTATCAATCGCAGTGGTGTCATTGTTCGTCAGACAATGCAGAAGGTTCCAAGATTGACGGATCAACACAAAACAAGGAGAATGGATTTTGCAAGAAGGAACCTTGCTACTAAATGGGAGAATGTAAAGCATTTCGACACAAGACTGGCTCGCTGCGAAAGGAATCAAGGTTCTGCAATGGCCGGCGTGTAGCCCAGACCTCAATCCAGTTGAGAACGCTTGGGGATTGTTGGTTCGTCGTGTCTACCGCCATGGCAAACAGTATGCCAGTGTCCAGGATCTGAAAGATGCCCTTCTTATCGAGTGGAATTTGGTCACAGCCGCGGAATTGAAGAATCTGGTATCGAGCATGCCAAATCGACTTTTTCCAAGTCATTCAGAAGAACGGAGGCAAGACCAGTTATTAATTTTTTTCCCTGTTATCGTTTGATTTTTGTTGAATAAAAAAATGTTTACTTTAAAAAAATCCATTTTTCACAGATTTATTCAAAGATCCTTCATCATCCAATCAGAAAATGATAGAAAGTTGGGAAATAAAGTCGAAATAATATGAAAACAATAAAAAAACAACAATTATAATAATAATATGGAAAAAAATGGCTGAATTCCCTTCAATTTACCAAAAATCCGTCAAAAATTGTGAGGGGGTCCTATACTTATTGGGCGGTGGAAAAAAAGTGACTTTTTGATGGTGGACGGGTACAAATAGTTTTCAGATTGTAAAAATTTGGGTCCGGGGGTTATTTTGTATTCCAAATCGAATGGCGCTTGCAGATTTTTGATATCTCTTTTAGTTTTCTCGGAACACCCAAAACTGAGGGGGGTCCTATACTTATTGGGCGCAGTGTATATAGCAAAATACGGGTCCAGAAATAATCCGATTGAACCCGAACTTCGCAGGCTTCTTTGACATGGATTGAAGTATCTTCGGTTCAAATTTCATGTCGATCGTTTACTTTCGAAATATATGGTTGAGAGACCGAAAACATAGCAATCTCGGCATTCACCTTGCTTTTTCGGCCTCACATCCACATATTTCCAGAGTAAATTATCCAATCGGTCTGAATTTTGGATCCAAATTACCTCAATTCAAGTTCAAGAAGCCTACAAAGTTAAGGACCGGTCGGAACGTTGTAAGTTTGTCAGAAGTTCAGAACTCGACCGGCATTCGACGGTAGAAACATGAGAAAACTGGCACAGGTCCTACCGCTCTCTGTCGTTTTTGTGGCAATGATCTCATTCAATGTGCCCACGTCAGAGTTTCTTTTTACTTGATCGGACGATTCCTCACGACAGTATTCAACGTGGTTAGATACTGAAGTCAAATCACAACGAAATACTTGCATCTGGAAACTAACATGGTACAATAATCTGAATACATTGGTTCTTTTTTTACCTCTCATGCTCATTGACGGAGACATCAGTCAGTTGATAACAATGTTGCCAGGACTACACTTTTGGAAAATTCTTTTCATCTCGGGATTGCTCGGTTTCGCCATGAACTACGTGACCGGATGGCAGATTCAGGCAACATCTCCTTTGACGCACAATATTTCTGCGACTGCAAAATCAGCAGCACAAACTGTGCTAGCGGTTTTTCTCTATTCTGAAGTCAAAAGCATATTTTGGTCAGTTCTTCGAGTCGCTATCATCCGGTAAACAATACATTCAGGTGGAGCAATAATATGATAGTACTTGTTGGATCCGCTTTGTACACTTCCATTCGGAAACGTGAAATGGAGTCGAAATCTGCAAAACTGAAAACAAAATAACGATTTCACGTGAACTCCACAATGTTACTGATGACTTTGTTGATTTTCTATTGTTTTCACATCGAGGAGCCCCCGGTGCCCGTCATCAGCTGTTTTTGTTTTTATCGGCCGCCCCGCGGCAAAGTGGTCAGCACACTTGATCAGAGCTCAAAAAACAACTACTTTTTGTAACAAACGTTCGGGATATTACTATGTAGTACGGAACGATTTGTTGCGTCACTTTGTTTTTTTTTCCTTGGAAATCGAAAATATCTCATCTAATGCTTTTCGTCAAGAAAGTATTTTTGCATTATATGATGAAATGATTGCAAAAACTGACTTCTCCGCAGTTTCACAGAATGATGTAGCCGAGACTCTAGTTTAAAGTCAATAGTCTGCCTGCCGTGATCCTCAGTTTACCCGTTTTTAAAGTTCATTTTCCTTTTCCTTATCTTTCTATTTTGACTTGCCTAATCGGACACGAAGACTGTTCGGGTCACGTGAATGCGCGTCAAATAGAGTGTTTTGCAGTCACGACCGTGTGCACGCGTTCCCCTGCCGGACCATGCCGTCCCTCAGGGGTCACTCTTCCTTCTCAATGCGCACATATTACGTGCGCTACCTTTCTCTTCCACGTTTCTTGTTCTCCGCATGTTTCGGTAGCATTTTGTTCGCAGGGTGGTAAATCAGTTAAGTGACTTGTTTTTGAAGTAATTCCATCTTTTTAGGAGACAAAAGAAGTGCACTGCGAACCCGTTCTTCTAGGACTGGCCATTTTTCCCTTGTGTGACCAATAAATAAAAAGTTATATTTGCCCATGAGCCGCCTACCGTTCCAACCTATTTCGCCTCATCGAATCGACGAGTTAGTTCACGGTATTTACCCACCAGCTGCTTGCTTACTGTGTCACTCATCTAGTTTTTATCACAAGATATGAGGTCTTTCTTTCCTCTCGACCCTTGAGAAACCAGTTCGTTCGCCCCCCGCAAAGATTCGAATTGGCTGTAATGAATGCATAGGGCCGTCGCTCAGCTGTTTGTCGCACTCCGATCACCGTCATCTGTTTTCATTGTTCTCTCATCCGTCATCCTGTTTATTAGTGTCACCGTCGAAGGCGCTATCACCAATTTCGAATGCCGACTACCAAAAAGTCAACCATAACTCGACCCATATTCACGTAGTCTCAGCGATACCCCCCACCCCCCGAAAAAAAGCTATAAATCAGCGAGCGAAGTATCAGTGTAAGATATTGCAGCATATTTCTCCACAGTCCTTTCTCTGTCCACACTATGTTCGCAAGCACGTGAAGTGGCGGCGGCGAAACGGCGTCCAACGATAATAATGATAGTGGTATATAACAGGCTGGAAACTGAGATATGAATATGAACACATCTTATTGTTTTTGCGGTTTCAGACTGATATTTCGATGTTTTCCCTCTCTTATCAATTCGTAATCTTTGTTTCTGCTCTTTTGCAAAAGCAGTGTACTCGCACAAGTTGTTCACGTGAACTCTAAGCGATCCCCAGGTCAACAGACATTTTCCCCCCTTTACACAAAGTCTGCCCTTTGATATTATAGACCCTGTTTTTGCATTGGATAAACTGAAGACGAAGAAACCCCAACCACACTCTATTCTTCTGAAAGGAAAAACAAAGAGGCGTCTCATCGCTGGTTGGGCCGACTACATGTTCTCTACTCTAACTTCCTCTCGGCGCTGAGCCCCATTTTTGCACGGACGCCGTCTTCTTATTGATTCCCGCCTTCTGGGATATAAAATTGGGGAGGGGAGCCGGGCAGGCAGGCAGCAAGCCTTTTCTTGTCGTTCGCATTACTCTTTGCTCTGGCGTTTTGACTTTTTTTAGCTCGAATTTCTGCCTTTTTTTTAGCTCAGAATGGCCGTCGCGCAACAAGAACAAGTCCTCGAGTCGGTTCAGGAGAAAATCAACCAGTTTACCACGGAGACTGTGCTCCGCAAGTTCCAAATCGGCACTCAAACCGACACAATCTACGTCAACTTGAACTATCTTGCCGAGCTCTCCGAGTACTTCCACATGTGAGTTCGCGGTAAAGCTTCCCCCAGAATTTCAGCTACTTTCAGTCTCCGCACCGGTGCCTACACGGAGAAGAGCTCAAAAAAGGTGGAGTTGGACGATGTTTACACGGACGAACTTGTCGTGTTCCTCTCGTACGTCTGCCCGGACGCCTTTGAGTTCGACCGCACTATCAACCGTAAGTATACCCCGTTCTCTAGTTTGTGCGCCTTATCGGAAAGTTTAAAATATCAGTGAATAAAGTACACTTAATTTCAGAGCACAACATCTACCCACTTGCCTATTTCTCGGACCGCCTCATTTTCCCGTGGGTGAAGCAGGAGATCAAGAAATACATCAAAAGCGGTGAGAAAACGAATATTCCAGGGCAAACAACAGCTACTATTTTCATTAAATTCCAGATGAATTCAAAGAGGAGATATATGAGATTGATGCTTTGATCAATCTGTGCTGTCTGCTTCACTCGCAATGCTACGCGTTAGTTGCCCATTTTCCCAGGAAATCTTCAGAAATACACGTTTTCAGACCTGATGATATTGATCCAGTTTTCAAGAAGATTGCTCGTCTCCAGGATTCGACTGCTGTCGACAAGGTTGTCGAAGCCATCCCGGACAGAGACGTGCGGCTCTATTTCCGCGAGAGAATCATTCACTTCCGTCCGGTCAGTTTCTTACGGGGACGTGCAAAAGGCCTGCCGACGGCTGCGCATTTGATCCACTTGCAATAATTCGATCGGACTCTAACTTTGCAGGCTTCTTGGAATTGGATTGAAGTATCTTGGGTCCAAGTTTCAGATCGATCGGTTTATCTGGTCCGCAGATATATTGTTTCGAGGCCGAAAATGTAAAGTTAAAAAATTACCACCTTTTTGGCTTCGAACCAGTAAATCTCGAAAGCAAATAGACCGATCGTTTTGGTACTGCACATTCACATATATCTGCAGAAGATAATCCAAACTGTCTAAACTGTGAACTTAAAATACTTCAATCCAAGTCTATCATGTAATGCTTTCGAATTCTTACCTGCGGATTCAAGTAGTTATGGGGGCAAAAGTTTTCTTTCTGGATGCATTTTCATTTTTCATGTTCAATGAAAACAGGCTTTGAAACATGCAAATTCAGAACAGCTTCTTTTGAGGACATATGCACAATGCTTGTAAAAAGGGGTGACTCAGGCATTACGGTGTGAAGACCACAGAATCGAGCTTTCTTTCTCACAAACTCACTCTAGAATTCTTTCTTCAACCTTCCGACCACAATCCTTCTTTCTGTCGTCCGTTTTTGGTTTGGGTTTGAACCGTTTACACACTTCCAGAGTTGCCACGTCCTTCAGTCAGGTCTGAAAGTCGTCACGATCAGTGTCTAACCGAGGCAAATTTCTTTGTACTCGGCGGGGCTCGAACCTGCGGTCTTCGGATTGCTAAGCACAAGCTTAACCGCCTACACCACCCTGGCCACGCGGCTCAATCGCCCATAGGGTGTATATATAATGGCGACGGACGCCGTTGGGCGCTGTGGTGTTGGTGATATCTCGAGAACGGATGGAGCTATCGAGAAGCATCCAAGAGCAAAAATGATCAGAAAAATGTGCTTCGTTCATCTAAGTAGAAATCAAAAAGATTCAGAAGTCATTTGAGGTTTCAGATGACACCGAAAAATAAAAATTGTCCAAAATATGACTTGATATATATCAAATGAATGACGAAAACACGAAGATTCAAACTAACGTCGTCAATATTGAATTGTTTTGTCCTCTGCCCTCAAATAACGAATAATCTCTGAAACAATAAAAAAGTGTCAAATGGTTAAACTTTCGCCACCATTACCATTTGAATCCAAGGGTAACAATTCGAAAGCATTACATGTAAGAAGCCTACAAAGTTTGGGCCCAGTCAGAATATTGCAAGTAGGTCAAAAGTGGGGGCATGCCTTCATAAAGTTTGAAATCGTCTTTATCCCAGATGTGTTTTTTATTATCTTGACAGCAAAAAATTCCTTTTTCAGTACCTGTACCAGCCAAGACCGCAGTCCTTCTTCGACTGGAATGACACCCGCGCCCGGCTCTTCTTCTAATCCTACTACTTTTCTTGTTCTGCTTTCTCTGACTTATCCATCATCCTCGAGCTGTATCATTCACCAAGCTGCTTCCAACACCAGAAAGTTCTGCTGTAGCTTCTGTACTTATACACTGCTTTGTATTGTTTATATTATATTGTCCCAAACACATTTTACTAGAAGTTTGAATACTAGCGGTTGCTGGAAAGAAACCGAGAAAACAGCAGAACTCCTTTTTGAATCGGTTCTCTGAACACTTGAACGCTGAAACCAAGCGTGTCGTTCTTTTCCGCAAGCCATCATAAAATATTCAAATAAATCGGCTCTTTTCCAGTTTTAGCGGCTCTTATTAGGGTCATATCGCCCGAACATCTCAATCAATTCGCGAGTATAAAAGGAGTGGTTGTTCTCCTCGTAAGCAGCATAGGCTCTATTCAGCTCTCCTTCTCGTCTTGCCTGGTCGTCAACCGAGTCGACCATTAGGATATTTTAATGCAAATGCGCTCCGTTCAAATCCGGTGCTAATTAAAAACAAAAAGTTTGCAAAAAACTAGTCATGGAGATCGCAAAAGTAGAGATTCATCAACAGAGCGCATTCACTTCGAAACTTCCCCATGATGAATAAAATGAGAGCAAATAGAGCAAAGTAACGTTTCCAATTTCAGAACCAACCTCGATCATGCCGACCAACTACCCATCATGACAACTTCTCCGAAAAGATCCAGATCCGCCACATGTCCCAATCCCACGCCCAAACGTTGGAATGTGATGGAGTAAATCATTGAAAATTACGCTTTCTGTTTTATCTTTCCTGTTGTCTATCACTTTCTGCCTTTGGCATGAGTAGCTCAGGAAGCGATATTGAAGAGAAGGCACGAGAAGTCAATTGATTAGATGACTATACAGCCGTGAGGTCCACCTCCGGGCAGAAATTATGCGCGATGATGTTTTCATTCACTAGAACCTATGTATTCTCTCTATGTTTTGTATGTCGTACGAAGAAGTGGAACAAAAAAAAATAGAGTAGGATCATGGTAATATCCGGATCCAGCGGGAGCATTGAAAGAGGTTGAAGGGGTAGGACCATAGTGAGAAGTGAATTGATCTGGAGGTCACAGATGGAGGCGGAACAAATGATGACGTGGATGGCATTTGCCATGGATTGTATGCGTTTCCTCCAAATACCGGTGCTTGCACGGGAACGAACATCGACGACTTATCGCACATTGAGTTGTATCCCGATCCGTATCCAGAACTGTTGTTTGGACTGTAGGCTTCCGATCGAGAAATGTCCGCACTCGATGCATTCAGAACTTGCTCAGTTGCCTGAGACGGCGCTGCATTGGCGGGTGGCGTGGTAACGTCGGAACGGGATGAAGAGAACGCATGAACGCAGTCCAAGTTCCAGATTCTCCAGATTCTCTTCTTCCAGATTCTCAAAACCGGTTTGTATCGGCTTGAGTCCCGTTCACGTGCAGTGGTGAGCACCATCATTTCATTCACCGCTTTATAGTACTTCTGCCAAATTTTTCGATTGGTCAGAATGATTGCAATTGGTCCCGTTTGATGTTGGTTCTCAGGAATTACAGGCATATTCGGGAAGGGCATTTCCGAATGAGCAAAGCGGTTTTCTGAAAGATAATTTCATGAGAATTGAACCGACAAAACTGTAACTTACGGAGCTGATTTGAATAATCGATTGGGTAGTAGAAAGACGGATCCCAGTTGACGTTGGCCAAGCCCATTGCGGAAGGCATAGCGTGTTGGTGGTACGACATGATCGAGTCCAATGAGTCGAATGAGCAGGATGAGGACAACAACGACCCAATTGGTTTTTAGAGAAAGGGGCGGAGCTAGTGACTGTAGGGGACCCTATTGCCCCGGGTGTGTCATGATCAGGCGAAGGTGAAGACAAATTTCCGGCAGCGAGTATACGAAGGGTACACTGCCTGTGAAAAGCAGAGTGGGAAGACGTAAAAGCAAAGCGACCGAATCAGTTGAACTGATGATGAAAGGATGTCTGATAAGATTTGAACTGAAATCAATTTGGAATCCCACTGAAGAATTGAACGGTATGGGCAAACTTGGACTCCCTCATCAGGTCGTGCCGACACAAAAAAGAGATACCCCGCAAGCCGAGCAATCGTTTGTTATCTCGGGCTCAGAACTAACAAAGAAGATTCCAGCAGGACATTAACACGGAAAAGGACGAGAATCAATTTTAGAAAAGGTTCTGAAAAGACCACCACTCAAATGAGCATGTGGATGAATTATCTTTATTATCGTCTTTTGACATCGTTCATTTACACTCTTTATTTTCAGTTAACTATTCATCGCCCCCTAACAACTTCTGTAGATACTCGAATTGAACAATGCGTTTTGTTGCAAATCACACCGCAAATCGTCCTCACCTTCCTTTTTTGGCTCTTTGTTTATGTGAAATACAGCATACAAGAACTGACAAATACAAAGAATCATATACATATATTCTAAACATTATTTATTAGATTTTATAGTTTGCAAGTAGGATGTAAATACACTCTTGATAAATTCTGAAGATAATATGTTCTAAGAAGTCAATAAGACACTTTCTGAAAGCACCCGAACCCCAGTTAAGAAGATGTAGGCAAAGCGCATTTGGAGGGGACAGTGACAAGTGACAGAAGGGATGCACGTGCAATGTTTTACGACAAACAGGTGCAGAGACTGGACGAAAAGAGGGTGTACTTTAGACAACAAGTAGTCCCCCTGAATTCATATGAGCGAGGATTATGACTGTATTCCTATGGCTCTAAGAATATAGTCTACGCCTTTCGTTCCATTTCCCAGCATCTGGAATACTCGGAAAATAGGAGTGTTGTGAGGATGTCTATAAAAAGTGATTCGGCAGGTTAGATGTACAATGGGAAATGAATAAAACGTTAATAAAGGACACACCGGTGAATCCTAATGTTCGAGGGAAGTCACGACCTGTCTTATCAGAACTGTAGCTAATATTGCCTTAATCATTCTCGTCAGATTGACAATTTTTTTTAAGAAGGTGAGATCAGAAACATTTATGATCTCAGAATAATAATGGTATCCTCAAAACATTCACATTTTCTGAGTGTGGCGGATGGGCCATGTTGAGAAACAAAGAGCGGAAATGGAAAAATAGGCGTAGATGGTATACATGACAGCCATAACAGACACATGCTCTCAGAAAGGAGTACATAGGTACTCGTTCTCTGAGATGGTAAATCATACAATTGAGCCAAAAGGAAGAAATGATTTGAATATGGAGTTCCAAACGAATACCTCGCATTTCTTGAATTCTCAGAAGAAGTGGAACGAACATTCGAAGAAACCGGCGAGAAAATAGAAAAATGAAATACTCCAGAAAAGAACTGGTAGAGCGATTATCTCTAATACATCAGCAATTCCCGAATTTGACTAGGAGATAGATAAACAGACGGAATTACAAGATTGGTTTGAACGCATTGTATGTAGACACCTGGTAAAACATACTAAAGATTAACTGACACTTAAGAATGAAATTCTGAGAGACTGGACTAAACTAGGCCTAGCAGGAAAAACTCATCGTGCTCCGATTTGATTGATATTGGGTACAGTGAGTACCTGGACTGCTCTAAGATACATGAAATTAGTTCCATCTGGCTCCGCCCCCTTTTCCACGATTACTGTAGTACCGTACCCCCGAACGCTAAAAAATTTAATTTCTGAAAATATTTTCGGTTTTTTCGTCATACTGAAAAATTTTAGTACTGACGTACAAAGAGTTCTCTTTAAATTCGGATTCTACGTAATAATGCGCGTCGACAAAAAAAAATTAGACCAAAATCGGAATGCGCGTCGAAGATCTGAACCTCAATTCATGGTTTTTTTCTTACAAGCATTGCATGTTTTTTCAAACTTACATACATGCAATACTTGTAAAAAAAGGTGACTCAGGTATTACGGTGTGAAGACCACAGGATCGAGCTTTCTTTCTCTCAAACTCACTCTAGAATTCTTTCTTCTACCTTCCGAGCACAATCATTCTTTCTGTCGTCCTTTTAACCTCTTAGTTTGAACCGTTTACACACTTCCAGAGTCGCCACGTCCTTCAGTCAGGTCTGAAAGTCGTCACGATCAGTGTCTAACCGAGGCAAATTTCTTTGCACTCGGTGGGGCTCGAACCTGCGGTCTTCAGATTGCTAAGCACAAGCTTAACCGCCTACACCACCCTGGCCACGCGGCTCAATCGCCCATAGGGTGTATATATAATGGCGACGGATGCGGTTGGGCGCTGTGGTGTCGGTGATATCTCGAGAACGGTTAGTGCTATCGAGAAGCATCCAAGAGCAAAAACGATCAGAAAAATGTGCTCCGTTCATCTAAGTAGAAATCAAAAAGATTCAGAAGTCATTTGCGGATTCAGATGACACCGATAAAGAAAAATGATAAAAATATGACTTGATGTATATCAAATGAATGACAAAAACACGAAGATTGTATGTCGTCACAATGAGCTGCCTGTTATCATTAAACATATATGCAATACTTGTAAAAAGGGGTGACTCAGGTATTACGGTGTGAAGACCACAGGATCGAGCTTTCATTCTCTCAAACTCACTCTAGAATTCTTTCTTCTACCTTCCGAGCTCAATCCTTCTTTCTGTCGTCCTTTTAACCTCTTAATTTGAACCGTTTACACACTTCCGGAGTCGCCACGTCCTTCAGTCAGGTCTGAAAGTCGTCACGATCAGTGTCTAACCGAGGCAAATTTCTTTGCACTCGGCGGGGCTCGAACCTGCGGTCTTCGGATTGCTAAGCACAAGCTTAACCGCCTACACCACCCTGGCCACGCGGCTCAATCGCCCATAGGGTGTATATATAATGGCGACGGACGCCGTTGGGCGCTGTGGTGTCGGCGATATCTCGAGAACGGATGGAGTTATCGGGAAGCATTCAAGAGCAAAAATAATCAGAAAAATGTGCTCCGTTCATTTAAATACATATCAAAAAGATTCAGAAGTCATTTGAGGATTCAGATAACACCGAAAAATAAAAATTGTCCAAAATATGACTTGATATATATCAAATGAATGACGAAAACACAAAGATTCAAACTAACGTCGTCAATATTGAATTGTTTTGTCCTCTGCCCTCAAATAACGAATAATCTTTCAAACTATAAAAATTGTCAAATGGTCAAACTTTTGCCACCGTTACCACTTGAATCCGAGGGTAACAATTCGAAAGCATTACATGTAAGAAGCCTACAAAGTTTGGGCCCAGTCAGAATATTGCAAGTAGGTCAAAAGTGGGGGCATGCCTTCATAAAGTTTGAAATCGTCTTTATCCCAGATGTGTTTTTTATTATCTTGACAACAAAAAATTCCGTTTTCAGTACCTTTACCAGCCAAGACCGCAGTCCTTCTTTGACTGGAATGACACTCGCGCCCGGTTCTTCTTCTAATCCTACTACTTTTCTTGTTCTGCTTTTTCTGACTTATCCATCATCCCCGAGTTGTATCATTCACCAAGCTACTTCCTACACCAGACAGTTCAGCTGTAGCTTCTGTACTTACTCACTGCTTTGTATTATTTATATTATATTGTCCTAGCAATAAACGTACCGTGCTCGTCAGATGGAAATCGTTCAACAACAGAAGAATAGAAAAGAGAAAACAATCAAAATCCGACAGCCTTCTGAGCGATAAAATAACATCATAAATTCTGTCGACGAACGTTTTACGTGGATACTCTTTTATTCTTTGCTCAATGCCCTTTGGATTGCTGGAATACTGATTATGTTTTTGTGTACGTAGTAGGTAAATTCTTTTTAATCCCAAGAGCAGGCGAACTTTTGTAACTAGGCGAAAACAACTAAATTGAAGTTAGTGGCTCGATTTTTTCGGAACACTAACGCGTGTGCCACCATCGATTTTTCGTAAGGTTTCAATCGAACACAATAAATAACAAAGGTGTTTGTTGATAGAGGATATTCCTGACTTTACATCCCTTCTTTTTCTCTCAAACTTGAATACTATATACGTCTACCTCATGCTATGCCACTATCGGAGCGTTATTGGAGAAATGATGGAGGTAAGTGCAAAGTATAAAGACGCGAAGCCTCCCTTCCCACGGCGACCTATCCATTACCATAAATTTCATAAATCATTCGCTTCTCACCTAGTCGCGCCGTCGTGGGTCACGAGAGAAAGATAGACTTTGTTTTTATTTTGTTTCTGGTATCACGCCCCAACGAGGTGCTCATCGTTTAGTGAAAAGCGGCGATAGTGACAGCAGTTGTGTTGGTGTAAGACAATTAGTTTGAGCTGCCTGTGGTAGAGGCATTTATTCGCACTCCTCCCTCCTGATATCCCTCTCGGTCGGCGGGCTGCCCACCGGGTCTTTCACCTCTTATCTTTTCAGTTCAAATGGCGCGCAATGCGAGAACACCACCAGGTCCAACCCCGACCCCTGCTCCCACAATTGCTCAGTGCCATTCAATTCCTTCTATCCGGATCGAGAGGTCCAAGGATGAGCATGGAATCGCAGAAGAAATAGTTTCTGCGCCGAAACCCACTCCACCTCCCAGAAGTCTCACTTATGGCAACAACTTGGCCCCGACGACTTCTCGTGTTCTTAGACAGCCCCGTCAAACTTCTCTGCGTTCACGTAAGTCTCCGAACACATGGTTTCAACTATTCAATTTGCACACACAAAAAAAATTTGAGCTTGATTCATTATCGCAAGTTCCGCTATTGTTTCAAAGCGCTTGAAAACAGCTGCTCCGATCCGTTTCATCAAATTCTCGCCCAAATATTTGTGTGAGCCAAAAGCCAACCGATATTCTTTCCGTGTGATTGGTGATAGATATCTTTTCTCTCTTCTGATTGTACTCTCTTATCGGACCACGGCGCAAAAGTATGAATTGGCGTTGCGTTTAAAACAAACATAAGACTCTGCCAATCGACATTTGGTCCTTGTCGTGGATGATGGATCATCTTCTTGTACATGCTCCCGTGTCATCCATCGGTCGATTAGCGGTTAGCACTTAACAAGTGGAAACTCATTGGATTATAGGAAACAAGTGGTGGTGGGAGAAGAATAGAGAAGTGATTGAGTCAAGTGGTTTGGGACATAATTGTGACGATGAGAGATTAATGAGCAAAACCGTTCCGACCCGTTCTTTTTTGTTTCTAAAAGGCTTTGTACTTGCTTCCCAACGAGTGATTCCTCGGAGAAGAACAAGAAGTTTCAACGGACGGCTGTTAGTAGAAGTCAAAGTGACAATTGAGTTGTTCGAATTTAGGAGCCGTGTCAACACGAAAAGAGTCCTTTTTGTGTTGCGAACGTATTCTATCGTCACCCGAGCTCTTCTCACACGCCAAATCGCATTGACACCATGAAAGAAAACTTTGGATCAACTGTTGTTTTCGGCACTCACACAAAGGCTTGAAGAAGCAAGAAGGCGCCCCTTCGCTGCTCAAAATTGTCTGTTCTTCGAGTAATAAAGGGCGTTTTCGTTTTCGTGTTCGTTCCTATTCACAATAGCTTTTTGCTTATTCTGTCAAGAAAGATAGACGAAGAAGTAAGAAATAGGAATCCGGAAGATGCGTGACGAAAACGACATAAAGCGTTCGATGAGCGTGCCGAAGCTGTTGATGAGGAAAAACTATAATATTCGCTCAATTCCGGGGATCGTCGTCCTTAAAGGTAACACTCCGTTGTTTCGCCGCTAAGTTTGTTTGGAAACTGAGAAACTTGAACACATTATTTTGCTTGCCTCCAAACATCTCACTTTCCTTTGATCTTTTTGAACAACCACCAGTGCTTTGTCACTTGTTCTTCTCGTTTCTTCCAGGTAACCTGATATCTTCCGGTTTCTCTCTTTTGCTGGGAGGTCTTCCATTATCCAATTGTCATACTCACCCCCTTTTATTTATGAGAGGAAATGTGTGAAATATGAAAATGGCTGCATGCACACTCTACCACCGCATTTCGTTCTGGCAGAGCTCAATTTCCTATACACCTTCCCGTCCAATTGTTTTGGCATCACACCTCGATCTCTTCCGCAATCATAATCACTCATTTTCGAAGCTCTCATGTGTAAACTCTTATCAACAAAAAGGCTCCCGAATGATAAATGGATTCGCCTGTTTTTATTTGCTCTCACCTTCCCTTCCCTTCCTTTATTACACTCGTGATCCTCGTCGAGGTATTCAGCGACCACATAAATATCGGTTATCAGACGTGCTATCAGGGCGTTAAAAGTACTGCCTGATTGAGAGTCACCTGTCCAGGAACGTCTCGTGCGCGGCGAAAGCAAGCGCGAGCAGTAGGAGGCGTCTCAATGGCCGGGTGATTTATTCGTCTTGCAACCGAGATGAGGCATCCTCAAAAACAACACATATGCAAATCCATCCCCAAAACAACCTCAAAAATTGAAAATCTGAGCTCTTGAATATTCAAGTGTTCTGATAACTCTGACACGCCATACCAGAATACATTATCCGAGTGTGTGGCGGTCGACTTGAGCCCATTCATTTTTTCCGCGTTTTCTGTTATTCACACCTCCCCGCAATCCTGTGTCTCATGAATTTCGAACCGTATTCTGTCGTTCTTGAATCGGACAATCCCGACAGTCCCATCATCAAAATTCCGCATTGTAAGTGAATCAAAATTCTCAGACAAAGTTCTCAGTTCTCAAAAAGTTGACATTTCTCAAATGTAGGAAAAGAGATTCAATTGTCGACCGTGTCCGTTTTTTCGCGCGCACAATCTTTCCGTTCTGCTGCTACTTTTTCTTTGACTCGTCTCACGAAAAAGTCATGCAGCCCGACACTGAAATCATCTATTTCCGAAATAGATTCTATACTCGCTTGTTTCCAGATGCAAACGGAAATGGAAATGGTCATGGAAATGGCGTAATGAAAACTCCGCAGAGAGAGACTGTCGTGAGTCTGGGATTCACTGAAGAGCCCATTCCACCCGGTCATTACTGCTGCAATTCTTGTCATATGCAGGTATTTATTGTGTTCTCTTTTCCAGACGAATTTCATTCAAAATTGGTTTTCTTGTGCAAATCAGCTCTCGTAGTCTTTGTTGTTTTGTTCTTCTTTGCTTTCATTTCATTTCCTAATATATTTTCAGAAAGCCTGCCGAGTAGTTGGAATCTTTGCTTGTATAGGATTCGTCATCAATATCATTCTATACTTTCTAGGAATCTCCAAACTCGGCCTCAATGGTATTGTTTTTACATAACCTAATCCTTACTGTTATTTCTTGATTTTCAGGCTATTTCGAGGCGTTCTTACTCATTTTCGATTGCATTTCTCTTATAACTTTGCTTTGTGGTGTTTCAAAGCAACGCTCAGGCCTTCTGAAGCCTTATTTGTTCTACAACGTATGTTTTCGTTTTGTTTTGTGGGGACCTGTAATTACGCTGAGAAATATTCGTTTTTGCAGGCGGTTTGGAATTTTGGGATGATAATCTTGTTCCTGGTCTTCGTGTACCACATGTTCAAAGGAACCAGTGACATATCGAGGTTCGGAGTTGCATAACATTAACTTTTCGAGTAATTTAATTGCAGAAACATCCTCGACAATCTGAAATCACTGCGCCAAAACCCTGACGAATATCACTTCCGATCCAGAGAAGGCTCGACTAGTAAGATGCCTACTGAAGATAGAAATCTCTTCTCATCCTCATCTAAATTTCAGCCGCAATCCTTGCGACACTCGGGGTGATGGCTGCCATGGCTCTCGTGATCGTCATCAACTGCATATTCTTGCATGTCGTCTACCGCACTTTTCAGTTTTTTGCGTACCAGGAAGATAAGAAACGGGAAGAGATGGACAAGAAAGAACGACTTTAAACAGATTAAAATTTTTAACGAAAATAGTCCAAGCGCTTTCTTATTTCTAATTCTCTTTTCCATGATCTCTTCTGTAATCCCAATTCATTCACTAATCTAATCGGGTTTATGTATTCTGTCTCATTATTATATACTTTATTGTATTAAGTTAGAAATAAAAGTGATTTTGAAAAACATGATCGAAAGATACGAACGGATCACTTTCCGATAAGAGCCAAGTTGGTCTTGATGACAGGGTCGATCTGTTCGAGCCAAGAGGCCACGTCGAGTTCCTGAAAACAATGTTGGTTTAGGTACATCAACAGACTGGTAGGTATTTGTTTTTGTTGGCGAACACAATGTAAAAACTTTTTGCTTTCATCCGCCGCCCTGGCTACACATACCTCGGCAATCTTGTCGAACATGTCGTTAAGAGCTTTGATATAACGTTCCTTGGCCTCGTCTTGGGACAATCCTTCTAGTTCCTTCCAAGAGTCCCTAAAAATGAAGAGATTGGGGACTTCAAAAGCAATCTGGCTCGAACTTTGATAATACTAAACTCTAGTTGGTTAAAAGTTTGAAACCAAAACCTATTGTGAGCTTGAACATGGTGGCACAGTCGAAGAAGTGACGCAAGTATACATCACTGATCATAAATCACACTTCAGCGGAACTTGAGGCAATCGCATGCTTCTCTCCCAACTTCCGTTCCATTTACACTTTCTCCCTTTAATGGCACCATACTCGAAGTAACCTTCGGCCGTCTGAACATGCCCTCCCCTCAATTCAACGAAAAGATAAGTTCAAACGTTGATCAAAAAATCATGACGTTTCACACCACCCCATTCTGATGCAACACACCACGCGGCAATGACTAGCCTGTCCGTGAAAATGAGTGAGAAGAGGAATTCCCCGTTTGAATGTCGAAGATGATAGGAATTGATAAACTGTACTAACCACTTTTTTCTCTCGACGATCGAGAAGATTCCCGGTCGGTCGGTGTTCACATTTCCGATTGTGGCTTGTTTGAAGAGAGAGTAGAAAGTGAGCTTCTGGTCGTTGGAAGTGCTCACTGGCCCTGAAAAAAGATGATTCGGGTACATGTTACATGTCAGACTACACAGAAACCAATTTTATCGGACTACAGATTAGTTTTTCGATAAATGTAGTCATGTAGCCACTTACCTTGCTTCGGAAGTTTTTGAATGATTTCGACAGCAGCCTCAAACTTCTCCTGGAGCGACATCTCACTAGAATTCAGACGATATTTAAAAAAGAAGACAGAAAGGATGTTCGAGAAAGAAAAAGATAAGAAAAATGCATTCTTTTAGTGGAATATTGACGTTTTCAGAACCACATGTCTACTTTCTAAACATTTTCCGTCTTGGAAGTGCGTGATCTAAATGGTTGGTACAAACGGCGAAATCTCAGCGAACAATGCCGTCTGGCGTTTTCGTATTCGGCCCGAGCGGATTTACAAGGACAGGCTGGCTGCTGCTGTTGACCTAAATCCTTTCGGGATATATACACGATCTATTCAACTTCTTGTCTCCGTAAATGGGAAAACGTCATCTTTTATCATGGCCGAAGAGGGCATCCGAACGAATTTATTGTCCGGAAAACTGCGGACGAGATATAAGGTGACATCCAATTGAATCTAGCCTACGCGTTTCAATTAGATCGGAGAAGGAAATGGGACTTGGAACTCGTTTTGAAATTCGAACGAATCAAACGAAACGTTCTGTACAAAACAAAGAATTGTGTTTTGTATAAAAAATGCCAAAACAATCGAAAACATGTACAACACTTGATATCAACAGACAAAATTGAGTCGACGGTACGTTGTTAGCAACACCTAACAGACATTGCAACCTCCCCTACCCTACAACGTGTTCGTGTCTGATAAGGAAGACAATCCGTGTTGCAGGCAGCAGCAAACATTAGTGGCATTGCGTGTCTTCTCGATAACCTTTGATATTTATTTCTGGCATTTCTCTGATGTACATTATAGTTATTTTCCTTCTCACCACGTGACCAGTCTTTTTTGTTAAATTTTGAACAACTAACGATTAGACCACAAGTCAGAGATCTGTTGTGTATTTCTTTTTCTTGATGTTGTCCCAGAAAATGCCGTTGAAATCTTTATTTTTTTCTAATTTTCTCAGTGTTATTTATCCAAAACACGATGTTGGAGTCAACTAAAAGAGTATTATTTAGACAACCGGCTAGAAGTTTTATGCTGAACGTCGTTTTCAGATAAGAATTGAAAAATTGACTTTTAGGCTTTCACAGACAGTTTTTGACCAAACATCTCTGTATATTAATGTCCTGTCTAGCATATTTAAAGTCTCATGCAACAGTATTTATGAATTCGTGTTGTGGCGCCTAAACTTCTACCATTAGTTGTTTTCACCCTGTTTTTACCTACATTCTGGCCGTAAATATTTCAAAACACTGATCCGAGTGCAAGCGAGACAGACCACAATTGCAATCTGAATCTGAATCTGCGTCCGAAGTCCTCATTGTTTTGGATTTCTTCAAAGATCACCGTCCACGCGATGAAATCAAACGATGAGAACTGACGTAGAGGTATCCACCCACTTATCGCGTCGCAGTGCGTTTTTCGTTTTTTTTTCGCCCGGAGGGAAAAATGTCTTTTGGTTTTCTTCTCCTCTTCCTCGTCTATCTGTTTGTCGGGATAGAGGGCGCGAAAGAAAAAGAGTGGGGCGAAGAGTGTAGTGAGGCTCACGTTGGAACGGCATGGAAATGCTGAGAGAAGGCATACACTGCACACTAAACGCAGGCACGTAGCTGGCCCAGCGGCCCTCGAATGCATTGATCTGCAGTTTTCTGTCTCCGACGCCGGCGGACGTGGAGGAAAGGCAAGAAAACCTTCTTCTTCTTTTCCTTCTCCCCCGCTCCTCGCTTGCCCGCTTCTTCTTCCGTGCGCCTCTCTTATTTTGATGCCACTCCGATGCACAACAAGTCGATTGATGCAGTAGCAAACTCTTATTTCATCATTGCCCCTTTCTGTCCCACTTTCTCTTCTTGTTACGTCGTTCTGCCTTTTTCATCTTCAGTGATAGCCTTTGACCAGCAAGTCACACCCACATTGATGCAAAGGGGAGTAACATTGACCGTGCACAACTTATTTATTATCAGTTCTTTTTGTTTGCACTTTTTGCCTCGACAGATACTTTGTACCTTCTCTGCGAACAATCTATTCACCGCTTGGCTTGTCGGCCAACCACGTTGCTGGCCGATGATCTTTGAGACACTCGGTTTTCTTCATTTTATCCACGTTTTCCTGCAAATTTCGGTTTTCCGTCCGCAAAACGTGCTTTCGGAGGTCTTTTATTTCATTTTCACTTCAAAAATTGTCTAATTTTTGATTGTTTACATCTTTTTTGCCAAGAACTTTCCGAGCTCTTACAATGTTCGTTTGCGCGGAGAGTGTAGAACATTAGGGGGCACAGTCCGCAGCGTGTCGTGACCTCGGGCGCATGCACACCGCCGTTCGCACAAATCCAGACGGCATTCTCTGCCAATCTATCCATTCTCTCCGTGCTCGTTTTGTCACTATGTTACTATCGATTTTCCGTGTTCCATCTCATTTATTCCACTTTTGCAGACGAGATGATTGGAAGACTCAGCCAGCCACTGCTCAACACTTCGCAGAAGTTCATGGCCCCGGCCTCCAGAACTCTGATGCTTCACGAGCACCACGGAATGAAAATTCTGCAAAACTACGACATCAAGGTGCCGCCATTCGGAGTCGCCAAGGACGCCGACACCGCTCTCAACGAGGCCAAGAAAATCGGAGGAAAGGACTACGTCGTGAAGGCTCAAGTGCTTGCGGGAGGACGTGGAAAGGGACGATTCTCGTCGGGACTTCAAGGAGGAGTGCAGATTGTGTTTACGTGCGTTGTGTTTGCAATTCGCAAGTCAATCAACTAATTGAACCTTTTCAGACCAGAAGAGGTGCAGCAGAAGGCCGGCCTCATGATCGGAGCTCACTTAATCACCAAGCAGACTGACCAGCGCGGAAAGAAGTGCGAGGAGGTAAGATCGGCACTGAAAATGAATCGAATGAGAGAAGGAGCGAGGGCTTTCACGTGGACTTAAAACGCATTCCCTCACATTCACGTGAATGCCGCGTGTCTGACTACGTTCGGGCTGCTTTCTATATAGACCAATTCTACCAATGATTAGAGATGTTGCAATGATTTCTGAAGATTCCGACAATGACAAATGGAACCCTTACAGGTCATGGTGTGCAAGCGCCTGTTCACCCGTCGCGAGTACTATTTCTCGATCACCCTCGACAGAAACACCAACGGACCAATCGTGATCGCCTCTTCCCAAGGAGGAGTGAACATAGAAGAGGTCGCCGCCACCAATCCGGACGCCATCGTCAAGTTGCCAATCGATATCAACGTCGGAATCACCCCAGCTATCGCCCACGATATTGCAGTCAAGATGGGATTCTCGGTGCGGAAGCGATCTCTATGATTGTCTTAAGATGGTTTTGTTTTCAGAAGGATTGTGAGGAGCAAGCCTCTCATATTATTGAGAAGCTTTACAAGGTGTTCAGAGGATCCGACGCCACGCTGGTCGAGATCAACCCGATGGCCGAGGATGTGAACGGAGACGTCTATTGCATGGACTGCAAACTTCTCCTCGACTCGAACGCCGAGTTCCGTCAGCACAATCTCTTTGATCTCAAGGACAAGAAGCAGGAGGATGAGCTCGAGGTAAGAGGGGCTAATGAAACCGCCTGGAACTCCCTGCGGAGCCATAAAACCAAAAGATGCAGAAAGAAGATGAGAGTGTACGGAAGCGGAAGTAATTTGTGAGAAAGGAATACATTATTGCGAAATCTTGGAGAACAAATAACCAAATCATCCTTTCAGATCCGTGCTGCCGCTGCCAACCTCAACTACATCCGCCTTGACGGAACCATCGGATGCATGGTGAACGGAGCCGGACTTGCCATGGCTACCATGGATATCATCAAGCTTCACGGTGGAGAGCCAGCCAACTTCCTCGACGTCGGAGGTGGTGCCACTGTCGAACAGGTCACGGAGGCCTTCAAGATCATCACCGCCGACAAGGACAAGGTTTCGGCGATTCTCGTGAACATCTTCGGAGGAATCATGAGATGCGACGTTATTGCTCAAGGAATCATCAAGGCTGCCAAGGAATTGAACCTTAAAATCCCGATCGTCGTCAGATTGCAAGGTTCGTATGAGAAGGGTTTGGGACGGCAGCCGTTCAGAGAAAATTTACGATGTTGATGCGAAACGTGCTGTTCTAAAAGGACGAATGTTGGGAACAAGGAAACGTTGTCGAAATGATTACATTGAGACGAGAAGATCAGATTTTGATGTTTGATTCTTTTCAGGAACGAAGGTCGAGGACGCGAAGGCGCTCATCGCCACGTCTCAGCTCAGAATCCTGCCGTGCGACAACCTCGACGAGGCCGCCAAGATGGTCGTCAAGCTTTCGAACATTGTGGATCTTGCTCGCGCGACCAACGTTGATGTCAAATTTGAGCTTTCCATCTAAAATTCTTGTACCACATCATCTAACTAACTGTCTTATCACTTTAAATATTTTGCATCATTGTCTCTACCCAATTTGTGTTGAGCTTTGTTATTTTAGTCCCCCACAACACTATTTTTCGAGGAATAATTTTGTTCCCATGTCTAGTCGTTGTCAATCTGAAAAAGCTTATACATATAATCTCGAGCAAAATAGTTTTCAATGTGCTAACGAGTATTTTAATAGTTGTTCGTTTTCAAATCTTGTATCCGTTTCAAAAAACTAACTTTCCCCGCTTTGAAAGATATTATTCGGAAAGAATACCACAATCCCAGTTTTCCATTGATTTCTGTAACTGAAGTAATGAAAGTCGTGTCTTTTTCAATCATTCCCAGAAAAACAGTGAGTGGACACTCATGAAAAGTATTTGGTCGCATGACGATGAAAAGAATCACCTATTCCACGTGGTTGTAAAGCGACGATGATGAAAGGAATCTGGTCGGTGTGTCGCCGAGTCGGGACCGTAAAAGTTTAGTGCGCAATCAAAGTCGCACCCCCAAGTCTGGTCTCTCATCCATGAATTCGTTTGCTGAAGAGATTACTAGAACAGAAGCTGGTTACAGTATCAGGAGTGAGGATGGTGAGGTTCCGACAAGACGAGTTCCGGCAGAAATGATATGGAAGCACTTTGCGAATGGACCTTACCGGGAAAGGAACGTGACTTCGAGAAAATGAAAAGTCGCAGCCAAAAAAAAGATGGATTTTTCAGATTTTTTACTCGGAAATAGCCTTTTCAAGCCGGAAACCGTATTTTGATTATCAAAACTACAAAAAAGTCCCTATACTAAAGAAAAATTGTCTCAAAAACCGTTTTCCTTTGCCGAGCCCTCCGGGCCGGGCTGGTGGTCAGTCCTACATCCCCTGCTCGGCCCGGTCTGCAACATGTCTGAAAGTTGTTTTTCTCAAGATTTATTCCAAGTTTTCCAAACTCAAAGCACTCTAAAATAAAAATTTTGTTCCTGTGTGCGTTTTGTCATCTTTTCTAGTCGAATTTTACAATTCACGTCAGGAACCAAGTTCTTATGACCGCAAAAAATTTTCTAATCGAATGATAAACTAATCTGTACAGTTTTTATGCCGCACATTTGAATGTGAATGCATGTCTCGTACCAAGAAGTGTCTCTAGACCTCTCTTATCTAAGCCATAAGTGTAAAAAAAAGCGTTGAAAAGCGGCTGATACCGAACGGTTTATGGCATTGTCTCTCTTTTCCCATCATACGATGGGCCCCGATGTGGGCATCACATTTCGATGTCTGACTCATTTTTTGTAGTCCTCGTTCTGTTCTTCCTGTTTCATGTTCTCTTTGATCATTTCAATGAAATGAAGACGTTGAAATCAAACGTGCAACTGGCGCGCGACGAGGACACAAAAATTAAAGTTAATTACCTTCGCTGAAAGACTTCGTCGGCGTCCTTGTTTCGTGTGTCTCCGGTCGCCCTCGCGACCAATTTCCCGTTTATTTTATGGTTGGATCTCGTCTAGAGCCATGTGATAACAACGCCGCCGACCCCGTCTTAACAGTGCCTATTCAGTTTTGATGACTGTCGACAGCCGTAAAAAGGTGCAGCCCAACGAGGACGGTGAAGACGTCGCCAAACAAGACCCGCCCCTCGATACCTCATTCGTGTTGTGTCCGACCGCGGTGGACAGTCGTCTCCAAGTTCTTTCTGCGAATATGCGTCTCCAGGTCCAAATCGGAACTGAGTGTATCGTTGTGCCGTGCAAGCCCGAAGATACCGTTCATGCGGTGAGTCCCCTTGCAGATCCTTTAGCAGCAAAGATCTCTTGCTCAGGTGGCTAAGAGATCGGTCGAAAAGTTGCGAAGACTTCGTCCGAAGCTTCCATTAGCCAATGAGTACTACGAAGTCCGTCGTACCGTTGGAAACTCGCTTCTGGATCCGGAGGATCTTGTCGCCGATGTTCTCAAGGACAGTGATTTCATCATCGTTGGTGTGTCTTCTGACTGTTTTTATGGCACCTGGCAGTTCAAACTGTATTTCAGCCGCCAACATCGAAGAGACTGAAGAAGCGAAGGAGGCCAAGAAGCAAGAGGAGATCGATAATGCTAAGGCCGAGCTTGAGAAGCTCGATAACCGCAAGAGAAAGGTCTCTTTCGTGTTCGACACTCTGGCTCCAATGATCTTGGCTGCTCCGAGCAAGCTTCTCATCTTGGACGGCAACAGCTTGCTCCCGGAGGATCTTGTGAAATGCGAGAAAGGGGAATGTGCGATTCAACTGTCAATGGAAGCCGAAGACCGTATCAAGAAAGGAAGACTGTTCCTGGAGAAGATTGCCTCTGAACATCGAGGTGTGTAATAGATAGTTGATCATAAAATGCGCTCAGTTTCAGCCGTTTATGGAGTGACCACCGGGTTCGGAACATTCTCGAATGTTCTCATCCCACCTGAGAAACTGAAGCAACTTCAACTCAACCTGATCCGTTCCCATGCAACCGGATACGGAGAACCTCTCGCTCCGAACCGCGCGCGTATGCTTTTGGCTCTTCGCATCAACATTCTTGCGAAGGGATACAGTGGAATTTCGTTGGGAAACATCAAAAAAATGATTGCTGCTTTCAATGGTACACTGATTCAATGGAACAATTGTGTGAATGCCACTTTTCAGCGTTTTGTGTGTCGTTTGTTCCTCAGCAAGGAACCGTCGGTTGCTCTGGAGATCTGTGTCCACTGGCTCATTTAGCTTTGGGACTTCTTGGAGAAGGGAAAATGTGGTCTCCATCCACTGGATGGCAACCAGCTGATCTTGTTCTCCGGAAAAACAACCTTGAGCCTCTTGAGTTGGGCCCAAAGGAGGGTCTTGCGCTCATCAATGGAACGCAGATGGTCACTGCTCTCGGAGCTTACAGTAGGCTTCAGTAGATCCTTCTTTATGTAATAAAAGATTTCAGCTCTGGAAAGAGCACACAACATTGCTCGTCAAGCGGACGTAATTGCCGCTCTGTCCCTGGATGTTCTAAAAGGAACAACAAGGGCATACGACCCTGATATACACAGAATCCGTCCGCATCCAGGACAGAACTTGTCTGCTCTCCGTCTCCGTGCTTTGTTGCACTCCGAAGCGAATCCATCTCAAATCGCCGGTTCTTAAATACCTTTCTCTTTCAGCTCATTCGGGGTGTTTTCAGAGTCGCACCGTAACTGCAGAAAGGTGCAAGATGCGTACACCCTGAGATGTGTTCCGCAAGTTCACGGTGTCGTGCATGACACCATTGAGTTCGTCCGTGCGATCATTACCACTGAGATGAACTCGGCCACCGACAACCCGTTGGTGTTCGCTGACCGCGAGGAGATTATCAGCGGAGGAAACTTTCACGGAGAGTATCCGGCTAAGGCCCTCGATTTTCTGGCCATCGCCGTCGCTGAGTTGGCTCAGATGAGCGAGCGCCGTCTCGAGAGACTGGTCAACAAGGAACTCAGTGGACTTCCGACTTTCCTGACTCCGGACGGAGGACTCAACTCTGGTTTCATGACCGTTCAGCTCTGCGCTGCTAGTCTGGGTCAGTCCACTCTATAATATGACCACCTATGATTTTATTCAGTGTCCGAGAACAAAGTTCTGTGCCATCCATCGTCGGTCGACAGCATTCCGACCAGCTGCAACCAGGTGTAAAACTATAAATTTCTATTAATGTACCGGAATATTGCAGGAGGATCACGTGAGCATGGGTGGATTTGCTGCTCGCAAGGCTCTTACCGTGGTTGAGCACGTTGAAGCCGTTCTCGCAATGGAACTCTTGGCGGCTTGCCAGGGAATCGAGTTCCTTAAGCCTCTTATGTCGACCGCTCCACTCCACAAAGTGTACCAGCTCGTGCGCACCGTTGCTCCGTTGGTTTTGTAGATTCTGTCAATGCGGCAAGCAATACTTTCAGACCACTTAACGAAGACCGTTACATGAAGCCCGAGATCGATGCCGTCCTCGAAATGATCCGCGATAATCGTATCTGGGAGACTGTTCTTCCGCATTTGGAGACTCTGGAGGCTATGGAGGAACTGGACCCGGACGCGCTTCGTCAATTCACCAAGACTCCAACCGGAATTGTGCAGGACCGCTCCATCATCGCCTTCACCGACGATGAGGAAAGCGAGGAAAGTGAGGAGTAATTGCAATTGGATATTGTGTTCTTGAGTTTTGCTTATACTGTCTTGCATTTATTTTCATTTGTAACCTTCATTTATATACTTTCATAATCTTCAATTTACTCTGAATAAACTATCTAACCAAGAATCTTATTGGACCATGGTTAGCTGGTGCGGATGACGCATTTGCATTTGGGATGGATTGAAGAACATTGGCACGGGGACAAACATCGGTGTTCCTTGTGAAAATCCTTGTGGATTTCCGGCCGGTAAAGCAAAATTGGGGTATATGGGAGCTACAGAAGCGTACGCACTGTGACTGGCCGCAGTGTACGGAAAAACACTGCTCGGATATGAGACTATGGGCTGGATAGTGCTAACACTGGACCGTTCGGATGGGGAAGAAGCTCCGGAAATGCTTTCCCGGGAAAGAAGGAACATTCGGTCAGTTGCAACCGATCTGTTTTCATAGCAACATGGGAATATTGCACGTCTGGAACAGATATATTTTCGGAACAGTTTCAATCTTTTATAGTACCTGAGTGCTGGGAGAGTCAAGTACATAAAAATTACTGCAATGGCAGGGAAGAGAATTGAAAACACAACGTCCTTGTTGTGAAATGCGTTGTATTTGTTGGAATCAGATTGAGAGGCTGCAAAGGAAAGTCAGTGGTCAGTGTTTCGATCGTTCGGAAAACGTACTCAAGCAAATTTCCGTCAGGGAACTGGCCATGGTTAGTATCAGACAGGGTATGTTCCACAACATTCTCGATTTTGCGTAGCGAATCTCATCATATTCGGATAATTCGCTGGTTTTACAACAGCATGCTGCTATTAAAAGCTACAATCAAGAGTAAAAAGTGGAACGGTGAGTTTCTCTTGCATACCGCGGCTATGCAAAGGGGTGCTACTATAAGAATCATCACGAGGGAAGCAAAACCGAGAAATGTGACTTGTCGGTAGAAAGCCGATTGAATAAGGGTCAAGATAAACACAGCCAGATAGGGATACCTATAATTTTCAGAATTGGATTTCGCAACTCGACCCAATTTACCTTTTGAATGCCGTCGACACTTTTTTCTTGCTGACTGCAACTTTCACAGTTTGCATCGAGTAGATCACCATTCCGTATTCGAAATTGAACAAGAAACTACTGTAGCAAAAAGAAACGACCGAGTCGTGAATCCAGCTTCTAAAAGGCAAAAGCGTCCGTCAAAGAGAGAGATTCTGAGTTCTTCAACTAACATGTAGGTGTAGGAGGATGTGTAAAAGTAGATGGAGATGAAGAAAGCCGCTTCCACAGTCATTTTCACTATGAACGGAGCAAAGATTGTGGCTAGGTACCAGAAAATGAAATCTTTTCTGGTGTTGGGAATAGAGCAGAGGAACATGAGGCACAAGTAGATTTCAGCTGCCAGGAGGAACGCCGAAAATGGACTTCCTAAAAACTTACTGCACTTAGATATCTTGTGAGTGGTCCTACCTGAGGCAAATGCTTCGACCAGACTAGATAGCACATTCTGGTCCTTCACAGTGTAGCAAGTGCCGTTCTTCTCACAAATCATCATTGCCGCCGGAAGCCAAAGCACGAATGGAAGGTCAGCTTTGAGCGGGATCTGGCGGCAACGCGTTCATGATTATTCCGTTGCCTGGATACAGCATAGCGCTCTAATTATGGTGCATGCGCGCGGAAAACTGCTGCACCTGCTGTGTTTATCACATTTGACACTCTAACTTTCTGCTCTGTTGCACATGCGTCAGCGAACACCGTTTTCACACGAATTCATCGAAGACGTCAGTAAAGAAAGTCTGGGGAAGGGCAAGGTTATGCTAAGAATAGGTTTATTCCCGAAGAAATCGTTGATTACAAAGTTCGAAAAGGGCAAAAGAGTAAACGGAGGCGTTGAAAAAGAGATGGGTGGGAATTTTGAGATATTTAAGAGAGAGAGAGCGTTTTGCTGATGCTCAATTTCAGACTGGCGGGAGGTTCTTTCCATCGGTCGGGCAGGCGGTCTTCGAGTAGTAGTCGTACTGGCGGCCGTCGGTTCTGCAGAAAGCTCTGGCCATCAGATTGGAGACCGACTTCTTGAAGCGGCTGAAAATACACACATTTTACATGTATTCAGGAATTGTCACTCAGAGAAGAATAATAAAAAACAAGAGTTCTTCTCACCTCCACATAGATTCCTCGACATTGACGCCGATTGGTGGGTAGATGTCGTGTTGCGGTTCCGGGGCGATGAAGTGAGTCGGGAGTCCAGTGATATTATCGGTCATAGTTGGAGAGATCTGGTCGACTTGCGAACAGAATGAGCTAGTCGCTCGAAAGGACGAGGAAGGCGGTTCAACATCTGCCTATCTTTTTTTCGCACCGTTTTTGGGTTCGAACGAAACACGTGCAGCCCCAGTTTTTCATCGTGTGAGAGTGGCAGCTCTTGCGAACCTGTCATTGGAAGGATGTAGAGCGGAGCCAGCTTCAGTAGCTCCAAAACTAAAGTTTTTGGGTTCCAAGGGAACAAGCGCACCTCCAGTTTTTCACTGTGTGAGGGTAACAAGCTTTGCAAACCTGTCCGAAAGTAAAATGGTGTGAAAACAGGTTTAGCAGCTTCAAAACTGAAAAACTAGTGAACTTGAAGATATTTGGGGAAAGGTGGGGGGATGGGAGAAGAGCAAGAAGAAGGGATCAGTGAAGTTAAAAAGATTGGGGACATGGAACTTGTGTGCACTTTTGCCCTCATGTCTATTGTTTAGTTGATCAGACTCTGATTGATCACATCAGTTCGGGAGACCAGGAATAATCACACTTCTTTCTTTCCTTCTGCGGTCTTCTTCCATTCGGGGTCACTCTCCCTCTCTTCACAATGATTCGTTTTCCTTTTTTCTTCTCTCTTCAAACAACATTTGGGCGTTGTCCATCTCTACCTATTCTTTTGCGATCACTCTATTTCTTTTATCGATTTGTTTTCAGAGATGGGTAACGCCATTTACACGGACCAGATCGTGTGCCACGATACCATGGAAACTTGTGAGTTGAAATATTTGAGAACTTGTCAGTAATTGAATAAACTGCTTAAAGGTCGTTCTCATTGTGACAAATCAGAGTGTGTTTTCATGGAGAACTGCAATAATATGGGAAAGAAGTTTGTATGCATTCCGTTCGATCCGAGATTTATTATGTTAGTTCCAAGAAAAACAATTTCTGACAAATTAGATTCTAATTACAGGTGGGTCATGATCATTTCGTTTGTGATAGTTCTGCTCACTTGCTCATCTCTCGTTGCCTGCTACATCTGCCGAGCTGTCCGGAAATCGTATCAAATGCAAGTTCAGTACAATTCGAATAGAGAGGTTCGAAAGCAAAACGTCGTTATTCTAAATATATGTGGGTTTTTTTGCAGGTTGTGTTCCAAAACCCGGGAAGAGTGCATCATGTGCATTACGATTCGCCGAGACGACAGGATCACGGACAACAACGTTACTGAACGCGTGTCTAACTTTTTTTGAACAAAAGTCTACTTGTATTCATACATTTATCATAAAGCTTGTCTATCATAAGACAATTTGACGAGTTAGGTTTTCTCGAAAGAAAATGGCGATGATCACATTGAAGACCCGATCAGTAGAAACGGATGAAGTTGTTGCGGAAGCAGAAGGCAAGAACACGGTCGACAGACTCCATTCGGTTGACTACGTCTTTCAGGTTGGCCGTCATTGCCTGAAATATAACAACAATCAATCAGCAAAGCGCAAAAATGAGTATTTTCCCATAGCACTCAATCTCTTAAAAATGCTTACTGCAAACTCCTCCTTGGTTGTTGCGACCGGAAAATCATAGTTGATGACCCGTTGTCCCGCGCCAAAAGCCGTGTCGTACACTTCAAGAATGTAGTCGTAGTCGGACATGCACTCCATCTCAATCTGTAATTAGTTATCATTGAAGAGAATTCCCAGTTTTAGTTTTAAACTCACGATTGGGCTGAGCAAGCGGGTGAGAGCTCGGAAACGGTCGACGAGGCTGTTGTACTCGGAGAGCTCCTCGGGATGGGTGATCAGATTGAGTGCGCCAGTCAGCTCGTCCAACTGAGCGGTCATCTGCATTGTGAAACAGTGGTCGGGAAAAGGGGAAAAGGAAACCGATGCGCACAACGTGGTTGTAAAACTTTAAGAGGACAATTAGTAAGTGTATTGCCCTTTGAAAGGCAAGCAAAAGAGGAAAACCAATGCATATTCGTTCTTTTTCCAAGGGGAGAGGCTACAAATTGGACTGAATGCCGGAAACTAAAAAATGAGAGAAGAGAGGCGACATTGTCAGTGTTTTACGAATGAATCAGCTTTTCCGGCTGCTTTTTTTTCACTAATTTCACAACTCAAAACAAAATGAGTCACGACCACTGCTTCTGTCCAGGAAGGGTTAAATCAGAAGGCAGCACTTGTATTAGAAGAAAAGCAAAAAACATTATCAGCTGTCCCTCGCAACGCACTCGACAAAAAAGAGCAGTCGATGGGAAAATGAGAAGGAGAAGGTTGATACGCAGAGCGGACACTGAGAAATTGCCACCTTGTGATGTGGCGAAGCGGAAAAAAGAGAAAAGGAAAACAAACGGACAGAGATTCTGATTAGAACGACAGCTGAAAAACAGGAATCACAAACCATTCCGTTCAGTTTATGAAAACTTCTCAATTTGTTTAGTTTCACATATATACAGAGCGGTTTTGCTGGTGAAGTGTAACTTAGACAACCAGAATCTAATAGATCGGAATTATTAATGATAAATATTGGGTTACGCACTGCAAATAAGCCAAATTTTCGGCGATGCATATAAATTTATTCTCGACGAGTTACTTGTTAAAAAAAAGAATAAGAAATGCTTAAAGAGGGAGGAGTCCGGCAGCGACGCACTTGAAGAGGAATCCGTCAATGGCGTAAAGGTCTTCAATCAGTTTTTTACAGCCCTGAACTATATCCTGAACAAAATAGTCGATAAAAAGAGAAAAATGAAAAAGAATGCACCTCCATGTGCTGCAGAGTGTAGGATTTTTTGAATTTGTACTGCACAAAAGTTCCATGTTTCCATACGGAAATGAAGCAGTCCACCAGATGCTCGTACTCTTGGACCTCGTCTCTGTTTATCTAAAAAGCGTGAAACTCATCTTTCAATTTCAATAAGAGATTTCTATTAAAACCAGACTTGCAACGGGACGGGTCGTGTGAAATTCATGCAAAATTCTCCAGCCCTGCCCGACAGGCTTAAACTTGATCCAAAATTTTGAAAGGATTACAAAACTTTGTTCACCCATTTTTTTAAACTTTAGCGCACTTTTAGAGACTTTCTCAAGAAATTCGTTCAAAATGAAACATCGGGGCCCGAAGTCTTGAAATGCTGCTCAAAACTCACCAACTGGGCCATCCGTGCCAAGTAGATCTTGTACAAATCGACCATGTCTTGTGCCTGTTGTCGAGATTGGTGGAGATTCAAACTTTCGCAACAGATTTCGCGGAACATTTCTGCTCGGAACGGAACGGAAGTGAAAATGACGCTTTGAAGCGGTAGCGCATTGGGATGAGCCATCACTCTTTTGTTCCGCACTTCTTTTCTTTTTTAATGATGAATCACATGCAAACGATGATGTGTATTGCTTTTATTAACCGAAAACAAAAACGTTACAGAAGTGTACAACCGTTTTCCAAAAACAAAAAGAGAAATGGGGACAGGAATGTGAATTCCTCAGTTATTTGGAGAGAATTCGGCGAGAAGATGATGGAGCGAAGTGTTGATTTCTTGGAGTTTGCAGGTGTAGCGCTGAAAAGTAATCAATCATATGTTCTTAGAAATCCCAAATGAGCAGGACTACTCACCACAAAGTTGCTCTGTCCGCGAACGGCCATGTAGGTCCCCTTGCGACGAAGAGTCTCCGACTTTTCCTTGAGATCCTTCGATGTCTCGGTAGTGATCTGAAAAGACCTATGGTCTTCTGATAGGGAAGGAATGCAAGTACCTTTGACTGAACTTCGTTGACCAGCTTGTGGAAGATGTTGCGAGTTTCGATAAATTTTTCCGCGTTCAGCTGTAGTAACAGTTACTAGGAAAGTAGAAAGTGCGGCGATGAAACTTACGATGTGGTTCTTTCGACGCAGATCCATCGCTTCTTCAATCACCGGGTGCACTTTCATTGCCGGAAATCTGGAAAAAACGGAGTCAATTGAAGAGCTCACAGAAATTACAATGTTTGAGATTGCTAAAGAGCACTTAGAGAAAAAACAAAAAGCTGGCAGAGTCTGCATAACAAGGAAAGGCATAAATGCTGGTGAAATTCAAAGTGAGAGGTCTGGCGGGTTGCCGTAGAAATGGCGCACATTGCGGTGTAGTCTCTCGAATTGCCAATCTCGCCGGACCGAATAAAGTTTCTTGACAAAGGAAGTGTGAAAAACAAATCCTAAACTTATTCTCCAACAAAAAACACGAGAGACAGTCGTTGTTGTTCCGCTCATTCCACATATGGGCGTGCAAATCCAACTTTCTGTTTCACGGTTTCACGTAAACAACAGATATCGTCGTGCACATGGTCAACAACCTAATTTGTAAAACCTATTACGAAGGCTATTCAAGGTACGGTCGCGTGATAGAGCAGAAGGACGCAGGATACTCAATGAATGAAATTTGAGTTGAGTTGACCTACTGATAAAATTTCACTATCATTTTGACATACTTATTTGTGAGAGAGGGGAAACGAGTGAGCAATAATAAAGTAGTAAATTCTGCTCAGAAAAGGAGATAACTTATTCTATTCTTTTCCAAAACGCCACAAAAGACACGGAATAGAGTCAGAGACTGCACTTTTTGACATTGGGAGTTCTGCGAATGCACGTGTGCGTGCAAAACACGGCGTCCAAAATCCAATCTCCAGTGGAGCAAGCTCCTAGAAGAGATATGTAGATTTATGAAGCTATAATAACAGTTTCGAGAAAGAGATTTGATTACAAAACTCATGCCGTTTGAGCCCTAATGTCCTTTATGGAATGATCGAAGGAAAGGATGTGAATTAGCTCTCAGTCCCAGGCCCTGAGTGCACTTTATGTCTTTTTGAAAGTACTTTATAACGACAATGGGAACAGTACAGTATCCAGCCGCAACGGCACCGCTGTTCCGAGAGGGATGGAATGAAATTATGTGAGTTTGAGCCCAGGTTCATTATGTTACAGTTAGCAAGAAGATGGTATCAATGTGTTAAACACTTCAAAAACAGAGATCTATCCAATTGTACAGATGAGAAACGTTCAGGCATTGAATTTCCAGCAGTGGAACCATTTGTTCTTCGCCTTCTTCTCGAGCTGACTCTTCTTTGTCTTCTTGATGTTGTTTTCGAACACGAGCATGTTCAGGACCTTCATCTCTTCCGACTTTTCCAGAATCACGATCTCTCCCGCATCCGCCAGAGCCTCATCCTTCTGAACGTCAATCTTCTTAGCGAGCACCTCCGGAGCCTCCAAGATTCTGATCATTCCCTCCACAATGTCCTCCAACTCAATCTGCTCCTTCTGCTCTTTTTCACGAAGAAGGTCCACAACTTCAATCGCCTTGATAATTTCCTCCACAATTCCCTTCAACTCCTCCATCATCTCCGCTTCTTCCTTCTCTTTCTTCAGCCGCTCTTCCTCTTTTCGGATCGAGTGTTCCATGAAGTTCTTGACCGGCATGATCGCGTTCAGAACATCTGTCATTCGAGTGTTAACGATCTAAAAAAAAAGAGTTGAACTTGCGAAAGATCCGCTTGATGTCGCCAACTCACTCTCATAGCTCCGTAGCTCATGGCGCGCATGTAGTCTCCCGGAACAATAACTTTCATGCGGATCTTGCAGGCCTCGAGAAGGTCGGAAATGTATGACCAGTTTTCCATGATCGGATGACTCAGCTAAACGTTTCATCACTGGATCAATAGTAAAAAGGTGAGATTACCTCTTTAGTGATGTAGTCTCTTGCAGCATTGAAGGCCGTCAACTGCTCCTGGAAGATATCATCGAGGTTCTGCAAAATAGATGACGTGTCGTTCGGACGGTGTGACACTCGTTACTCTGATGTCATCCTCGAGCTCCACGGGCATTTCGATGGAGGCTCGGACGAGGCAGCTGTGCGACACGGATCGGGGTTTTCCGATGACCAGACTCATTGGAGAAGCTGAAGGAACAAGTAAGGAAAGAAAAACAAAAATTCGAATATCAGAAGTCAATGAAGTTTCCCTTATTGTTGCCGAGAAGAATCATAAGTCGGCGGTGCCAAACCGTCTCTTTCTTCTTCGTTTCAATAAAATTCTCGGAGACAAAGAGATGGGAACGAGGTGATTGTATGTAAACGCCGTTAACACTCGCGAACGCTCATAAAAATTTTCAGAGGGATAGAAACGGAGAAGCGAGAGGAAACCGTGCAGGAAGGGAGGAAAGTGACTCATAAATCCATTAGACTCCTCCTGGCTAGTCCTATGTTTTTGTTCTTGCTTTCACAATTTGTGTAAATAACGACTGTCTGGAGACTATTTCAACAATTCAGACGCTTTATACAAATTAACAAGTGGAGCACACGGGAAGGGACTCAAGCTCCACAGAGATGACGAACGATGTACGAAGTGAGAGTGAGCAGGTCGTCGTTGAGGTCTTCGAGACGGCTCCCATATTTCTGAAAATCACAAACACATAACTATTACCATAACCCTGCACTGCCCATTTCAAAATTGGCACCTTCGCGCCATCCCATAAAACTCACATCATAGTCCTCGCTGGCGTGGAGGATCATGAACGCTCCGGATCTCTTCATCCCTTTGATCTGCTGCGGAAACTCCTTGTGGACTTGAACTTTCGGATCGATCAGCTGAAAATCTGTTGTTATTCAGAAAGCGAGACTACTAACTTACAAGAATGTTGAGGCCGTCCACCAACTCGTAATGGCGGTCGCGAACTTTTGTGAACATACGAAGACGGATCAATTTTTCATCATAATCGTCTTTTTCGTCATCGTTACCCATTGTGATCCCAAAGAATCTGAAATGTTCGAGTGAAACGCGACGGAAAACGACTCGAGAAAAGGGGATGTTTCGTCAGGCCGTTTCGGCGGCAGGGAAAGGGGCGAGAATGTTTTTGAGACCCACATGACTCGCAAAAGAAAACCGTCTAGAAACTGAAAGTGGTGGCGAAAGTATTGCACAACAAGGGATTGAACCGGTGACCCGGGGATCACTGAGTCAGATCAATATAGTTTTTGTTAATTATATGCGTACCTAGCAATTTTCTGCGGAATAAATTCTGGAAATGAAGTCGTTGAGAAGTTGCACGGCATAATATCATCAATGGATCCGGTCGCACAGGCAATTACAGCCATCAGTGAGGGAACAGGAAGATGTGAGAGTGCAAACAATGTGCTAATAAGTGATTCTTACAGCCTGCGCAAACGGATTGCCCTTTTCACTGATAAGACGTGCACGCATAACACATGTATAAACAATCACGAATACACAGTCCGTTCTGATAATCTGAGTCAGTCCCCCATCATCCCATACCTCTTTTTTTTCTCAGATTGACGAGGAAAGCTGTCGAACATCTGCCCGTTTTCGACGGTCACGAAGATTTTTTGTTTTGAAGAAGAAGAAGAAACCAAACATTTTTTACGTAATGCGCACCGAATTTATTATGAAACCGGGGACACATGGAAATATTATGGTGGCGAAAGATGGTTCTCACAAAGCAATTAGTAGATGGTGATCGGTCTTGGGAGCGGGCCGTCGATCTGGCGAAGAAACTCGCGGCGGCGACGTCTCGACTCGCGCTTGCAACGACGATCCTTGCGGAAGTTGGTCCAGGACTGACGGACCCAAGCGGTGTACGAGAGCGACGACTCCTTCATGTTCTTCTCGATGGTTTCCATCTCTTCGACGCAGTGAAGGAGCTCGTTAGTTCTTCCCTGAAACTGAACGATTAGAGTGATGAAACACTTGGATTTGGAGGAGGGATAAGTCATCGTATCGGTTGTGTATTGATTACCTGCAAGTGATGGAAACGGAGCGTTCCCTTGTCTTTTCCAATCGACTCAACGACGTCACGGATGTCTCTGATCTCGTCCTCAAAGTTGTAGCGACTGCGGTTTGGCTGTCTTTTGACCTACAAAAAAAACAAATAGTGTGGATTTCCCTGAAAACCATCGGATATTACCATTTTGTCCAGCTCGTTGAGCTTCTTCAGAGCTTTCTTTTCCGCCTTGTTGTAGTCCTCCCGCTCCTTGGCGATCATTCGGCCGAGCCAGTCAGGCGAACGGTTACGGCGACGGAAAAAGTCGAGAACGCGAGCGCCGAACATCGTGGCACTGTGGCGCGAGCGGCGGTCGATCGATGTGTCGGTGGGCTAAACGGAATAATTCTTTTTGTGGCTGGCACTCGTCCGTTGGGCGCGGACATACAGCGCGTGATAAGGAGAGCAAAGAGAACACAATAATGGGTCGATTGACGGTGGTTTTTGTTTATGCAGTTTCATTTCGTGTCAAAGAGAGAGAAAGAGAAAGATAGAGAGACGGATGCATAAATGGAAGGGGGAAATGTTAAACAGCAAATTGGAGAAATAAAGATACGGGAAACGAAAAAAAGCGAAATGACCGAGAGGGTTATTGCGAAAAAGCCTGGATTTCCCACTCTATCTGACGGATGATGGCGACGAGGGTGAGGCGACACTCCTGTAAAGTCAAAATAGACAAGTGACCGGGAACAGCTGGGAGTGCAGTTCAGCGCCGCACAAAAGCATGCGATCGATCGAGAGAGCGCGGTACGTATGCCGACGTGGAATAAAAAACCGTTTCTTTCTTCACGAGGCACAAACTGCTAACCTCCAGCTCGTAGTAGTCGTCAATGCGAATGCTCGCGGAGTAGATGATCTGGTGGGCTTCCCGGTGATATTTGAACGCCAACGCCTTCTCGAAAGGGTGGGAGCTTGACATCAGCTCTTGCATGAGGTTGATATATTGGGCACGGATCAGGGAGAATCGCTTCTTCTCCTTCTGGAATGGATGGTCGATGGACGTGGGATGTTAAGAGGGGGGGGGAGGTGTCTTACATTCATGAGTTCGACCTCCGGCCAGGCAGAGTCCTGACGTCTTCCGCCGATGCACGGAAAGAGTCTGGAAACGGCGCTGCCCAGAAAACGAAAAACGGATCTGATCATTTTGACGGCTCTGTTTCAACCTCAAAACTACTTTCATTATCGTACTTGTAACGAGGAAAAAATATTAGAGAAAAGGCTATTCCAGTGGAATCGAATTCCCATGACTGGGGGAAATATCACTTTTTGAAAAAGTCAAATCGAAACCGAAAACAGAAATGCATGCTAATGAATTTCAATTGGCGAGTTGGCCAGCACAGCCAAACACCGATATGTGACAAAGTAAACGAATACTCTCCGCCCACTCATTTTCAACCAGGCTAAATGGGATAGTTGAGAGCCGAAAGGTGATGAATACCGTACGCCCCTAGTTTTTATCCAGGCACAACCCGTTTAATGCGGTTTTCTATGGGTTGAAAATGGCACTTTGCACATTATTCCTGCGGCCGACTATGGGAACCTGCGACAATACAATAACAAATCTGGTGAAATTCGAAACTGGGGGACCAATTTCGGTATAAGATAGACATTCTTAACTTTAGATTTTAGGAAATCGTTTATGCTTTCGTTTTATGAAGACACCATAGGAAGAACCTGTGCTCGAAATTCCCAATTTGCCGCATAAATTGTCTGTTAGTTTTGGGCAAACTCTGGTCGGAAAAATTCGATTCGTTGCTTCCTGTGGTTTTTGAGAGTTTCGGGATGTTTGCCTGTCCGGGTTTTCTGCTATTAGCCTGTTGTCTTCCTAAAACTAGCTGTATACCGTGTTTCAACCACTTCTCTTTTTATGCTTTATTTGTTCCATTGTTGAGATTCAGATTCATTTTTATTGCCTAGTGGCAGAAAGTTCCGACTCTGCTTTCTTGCGCTTTTCTGTACAAATTTTTCGTATCATTTGCACAAAAAGTGACGTTTCTTTGTTGTCCAATTTGCGATAAGCACTGAGTAAGAATTTATAAAGTCGCCTTTCTCTCTGTCGTCATCAGCATTGCCTGTTGTTGCGCAATCCGTCCCAATAATTCAGCAGTATAAAGGAGTCTCAGTAACTAATGCCATCAAACTCTATTATTTTTTCTTAAGAGTTGTGAACTGAGAATATGGATAGGTGAGTGAACACATTTGGGCCATGGATGTTTGCATTTGTTGATAACGAAAACACTGCGCGTTATTGAGAGAGTGTTCTCTCTCTCCCTCTCTTCTAGTCTACCCGTCTCTTCTCGTTCACCCTGTCTTTACTGCGCGCGATAGAATGCTAACTAACAGACGCAACACGACGAGTAAAACTATCATAAATGAACACCACTGATAATTCCAGTCTTCCTTTGCTGCCCACTTCTAACGAGAAGAAATCGTCAAAACTTATCAGTTTTATACGTGTAATTGTGAGTTTTTAAAAAAGTCTTTTAAAGTCAATATAAAAACCAAATAATTTACAGATTAAATGTACAACATGCTTTGAAAAACTACTATTTTTCATTGGAATTATTTTTTCAATCTGCACTGGTCTCTGTCAGCCTTTTATGAGTTATACCTTTGGAGAAGTTGCTCAAGTACTGGTAACAATCACAAATGCAATCAACAACAAAACAATCGGTAATAGAGACAAATATTAATCCAATTTTTATTTGAATATTCAGATCCTGCTGATCTCGAAAAAGCATACGAAGTGTACGAACACGACATGAATCGCGTCTCTCTCCATTTCTTCCTTTGCGGTTCTGCTTACTTTATTTTTGGATCTCTTCAGGTATAAAATCAGATGTTCTCCTTTTTCAACTCATTTTCAGTTCTCCGTCATGAAATTCGTCGGAGACAACACCACTTATCGTGTTCGCAAACAATACATTTCCCGTCTGCTCCGCAAAGACGCCCAGTACTTTGATAGTGTATCAACTGGACATTTGTCGACCGTTCTGAATGAGTATGTGAACAAAACAAGTCGTGAGTTCAAGAATTTCTGAAATTACAGCAATCTGGAACGATTTCGAGAAGTGTTCAACGAAAAAATCGCACTTATCCTTGCCTTTCTCACTGACTTCATTGTTGGCACATCATTGGCGTTCTACACTGACTGGAGGCTAGCATCTTATGGTATCTTTTTCTCGCTTGGAATAGCATTCTCCGGCTTCTTGAACTCTGCCAGCATGATGGCTTCGACTGAAAAACAGAATAAACATTACGCGAATGCCGGTTCGATTGCATCCCAAACTCTCGGAGCCTTCAAAACAGTCTGCTCCCTTAACGGACAGAAACAAGAAATTGCACGGTAGTGTACAAAATCAAAGGCAATAACAAAGTTATTAATTTCAGATACACGGCAGAACTGAAAGAAGGTGAACGACACGGATTCCGTCGAGCTCTCGGTTATGCAATCTCGAGAGGTGTCACTTATTTCTTCTGTAACGCATTGAACACTGCTGTTCTGTACGCTGGTACAAACATGATCTACTCGCATAGACTTGAACCTGCAATTGTTGTTAGGGTATGCTCTCTCGATAGATATGCTTGACGAGGAAAACATAGTAATTTGCAGTTGTTCCATTTCTTAATGTTCGGAGCTTTCTGCCTCAGTGAAGCACTTCCCCACCTCTCCCTTTTATCAAGTGCCATTTCGTCATCAGCTCCAATTGCTGAAATGCTGATAAAAGTAAGTTACAAGAAAAGATAATGAAAACAGTCACGTATTGTAGGACGACAATGTTATTGAAAGAGAGGAAGAAGACAATGGAAGTGAAATGGAGGTTCAGGGAAGGATTCAGTTCGACAATGTCCGATTCTCCTATCCATCTCGTCCGGACTCTGAAGTTCTGAAAGGAATCTCATTCAATGTGAACAATGGCGAATGCATTGCACTAGTTGGTGCAAGTGGAAGCGGAAAAAGTACAGTTGTGCAACTTCTGCTCCATTATTACAACATTGATTCCGGAGACATTCTGATTGATGGAGTGAAATTGAATTCAATAGGTCTCAAGAAACTCCGACGCGTCATTGGAGTGGTTTCCCAAGAACCGGTGCTTTTCAACACGACGATTGAGGAGAATATCAGATTCGGAAATCCAAATGCGACTTTGCCCGAAATTTATGGAGCACTGAGGAAGGCCAACGCATATGATTTCGTATGTGGATTCCCAAAAGGGATAAAAACAGTAGTTGGAGAAAGAGGAGCACAGTTGTCTGGAGGTCAGAAACAGAGAATTGCAATTGCAAGGACGTTGGTACGAAATCCGAAGATCTTACTTTTGGACGAAGCAACGAGCGCCTTGGACAATGAAAGTGAGCATGTTGTACAGAAAGCTCTTGAAAATGTTAGTAAACACTGATCGCGTTACAGTTATCTATAAAATTGATTTAGGCTGCACAAGGGAGGACGACAATTGTGGTCGCACACCGATTGTCTACCATCAGAAATGCTAGCAAGATTATTGTGATGCAAAAAGGAAAAGTATGATTTGGAATATGGTGCCTGAGTGAGTTGAATATTCACTTCTGTTTTTCAGATTGTGGAAGTAGGCAATCACGATGAACTGATAGCGAATCAAGGAGTCTATAACGATTTAGTGCAAGCGCAACTCCTGGATTCGAGCGATTTTGGTGATCTTTCACCTTTAGCCGCCAGACAGCAATCTCAAGAATTGTCACCTCTTCACAGTTACACAATGCAGAGAAGCACTAGCAACGAACCGGGTGTTCATGACAATGAAATGGAACGGATACTTGACGAGCTCAATCAGGAAGGTGCAAAAAAATCGAATCTGAAAGAGATTATCAAAATGTGTCACCCGGATTACTGTATTCTACTGATTGCCGTGTTTGGTAGTGTTATTCAAGGTTTCAGCTATCCCATTTTGGCTCAACTCATTGTCCGCACTTATCAGGTTGGCACATCAGGACTAGAACTCATAATTCCATCGGTTTTTTCAGGCATACTCCATGGAAGGTGAAGACATTCTTACTTACGGTCACTTATGGGCTCTCTCGTACTTGTTTCTGGCTGTCTTCCGGCCAATCACATTGTATTGCCAGTATTACTACTTTGGAAAAGTCGCAGAACGACTATCAACTCGACTTCGCGTAAAATCATTTGAACACCTTCTATCTCTTCCGTGTGCTTTTTACGATGATCCGAAACATTCACCCACCAGACTGGCAACACGGCTCAACACAGATGCTTCGAATGTGAAAGCGGCCGTAGACGACCGTCTAGGATGCGTATTAATGACTTTTGTGGCAATCACTGTCGCCATCACAACCGCATCGATATACTGTTGGAAAATGACGTTGGAGGTAAGAACAACACGACTGTGCCATCATGGACATCATAAAACAGGTTCTCATGTTCTTTCCACTACTTTATATTGCCGAGTACTTTTACGAAACTGCAATCGAAAACGCAGTTCATGAGGATTCAATCGCCTTCGAAAATAGTAACAGAGTGAGTTTTTCAGCGTTCTGCCTGACTAAAAATAGTGGTTTGAAGACTGCAATAGAAGCGATCGAGAATGTGAGAACTGTGAGATCGCTCAATTTGGAAAACAAGATTATGACGATGATCACCGACCATCTACAGAAAAGCCGTAGTTCGTACCTGAAACGGGCCGCAATTCAGGTAACAGATTTGTTTGGGATCTTTCAAATACTATATTTTTATTCAGGGTGTTTCTAATGGTCTCTCGATGAGCTGTTTCTTATTTGTCTATTCAGTCTCTTTCAAGTTTGGAACGTATTTAGCGCTACGCAAAGAGGTAGCTCCGATGGACACGTACTTGGTTCTTATGACATTGTCAATGACATCGAACATGGCTGGTTCAGCCGCCGCATACCTTCCGGATTATAAAAAAGCAGTGCACGCTGCTGGACTGATATTCAAACTGTTCACTTATCCGGCCACTATGCCATTCGACTCGAAAGACGGAAAGATCAACATTGTCTCGGGAGAAATCGAAGGAGAAGATCTTCACTTCCATTACGAACAACGACCAGATCACATGGTTTTGAATGGCGTCAATCTGAAGGTAGAGGCTGGAAAGACGCTTGCTCTGGTTGGACCGAGTGGGTGTGGAAAATCTACAATCATCTCACTTCTGGAACGCTTTTACCATGTCGCTGATGGGGAAATGGTAATCAGATTTGGAATAACTTATCATAAAACGCAATTTTTTTCAGAATATCGACCATGAAAACGTAGAGGACATCAATTTGCACCATCTTCGATCGAGTGTTGCACTGGTGTCACAGGAGCCCACTCTCTTCAACTGCTCCATCCGAGAAAACCTTCTATACGGATTGACCCGCACAGTTCCGCAGTTGGAAGTGGAGAAAGCTCTGCAGACTGCAAACGCATTCCATTTCGTATATCAATTCCCTCAGGTTCGGATCTTGACCTTTCACCTCAGCGAACTCGTTCTTTCAGGGATTGGACACAATTGTTGGTGAGCGTGGGGCACAGCTATCTGGAGGTCAGAAGCAAAGAATCGCAATAGCACGTGCAATCCTCCGAAATCCAAAAATATTGCTACTGGATGAGGCGACAAGTGCTCTGGACACAGACAGTGAAAAGGTTACTGAAAACAAGCTGATCTACATATACATTATACTTTCATCAGGTGGTGCAAAATGCTCTGGATACTGCAAGTGAACGTCTCTCCACTGTCATCGTTGCTCATCGTCTGTCTACCGTTGTCAATGCTGACTCTATTGCAGTGCTGAAAAACGGAAAAGTTGCAGAACAAGGTATTCACAGAAACATAACAAATTGACATTTTTATTTTACAGGAACTCACGAGGAATTGCTCAGATATCGAAATGTCTATTGGCGATTGGTTCAGAAACAAGGAGTTCAAGTACAAGCCGCTTCATACTAGTTTTCACATTTTGTTTTGTTTCCACTCATTGTTCTTGTTGTTTTTTCTCATTTATCCCTAGCCTTTTTATGTTTTCGATGTTGATCCATAAATTAATTGTTATCCTCAAACATATTGAACTGGCACGAATCACTCCTCCTGGAGGTCCCATTTTCGGGCATAGCAAATTAATTATGTCTTTAATATACTGCCGGCCATAATTCACCCAAAACTTCGTAAAAGTTGGTTCAAGAAATCACGGAACCGAGGGGCTTGTCGGAAATTGATGTAAAACGGGTTTTCTTGATTTTTGGAATATTTCTCACTGAAGTCTAATGATTTAGTTTGTACATTTGTGGTACCTTGGGTGACCGAACACTTTTTTGGATACAGCGCCTAGCTTTTGAAATGTTCAAAAAATTGAAGTGATCCTATGGCCGGCAGTGTATAAGGACGGGTGGTTTGGTCAATCGTGACTCCCAGGTCTTGCGAAGACTGGCGGGTTGAGATGGACGCATAGATCGGCTTGTGAGCCGATGCGTCTGTGTAATTGAATAAAGAAATGGTCGGAAGGCAAACAACTTTTGACATTTTTAACCAATTAGAACATTTGTCACACTAATTTGGCAAAAGCAACGGAAAATTGAATCCAAATTGTGACTTTACACGGCTAATTGTAAAAGTTGTTCTTGTTGCGTTGGTAATTGGTTTATTGGAAAGAAATCAAATAAATGTACAAAAGACTGCATAGTGCAAAACTTCAAAGAAAGTTCCTTTAGGAACTTAATTTAATTTCCATATTATTCTACATTGAACTGACGAACAGAGATTCGGTGAAAGTATTGTTAAGTAAGTAAAGATAATTTTGAGTTAGATCATTGCTAGCTGGTCAGTGAGCGACTCTTGAACACTGCCACCGACTTTTTAGGGAATCCCAGAGTATGTCTCATGTTGTCACGCATCTGAACAAATAATTGGAAATGTTGTGCCAAAAGCATAATGAATATCACTAGAAGCCATGGTTGCAAAAGGGTCAAACTCTCGCTGACGTACGGAAGAATCTCATTGAGAAAGCTCAATGACCACTGAGGCAGAGCAAATTTGAGGTACAAACACACACTTATTGCCGTTCCAATGATTTCAATAAGGCAAGTGATGCCAATTAGTTTGATGAAGTTCGCGTTGACTCGCTTTTTCGACAATGTGGTCATACTTTGCACCGTGAAATAACTCATAGTGTTCAATATGAAAGCGAGAACAGAAGCAAGAACCATGTAAGGCAGGAGATATTCGTAAATGTCTTTGACTGGCTGTAATGATGATTTGTCATTCATTGGATAAGTCAGTTACGAACCATAGTGGTTGTGAGAGAATAATCGTCTTCAGCTTCTTTATATGCAAATCTACAAGTGTATTTGAACACTATATGGGTATTTATGAGAGGGATCAAGAAAGTACCGAGGATTGCAATCCAGCAGTAACTCCTCCAATACTGAAAGGGATGGTTAAATTGTCTGAATACATTTTGCTACTCTCACCTTCTCAAGATCATATTTGACGACAGTAAGACGATTGAGTGCAATCAGCATAATGATAGTGTACTGAACGTAGGCCATATGATATCGCATTCCATACACAAAGCTGAGAAATATATCCCAGTCTGAAAGATTTTATTGATCCCATACTTTTTTGGAAGAAAAGGAAATCTTCACCAAGCTCCTCGTAGAACACCGCCAGAACAGAGCCACGAGAAGCAATTAGACTGACTCGCATCGAGAAGTAGTTGACGGAATAAAGCAGAAGGTTGAGAGCGGATTCATATAAGAATAGCTGGAAGAAGGACGAGTCGAAGATCTTTCGGTGCCGAACGATGACGTAGTCGGCTATGAAGTACAGTAGGACAGACGCGAAACCATATATGGTAGCGATCGTGTACTCGATCCAGCCCATTGTTTATTGTGAGTCAGCTGAAAATGTGTTTATTCAATCATAATAGCACTCTCGGAACTCAAAACGAAGAAAAAAGTGGGAAAAGTTTGAAAAACGAGGCATGAAACTTTATCTCTGCTTCCTCTACTTCTAATGATGAAAAAAGCTTCTAAATACACAACGAGCCGAGCCGAGCTACCTTATTTGGACGCTTGACTGAGCCACGGGAAGATGAGATCTGTTATAAAAAGTTCAGCCGAAATTGTGCATTCACGCCACCCAAATGAGTAAAGAAAAAATTTTCTAGTCATTTCCGAAAGCATGAACCGGAATGAGTACGGTAATGCACAAAATGATTCCGTCTGCTCTGTAAACGGAGTGGTCTGACTGGGATGAAGTATCATTAGAGCACAGAAGACGGGCAACTATAGATTTTCTTTTCGGTGTCATCTAATTATACCTGTGTCAGACAGATAAACGGACAGCGGTTTAAAGAAAGCTAATAATTTTTTTTCAGACGTTTGTTTTCCAGACAGCGAGTGAGTTTTCTGAAAGGATTAAAAGAACATGTTCAGCTCATTCACTTTTGTTTTTATGATTCGTTTTTGCAATAAACGAGGTCTTTCAAACTTTTATTCCCTCATTCCAGGTACTTGGAAAGCGGCGCCCAATTGTCTGAAGGTCAGAATCCGTGAATTGTCGTAGCACGAGCGGTTCTTCACAATTCGAATATCTTGTTTTAAGTGGATAGCTACAAAGTGCAGCCCCTAGGCTTTCTGTTGCCGTTTCGCAATCCAATAAATCTAAAAGTGTGAATCGGCCGACATAGCTCTTCATGATTTCCGCTGATACCACCACAGCCACGACACAAGAGGTGTTATGAAAATAAACGAGCCGCCGCTGAGACTCAGGAGAAAAAAGAAGAAATCAGTTGTAATCGTAGTGATTGGTTTTGAAGAGCACCTGACACCTCTACGCCGCTCGATTCACTTTTCTTTTCACAAACGGCGAAAAAAAATCGAAATGTTTTTTTTAAATTTCTTCACACTTTGCTCATTCGAATGGTTAATGAGAGAATGGTTAAGTTTCCCTAACTTTTTTCTGTCGATATTGTCTTCTCCCACTTTTGTTCCGTTTACTTTGTATCACTTTTTCTTGCGGTGTGTTACAAGACAAACAGAAGCAAAATCCCTTGTTCCCTTTCATCTTTACCAATTTTTCAAAGACATCAAAAAACTTTTCAAATTTTCATAGTGACTGCTTTTTGATATTGCAAGATCTCCCGGGTTAGTATCACATTTCGTTTATTTAAGATTACGTCGTTCATTAAATTCTGACGCAGGACCATGTGGATGTGTAATCCGATGACAGTTGTTCTGTGAGCTTCTGAGACGTTTTGAGGCGTGTCCATGTTTTTGTCCTACCAGACGCAGCCTGGCCGGTCTCCAATTTCATCTTGAACCTACTCGCTCTCTTGCTAATTACATTACCATCCACACGAGTCCCATCGACCACCAAATGGCTCCGTGTTTGTCGAAGCAACAATATGCTAACAGCCAAGAATCAGAGACGTGGCAGGTGATCGATGCGCGAAGAAGAGCAAACACTCGAGTTGATCTCTAGTACTATCAAATTTGGTAACGACCCGGGGAGGAGGAAGAGGGTACGCGACGACCTCAACCGTGCCTAATCTCCGTTTTCTATGCAAATTTGCCCAAAAAGACCGTGCCGTCCACCACATAACTCTTACCCTTGACTCTTTCTTACCCTATCATCAGCTTCCGCTTTCCCCTATCCATAATAACGATTGTAATACATGTGACAGCTGTTACAATTTCTTCTCAATCGGCTCTCTTAAATGAAATTAATTGAGAGGTTATAAGAGACTTATTACCGGATTAATCCTGCCCAGATTTTGCCTCCAAACCTCATAAATCATTATTTCGGGCCCACAATTGTCGTGAATACTTGAGGCATTTCTATTTTGTTCCGTTGAACCATTAAGATTCTGCGAAATACTTTTGTCTTTTTCGGTTTCCCTCTGAATGAATAAAAAAGAAACAGCGGACAACGGGATCATATTCTGGTGTGGACATCCGCTGACTACTGACAACCTGTCACTTTTGATGGCTAGAACACTCTCCCTGTTCTAACAACTACTTTTTTGCCCATATGCCTCTCTCCTATGGTTCATTTCGTACCTCCCATTGTTTCGCCGATAAAACAACATTCTAAATGCTATAATCAGCGTTACTTAACACCTCTCTACCTCAGCCGCCATCAATAACCAGCTGATAAGAGCCCGGAAAATGTTGCAAAATTCTCCGTTTCTTGCTTGGTTTTTGTTCTGTCCTCTTTCCCAAATGCTTTTTTTCTGTTAAGATGAATCAGTTCTGGAGATGTCAAAGAATGTATGTTCAGTAGCGCGGCATCATCAAAGGAATTTGTTGAGGACGTTTCGAAAGTATTTCTGTTTGCTCGTTCCTACTGACCCCAAGTGTTGAAGCAACGCTTATCGCGTCAGTTTTCTGTTTTGTTCCCCCATTAAACACTGTCGCTTCTTCCCCTTCTTCTTCAGCCAATTTGGCAACATTTCCACTCACGTTTATCTCAATTACTTACAAGCTCCCACTCACGACCTTTCTTTTCTTTCTGCGTCACTTTTTCCAATCATGGCGAACCAAATCCGCTCAATTATTCTATTCTCGCGAAAGCCCCACTATCTATCCATCTTTCCATCTCTTCTCAAGCTCAAAAAAAGAAAGAAAGACTTTTGCGATCCCACCTCGCTTGCCTCTTTTTTGCCCAAAAATGACTTATTCCGTCCCTTCTCCTCCTCTATCCTTTCTTGTGTGTAACACGCTGTGACCACGGAATTACACGGACTCGCACAATTTTATTGTCTTCTCACCAGGGACTTCTCAGACCGCCTCGAAACACGGAGGCGTAAGAGAAAAGAGAAGGCGTGGACATCATCCGTCCCGCGCCCTTAAAATTAGTTTTTTTGGCTGAGGGAGAGGGAAGACGAGCTTCTATGCTAACCATGATGAAGCTGCATTTTGACGTGTTTCGGCTGACGAGCAAAAACAAGACCCACACTCACATTTTGGCCCCATCCTCCTCGTCTAAATGCGTGGGAAAAACAGAAGGAAGTAAGTGGCTCCGACGAGCGACCGGCTCGGACTCCTTCAGACCTTTCCTCTCACTTGATCGCTAGCCCGGCATCTCTTTATTCTCTTTTGTCAAGTACTTGATGAAGATCTTATGATGATTTATGCACACTTTTTTTATGTTCTGTCAACGAGAGTCTCGAGTAGATACTATCCGCCAGAAGATGCGTGTCCATGTTCTTGTCGTGGTCATTCGACGATTCTTATCGGACAAAAACGCATGCATAGGGGGTCTACTTTCGTGTTGAACTCTTTACGCCATACCAAGGTCGTCTCGTTCTCTTTTTTGGCAAAACGCATCCGCACTGCATGAGCGGACACTGGATTCTGTGTTTTTGACGTTTGCAGCTAGCTAGCAACTTCATTTGGCATTCCAAACTGAAAGAGAGTATGCATTTTTATTCTCATTTTTATTTTCTATACAACAGGCGTCACCTTTATTCACTAGTGTTATGTCTTGCCAGTCCGGGACAATAAATTCACGCGGAAAACGAAGCCGCCAAAGTTTTTCGATATGACGATTCAAACATCAGTGCAAATAGAGAGTCCATAAAGCGTAGTCGTATATTCTGATTTTTCTTGCCTATGATTCAGAGTTATGCCTTGTTTTCTTCTTTTCCATCACACTTTTCGTTCAACTTCCCCCGTAGGCCATTCCATAATTACAACATAAAAAGGAAAAGGCGGTCGCTTTCTCACTCGTCGATGATATGCCAGCAGCTAATCAAAACTGACAACTTCTATGCAATTCAGGCTAGGCGAAGGCGAAGGCATCACTGAATGAAATGACAAAAACGCGTCGAAACATTTTGTGGAATCTCATTGTTCCCAAAAATGTCACTCTTTCTCTTCTTGGAAGTAGCGTAGAATAGCATCCTAGAGTTTTCTACAGTATTCTGATGAGCGTTAAGTGGACCAATTCGGAAATGTTACACATTTTCCCATGCAAATAAATTTCGGACCTTCAAGCCCATGGGAGACATGAAACATTGGGTTCAGGGTGTTGTTCTACTCGCCACTTTTTCCAATTTTCCCAACCAACCTCGCCACCAAATGTGATTTGTTTATTGTAGTCTCTTTCCTCCGCCAAATATATCTCCCACACTTGACATGCGTAGAATTAGTTCGAAAAACTTCTGACAATGGCATTGGCGATGGCGCCAGATGCTGTTCATTTCGGATCCATCTAGTCGGATTGTAAATTATTCCAATTCAGAAAACACGGATACGTGTTGAAAGGGCACCGGCCGGGTGCTATCTGGCCGCCCCATCTGCTGACAATAAGAGAAGGAGACCGTCTGCCCCGGAAAAATCAGATTTACCTCCTTTTCGTTGCTTTCTCCGTTTGAAATCGGTTTGGAACATGATCACGCGATTGTTCACGCATAAGTAGCCGCTTGTTACCCGGTTTAAATCATTGCACGCACTATTGAGTCCGTGTCATGTACCGTTCGCTTCCTCCTTTCCGCTTTCTCTCATAACTCCGTCGTGTACAGTGTCGGCGTGTCTTTTGACCTTGGCCACGTTCCAAATTGAGTGAAAAGGTGACGGGTGGCCGAAATCCAACCGAAGACGACGACCAGTTAAGCCGACCTTCACTCAAAAAAGCTGGTTAGCCACCTAATTACTCATTGTGAAGGAAAAGATCTAGGAAGTGAGAATGCATTCTTTTCGGTTCCTTTTCAAGTTTTAATCATGTGAAAGTTATCTGTGTTGTAAAATGAAATCATTACTTTATTTGATTGAATGATAAGGATTTCACAACATTGCCAACAAACCTGAAACCAAAGACTTTCAAACTTTTGCTCAGGTTCTGTCCGTTACCTTCTTCATCACTAACGTAAGAAGTACAAAGCTTCTTTGATAAATGACAGTGGCAACATGTGAAAAAGTAGTGTTCTCCATGTCCCCCTTCCCTTCCTCCCTTTCCCTATTCATCCACCTTATCTTCTCACACCACGCATCTCGAGAATGGTGAGAAATAGAGAAGAGACGGGGGTATGTACTCGTAGAAGAAAGGGGAAAACAGAACAGTCATCGGGACGGTACACTCACCCTTTTACGGCCTTCTTCACGTGTACCCTTTCAGCTCGAATTTGCATTTGAATCAAGACCAAATCAACCTCCTCAGTTCTCGACCCAAACGCTCATTTTCTCATGCATCTCAACTGAGACATAATGATCATTTCTGTCTCGTTTCGGCGAAAACAAATTCAAACATTCGATACGAGCTAAATTTGAATAAAGCGCGACAAGAGATTGTGTGTGCTGTTGACACGTCTTAGCCGACTTCTCTTTCAAACAATGTTAGAATTCATAGCTTGGATTCGTCCGCCTGGCATGCACTCGTCATCATCATCTTATACTGTAAAGTAGTAATTATTAAAACTAGTGAGAAATTACGGATGATTAATGTGTTCGATTCAGCGCATTGCGCTCGCGCAGTCCCTGATCACTGGCAGCCAGTGTCTAAACGTCACATCCCCCCTCCCCACCCTCAAGGTCTCGCCTTGAAACAAAAGATAAAAGATATTTGCGCCTGTCCATCGGTACGCATCATATTCTGATTCATACGTACTCGTTATCATAGGCCAGAAGGGAAAGAGAGACAGAACATTTAGATTTCATTCTATGTTTACTTCCTTCTGTAGATGAAATTGTGAATTTTAAACTGAAGCTGTCTCTTATAACTTGTCATGTTTATACCTAGGACTATCAGTTGTGTTAAAACAGTACGCACTGCCGCCCTCAAGTCTCACAAAACAATGTTGACATTGCGAATTACTACTGATTACTCAGAGTGTTACTCGCTACCGAAACAAATAACTGTTTTGATATCTTTCCGCGGCGAAAGATGAGAGAAAAGTCATGCGTTTTCTGTTCTTTTCTTTCTTCGACTCGTCCGGGTGGTATGGTAAGAACAAATGGACTGCTGGGGAGGGATTACTTCAGATGAAAGAAAGAGAAAAGAATGACTGACTGCACTCGGCCCTACTGCTAACCACCAATTTGTCGCCCTCGTTTCTAACAAGATCAGCCTAAAACGCCAGGTTTTGTTTCGGACTACCACCTGCCCTCCATGAGCAAGCCCTCCCTCCTTTGCGACCGGTGCGCGCACCACCCGCCCCACGACCTAATTATACACATACAGTCTGCTGCTGCTCACTTGATTCTCCTCACACCCCCCGTCTCTCAGTTAATTTATTCGGGACAGTTTTTGCAAAATTGAATATTCTATTCTTCTCCGTACTCGCAACAATCACTCTTTTCCTCTCGTTTTTCTTTCCAACAAACCCATCCAGGTGTACTTCATTTTTCATCTTTCCCCTCTTGTCGGCTCTTTCATCTTTTGCGGGCCTCCCTGGTGTCGCAACACATGTCCCGTGCCGAGTGGTCTCATTATATAACTTGTTGGATCAGTGACCTCAATCCAAGAAACTATTATCCTATTCTTGCAGCATGTTGTTGAGGAAAACGTGTTTTCTCCTTCTGATTTCGGCTGTATCACTGTTCGCCCAATCGATTGATGAAGAAGAGCGTGTGCACGTCGGAGAGGGAAGTGCTAATGGAATCACTGACGACGAAGACATGGAGGTATCGAACTCTTATCATCTTTTGCCCAACTAGAAGAGAACGAGAGACCCAGAGTTGACCTTTTCATCAAATTTTATCAGTCACAAAACAAAGACACACATCAATTTTCGACCGTGGTCCCTTTGCCTTGCACACAGTCCCAAATTGTTTGTATTGTGCTGACCTGTATAAAACTGTCGATGATGCAACACCTCCCGAGCGGTCATCCTACCCCTACAATGCTCATGCGCAATAAGGGCCACAATTGAATTAAAAATTACCGTAGAGGGACCATCTCACACCTGTGCATCATTTTTCCTGACAATTACGTACACTTCTGTTGATCCTCAATGAGGTGTCGCAAAAGTGGACGGATTAGAGCGTCCGTTTGTTATTTCTCATCATCAAATTCTTGGTTTCGGGGGACGGCTCGGGGGAGAAACAAATAAAATTATCATCACATGGTGGGTACTACGTGCTTGAGAAAGTCAAATAACGTTCAAAACAGACGTTCGGCGGCTCAACAAGCTGTAAGATTGCGCGCGGCGGAGACAAAAGCGGCTCACACGCTCCCCACCCTGTTGTACGGCTTGTTTGACTTTCCCCGCTAGAATCTGTGCTGCTCCCGTCGTCTTGACAAAGTGTGTCCAACAAGAGGGTTTAGGTTTCACGTACAGGCGGCTTCGGCTTCGGCACTCCTTCTGCTCGCGGGTCAAGACCCCGAGCGGGAAACGGCCCCTACTTGAGTACAAGCTTGAGGACAGGGGCTAATCAAACAGAGGAAGACCATATGTACATGTGTTGTTTTAGATATCCCTTCCTTCCTGCTTCCTCCCCTTCTTTTTTGTGCCCACCGCACCCTGGCAAACGGGACTAATGAGATTCGTCTTTGCAGGGATCTTCTCTTCCTCCAGACACATTCTATGCAACCACTCCTCAGTTGCGACAAAAGTTCTCATCAAGCACCAAGTTGGAGACCACTACCAGAAAGGTTTAAAAAAAAGCTAGGAAATGGTTCTAAAATAACAATTTTCAGCTTGTGACCTTCACCACCGCCGATGAAATTGTCACTTCTCCGAGAACTATCATCGAATCGACAACCACTGATGCTCGGCCATCGGTGCCATTCGGAACTTCCATGTTCTTTGGAACTCAGGGAATCTTCATCATTCTCGGAGCGATCATGGTTCTTTTGATCGTTTTGATCATGGTTGTTCTTTGCTTTAAGGCTAGAAACAGTGAGTTTTAAGTAAATCAAAATAGTTTCATTTTTCATTTTTGTTTTTCAGATAAGAAACAAGCCTACCGGCCAGGACAGCGAGAAAGTCCAGACGCACTGCTCAAGGAGTAGGAAGAATCTGACCGTTTTCTGAAACAAAACAATCTTAGGCTTCATTCTACAACTTTTATTCGCATAAGTCTCCCCCCAAGTTTTTGCCATGTTCAGGAACTTCCGACTGTACCCCCCAAACCTTTGACACGAGTTCTTCCAGCCTCTTACTTTATACCGACATTCACTTACGCCCTCCCACCACTCATTTATACTCTTTCCCGGTCTGTTCAATTCTCTTCATCTTTTGCACCCTGCATTTTTGGCATTTTTGAAAAGAAAACGACCAATTTCCAATCTGTGCAATAGTTTTCTTTTTCCTCTTTGTCTTTTCTCGCTTTTCTATAACACGATGGTACAGATAATTTATCTGAATTCGCTTTGAATAGGGTTAGTGTGACTTTTCCCCTAAATCAGTTGAATCAACACGATCTTCACCTCCTCCTCCCCCTTTTTTTATATTAATCTCCTTAAAATTATGTTTTTTAGTCTTTTTTCTTTGTAATTTGTGTCATTCTCTGTTCACGTTTTCACTGATGAGATAAATAATTTCCTGTTCTTCCAATATCGTATATTTCTCAGGAAACGGTTCATCTCACGGTGATTAGTCAGAAAACGGTGATTATCTTGATTGATATCCGTTTTATGATAAGGGAGAAGCTATTGACCGTCTGAAGGAGCGGCCGCGCCCTGATCCACCCACGCGCGCTTGTCTTATTGATGATTTGACAACGAATTGGTGGCGACCGGGATGGCTGAGTGGTCTGCATGCGCAACTGGTGAACAGTTATCAGTTGGGATCGAACCCCTCCTTGGTCCAATATTTTTGACCAACGACTTGCGCAAACTCCACATCTTCAAAGAAAAGCAAAAGAAAAAGACATAAACACTAATGAGATTGAACTCGACGTTTTTGATTAGAATAAGTGCATATATCTCATACATAATGCAAAAACGGTGTGTCGACCAATAGTTTTCTTCGCGTTTTTGCACAAACACCCATTCATATTCATTAGCGATTCACTGTATACACGCAAAGTTCATCTCTTTTTTTTGTTGGAATAAAAAGTAATCTGCGAAAGTGGTGACCGACGGAAATGAGTGTATCATCGACGTTGTCGCAGTTCCTTCAGCATATTCTTCGAGAGATGTCCCTGCGTCAGGCATCCAACAAGTTTCCATCGGTGAGTTCCATTTTTACATCTCTGATAAAAGTTAGACTAACTGGGCAAAAGGCCGGTTCAGGCTTTTGACTTACTTTAAATATTCTGATTGAACCCAAATTTTGCAGGCTTCTTGGATTTGGATTGAAGTTTTTAAGGCCAAAGTTTCAGACCGATCGGATTATCTAGTCTGGAGAATGGCTTGAGGCCGAAAAGGACGCAATTCTCGCAAAAAATAATTTTTTACCTTTAAAGTCGCATATCTCGGGACAAGCTAATTCGATTGATTTGAAACTTTAACTTTAGATTCTTTCATTCAATTCCGAAAAGTCTGCAAAGTTTGGGTCCGAATAGAATACTGCAAATGGGTCAAAACTTCGGGCCTCAAAAAGTAATCGAGAGAAATAGGCCGGTCTTTTGTTGCAACTCACAAACCCTCATGTTTATGTGTTCGCATTTCCTAAAGCTATTGAACTCCAGTCTCACGGCGAGTCGGTTAGAAACGTTAAACATTATGTGATATCTATTTAGAGACATGTTTTCTTAACGACACGATTTTTGTGCTTCACTTGTAGAACTAAATCTCGAATCGATTAGCTCTATAAGTCGCACGGCTCATCCTTTCCATTGTACTTTCTCTTCTTGAAATCCGGAGACGGGGAGAATGAGATTACGGCTGTCTCTTGGCGCCTAGCATCCGTCTCCTAATCTCATGCCAATGACGAGCAAGATATTATTCGAGTATCGATAAAACATAAGGAAGACAAGAAATCCGGCTTCTTCCATTCTTGTCCCCCCCCTTCCAACCAATACTCGCTCTTTGCAACCGTCGGATCGTTTCATTTTTGATAGAAGTGAGCATAATTACCGAATTCCGGACTTTCGTAATTTCATTGTTTTCTTGTTCGTTCGTTCGTTCGTTCCACCGCCGCCACTCTTCATGTTCCCAAAAACACTCAGCCATGAATAGGCTAAAACTCCACAACTTTCTAGTCAGCAGCCCCTCCGGAAATTGATGCTTGCCGCTTTGTGACCGAGCTCAGTATATCAGATCGAACCGCCTCTCTCCTTTTTTACGTTAAAATGTGTTTCCATTTTCTGAATTACGTTCTTCCTGTTGCTGTTGCCAATATTTATCACGCAACTCAATCTTTTCCGCTCTCTTTCAACAATTTCTCGTTACGTGTACTGCAGTGTCATGTGCAGCACATTATCTCGTTTCCGCTTCTCTCGCACTTTTTCTGCTTTCCTGATTAGAAACATCACCGTCTTAGTTGCTCCGACGCCAAACTATCTCTCATATCTTGGTTTGTCAGAGAACCTTTTGCCCTGAAAACTACCGTAGACTTTATTCGAGGTTTGGACCCTATTTGAAACCTTATCAAATGCACTTTTCCGCTTCTAAGAGATGCATAAATTCACAGTGATTTGCCCCCGTTGGAGCATGTTGAACTAGTGTTGGGATTATCATCGTCGAGTCGCGAAAGAGGTGGATCCATTAATCCCTTTTCAATAATTTTCTCGATATGTGGAGAGGAATGGCAAAAAGAAAAGAGGAGCAGCATGTTAATCTCGACTCAGGAGCACATTGTCCGGATGTGTCACGCTGCCATCTGAACAACCGACACGTGCGGATCACACTGTTCTGCCCTTTCAGCAGCGGGCGCATTCAAATCGGATAAGAGTGCAACAGAAATCTGTTATAACATTATATATGTTACCCTCATAGACTCGGGCAGTCGGCCGAATCTAATTCTCATTTTCTTTTCTTTTTTCTTCCTTTTTCGTTTCGGTCTTCGTCTCATCTGAATGTTTTCGAAACCACAAAAAAGCTCATAAAGTTAAGCCGAACAGCAGTATGTCCTTTACTGCTTTTTCCTCTTTTTTCAACAAAACAATAAGAAAAATAGTGACGAATGGAAACTAGATTAACATTAAACACAAAGTGTTTTTCGATCAGTCAAGTTGGATCCAAATGTCCACTATTACAATGGTCCCCATCCGTCTAGCTATTCGCGCTCTCTCAGCTGACCGCTGCATCACTAGATCAACACACACCACGATAATCACTTTTGATTTCTTCCTACGTTGTTTTTGTTCTGTTCGCTGAAGTTCCAGAGCCAATCGAGAACTGAGTGTAAAATTGATTTCACTTTTTAAGCTAAAGCTCAAAGAGTAGTTTGCTTTTCTATTATTTTTTGACAGCTCCGCGCCAAACTCTATTTGCGCGTTCAATACTTACCTTAGGTTTCTCTTCGTCAATAAATTATGGAATGTATGCGTCCCGAATCAAGTATGTTATATCTTTGCGTCAGGTCTTACCTTGATATTATATTTCACCGCAACGTTTTTCTGATCACCCTCATTTCATAGAACAGAAGGCTAAAACGCCATTTCTTTCTCTTCGAATTACACAAAAACTGATTGAGTTGTCATTTTCTCAAAAAATACATCTCAGTCTATGTATTTTCGCATTTTCTCAAAATGTCCAAGTCCTTGCCTTTGATTCTTGAATCTCTGAAACTGGTATGTTTGTCTGAAATTGAACATTCATGAAGTTTCGAGCGATCTTAAAGTCAAAGTCCCTTTGTCTCCGACTTGAGACGTTTTTCTCCGTATACACTATATATCTGTGTGTAGCTATGTGTATGTGTGTATCAACAGCTTAAATAAATCCCGAATTTCTTAATCTTCGCATCCTATGCGTATTCTTTCTAGCTCGACGCGTGGTTTTTTCTCTAATTCTTTCATTGAATGTTGAAAGAGTCAAATATCGATAAATCATTGACATTCAGTATTTCTGTTAATCAGTCACCGTTTTTTGCAGGTTGACTCAATGCCTACTTCACGGGATTCGTCGATGGAAACTACCGACAGGTTGGTTGGTTTTGTCATGCACTTTCAGCACTTACAAGATTACCACATATCTGCTGTGTTAAATTGAATTAGATTCTTTTTTCTGAATCCTCGCGGCGAACCCGAACCTGTTGAGTCAAAAGTTTTGCAACTCACACACATGCACGAGGGCTGACCATGATTGTTAATTGAATTATTTAAAAGCGACCCTTCTTCGCTAGATTCCTTTTCTTCTTTTCGTCTTCTGCTCGACCATTCCACTTTTATCGAGTACTCTCTAGACAATATGTCCCCATCGTATTTTTCACTGACTCCTGTCAATCCTTCCGAACTTTCCATATCCTGGAGCGATTTGCGCAGCGATGAGTAAGTCTTGAAATGTGAGATGGGGGGGAGTCTGTGAATGTTAATGGTGTAATTTGATAGATAGGAATCGACAAGTTCAAAAATGATTCGAAGAAAAAAGTCTTCAATATTCTTCAAACGTGACTTTTGTAGAATAGAATTGCAAAATACGTGCAGGTTAGGTCAGAATCTAGTTGGGGGTGTCTCTCTTCTTGCATAAACTTTCGAGACATTTCACCTCGTTGATCATGGGCACATGTTAATGTGCTGCTCATTTTCACACCCACCTCGGTACGTGTTCTCATTTCCAGTTCAGTTTCTGTACCTCTAAGTGCTCCTAATATGATATGCGAAAGCGCGTGTTTTTCCGCCATCATCATAGTAGGCTAGAAGTCTAATTCATCTTTTCCTGCTTATCACCCCTCCGCCGATGATGGTGGTTTTGCCAGCGCACTAAGTCAGTCTCAAGACTCTTCAGTCTTCATTTTTCCTGCCATCTATCCCGCGGCCAGCGCTAAGTTGTTCGTCGACGACGACTAAAAACTGCCTCCGCACCACACCCGGCAGCAGATAATCAAATTTCAATATATATATATGTATGTGTTTATCCGTTTTGTTAGTGAAAGTGGCAAGGGCCCCCCGATTTTGATACCCATTTGAGAAAAAGTGTAATGGCTAATGACTACAGGTACCCATTTGGGTATACGACCGAGTTGGCTCGTACCGAACCGTCAGCGTCAACAGCCAAACGACTACGACAGAGGTTACAACGACAGCAGAGCGGACAGTCAGGTAGGTGATACTAAGAAACGAATGGGAACATGTGTCCCTTTTAAGTCAGGGTCTTAGAACCGAGAATGACGTGACTTTTTTAACCTCCAGTGTCATTTCTTTCTAGTTTGAAAGAAAGAAACAACTGGGAGGATCATTGAGCATTAGTACATCTTTTCTGGATACTGACAACTTGTTCGTTCACTGCGCTTCACCGACGTCGTCTTTTCCTCCATATTTAGTTTTTATTTCTTTATACATACGCTATTCTCGGATTTGACCTATTCTCAAAAAAGGAAAGTGCAATGTATGCTGTAGCGGAAAATCCGTGATAAGCGAACATCAAATCTTTAATCTCCGGGGCGCTGACTCATCTACCTCCCCAATTCTGACGTTTTTCCGATAAATGTGACCATCCTTATCAAATTATAGGATTATCCGGTCGACGGTACACTGGAGAAAGCAGCGAGTGCTCCTCACTTGTCGGAACACCCACGGACACTGGTAGATCGTTCACATTCGGAGCGGCGCAGAGAGTTATGCGGGAACGGTATGTCAAATCGGTCCATACGAGATATCATAAAGTTTGGGTGCAAATTGAACCCCAGACAGTACCCGGAAAGTAATCCGATCTCGTCGAAATCGTTCTGTGCGGCTAATTAGTCATTTGAATGCGAGAAGTCGAGTCAAATGTCGCAAAATACTGCAGCTAAATCTGAATATCAAATTCCGGCTCATTTTCTCGGAGCACACGCGTGATGTGTATTCGGGCGAGCTCGCAACGAAAAAAAAAACGATATTGAGCTATGGTGTCTCCGGAAAGAACGTTTGTTTTCTTTTATATAACTTATAGAATAGAATGAACAAAAACAGAAACACAAATGAAATTAGGAAACGAAGAGAAAGGGGGCAGATTTTGTAGTAAGCAAACTTAATTTAAAAGTCTTTTTTTGGTCTGAACTAGCCGAACTATCACCATTGCATTGTTTTGTTACGGAGATCTATGGTCGGTCAGATATATTGAAGCTGAAACTGAAACTGAAGACAAACGTCATGCGATCCTGGTCCACGCGAAACTATCGTCGCATTTTTTTCAGCGATGATCGAAAACCATCTGTGACCCAGAACTTGTCAGAAATAATGCTCGAGGTGAGTTAGCCAGAAACGGAAATATAAAATATTCAGATAGGTCAAGTCTCCGCTTTTCTTTCTTTTATCCTTGATTTTTTCGTTCTTCTCTGAATCCAATTTTCTGCATTTGACATATTCTTGAGAAGTACTAGCAGAGTAAAGGAAAGTCTTTGCAAAAAATATATGTTGTCTGTTCTAATTTTCTCATTTTCAACTTTAAACTTTTGACAATCTGCAACTTTCGTCCGTTTCTTTTCCCCTCCTACGTCTTCGTTTTTCTGTTCCTTCACTGCTAACATCTAATTGACATTTTCACTATTTAGCTTTCGTAATGTAAGCAAACACACAGCAATGTTTTCCATTTCCAATTTCAAAATACGACTATCTGTGAATCGAAATCTTTGAATTAAATTTAAGAAAAACTCTATTCCAGGCGATCCACTATGAAGATGTGAACTTGATGGAAAGGTTACTGACGGCGCATAGTTCGAAGCAACCAATGTCAACATCGCCGTCAATTGGTAATTCATAGGACTCGTCAAGCCTGAATTGATGAGTCGTCGACACGTCTTCCCCCTTTTCTTTCAGGTAGCACCAACACTTTGACGGATCTTGCGCAACGGAGACATGGAGCGGGGGCGCATCGACGTTCAAATGCCAGTAGTACGGTGTCGACGCATTCGGGAGGAAGGTGAGATAGAAAACAACAATTTGGAAGAGGGGGGAAAACCTCAGACATTCTCGTTGGGATGGAAAATGTTTGTGTGCTATGAAATATTCATTTTTTGGTTTTTGAAAGTGGGAAAAGCAGCCAACACACAAGTTCAAATTGTGACACTTCTGATGGCGTTTTTCAGTTGAGTGATATCATTTATATCATTTATCTACCTACAGATCCACGTGCGCCATGATGAACACCTTGCACATGGCAGTGGCGCATAAACAACGCGACATTGTGGAACTTCTCCTCAAAAACGGCTACGATCCGAACCTCCCGGCATCATGTCACTGCAAAGGGAACTGCACGGCCACCGGCAACATCCCTCTGACTTCCATCATCCCAAGGTACCCAAAAAATCTCTCAAAAAACCTTCAACGCCGTCATAAAGTACAAGCATTTCAGTCCTCCGCAAAACATGTTTCGTGATAAGAATTTCTGAACGACTTTTTCTTGACTCGATCTCGCCCGCACTTCCGAATAATTTCAGAACACATTCGATGACGCCAGAGTTGTGCTCGACGTGCTCCCAGTTGCGAGTTGTGTCGATTGTGGATCAGACGCCGCTCGGAGTGGCTGTGCGGTCGCAATCAAGCGAGTTGATAGCACTGCTCATTGCATACGGAGCGGATGTTAATTTGGGTGTGTTTTGGATGTTTTTCTGCGAGAGACTTGTGGCGCAGAGTGCGCAAAGGACGGAATTGGTATGGGACATTAGTCTCAAAAATGCTTTTTCGCTCTGTCAGTTCCCTGTCATGAACGATTAGTTAGGGCATTGCGGAAGTTTAAACTTTGTTGATTAATACGATACATTTTTCATTCTGTTTACCACCGCGCCCAGAAGGAGGCTCAATTAATGAATAAATAATAATTGTAGGTGATGATGATGGCAACACACCGTTGATGTTGGCAGTACGGGAATCTCCACTCTCATGGACCTCGCTCCACACTCTTATCTTTTTTGGAGCTCAGTCAGTGATTTGCCTCCAACCTACTATCATATTCGCTTTCTGTTTCATTTTTATGTTTTACATTCCAGAATTGAGCAAAAAAATATGCGAGGCATCTGCCCACTTGACCTGGCTCCTGAACTCAAGAAACTTCAACAGACGTGCGTGGAGGAACTGTTCAAGAACGCGTGCTCCGGCGACAGTGAACCGCCGTCCCGGTCCACTCCGGGACCATCGGCCAAAAATTGGAACAGGCTACAAGTTGACAACGGTGAGTTGAAGAGAAGAACGTCAAACTAAAATGTACACGTATTCGATCGATATCTTCCTGAGCCGACTGATTGACTGACTTACTAGTGAGCATGAGCCTTTTTGTTCTTCCTTCTTTATTTCTTTTTTATAAAAGCTGCTCCGATGACATTATAATTGAATTCTCACGCGTTCTCTCCTCATCTTCAAGACGAGACGAGAAGTGACTTTCATCTCTTCTGCCCTCAGTTCAGCTGGAGCATTCCAAAAAAAGACGAGCTCCTTGTTTCCCCCCGCTTCATTTTCTTTCCCTCGATTGTCTTGCATAGTGTGTCGTTTTTTGTTCAGTTTCCCAAGGAGAACGGTCGCTGTCGAAGGCTCCGCTGAGCCCGAAACCGTCGGCAGCAGCGAGTGTCTCGACGTGTAGCATGCTGGAGACATCGTCAGCCAAAGAGTCAGCACGACGGAAATCGCTGGTTTCATTGCAGTTGCATCGAAAATCTCGGAATGTCAAAGAATGTGAGTGCCCTTATTTTGGACTGATTCTCTAAGTTTCTTATCACAACTTTTTCGTTTCAAACCCCGTTGTTTCGGTGCGCCTTCACGCCCTCTCCTCCGCTTTTCAATCCCGCCAATTTATGTGTTGTCAGGCTTTCTCACTTTTACCCTTGTATTGATTTAAAGCAAAACATAGTATAGCAGCAAAACTAGAAGACAAATTTTTATATTTTTAAGCCCGAAAAAAGATAGTTTGTATTTTGGAAGCCTTGGAAGGAATAGCCGAATAAATTGAAAGAGGGCAAATAAGTTGCCTTGTTTCGCTTCACTTACCAGTGAGCAGGAAGAATTTAATTTCGAATGCTTAGTCGTGCTCGCAATCATTTCCCATCCCCTTCTTTCTTTTCTTCCTTATCCACCCACTCTAACTTTTCTGGCAGCGTCCCCCGTTAATCTTGCGTCAGTTTATGGCGGGGCGAAGGGAGCCTTCCAAATCATTTTGGTTCCCGTTAGAGACCCCTAAAAGATGTGTGCGAAAATAGGGATTAATGGCGGGAAGCGATGGTGCCGCGAGTAGTATTCTGAGCAAAATCCTTGACGGGCCACAACGCCACAATATGTGGCGAAGCGTGGCACTGAGGTCCGACTCGAGAACACTGTCTGAGAAGCGTTTCACCCTACGTATTCCTTTAGATCCGGTCATTGACTGTGTCAGTTGGGAACAAGCATGGGAACTGCTCAAGAAGATGGCCTGTAATCCAGAGTGCCTTGACAATATTGTGGTAAGAATTCGGAATCCAACAGAATCTCTCCATTTTTCTTCATTTTCAGAACTCATTGTCAAAGTTTGCCGCTCAAATGGAAAATGCACCATCGAGCGTCGATCGTGATCAATTCGACGCGCACATGGGTGGACTTTTGCACAGAATGATCCATGTAAGAAAAGACGAGAAACATATAATTTGAATGCACTTTAGACGGCCATCAAGGAGTACGAGTCTTCGACACCAACCTACAAAAAACAGAAGAAACTGCATCTAACCTGGTTGCTGAGCCAAATTGCCACGTTCTGCTTCACATTTCTGCAGAAAAGTGGGACCAGTCGGCAGTTCTCAGCATTAAACACCTTGAACAAAGTAATAACTGGATGAATCAGAAAGATGGAGTACATCATCTATTTCTAGATAATCGACGCTGGTTTAGTTCACGACTTATTCGCGTTCAACGATGTCATATTTCATTCCTCCCGGATACTGAACAGATCTCATGCCTTTGATTCCGATGAACCGCCTACGCCTTGTAAGATTTCTTGCGTTTCGATAATTTCAATATGTTTCCTGTTTCATTCCAGCCGGCGAGTCTTTCAATTCCAATGCTGACCAAAACTCGACAGTAGATCATGTCTTTATTTACGGAGCTGGTTACAAGTAATTATATTCTTCCAGTTATTGCTTTTTATCAGAATCACTTCCAGAGACCAGTCACTTCTTCCTTCTCCAACTGTGGCGCCGACTCGTCACAAGTCTGATTTGATGAATTCCTTCAGTGACATGGATCCGAGCCAGGGTTTGTGTTTGTTTGCACAAACTTCCGCACAAAAACAACACATTTCCATTTAGTTATTGTTGCTCTCCACAACGCGATAACAATGCAAAATCGAGAAGCGGGCTCCAGATCTGTTTGCAGTCCGGCACACCGATGGAGGCAATGTTGTGCACATTGCACTCAGATTCTCGTGGCCAGATTGCTACTTTTTCTGACGCATGCAAAGTGGGACCTGAAAATGAGAAGATTAACATAGAGAAAGTGTGTTTCAGGAAGTTCCGAAGTCGTCTCTCAGACCGACACCAACTGCGGAGTCTCGTCGCACTTCTCGAGCCAACTCTCGAGCCTCAACTTCTTTGTCTTCTCCTTCAGTGCCTTGCAATGATCGCTTTGGATCCTTCGACTCATGTCACTTTGATTGATATTCAAATTGACGATGTGCTCATACAAATGCTGCTCCCCGCTGACGACTGGTACTACACCAACCACAGTACCAAGTATGGAACATTTGTGAAATATCACGCGGCGAGAGTGCTCGTTTACGTTGGAATGGGAGATCGTGTCGGTAGCCGAGTGAATCTGTTCAGCTTGTTAGCTTTTGAACCGTCTGCAAAGAGTGGAAGCCAGCAAAATGAGGACGACTACATTTGCGAGACGTGTGCCACTCCCCGGAGCATGAGCACATTTTCCCGATCTGCTGTTTCGGTTGAGGGCGTGTTGCTGAAAGTACTGGCAGAGGTGGCGGAGGTAAACGGAAAAGTGTTAGAAGTGAAGCTGATTATTATTTTTCAGTTAGTGAGACAGAGTCAGCACTTGTCAGCAAGTGAACCGATCACTGAAGAGTCACCGAGCGCAGGATCTCCTCCAGCAGTCCTTCCCAACCAAGCAGAGCAAAAGAATATCATCGAAAAGAACACCGAGAAACTGACACAGCTGGGATGCCAGATTTTGATATCTCTAGAGCAACTGGAAGCTCATCTGTGCAAATTAGGACTAGTCCTAGATTCGGTTCTCCTTCTCCGACTCCTTCTGCACAAACTGTCTTGGGATCTAGGCCTGGTGACGAAGAAACGGGTAGCCGTGGTGGACCACGTGTACAAACCGATCACCGACCCGAGAGCTCATTCCAGTTGCAGTCTCGGAAACAACAGGTTTGCGAGCGTCCTGTGTTGCTCTGGCTGCGTTTATTTCGCTTCTTTTCCAGAAACTTTGGTAAATCTAAATCTTTTGATAGGCGAGAGGATAGCAAACGGGATAAGAATTATCTGCGTGTCGACCAAGGATCTCGGGCTTCCAAAAGAGTTCACATCAGACGATCGAGTTCCGTCGAAATCATCCGACCAAAACGACTCAGTTCCGGAGCCAAAGACATCAAGAATAGAGAAAGAAGGAAACGGTACTACTATATCTTCCCAGGATTTCAAATAACAAAACTCTTAAAATTGCAGACTAGGAACCGATACCAGTAGCGGGTCGAATCGTTCCAAAAAAACCAATTCTTCGTCCTCGTCTGTCCAAAAACATCTTCCCAAATACATTCAGTCGCTATTCCGAAGTCGTATGGGCACCGATCCGTGCAAAAGGACATCGAGAAGTGAATCCACGTTACCGCACAGTGACTTTTTGTTGTGTTATTTCTGCCATTCACCTCTATCTCAAAACACACTCATCGGCGTTTCCTCAAAATGCCGTATTTCTTTGCAAGCTCTGCCTAATCGCATGTCAGAAACATTCACAACTTTTGAGAACGAGTTTTGATCATAATTGTTAGTCTCACTAGTCAAACAAAAAATTATAACGTTTTTAAAAACGTGAAAAAATGCGCTTTTCGTACACGCACTCTGTTTTGTAACGTGGTCTCAATAGATGTCACTTGCTTTTTCAGATAGATTGCTTTCGGAACTGCCTCTTTTCAGAGAAAGTTCATAATAACCCGATGTGTTTGTAACTCATCCTTCTGCCAAATTATTTATCAAACCACAAACGTTGCCCATTTCAGGAGATTCCAACGAAAGCAATACAAGTGGGTCGGATGCCGTTCTGGAGTTCACCCGAAAGTTGCAAAACTATCCCTTAACCAGGAGAGAAGCGCAGAGATTGACATATCGAAGCAATGGACAGCAAGATTCGAACGATTCGAAAGTGGGACCAAGGACAATGGGATACGTTTACTTGCCGGAGCTAGAAATCCAGGGAGCTAGTCCTCCAAGGTAAATTTTTGTTTAAAAAAAACGAAAAACTGTCGAACTAAACAGATCTCCGGGTCCGTTGACCGCCAACTCATTGGAGGAAGGAACAACAATGTTGTTGGACACTCGCCGTCCAAGCAGCCCACAGGCCATCCCTGGTCTTCCACAGATTGAAATCCGTCGTCCGTCTGCCCTTTCTCAATTCGAGTTTGGATATTTCGTCAATTCTCCGGAGCTAAGCGGAAGTGAAGTGTCCGACTGCGCGCCTCTTCTTCTCAGCGGCCAAATTGGCGGCAGCCGAAAAAGTTCCGATGGTGAGTGGGGGGAAGAGAAACGAGACGACGCCCGGCGCTCACATGTGTATGCGTTTCGCCTCGCCCGCTATCGCCATCCCATGTGGTCTAGTGGTTAGGATTCGTGGTTTTCACCCACGCGGCCCGGGTTCGATTCCCGGCATGGGAAGTTTCTTTTTTTTTGCAGAAACATCTCTGGGTGGCTGGTCAAGTCGAGCTTCGTCGGTAATGAGTCAAAGATCGTCCCGTTCGAGTGTGGGCCTTCGTTTATCAACGTTTTCGGGCGGAACGAGTATTGCTTCCGACAATTCAGGACCTTTCCTGTTTAGTTTTGTACTGAGAAAACGTGCATCAACAATTGGAACGCGGATTCCGATTCCAAGAAGGGCTTTGTCGAGATCTTCGGGAGACAGTCTAAGGGTTCCGGACAGGGAAAGTCCTCTTCATTTGGCCAGTATGACCGAGATGAATCCGGACTTTCAATGTGTGCGACAACTCATTCTCAATCTTCTGAATGTTTACACTAAAAGGTAGCAATTATGTATTGTGAATGAAATAATCAAAAAATTAAGTTTATTCAGAAATGACAACGTGGTTTCCACAATGAAAGAGTGCGCTGACGTTCTTCGTCAAATTCTGAACTCTCCACAACATCCAACTGTCAAGAACTGGTGTGCCGAAATAATTCACGTCGTCAGCACGCACGTCGAAGAGGAAGAACCGACAACTGCGGAGAACAACGAACAAATCAACGACGAGTATTTGGAAGTAAGCACAAAAGAGAACGATATTGCTTTTTGCTCCTTCTGTTTGGCGGATTGTTCTTTTCTGATATGTTTCTTTTTGACACGTTTTTTTCTTGTTCCCTGTGTCACTTTTTGTTTCGTTTCTCTTTCCATCTGGCCATGAACCATAAGCAGGAGGCAAAGATTCTAAATCGTGGAATCGCTGAGCTTGTTCGACGAGCTACCGTCAGTGCCTTATTTCCGAATGGGGCCGTGTCGAGAAGACATGTTCGAGGCTTACCGGCTATTGAAGAATTGATGGACGAAAGTGACTTGTTCGAAGTTCAAGAGGATGATGAAATCGAAACGGACTCAGAGTGCTCTGCACCAACCATCGACGTCACCGTCCCAACAGATGGATCGGTCCGGAATATGGAAGAATTTATTGCGAATTATGACGGCGATTTCGGTAAGTCCTTTTTACTTTTCCGATTCCCCACGGATTACGAACGATTGATGTTTCGTCTCTGAACGTCGTAGCATAATTGTTACGTCTTTCAAATTTTCCTGATGCCACATTTGTTTTGATGTTCTCTTCTAGGCGACTCGCCAACGACCAGCCAACCATTCCCCAGTTTTTGAGCTTTAAGAAAAGAACACGTGTTGTATGACTTGTTGTTGTTTTGTGGCGATACAGTGAAATTGTGCTTTAGGAAAACTGGCACCGTCAAGTCATCCGCTAACGGCTCCGCGCCGTTCGCTCCACATTGGAGCACTTCTGCCGGGTGCCAGCAGATTCACCGCTCGACTGAAACGCTCGAAATCGTTGCCGCGGATTCAGAATATGGATCAAATAAAAGAGGCCATCAGACGGAAAAGCTCGTTGCGAAAGTGGTTCGCCACCCGCACGGTTGCTGGGAGACGGAATAGCAACACAAACAGCTATGAATGCAAGCGGACGTCGATCACTCACGAAGACTTTCTCTCTCAAATGCGCAACGTTACTCGCAACACTCTCAAACATCTGCTGTTTCCCGACAAAAAAAGTGAAGTTCGCATTGTGAAGCTTTCCAACGAAAAGTTCCACGATGTCGAAGCGCTCACCCGCCAAATCAACGAAATGGTCATGATTCCAACTACTGCGAAGCCGACAGAGATAATTAAATAAAGGGTTCACTGTTGAATTTTATGTTTTTCCGTTTTTGATATGAATAAACAAATGACGAGCAGTGTTGATAAAACAGTCATAAAAACGAGAACATGACGCGTTTCTGATTGTTGTTAGGATGTTTGCACATCTAAAAGCGTTCCCATGCTTGCATAAAAATTTGTTTTTATTTTGCCAGTCAACAACCTCATTTTCCCTACCAACGTGTTTTTCGATATGTAGAGAAGCTCATAACACTACTTCCTGTTTCTGCCGGTAGTATTCGTACGGTCAATCATTCAATCACTATGCTTTCATGTATTCTTTCAAAATTACTAGGGGAGAATAAAGAGAAATCTTTTTTGAACCCCAACTACAAAAAGAAGCGAGTGAATCCTAAGTTCAAAATACTCACTATGAATCCGGATGATGAAGAGATTCAAAAATTACTTCAACAAATTCCCTCGACTAGTAATTTTTTTGTGTTTGAGTATTGGACAGTCGAGAATGAGTACGAGCAGTACTTTAAGAACCAACTGTCCAGATTCACCTGCTATTGTAATTCAATAATTTCGCGTGTTGGTGATTCGCTGAACTTTTGCCGCAGTGAAAACATCAGCGACAATGGAAATGTGTTGTTCTCAATTGATTACTGGATTGACGAAAAGTTGTTCAATAAACTTGTCAAGCCAAAGTCTGGGAAGAGAGTTATTATCTTCAAAGTAGAAAAATGTTGAGTATTGCGAAATAGTTATGTTTTTCTTTCAGTTCCAAGACCAAGTGATATCTGGAAGTTTGCCATGTCCCAAAGAAGAAGCGGCGTACTTGGCGAGCATTCAGTTGTCTGTCGAAGAACAATGGCCAAGCAACAAACGTACTCAGACCATCCGGAGGCACTTGCTCAAAGGACAATTTGGTCAGAATATTAAACTCTTTCAAAACAATCGAATAACTTCTCTTTATTTTCAGGTAGAATTAGAGACCTGGCTCAAAAGATCATGGTGACACCCTGGGAAGTAGATCAGAATCTTTACTGCACTCCTCCGAGATTCCCCAACGAGTCAACAACCGCAAGTAGGGCTCAATCGGTGGTGGAAGAGATCCAGCATCGGTCAAGAACCCCGACGCTCCTGAGATGCATTACGAACACGGACGGTTTGATGTCCGAAGAGGTTGGCTGTAAAGGTGTTTTTTTTTTCAAATTCTTGTTGAATTACAGATGCAGGCGCAGTGTTTACCGGTCGACTTGCGTGGCGATCGTCGGACAATAAAACTCGTCAAGGTGTGAAATCATTCAGTGATCAGTGAGAAATCTGATCAATTTTGCAGGAAAGGAAGAGAAAATTGTTCCACAGTCAAGTTTACGAAAGTGAAATCGGGATGAAGAAGTTGTACATTCAGGTTGGTCAAGAAGTTATTAGGCGTGGGAAACTTGTCGGATTAAACGTTGCATTCAAGTCACAAAGCATCCTCATTCTTAATTCTAGTTTTTGCATTTGCAGTGTCGCTCAGTACCAATCACAAATAACATTCGCCATTTTTTACACCTGTGCAAATCGGAGCCATGATTTTTATGTCTCGAGACGTGAAAACCCCCAATTTTACGAGGCCCCCACGCGTAGACCCCTAAATTTATTCGTTTTTTTTTGTTGTTACTCACAATGTCTATATACATAACGAACACTCGTTTTTCAGACCGCCAAAAAGTTGGCCGCATTTGGTTGCAAAGTTTTCCAAGTGAAAGAGTTGCTACACGGCCGAACACTGCGTAAAGTGAGTTTGGGCTCTTATGAATCCTCTGAACATTTCACTCATTGCCTCCACTTTTCTCTGTCCGTTTCTCGCCGCGTTCTGTTTACGTATCCGGAGGCAATGGGGGGAATGACTCAAAAGTGCATCGGCACAAGCTGTTGTTGTTCCATGACCTCGTCGTTTTCCTCACTTTTGTTACCACTTTTCTTGCCCGCCTTCATTTATTTTCATCTAGTTTTTCTCTATTCTAAACACTGTCTAACTTTCTTGCCTTTCCTAAGCCGTCGCCAAATCGGAATGCTGAACAAACAGTGTACTCAACACTCAATTTTTCACAATTTGCCTGTTTTCCGCGAGTGTCTTGTTTGTGACTTGGAGAAAGGACAGAACGGTTGCGAAATGAGTTCATACAACGGAAATACTATAGATTCCCAAAAGTTGTAAACTGGACTCTGGACCCATACAATTTATCGTTTCCATGTTCACTCATGGTTTGATGAAAACGTGTATTTTCAAGTTTCAATTCAATTTCCAAATGGCGCGGTCCTTCTACTTATTGTCAAACAAACATTACTTTCATTCAACATTCTGATTAGTTCCGGAAACTTGTTTTGAACTGGATATATTCGCGAAAGACCTGCGAGCCGAGTGATAGTGAGTAATATTGACACGCACTCGAGCCTACCCCCAGCGTATCGAATAGTGATTGTGCGAGGTGGGAGGCGCATTGTTTTGTGGCTTTGTTCTTAGCAGACTCCTCACTTCAAACATCGGCCACCCCCGTCTTTAACAGTCGCTCCGCCCTCTCTTTCGTTCCAATTTTTGAAAACAACTCGCTCACACTTGAAAAATAGATTGGTTCTTGATCTTGATCCCAAATCAAAAGCCGAAAAGTTCTTAATCCACGCGGCTGCGCGTCTTTTGTGTTTGCTCATTGTGAACGGTTTTTTGCAGAAAAAAGTAGAATGTTTTAATCGGATGAGAAGTTGAGAAAATGAGAAGTTGAGAAAGTTGAGCGACCGCCTTTTAATTCAAGAAAATTCAGTGTCCAAAATTTCCGAACATTTGAAAATAATTTACAATAATTTGTTTATTCCGTAACTTGCAGGCCACCAAAATCTTACAAGTATCAAAACATGAAATTATTACAGTAATCGAGAAGTTTTTCTGAACATGAGTCAGGCAATTACCATTAGGTTCTTTTCGGCACGAACAACGGCAACGCCAATATTTTTCTCTTTTCATTTTTTCAACCGTCTGCCTTCTTCTCTGCTCCCTTCTCCTCTCATTTCCGGATCTTTTTTTTATCAAGTACCATCCCATAACCTCAAGATTTCTGTGAAATTCCTGGGTTTAATTGTCCGAGAACATGGCGTACTTTCGACATTTTTCAAATTGTTTACTCATCTCACCTCAGAACGTGTTTGTTTTCGTCTAAACAAGTAGTTTTGGGTTTTGTTCGACACAACGATCAGGCGACATCTTGAAAGCTCTCAAAGCTCATGTGTTGAATCACCATCACCCGCATAATTGCGTCGTTCTCACAAAATTCATCTTCTCTTTTTTCTTTTCACTCTTGAGGAAAATTCATATGTCGGAGAAGAGATCGCATGTTTGCAAAGCACGCCTTCTTGCCCATCCCTTACCCATTTTTCTCTCCATTTCATCAGTTCAGTTCTCAATCCTTTTTGGTTCTTTGTGTGTTCGATATCGAAACGGTCGCTATTCCCGCCGTCTAATAGTGGTTTTGCCCACAGACTCTTCGGCTCCTCTGTCTGTCTTCTGCTCAATTGTGCCTGTTGGACGGATCGACTAAACTTGTGTTGAAACGACAGCACGCGTCGACCCTTCAACAGTGGAGAGTTGGTGGTGGGGTCAGCAAGCATCAACTGCTGCTGGAATTCCGTGGAACAAAGTGGCAGCTCATCGGTAAGTGAAATGGTGTTAGAAACGAGTTACAAGCTTTCACTCTCGTATGTTTGACCTTTGCCTTCGAGAAATGATCAAAATTCAAAATTCATACGCACAGGAAATCCACTTCCTGTCCACTGTTTCTGAGAGTAATCCAATATGAAACAAAAACGTATCCATTTTTGCAGCGCCATCGTATAATGCACTGAAGTCGATATCGATGACATTATGGGAGATTATGCAAAATTCTGCTAGCAATTCAATCCAGCGGAGTCTCAACCAGTCGATGCATCGTTCGCACACCGAGGCCACTGTTTGTACGTTTCTCGCTTTTGTCCTTGCGTCTTTTTCTCTGAAAACATTGATAGTCACAAAGAACCGAACTGACAAGTATGCCGGTAGGGCCATTCACAAATCCAATCACACGCAAACGACTCCTCATTTGAGAAGGAAAGGGGTGTAATGCGTGCCCGGGTACATTCCTGCTATAGGCCGCCCATTCCACAACCCTAATTGATCCTAAGAGATTTCACCGACGCCCCGACCAACCTCCTTTCAAAAAACTGGAAAATTTTTGCACTTTTATCTTTTATCTTTCTATTTTTATCGGTAGCAAAAAGTGAAACCTCAACATAATGAGTCTTATCTTGTGAACCGTCCGATTCTGATTGTGATTGCACCCCTGATCTATGAATATACCTAGTTTTGACACTGATATACTCCAAACACGTCATTGTGACCTTTTTTTGATTTGGAAATCCGGATAAATGCAAATGAACACCACTCCATGCTAGTTACATTTCTAGTATCATTTGAACTAAACAGAAAACAGAAAACACTTTTGCCCATCTATGATTACTGTAGGCTGATAGACGGTGCCCTGAATGGCTCTCTAAACACTTCTTTACTTCTCTCCACCTACTTTCGTTCATTGGAATTCGACTCGCCTATCAAATGCACTGCGGAAAACAGCCTGCTTCGTTATCAGCCCCGGTCCGATAGTGATTCACTTCGGTGATCTGCTCCCCTTTGCGAAACAACACGATTTCCGTCCTTCGAACAACCGTCACTGCCGTTCTCAAACGGATAAAAGTGCGGGAGACAACATAAATATGAAAACGATACACAGACACTACGTGTCTCTTTCCTTTTTCTTTTCCTTGCATGTTCCTCCTCGCTTCTCTCTCTCTCTCTCTCTTGTAGATCTCTCGCCCTGTTTCGTCTTTCATGCAATCACTTACAGTATTCATTGTGATTGACTATTCCCAATTATAAAATGCAATGAATTGGGATACTCTGAAAAACGTGCTGAAAGCACGGAGGATCACGAAACGAACGATTCCAGCCTACATTCATCGTAAGTCTTCTGACTACAGTAGTCTAATTACAAGTTTTCTGTCACATGCCAATGTCACATGCCAACTCACTGAGTCAGAATCTTTAATTTCTGGTTAGACAATAATGTTTATTTTTGAACTCTTATCGCTTTGACGATAAGAGTCCACAAATCAACGGAACTAACTACTATTAAAAAGTTCAATGAATAAGGAGAAGGGAAGTTCTTTGTGCACTTGATATCAAACTCAACTTGTAATCACAATCACGTTTTTAACAAATTCCAACCGTATTTTATTACCTGGAGGAACGTTTATTTTTGGTTTGTTTTCCGTGGTTTGAAGTTTGTTTTACTGTTAGAGGTGTCAGGACACACATAGTGATGTTGCCTTATTTCAAAATTCAAATGCGCCATTCATCCACCGCTAGAACACATTTCTAATGCCAGTCAACTCATATATTGAGCGCCTGAACAATGGCGACCCAAGTATTCAGTGATTTGTCAATTTTTCGTGTTTGCTCTCCTCTTCTTTCCAATATGCTAACCAATCAGTGCGAACTGAAAAATATGAACGAAATTCTCAAGGGGATCCCCGCATCGCTTCTATCCGTGGAGCTCAGTGCGGCTGCGGCAGCTGGGCACGCAAGATCCAAGATGCCTTTTCTTCGTGCCTCCTCCCCCTTTTTTCTTTTTTCGCCCATTTATCTGCCGCCCGCCTTCTAGTAGATCCGAGTCGAAATTTTTGCTTTCCTCAAAACGGGTGCCGTGTTTATCTGCTCATTTTGGCACGAAACATTCAGCTCTGATATTCTTTTATTCATTCGTTTCCTGAATCCTTGAAATGCTAACACAATGCCGCACGAACGTAAAATGACGTCTGTGGTATCCCGTTTGCTTCATGCTCTCGGAAGGTCACATGATCACGAAGAACCAGAAGTTGCTCCGGATCCGGATAGTCTTCTGGTCTATGTCTGTAAATTGGGTGAGTAGTGAAATGCATCCGGAACTTTTCGCTGTTTGCCATTTTCTTTTTCAATCCCCATAAGGATGGTGGTGGGCGTGCAAAAAAACGGATGTCAAAGCGCATCTAACTTTTTTATATGAAAAATGTTCGCTTCTTTCTTATCTTGGACGAGGGTTCGGCTTCAAGATTGAGATGTGGATATAGGCTTGTCACTAGAAACTTTAAATTTCGAACAAAAACCAAGTTGGATGTTTCAATGGAATCCGTGTACGCATATGACTTCAAAGTGAGAGTGAGCAAAGAAAGCCCCAAATTTAGCAAATCAGGCCCAATTGAATTGTTTGCGAGCCGTTTTTCTGTCTTGTTGCTCGTGTAAGTTTGACGCTCAAATAATTTGGTTGTGCCTCTCTTTTTGTCCCGAATTGCAACGAGACGTGTGCAGAACGCGGCTGTCCAGTTGTCCACGTTCTTCTGTTTCGACCCCCAACTTTTACAAATTTGTTTCGAGCAACAGATATGCATAGAGCTTGTCGTCCCCCAAACATCTTTTCAACTAGGACAAAATGAGAGAATCACGGAAAGAGTGAGAGAGAGAGAGAGAGAGATTCAAAATTGCAACACAATACGAAGAGCACAATTCAAAACCCTAATTGCACACAGAGCGGCATTTTTTGGGGGGAAAGAAGGCTCGAATAGCCAGCTGATTGTTGGTCGTTTGGTTGGGAAGAATGGCGGATGGGGGTGAAGTATATTATAGGAGAACAAAAAGAGGATTGGAAATGGAATGAGGTCTAATGGGATGCGTTTTTTAGCGACGTCGCGAAGCGATTCGACATCGTCGACACAGTCAGCCACTGCCGGATTCATTCTCAATGAAGAGCCAATCACTTTGTTTCGACTCGAACTTGAACGACTTCAATACATTCTTCATTTCCCGGAAGAAGTTGCATTTCAGGTATTTGGTTTCGCTGTCAATAGCTGATAACTCAAAGATTATTTCAGCTCTCTTCGACCGAGTATCAACTGTTCTACTCGATTCAGCCCATGGACTATGTCCGATATGTCAGTTGTGATCTGACATCTGTGCCAGTCTCTGAAAACCCGAGTCCGGTCAGAAATCTTGTGAAAAGACTCTCTGAGGTACTAAAAATCAATCACTCATCTGTTCCGTAACATTTTATTTCACAGGTATCTTCTTGGATAACTCACGTCATTGTCAGTCAGCCGACTCACGACGACCGTAAAATAGCTCTGACTGCCATTCTGAGAATAGTTGAAACGTGCTGGAACATTGGAAACTTTAATGCTGCCGTAGAGGTTCTCATGGGATTGAAAAGCGAAAAACTGCGTCCGTTTTGGCTTTCCCTGCGGCTAGAAGAAAAATCTCAGTTTGATTCAGTATGTTCCCCAAATTGAGGTAAATTCTGCTTCATTTTCATTTACTTTCAGCTCTGCGAAACATTGTTGCCAGCCAACCAGGCGCTCCCATCTCAAGCGTACATCAATGCGGTCCAAAGAGCTCTCCGAATGCCCCAATCTCGTGTCATCCCATTTTTCGGAATATTTCTACGTGATCTCTATGCCATTGTCAATGACTTGCCAAATATTGTTGTGATCGGGCATGAGGGTGAAACACAGAAGTTAGAATTCATGAACGATCCCAATGGCGAAGATCATTTCTCATCGAGAATCGGAGTGGGAGGTCTACTTAATGCTGACAAAATCAATCTTGTTGCAATCGGTCAGTCAGCATAGGATTATACGGGAGTAATGCAATTTTTATTTCAGTTCTTGATAACTTGGAGCTCTTCCATCGTCACAGTCGAACCATGATCAAGCACTTGGAAGACGCGGCGATCCCAGCCGCCCAAATACCACAAAATGAGCGGGAACAGAAAGAGAAAGAAGCAAAAAGTATGTGAACTTGTTCTGTTCCAACGAAAACCCAATTTCAGCGTACGAGCCAGTGCAAGTGGTGCGCGGGTCTTCCCATGGAGTGGCTCTCATTCCCCTGGACACTCTTACGTTCGACCTCGATGTCATCCAACGCCTACAACATGGAACCACAGTCATCCACTATGAGCCAGATTCGGGAAGAAGCAACTTATGTCTGCTTAGACTGGATCCGAGTTGCGGGCAAATAAACTGGCACAAGATTTCATACTCTGTTAACAAAGACCCCAAGGAGAAAGTGAGTTGGTTTGATGGTAAGCACGATAACTATTTTGTTGCAGGATGTGCTCGCGAAGGTCTCGGTTTCAAATCTCCAGCCATTGGATTCTGGAAGAGGAGCCGCGTCTCCAATGCCATCGGGAAGAACTCCGGGCACTGGAGGAGCTGGAATTGAAGAGGGAGAGCTCAAACTGAGCGTTGTGAAAGGCGTCGAACTGGTGGACAGTTATGACATTGACATTGAGGTAGAGCGTTATGACATGACACATTCAAGAAAAGACACATTCAGGCAATTTACCGCCGTCATTCCGTTGAAGAAATGTCGGTTCCGGTGTGCTGCTGGAAGGTCAGTCATGGTCAACTATTGTCTGACAACGAGTTCATTTACTTCTTGGCTCCACAGCAAATCGCCCACTTCTGGACGAACGGGTTGCAATCTGTATGTGATGAAAACTTTACGAACACTCTTTTAAACTAATTTTCAGGTAGTGAAAAGTCTGCAGAGACAGCAGAAATACCCGGACCGACGCATGCTTTGGATTAAGAACGTGTACCTCTCATTGTATGAGATTACCGGCGAAGCCAACTGTGGACCACGGCCCTACGAAGCACTTCAGGCATTTGGTGGGCGGGTTGAGCGTTGGAAAGGCTTTGGTTTGTTTTTTCGTTCTTGTGATAGTGACAGTTTGGGCTTTGCGACAAGCAATCAAAAACAAAATTATGTTATTTATTTTTTATCGCTTCATTCTCCGGTCGGCTTCAACCTGTACGCGTGTCTTTCTGTGTGTGCAACAGAGAAATAGTGCGGGGAGGTTAGATGAACATCATAATCATAAACGTGCTTATCTTTATTGCCGTGAACTTCATCGGCCGCCCTCCTTTCGGTTTTTCGATTTCTGGAGCTGTGCCCATCCGCTGTCAAGCTGTTCAATGACTATGCAAAATGTGTCTGTAACTCTCACACTTCTAGGATTGAGCCAGACGAACAGTAACGCCACGAGACCCAACGACTCCTCGTTGTCCAGCGAGCCAGGAGGCGCTAAAAGCAGGTGAGTGGTATCAAGTAAACAGATACGAGCATGACTAGTACTGATCAACAACACTTTTTCTGTCTTCAGACTAAAGAATTTGAAAAATGCGATGCAGAAGAAGCTTCGTGGAGCATCCCGTGAAGGCAGTCGATCTCAGTCCCCTCAACCCCACTCCCCACTTGTCCGACCTCCATCCATCAAGTCACAAATCTCCTCACAATCCGGTCCTCCCGGCCCGAATTCTCCGGGTTACTTGCTGAAGCCACGTGGCGAACCAGCAAACAGCGATGCTGGTGACATTGACAGCCTTTACACACCGAGGTCCAGAACTCCGACCAGCAGCTCCTATGGAGGTCAGTCAGTGTTATGAAATATTCATACAGAGCGGCTATTTTTGGCAACTACGCTGTATGTTGTGTTACTTCGACAATTGCTGATAGCATAGCACAAGACTCTCGGGAAAAAACGTGTCAGAGAAAGAAAAAGGCGATTTTTATAGTTTTTCGCTCACTATCTTACAATTAAAAGGTGTTATTTTATGCGCTTGATCTTTACTATTTCAGGTCGTTCTGTCGGAGGAAGGTCGACAAAATCATGGAGATCGCGAGGGGGAGAGACTCCGAACTCGGGCTCTATCAGCAGTTCGGGACAGATGTCGATTCAGGTGTCCGGGCTCAGCGGGCCTTCTGGAAAAGAGTTTCAGGAGAAGCCTCTGACTCTGGTCGAGTTTGCAGAACTTTTCCGATTGTTTAACACCAGAATGAGAAAGGATTTGAGGTAGATCTTAATTTCTCATTTCGATCCCCCATATTTCGTTTTCAGAGATGTTTTCAACGATGTCTTGTCCACAGCCACAACGCCACAACACTGCGCAAAACGAGAGCGGGATCGTCACAGCCCGCGGATGCAATCAAGACTGGCGAGTGTCTCAAACTCGTACAACGCAGACTTCCTGTCGAATGGTAGGTCAAACAACACACGCGATGACAACAATCAGCCGTTTGTTTTCAGACTTCCTGACCCGTAACACCACTGTCACTTCGCATCATATCAGCGAGAAACAGAATAAGATCTATAATGCACTTGCTCTTGCCAGCGTTAACAGGTTAGCGTTGCTATTTCTATTTCCGGCCTCTTACGTAAACCCACAGCTAAAAGTAGTCTAATTTTATTTCCAAACCAGCACGCTCAAGTGCCTCTGATTAATGCATGAAGTCATACTCAGAAACATTTCACTCCCTGTTATTATCTGATTGTCAAAAAAGATGAAAAGAAAAGGAGCCATCTAAACGGCAAACAAGACAACGTCTCACGTTTGATTCATTACAAATGAAGTGGTGACGTCGCGTTGTGGATGTAGGTGTGAACAAAGCGGTCGAAGCCGAGAAAACGCAGACTTTTCTTATGTATTTGTTCCGTCTGAAGTGGGGAGGAAAAGCAAGAAAGAGTGTTGTAACTTTGAACAATTTGCATATAAATTATTTATGTATTCGCGGCTCCTACTTCTAAGTCATAGCGGGGATGGGGAAGGGAATGGAATGTAAGTAAGAATCCACGTATGATGTGATATAAAAAATGGCTCCCAGACACTTTTGAAGAAGAGAAAAAAGCGTAAAGAAAACACTCTTTGAAAAGAAGCAACTGGGTCGCCGTCAACTCCCACGCTCGTCATTCTTTTGAAAGTTTATGAATGAAAATCATTATCTGAAATGAGTCGATCACATCATAGAAACAAAGAACACCCATATTACCTTACTGTAATATCTTATTTCTCACTTTCAGCATGGGTGGCCTCATGGACACGTCACGATCCTCGATGCTGACGCCGCAAATGCTGCGCGCGTTTGTCAACACTCATCAGATGGAGCAGATTGACGAGCAAACGGCAATTAAGCTCATTCAGGTAAATTTCGGATTTCCGTTTACTTTCACTTCCTCATTTGAAAAGCGCAACTTTTTGTGTCCAATGTTACATTACTTTATTAACATGAGTGGTTGGAAATATACGAATCCCGTTGATAGAAGAAGAAGAAGTTTAGTCGTTAAAGTGGTCAGACGCCGACGAAACCACCGCAAACACGAACATTTTTTGGGGGCGAGGGAAGAGTTGGAAGAGAGGGAAAAGGATTGAGTCACACAAAATTGACATTTAGGAAAGAAAGAAAGAATGGAAGAATGGAAGAAACTAGAAAGGGAGAAAGGAAGGGCAAGTTACATTGACGTCCTTTTTATTGGATAGAACAGCACATTTCTCTCCGAGCGCTTTCTTTGCTGATTCGCTCCTGCTGCTCATCGACTTCGGCGGCAAATGAAACCTGAAAATTTTTTTGTTCGAAACCCGGAAATGTTGTGCAAAGAAAACCCAGAAAGAGAAAAGAGCCACTTGAAATTTACAAGAGCTCTTCCCCCCTCACCAGTAGATTTTCTAGCTCCTTCTTTATCAACTAACCTTTTTTGGCATAGTGGGAGTCGCTGACACGTCCGGATGTTGAAGAGTCGTTAGCGATGTCTTGTTTGTCGTTTCCACAGCGCCATAGGCTTCAACATCTTGAGTTTTCGCCCACGTGGCAGCACTGCTCGCGGGAACATCTTCCCCTTCGCTCGGTCGGGGCATTGCGATGAGAATGGCGAGAAGTGACAGAGGCGAGAGAGGGGCGGGGTTGAGCAGCACCTTTTCGCGACCGCCTCGGTTCCTCTCTTTCTTTCTGCGGTTAGAGGCAAAAGAGAGGGGTGTTCTGCAGTTGGACATTTCGATTAGAGATTACATTAAGAGGTCAGAAAAGAAGTGCGGAAATGGATGATGTTAGCAGAGTACGTGTAGGGATTGAAAAAATAAGAAATATTGCAACCTAGCTATAAGTCTTTATGTGAAACGTATCAATTTTGAATCTCGGAATAACGCATAGCAACAGGGACACGTGGGTGTTCGCCAACGAACAACTTGCAAAAACAATTATTAGTTATCAGTCTGCTGCTCCATCTGCTGCTCTGAGAATACGGGGAAGAACTCAATGAAACTAGAAAATAGCCACATCTAAAACGTGCACGCCCCCTCCTCCGCAATCTTTTTCACACGGTTGCTCTTTCAAAATCAAGAATTGCTCTCGATTTTCCCATTGAAGGGCACTGCATTAGAACGTTAGTATTTCTGGGCAGAGGTCGAATCGAAAAACGGAAATCTCGTCAAAGAAATCTAGAGGCTTTCAGCAGATACGGCCTCTCGGGTTGACGTCCCCCGGGGAATGCGTGCCCGCTCTGTTTTATTTTAATTTATGAGGGCATCCCCCCTACGAAACTGGAATTTCTTTTCCGCTTCTGCTGCTCATTTGGTGAACTTTGATCCAAATCAATCGTCCGGGATGGACTTCACATGGCAACATGTGAGGGCCATGAAAAGCATAGCAAAAGCTTATAAAATACAAGACGAGAAGCATAAAATGTGTGTTTTAGGAGCACGAACCGGATGCAACATGCCGTCAAAAGAACCAAATGTCGTTCGAGGGATTCACCCGATTCCTGTGTGACCCGGTTAATTTTGCATTTGTTCCTGAGACAATCGAGCCGGACGAGGAGGACTTGAGATATCCGCTATCTCACTACTACATCAACTCGAGTCACAACACCTACTTGACGGGCCATCAACTGAAGGGACCGAGCAGTTCCGAGATGTACAGACAGGTAAGTCAGAACGGAAACGACGTGAGAGACTTGACAACTTCCTGCGAAGAAAACAGGTAGTACCCATCAAATGATAAAGAAGTGTTGACAGAAAAACAAAGCTTTTAGGAGAGAAGGGACCGGGAACCGGCGGGAGGGTGCAAGTTCAAACATCACTTTTGAAAAGTGCAATCTATTTCTCGCAGGAGGGGAGGAAATTATCCAATTTCCACGATTATTCAGGGCGCCTAGTCTGTTTCTTCTTGATTAGTGACGCGCTATTTTAACCAAAACCCTGATGCTCTTTGAATTTTACTCATTTATTATGATTTTAGTCAAGTCTAGCTTTTTACCACGAGCGTCATATAGTTGGCATTTTATCAAGCTGAAATTGAAAGTGCAGTAACATTTTTGAAAGCCTCATATTAGACAAAAGTCCAAGTTTATGGGGTTTTCGGTGAATAAAAGAACTCAGATCGGTTCAGGGGGTCGAATGATGTTGTAGAGAAACTTGATACTCGACTTGACGACTACGTCCCCCTGGACGAATACGGAGAAAAACAAAAAAAAGGTAGGTAGTCGGTTGATGAAGAGAGAAAACACCAGACGTCTCCTCCTTTCCTTCTCTTTTTCACAACAGACAGCAAACAAATATCCGGGAGTAAGCCAAATGCTCCAGAAGAGGGCGAAAGGCGGGTCATCGGACGGGCCGCTGTGTGGGCACAAGGGCACCGCTGCTCCCGGAGCAGGAGCACAACGAGAGCCGCTCATTTCAGCACCCCAACGGGCGCGTACGCATGTGTTTCAATGTGCATGCGTTTTGCCTTTCGGGGGCAAAAACGTTTTTTTCTTCTTCTTCTCGCTCCTCCCTCACTTCTTTTTGAAATTGGCACCAGAATAAAGGCGCACACAAAGCGGGTCATCTTGAGAGTGATGGGAGGAAGAGAAGGTGTCTGCAATTGACATAAACAATCCAGTTGGGATCCTGGTTCTCAGTCCCTGGCCACTCATTATACGTGTTTACTGACCCGGGTATGTTAATAACGGACTTTGAGTGAACAGCAAACAAAAGGGCAAAAAAACTCGTTGGCCGGAAGCACAATAGTCTCCGAAAAGAGGAATGAAAAACTTACCCTAGCATAGATCGCATTTTCTGTTTTATGGTGTCAAAAGATAAAACCTCGCGGGGCTAATATATTGGATTTATCGTAAAAAAACACAATCACCCACGCACCAGGCACAGAAAAAAAACAATAAAGAAGAGTGAACGTGAAAATAAAAGAAAATAAAACATTCTTGAAGGTGCTTCTGACCGGATGCCGATGTGTTGAGCTGGATTGTTGGGATGGAGATGACGGGCTCCCGTTGATCTATCACGGACACACTCTAGTCAGCAAAATAGGATTTCGACAGGTTGGACTAGGGACTGGGGATTGCGAATTACACAAAACGTTCAGGTTGTGGAAATCATCAAGAAATCAGCGTTTATCACTTCTGATCTGCCTGTGATTTTGTCTATTGAGAATCATTGCTCTCTTCAACAGCAAGCAAAAATGGCCCAGATGTTCAAGACAGTGCTTGGCGATCTGTTAGTTACTAACTTCCTGTTCGAAGCTGATTTCTCCGACTCTCCGAGACTGCCGTGCCCACTCCAACTCAAGAACAAGATTTTGATCAAGAATAAGAAGATGATTGGTATTGACTATAAGTAATGTTTCGAAAATAACACACAATTTCAGTTGACCCACCGACACCGCTGCCTATGGTCGAGCGTGGAGCCATTCAAAGAGGGGAAACCCAACTGACCCTTCACAGAAAACAAAGCAAGAATTCGTATGAAAGCAGGTAAGTAGATACCGGAAAATATGATTATGCTCAAAAAATGAATAAATTACCTAACACGCATTTCACTTGCAGCAATTCGAACTCCATCTTCCGATCTAGGTACTAACCTTTAGAGTGAAATAGATATAATCAAACCTATTACCCTCAGTTTTCACAATTTGGTTCATACCGCCTTGAATTGTGCTAGAATTTATAATTTTTCTCTTCACACACTTCCCCCAATACTCCCCGATCACTTCTTCTTTGAATGCACACCTAATTAGTTCTGCATGTAAAACTAAATTACAGTTGGAAATGACATTTTTTCAGTACGGTCGACGAAGTTGAGGATGATGATCTTGATGAGTTTTTGGATGATGAGGAGAATGAGGAGGATGACCCAGAAGAAGTGCCGGTAAGAGGAGAGAAAGATGACAGTCCGAAGGCATCGAAGAGAGCGGAAAAGACAGCCAGAAACATCAAGCAACAAGACTCGTTGTGCAGTGATCATTCGGTGGAGCAGGCAAAGCCTTCAACCAGCAAGACCACATCCAAAGTAAACGCTAATAACCTAATAAAAGCTAAAGCGCAACTCTTCACACTTTCAGGCAAATGAGCAAAAGACGGAAGATGAAGTGCTGTATGCTCAACTAGCGCAGAATGCAATCCGCAACCAACAACCCCGGAAGAACAACACGGGTGTACAAATAGCACCGGAGTTGTCGGATATTGTCATTTACATGCAAGCCACCAAGTTCAAAGTAGGCAAGATTGCAGAAAACCAAAACAAAATCACGTCATTGCAGGGATTTCCGCCAGTGGAAGGCATTCAGTCGCCGAGGATTACGGAAGAACAGCAGGCATCCGCCAGTCTGTCATTCTCGTCGAGAGCCAGAACGCCGTCAAACCTTCTGAACACACCAGCACCTCCGAGACGTCAGCGGAGCAGTACACAGCTCAGTCAGGAGCTGACTGCCGAATTCGTGGGGACCGGTCGGCCGAATGCGACAGCCACGTGCTATCAGGTCACGTCGTTGAATGAGAATGCAGCAAAGAAGTTGATGAAGCGACACCCGGCCAAGTGTATCTCATACACTCGTGATCATGTACGTGCATTAAAAAGAGTGATAGGAAAATTTTGCTTTTATTCAGTTAATTCGCACATATCCAAGTGCCAAGCACTACGACTCCTCCAACTTTAACCCTATCAATTGTTGGGCTCATGGAATGCAGATGGTGGCGCTCAACTTCCAAACTCCTGACGTCATCATGGCTGTCAACCAGGCAATGTTCGAACAGTCTGGAAACTGCGGATACCAACTGAAACCAAAATGTCTTTGGGACGATTCTCACCTGCTGTACAACAAGTTCTTGCCTCTTTCGAAGGATATCTCCGGTCACTCTGCTCTCCTTCTCAATCTAACGGTTAGTTATAAGCTCTACACTGCCAGTTTTTATGCAAATATGTCAATTTTAGATCATTTCCGGTCAGCACGTTTACCCAAACACTCACTACGCGAGTCTGTACGTGGAAATAGAAGTGATCGGAATTCAAAACGATTGTGTCCGCGAGAAATCGAAAGTGGTCCAAAGGAACTCAGTGAATCCGATCTGGAACCACACAACTCAACTGCGTATTGCGTGCGTCGACCTCGCCTTTCTTCGAATCGCCGTTTGCGACAGCGGCCAGAACGGACGAGTAGTGGCGCATCGCGTGGTCCCTGTCAAATGCATTCGGCCCGGATTCCGACACCTTCCCCTCCGAACCCCAGCGAATCTTCCGATTGACAATGCAATGATTTTCATAAGGTACACACATAACACGTGCGGGGCAAGCTTTGTCAACACGAAGCGTTTATTTCAGGTCAACACAAGAAAGTTGTACCGAGAGTATTTAGCTTTCAATGTAATAACACACTCACAACATAATATACTAGTTTTGTATTAGTACCTCACACAGTTTGAAACACTTTATGGCATGCATTTGCTAGATTCAAAAGTTTCTATATTGATATTGTTGCCGTATTGTAATTGGTCTCACGTTTCAGAACCAGATTCGAACAGGAGGAGCACATTTACCTCCACGACGATGATTCGAATGCGTACTGCAATCTCGAGCACACTTTGGCTTATAGAACCGATTTGGTACGCGGAATTTGATTTGATTAGCACGTTTTCATAGCGCTTTTCGTTTTAGACTCCCCACCTTTCACCCACTCCCATTTTGAAAAAACAAATCTTCGTTCTCCGCATCACGGGCGCTTTCGCTGACGAAACGGCAATCACTGTACACAGCGAGTCGGGAAGTACTGTGAAGACGGTGATGCAGCAAGCTCTCATGAATGCCGGAAAGAATGCGGATCAAGTGGAGGAGTATGTTTTGATAGAAGAAGCCATTCCGATTGCGTCTGGAGAGGATCCTATTGAACAAAGAGTAACACAGTCTGTTGTAGATGGAAAAGTCAGATGAATGTTTTCAGATACTCCCGCTCCACGAACCGATCATGGATGCTGTCGCATGCTGGAACGGTTCGATGCGTCGATTTGTGTTGCGCAAGAAAGGCAGTGTGAGTTACGAAGAAAAACGTCGTCAGCGCAAAACTAGCAAATCGTCACGCAAACTGAACTGGGCCGCAACGTTCGACGCGTCCACACTGTCGGCGAACGTATGAGACCAACTCAACCTTCACATTCCTGTTTTCTCAACTCACTACAAACCGCTTTGTGAACTCTTGCTAATATTGTAACTCTCTCTCTCTCTCTCTCTCTTCACCTACCGTATCTTCATTTCTTTTCCATTTTCTAACTAGCCGACTTCAAATGATCGACAAAGGATCACGAGGAACGGGGCATAGGTGAGAACTCGACTGACACGACTGAACAACAATATTTCCGCGCCGTGCAGCAAAGGGAATGGCTGTTGAGATTATGTAGTGGCTTGTGTGTGATATGCTAGGAATATTGGCCTTTCATGAGCATGACTAATTGATCTCATTCCGCTGCTTATGCCGGCACGGATTGTTGAATTGACCTGAATTGATAGCTGATGTATTGATGATGTAACCAACGCTTTGTTCTGATCTTCTAACAGTTTTTATGGAGTTCTGATAATTTGGAGTGATTTGTGTCTCCTTTGCTTCAACCTTCAATTGTTCTGTTTTCTAGGACCCATCCTCAAGAGCTTGGATCACTTCCATCATAAAATCGGGTACCAGTGGCAGCTCAACATCAGTTTCGCCAAGCCCATTAACCAAAGATGGTCACGTAAAGAGTGCGTCGAGCAACCAACTTCACGGCCGATCATTGGACACTGATGCTTTTGGCGAGCACCTCGACGTGACAGAAGGCAAGTGTAAGAACTATTTCCATTTGGTTCCCATTCTCAAAGCACCGATAATTGAAGGGTTGAATCCGAGAGCTCGGTCTATGGTCGGCGACACATTTTTGGTCTGTGTGCACAATGTCAGCGAGGACCAGCCATACGCTATTCTTCGTGCTGGAGTTAACAGTACTGCTGCTGATATTATCAGACAAGTAATATAAAATTTAAAGAAACACTTTGTGGAATTAGATTTTTTCAGGTGTTCGTCAAAGTTCGTCGTCCAAATTTAGATGACGCAGAATTTGTTCTTGTGGAAGAAACGTGCGACGACACCAAGAGCAGCCAGGGTCAAAGTATGCTACAAGCTCTCTCACTGGCGCGAAAAAAGAGCAATGACCGTAGGCTATTTCATCAATGTTCCCTCATTCTCTGTCTATCTTGTTTTGTGCCACGGTTTCTTTGCACTTTTTTCAGCGCACTTTTAAGTATAACTTCTACTATCTTATGTGTTTCTGTTACATATTTCCAATTGAGCAGTATGAAAAGAACAATTTCAGTGACGCCAAAATATCCGAACAGTCGCACAACAAGCCGGGTCCTGGGTCCCACTGAAAACGTCTACAATGCGCAATGTCGCTGGAAGTCAACCGGCAGATTTGTTCTTGAGAACCGCAAGGACACTGTCCACGCAACACTCGAAAAAGTGAGATCATTTATTTCGAAACTGGAAGCTGCTAAAGCAAGCATTGAGCCTTGAATGATTAATTCCACTGCACCGTTTCTCCCCCGAAAAAACGTTTTCACCAAAACATCTCGAATCACTGTCAACTTCTATCCCTATCACTTTTTCCCAATTTTCACTTTACCTTTCTTTCTCCCTTTCCGTTTCGGATACATTTGTGTTTTATTTCTTTCCAGAACAATTTTCCGCATGTTTTTTTCTGCATAATCGTGTGTACCTTTACCAAAAACCGTTGTATAATATAAGTGACTACCGAAATGAGAATTCTCCTCTCTAACTCAATTTCTATTGCCACTAACATGTCTTAATAAATATAAAATGGGTCATTATGATAACTACATTCCGACTGCCTGGTGTTCTTTGGATAAGACTTTTAAGGATCAGAATTTTCTACAGGAATTCATTGAAATGGCTCAGAAACTTCGGGAAAGTATTCCGAAAAAGGAAGAAATCTATTACATGATCTACTATGCAGGATTGCCGGGCGAAGACATTTGAAAACAGGCAAACTTCTATACACTACTCATTTGCATCGTTGTTCCTTTCTATCCGTGAATTGTGGTTTTATAGTACTCTATTCTTTTGTTCAACTGTCTCTATGCATTGTATTCGAATATTGTTTAGTTCTCTTCTTTATTCTATTCGTAACCTAACATAATCTTCTACAATTGCAGTCATTGTTCACATTTGACTGCACAGCTTCTCTTTTCCAATCAGTACGTGCACCTGTAATGTATAGAATGCGTTTTAGGGTAGGCGTGTGGAAAGCACAACTTCTTCTTCCTCCACCACGCGCAAAATAAGTTTATCCAGCGTTCGCTCAATCGGTCTTCCACGTAAAATCTCAAAGTTCGGCAAATCGTTGACGATGGATGCCGGACCCAAGTAAACACAACACATTTGGTTTCTTTTGGTCTCAATTTCCAGAACTGATAGTTTTTTGTACGTTCTCTATAGTCATAACATTTTCTTTCTTCTTTGGCCAAATTTGATTTTCTTTCCATGTTTTTCATGTTTTTTTTCATTCAATAAATGATGGGTTTAGACTTTCGTCTCCATTTTTTTTCAGTTTTCAACTATTGTTGAATTTGCTCCGTGATGCGAAACTTTTGCGTGGATGAACGAATAAAAAGGTGGTTTCTCGAATGAAGGACAGGTGCACAAACACAAATTGTCAATTGTCTTTTCCAAATAGCAGCCGAGTGATTCATCCGTTAGTAACCAGCATTCATCCGCAATGCATGCCGCTTATTTACTCTTTCTGGCAGTTTTGGCAAGGTAATCTTAATTTCATATATGAAAAACCAGGTAAAAATTGCATATTGTCCAGATGCCAAATTCATATTGCCAACGACAACTATTTTCTGGAAAAACAGCGATTGAGACGAGATAGTGAGTTAGGGGCAGGTTTCCGAGAGGCTTTTTGTTCGATTTCTTGTTTAGAAGGACAGAAAGAAGAAGAAAAAGAAGCCGTACTTTGATTGATAAAAGCCATTTTCTAAACAACCCGAACCGATCTTCAGTCTTTTGATTACAGCTGGAACCACGACGTGCGCTGATGGAATGACCACGGCTACACGAAACATTTTCGATCAAACTATCGCAAACGGAAAAGTAATAAAACAACAGATGATAGTTGGTTCAAATGAACTACATTTGTAGATATGGGACTGTACTCTCGAAGCGAAAGCGCAAGCGGTCATCAAAGAGTGTTTGTCGGACAATGGAGGGGCTACGAACGGAACTCTGAAACTCAGCTTCTCACTGACGGACAATTCAACCGCTGAATCGATCATTTCAGACTCGCAGACGGCATTGGGACTCGCTGCCAAAAATTTGAACAGTGATTCGGATGTAAGTATCGAATAATAGAAGTCTCATGAAATATTGTTGTTCAGGTGAAAGAGATCATTGGCTGCTCTTATGCCCAGTGCGAAGAAAGGGTCGACATTCTGTGTCTATACAGTAGATCGGCCACAACTACGCCACTTCCTTGACTGTCCAGTTCAATTCAATTCAATTCAATTCAATTCAATTTAACCCGATAAAGTACACTTATCAAATCAAGCCGTTAAGTTCCAGAACACTCTAAACGCTGCTGGAAATAAAATTGCTGATTAGATCAAATCAAAATCACGAGAAAAAGCGAAAACAAGATTCTTTCACTGAATCGCGCCTTTCTCTTCTTCTCTCCCTCGCGATTTTTTTGCGAAGCGTTGCCTGACAACACCGCAAATTTGCATGACATTGACACTTGTGGAAGGGTGGTTTTATTGTGGCTGAGAAGGAAACATAACAACTATAAAACGCTTCATAAAGACGACGACTACCAGAAGTGTTATGCGGCCGACAATTTTGGGTTTCACTTGTGCGCCTTCTCGCCCTTGCCAACATGATGCCCTCTTCAGCTGCGGCAGGTATTATTATTGCTTCACAGTTCTCGCTTAATTTGCATAATGGAGCGACGCCCCCCGAGAACAAAAGAGGGATGGTATCAGCTATCAAAACTAATAATTCATTACAATGTGCTGTCTGATGTGTAGTATAGTCATTTCAGCAGTGAATTGCTGGTAGGTGTCTATGTAGCTTCATTCGGCTTTTGAAAGTGTAGAGGTCAATTTGAACTTGAACTTGCGTTTCGTTAAGCCGATCTGTTCCTATTTTCACTTTCACTTCTCCCCCTTGTTTTGCTTCGACTTGATTTTGAGAAACCGAGAGAGAAAGTAAGAGAAAAAGAGGTTGTACGCCGGTCACATCGGTTCCGAGACGGTTCTTTTTTTCAGGAGACGGAAGACGTGAAAACTGGTAACCTTGAGGGGCGGCGCTTAAACTACTTCCTCTGGACCGAGTTTCTCAATCAGTTCATTTCAGCGGCGCGGCCGTCGAGTTGGTGGGCACGGAATCAGTATCACCGTCATGCTCTGTGCCTGCTAATGGCTATGAACGTGGTTCTCAGTACTATTATTCTCATACTTTTTGTCGAGTATGTTCAGGTAACTGCTACAGTAATCTTCCTCAATTCAACTAACTCCTAGCCGGCTATCAACATCAATGAGGGCAGTGGGAATGACGATTTGATTGAGGAAAACATCTGGAACGACGTGGACGACAAAGTGGTGGAAGCCCTCGGTGGCCCAGACGACGGTCAGTTCTTTCTCGCGTTTTGATGTTCTCAAAATCGTCGATGTTCAGAACTTTTGACAGATCATGTGTGTAACGAATCAACAATCACTCAGCTACAGCGCGAAATCATTCTGACAACGCACAATGAATTGCGAAGATCGTTGGCTTTTGGAAAGCAGAGAAACAAGAGAGGTCTCATGAATAGTGCGAGAAATATGTACAAACTGGTATGATTCCATGTAGAACCACACGTGAATCCCTGTTTTTCTTGTTGCCTAGGATTGGGATTGCGAGCTCGCCGAAATGGCTGCCAACTGGTCGTCTTCCTGCCCGCAATACTTCATGCCTCAGACCGCACTCGGGTCAAACGCTCAACTTTTCAAGCGGTGACCGGTTCACACTTGAACCCCTACTCAACTGTTGTCTTGTTTTCAGTTTCTATTTCTATTTTGACGGACATGATTCGACGGTTCATATGAGGAACGCGATGAAGACGTGGTGGCAGCAGGGTGAGGAGAGGGGCAATGAGGACCACAAAAACAGATTCTACGCGCGACGAAACTACTTTGGATGGGCAAATGTAACTTTTAATACTCAATTGATCACAAAAAATGCGTATTTTGCAGATGGCAAAAGGAAAAACGTACCGAGTTGGATGCTCTTATGTCATGTGCCCTGATTCCCAGTCAGCTCTGTTTACATGCTTATACAATGAAAAGTATTTTATGTTTTGCTGAATGTTTTGAATCAACTACTGTTCCAGAGCCCAATGCGAAAAAGAGATGATATATGAGAACGGAAAACCGTGTTGTGACGACAAGGATTGCTTCACCTACCCTGGATCGAAGTGTCTCATTCCGGAAGGCCTGTGTCAAGCACCACAGATTCCAAAAGGTATGAAAAGGCGCCGAACTTCTTCAGTTCCACTTTTTTCCAGATGACGGAAACAGTAGTCAGTGTGACAACCCATTAGTATCGGATTTGACAAGAAAATGGACATTGGACCAGCATAACTTTTACAGGTACTTAACCTTAAATAAAAGTGATTTTATAGTTACTAAAAAAATAATAACAGGTCGCGGTTGGCTCGAGGATTAGAGTGGAATGGTGAAACGAACAGTTCTCAGCCGAAAGCAAGTCAGATGATAAAAATGGTACTGCGAAAAAAAAGTTGTGAAATTTTCTGTGAAAAATGAGGATTCTCAGGAATATGACTGTTTACTGGAACGGTATGCACAGAACTGGGCCAACAATTGCGTGTTCGCGCATTCAGCCCATTACGAACGACCAAATCAGGGCCAAAACCTGTATATGAGTTCATTCTCGAATCCAGACCCGCGCAGTCTCATACACACGGTAATTGATCGATCTGTTCCTTTGAACCGTTATCATTATCAATCAAAAAACTGCTTAAGGCCGTCGAGAAGTGGTGGCAGGAATTGGAGGAGTTCGGTACGCCGATTGATAACGTTCTGACGCCCGAACTGTGGGACCTAAAAGGGAAAGCGATTGGACATTACACTCAGGTTTAGTAGCCGCCGTAATTTGATAACAAGTTGATGGTTCTTCAGATGGCATGGGATCGCACTTATCGACTTGGTTGCGGAATCGCCAACTGCCCGAAGATGTCGTATGTTGTGTGTCACTATGGACCAGCGTAAGTTGCCACTTTTCTCTTTTCTCTGTATCGCACGCAATCAGTTTTTTTGCAGAGGCAACCGAAAAAACAACAAAATCTATGAGATCGGTGATCCCTGCGAAATCGACGATGATTGCCCGATTGGAACCGATTGTGAAAAGACAACATCTTTATGTGTGATCTCAAAATCAAAATAGTTGTATATCATGAGTGAAAATTGCATTGTTTGAAAGCGTAATAAACAGATCTGTTAGCGATAGCAAGTGAAAAAAGAACACGACTTGTCACAATATGAATATGAGAAATTATTTATCTCCGAAGGCATGGATCCTCGACGTACTCGTGACGAAGTTCCACCGATCTACTGATGGTCTGGCCCTAAAAACAATCACAATACGGTCAAGAACAGAAAACGAACAAACAGAAAAGAAGTGGGAACCCTTCACACTTGAAAAGGTCACTTACTGATATCGGATAGTTCCTATACCGACCAAAAATACTGTGTGGATATCACAAATTGAGTCGGTGACGTACCTGGGTAATAACAGGGTAATGCACGCACGGATCCTTCTTCTCAGTCTGTTCCGCAGAAGATCCTTTGTTCTTGCTGTCCTCCTCTCGCTGTTTAATCAGTTCCTCTCTGATCTTCAAGGCTTCCTGTCTCTCCTGCTCTCTTCTGTGGTACTCTTCCAGTCGTCGTTTGTGCTCTTCCTCTTGTTCCTTTCTTCTTTGTTCCTGAAGTTTCGCATCTTCCTCCCTCTTTCTTTCCTCTTCCGCTCTTCTTTCATTTTCCAATCGACGTTCTGAGTCATAATGTTTTTCTTAAATGTAACATGTGAATCGCGCTACCTTCTTCGCGGCGCTCCAGCTCGATTCTCTGTTGCTCTTCTTCCTGTCGTCTGATCTCTTCGATTCGCTTCTTCTCCTCTTCAATGCGGCGAATCTCTTCCAGTCTGAGAGCTTCTTCCTCTAATCTTCTGATCTCATCCAACTTTCTTTGTTCTTCTGGAAATCGAAAATGAAAACAAAAATAAGAAGAAAACTTCATTTACCTTCCAAACGAAGACGTTCCTCTTCAACTCTTCTCTCTTCTTCGCTCAAGTTGTGATCTTCATGCCGAATCTGTGTCTGGCCTGGCTCGACAAACTCACCCGTCGTAGCCTCGACGTCTTCTTCTTCTTCAGTGGGTTCAATCACTGGCTCTCCATCGACTCCTGGCTCTTCATCAGTTGGAAGCACCGTCTCGTGGATTTTCGATTCGAAAACAGTCTGAAAATTATCTCTGAACGTCGGAAAATCTTGGGTTTTGCAACCTTCTCATAGAACCGCTTGTACTGAACGTAGGTTGGGATGCATTGACGGATTCTCTCATCAATGTTGGTCTCGACGTAGATTCTCTTCTCGTACTTTTGCACTGGTGCATCTGAAGTTGGTACTTCCGAGTCTGTCTGCAACCGGCCACATACCTGGAGTGAGAAGTTCAATGTCGCCCATGTGGTAGACATTCTTGGCTTTTGCTCCTTCGGTGATGTGATCGGCCGGCACGATTCGGGTGAAGACGCGCTGAAAAAGATGGTGGTGAACTCAGACAGATGCTCCGACATAGTTACTTTCTCGTTGAGCCCTTCGTATCCGCAATTGTGTTCGATGAAGATGTACGGTTCGATGGTGGTGAACTGAAGAAAACTTGAGGATACATTTTTTATGTCTCCCGCCTACCTCATCAGTACTTCCTTTTACGCAGAACACTCCTCTATGATCTGCCACTACTGATCCGAGAAGATCGTCACTGTCAAATACTGAAAAAAGGGTACGTGGATTGCAGGTTCCAGATTCCATAAACTCACGAGAATCTTCATCGTAAAGCTGCACAAAAGTTCCAGGCTGTCGGTGACCACGACAATTGACTATCCCTTTGACAGTGACAGCTTGGAGGACAGCAGAAACAGTAGGCAGAATAAGGAAAGCGAGAGAAAGAGCAAGAGCTGTCGGCATCGTGTGAGCGGATGGAAGCACGAATGGCACCGTTGGAGGATGCATCGAGGGGTGGGGCCCGGAAAAGGGAGGAGCAGACCGGTGACTGATTGCCATTTTGCTTCCCTTGTACGATTGTTTTGTGTTGCTTCCGATTTGCTACATTTTCGATATGGCCCTTGAGAGGAAAACTGTACTATTTTGTTTTGTTTCGCATCTTGAAGAGAGCGCATGAGGGAAATGACGATGATGATTCATGTGACTTCGTATAGATTTTTACGAAATATGATAACATTTGAATACAATGCTTCTTGGGAAAAAGAGATTGCTTTGTTTTTTCCATACATGTGAGCCTATTTCTTGGATGGATTATGAGAACTTTCGTATTGTGCGAATTTCGTATTTGCACCCTGTACACTTGTTGATCGCAATCAAAACCTCAAAACCCGAAAACCAGAGAACTGCAAACTTTATAGCCCCGAAAAATCCGGCATAAAACTATAAAACTACGGTTTTTCCAGCAAACATCCTGAACGCCGAATGCATACGTGTTGCTGCTTCTCCGATTTGATTTGCAAAACAGAAGTGATAAAAAGCTGTCAAAAAAGGATCTGGAGAGGTGAGTTCGACAAGGCTTATCATAGATGAGCTCTATTTCTGCTCGAAGATCGATAAACAGTATTCCTTTCTGACTGTTTTTTGTTGTTGATCGTTTCAAACCACCTCTCGCCACGTTTCAGTCTCTTTCGGCCATAAAACATGGCAAAATTCGTGGCTGTCTTTTCCTCAACAATATAATATAATGTATGGGAAAGCTCTCTCTGTTGATATGTAGAGATGGAAACAGTCGAACAGCGCTGTCTCTCTGTTGCTGTGGCTGTTTGAATCCGAAAAAAAAACCATTCGCCGCTGCATATTTGGTTCGTGGCGCTCACAAACACGTCTTGCATCGATTTTATGTAATAAATCGCTTCGTTTCGACGTGTTTCTAGCTATAATTATGTTGTTTTCAGGGAAAAATGTGCTCGTCTTTAACTCAACTCGTCTTCGGAGTGGTTATGCTAGGCGCCATCGCACTCACTCTCGGAGCCACGTTCTCCGACAGTCAGTATGCGGTATTATCGCAAATAATTTTCGTTTTTCAGAGTGGAGAACTCTTGAAGCCGACCTTTACACCGCTTACGAAGACGTGAAATCGAATCACACGGAGCGACTGACCGGAATTCTGCCCTTCTTCTGCGAGAATGATGCTGCTGGATGTGCCGCCTTCTGGAAGGTATGGATTCTGTGCCCGAAGTGGTTCACATACTGTCAGTTCAGGAAATGAAGCCATACGAGAAGATTGTCGCAATTTGCATGATCACCGCCCTACTTCTCGAGATTATCGCTTTCATCTGGAACTTCCTCACCTCGTAGAGTTTGCTATGCCACGTCTCACAAAAAACAGAATTTCAGATGCACGTGCTGCTTCAAAAAGTACCTCCTCCATCCGTTGTCCCCACTCTCCTTCCTCATCACTCTGTTCTTGACAGTGGCTATCGGGGTCTTCTACTATTACAGTGACGAAGTGAAAAGTGCGTTTTCAAAAGAAACGTGGCCAGAGTTGAGCGGCTTTCCGCCTTCCGCCCCCGCTCCGTCTACCGCTGCGCTCGCGCTTCGCCTTCCGCTTCCAGCTTTCAGCTATCCGCTTCCCGCTTTCTGCAATCCGCAAAAATGTTCACGCGACTTTTCGTCTTCCGCTTTTCAAATTATTCATTTCGCTTAACTCTGGCCGTGGCTCTTTTTTTCCAGACGATGTGAACATCCAACAGCTCTTCGATGCCAATGCTAAGGACCTGAACATCAATGCAAGTTGCCGATGGAATTATCAACGTTGAGAATTCGTTTTCAGATCGGATCTGCCTTCTGGATGGCCGTCGGAGCCTGGTGCCTTGCCGTCGTTGACACAATCCTCGCCTCGTTCGCCATCTTTTTTGCTCAGCACGGTGTCTAATAATTGATGAACATGTGCTGACTGTTGTTTATTCATAAATTAAGGGAGGATCCAGGAGAAAAAGCCTATTTTACATTTCCGCCGACTGTACAATAGCAGAACTTTAGAGAGCACAATGACTGGGAGAATGACTCAAGTTTTGATTGATTAGAGACGTGGCGTGGCGTGGCAAGGTATGTACAACTGAAAAATTACACAAAAGAACCAAATATATGAAAGTTAATCACAAAATGAAGTTAGAATACAATTAACGACTGACTGAAGAAGGTGGGATGGGTCACCATAAGATCGGTTGAAGAATGACACCCGACAGATGGAACTAGAATCTGACGTCGGCTAACTGAAGAAGAAGAAGGCAAATGATAGAATTCTGAACAGCCGGAGTGTTAAATCACAATTTGGAAAACGGAAAATGAACAGGAAGACTTAGATAAGGAACCAGAAAAGAGCAGCATTTCGGAATACTAACTTGAAACAGACAAAAATGAAGATAGGAAAAAGGGAGAAAACAAAAAAATCAGTTCAAGTCCGCGACAATTAGTTGGATGATGACGATGGTCCTGGTTGATCGGATGGATAGATCTGGAATAGATAAATCACAGATAATTTCACTGATTATTGTTAGGTCTTACTTCGTGATGTTCGGAAATCAGCTTGAAAGGAGACATGAACCTGTTGCCGGAGGGTTTCACGGGTGGGTTTGTGGTTTCGGATCTTGGCCTTTCGGTCGGAAAGCCTACGGATTCAGACATCAACACCTTTTCATCGAGCACTGAAATTATTGTTTATATGCACTGCCATTTATATCACTAAATGTCGTTGATATCTTTTCGGCTCACATTTTTTCTGATCCTTCTCGTAATGGTTTCGGACGTGAATTCGGAGATTCTCAACGGAGCTGTAGTTAAGACCGCAAAATCTTCGAGGACATCTCAGCTCGGCGCCGTCAATCATTTTGAAGTGATCAACGTGAATATGAACCTGAACACTTGAAATGTTATTGATAATTGAAGTCTAGAACTACCTGAAGTTCAATTGGGTTTGCCTGCTCTTCCTGGCAAATGGTACACACGGTTTGGTTTGGAATGGGCTTTGGTCTTCTGCTCGGTGGTCGAACCGGAATCTCCGGAGGGTCAATTCTGCGGGACCGAGTTGAGCTGAAGGAGGGCTGAGGAGGGTCTGCTTTTGGTGGATTCCAGACGGCCACTCTCTTGACAGGACTGGAACTAAAAGTCGAGGAGTCGGAACTGAAAATTTTATTTTTGTCGTCATTGGCGAATCACTTTAATTATTACCGTTTGCGATAGTTAGATTCAGTGGTAGAAAGAGTGTTTGATGACGGAAAATCTGATGAATTTGAGGAATGAGATTGAGTGGCAAGCGTGGCTGACGATGAATCATTGAGCTGAAAAGCATTGGATATTCCCTGATACCACTGATCAGGATTAGTGGTTGATTCCCCAAAATAAATACGTCATACAGAACCGAAACTCCTTGTTATCAAACAAAAATGCAGTGGACTGGGTAGAGAGAGAGAGAGAGAAAAAGAGAAGCATCTGGGCGGAATCGTTTGCGACTACACTTCTTCAGGTGAGGTTAGGAATTTGTGGGAAAGGAAGCGAAAGCTCACAAGTGGATGATTGACTGGTAGACTGGGAGGAACTTCCGAGATGCGCAGAATTGTTCTGGGCAAATTGCTCGAGTGCGAGCATTCCGAGACCTCCGTTGGACTCTTTCTGGAGAGCAGTGAGGACGAGTCCGATTGGAATGGAGGCAGCGGCGGCGGCGTGGTTAACACCTGCGGAACCACCGTTGGAATTGGCGACATATTGGAGTTGTTGAAGCTGCTAACGCAAGACACGTTACTTTGGCTGCCCGATGCCAACACAGCACTCACCGATGAGGTGGCGGCGGCGGAGGCAACGCCCAGGGGGAACTGGGGCGGTGCTGGCGCGCTCGACGCTTGTGGTAGTGCCGGCTGAGCGTTGGCCAACACCCGAAGCATCTCTGGCGTCAAGGCAACGCTCTGCGTGATTGGCGTGCTCAGCGTCTCTTCACGGTCGGGCTCGCTGCGGAGCTTCTCGACAATAGCTGAAAACAGACAAGGATTAGCCAAAGAGACACGTTGAGCAGACGAAAAGCGAGCGGGCTCGTCGAAAAACACCGGTAATTGGGAGGAAAAAGCGCATTCCGTTTGCTTCCGCTTATGAGACTACATTATGTAGTCTACATAGTACGCATTCTAACCCATAACATTTCACAACACAACATCACATCGAGAGACCTGGTGTGTGATTATGCGGACACTCACTGAGCAAAGAGATGCGTGCTTTCTCGCAGTCCGACGTGTCGATGTCGTTCAAGCAGGCACCGTTGTCTTTTTTAGTGATCAAGGACAGCGTGTCGACTGGCAATCTTTGCAGTGATTCCAGCTTCATTACATGAGTCTTTGATCTGAAAAACGATAAATTTGAATGATTGAATTTGATTGATTGAAGAACAAACCTCAGGTGTTTGGCCAGAATTCCGTGCTTGCGAAAGCCAATATCACAATCAGCGCACATGAAAGAACGGGGATTATTCGACATCGGTCCGCCGAGCACCGATTGTGTGGAGGCCAGCGGATCAATGCTCGCAGTCACCGACTCGTCCATCTGGAATAATGAATGCTTTGAATGTTAATTCGGCGAGCCGTCTACGTACACTCGTGCCGTGGGCGGACTCCATATGCTTGGCGAGCATAGCTTTGGTGCGGAGCGGGAGTTTGCACTCGAGGCACTGATACATTCGGTTCTTGCTCTGCTGCTTCTCAATGTTGTGCGTGTGTTGGTGGAGCGTCAAATCGGAGATTTTTCGAAATGTCCGGTCACACTGATCGCACTTCAGAGCCTCATCTCTTTGCAAATAATTGAAATCGGGAATCGGTACGCTGCTTGTTGGAAGATGAGAGTTAGGCATTACTATTTGAACGGGAGGATAAATCTGAAAAGTGACAATGCAGAGCTTTATGATGAAAGAATTCGTCATACTTGAGAGATAGGAGGGGAAGATTCCCTATTAAAAAGACTGCTAGACGGCTGACCGAATTGTTGCGGCTCGGGGAGGACGACATTTTGAGATGTTGATGGTAGTGGCGCGAAAGGAGTCATTATACGTTGACTTGAAAGTGGAGACGAAGTTCCGGAACCGGGCGACAAAGCTGAACAGAACAACATAATTTTTTTTCTATTTACTAGATAACTATCACTAACCTCTATCATCAGGGTCTCGTTGCATGGCCACCGGCGGGGCAGACATGCAATTACGACGGTCCGGAGTTGGCCAGTAGTGCTCATCGTCCTTTGCGTTAACCAGAGTCCAACGAGTCGGCGGAGTGTGAGCCATACGCTCGAAGAGAATGTGCTCTTGTCCGAACTTGAACTTATGCTCCACTTGCATCGCGTGAAGGTGATCGTCATCGTCCTCGTCCGATGTGCTGAAAAAGTGAATTCCATTTCTCACCCTATTGAGGCATCGGACATACTTGTTATCGTCGTCGAATAGCGGTTCATTTTTATGGAATCCTTCATCCATATTCATCATACTACAATTGGAAGGAGTAGTGCCATCACTCTCATTCCCAGCTTGGACTGCAATAAAAAGGACATTAGAAAAAGGAAGGAAGTCATCCGTTATTCATTAGCAATCTCGTTACTGTCCCATACTAAAAAGAAATGTATTATTTGAGAGCTATGGCATTTGCCTTTGTCTCTGACTCAATAATGAACTGACGGAGGGTGAATTTAAAAAATTGGAGGAAGAAACTAAAGTTGAACCGACTAAAATCAGACAATCGAACACTAAGACAGACCGCACAAAATATATGGTGAGGAAGAACGAGGGCTATGTAGTGTGAGACCACTTACTGTTGGCCAGACGCCTCAGGTGAGCTTTCGAGCTCAAATGCTTCGTCAGATTGCCTTTGGTCTTGAACGAGAAGTTGCATGCAGTACAGTTGAAGGCGCGAACGTCGGTGTGCGACCTGTAAGGAAGAAACATGCTCCTATGAGACCTTTCCGCTTGTTTGTAAATCAAAATCGGATAATATTTTTTGTGGTGGCTTGGTCGGCAGTCTCGCTCGCTCTCTCGCACACTCGTCGTACTTGATATGCTTCTTCAGCATGCTTGGCTTCTTGCATCGTATCCCACATCGGTCACAAATATATCTTCCACGTCCACGACCACGCACATACACATAGACCTGTAGAAATTATCGAAAAAATGAGTGACCTTTTCGGTTTGGTGTGCACCTCATCTGTTCGGTGACCGCCAATTATTTGCTCGTGTCTTGGACGGCACACTTGTTTCACATATTTCGGCCGGTCTTTTCTGACAATGCGCGGGATTTCATCTCTGCGTTTAACAGATGATCTGAAAAGACACATACATGAGATTAGAAACTGACGAATATATAGAAACAGACTTGAATAGAAAGACGTTAGGAGCTCACAAGGAAAAGACGACAAAAGAGGAGAAGTATTCAATCACAAATGAGAACTTACTCTAGTAATGAGTGAGTGAGATCATTTAGAAAAGCAACGACTAACGACTATCAAACGTTTTTCGCCAAAACTTGATTGAGCTCAACAAATATGTCAGTTTTATTAAGAGGAGCAATTTTCCGGATAGCAAAAAATCATTGGTTAAGTGAGGATCAAGACAAGCTCTTATTACCTCGCATCTAATGGTTCTTCTTTTTTGATTATTGGTTTCTCATCAATCAACATTCCGACGGGCACTTTTTCTTCGAGCCTGAAATGAATATTTATCGTATAAATTGCTATTCTGCTGGAAATGTTCGCTTACTCGTCTTCCATATCCTCATCCGGCTCCTCGGTTTTGATGACCATCGGCGTGGCAGGACGTGGCGATCGCATCAGTAGAGTCGGCTCGGACGTGCTTGGACCTGCAGCGACCATTGTTTCTCCAGGAGCCATAAGAACCGGATTATGAAGAGCACTCGGTTTAAATTCATCATTCGCCGGTGTATAGCCCCCGCGGACAAGCTTATCAATTAATTGAGCATCATACTCCGACGTTTCTTCCAGAGGTTTTTCCTCGCTCAACGACGCTTGACGATCACGGATTTTAGTGCTGATATCCCAGAAAGAGGAATGAGTCATCCGGTAATGTCCAAGGTCTTTGTTGGCGGTGGTATACTTCCAAAACTTGTGCTGGCCCGTTCGATTTTTCAATGATACCATACCCATGAAAGAGAGGTTCATTTTGGTCTCGGCGTCGTTGTGCACAGGCAGTGCCCAGTTTGCGTACATGGAAAGTGAACCGTCCTGTACGGCAAATGAGGGCTGCAAGCGAGTCGCCGTAACGTAAGTCTCGGAAGTGATGTTCCTATCGCGATTCCGTTTTGACGACATTCCACCAGTAGCCATGAACGTCGGCCGTCCTCCGATATTATCCTCGATCACTAACCAGTATGGTTTATCAGTGTTTCCCGTCAGGGCAGGAAAGTTTGATCCAAAAATGCCATTTTCCTTTTTGACTGCAACCCCATCCTCTATGGGCTGTCTCTCCAAATTCTCCTCACCATTCTCAGTTGGAATCGACGTTCCCTCTACTGCAGAAGTACTCTGGTGAGCAGTCGGAGTGTTCTCGGCAGTCGTTGCAGTCGGAGTAGCAACAATTGGAACAATCGGTTCTTTCACATGTTCCTCATCCACTACTTCCACTTGAACATCCTCATCCTCTTCCTCCACAGTAATCCCATTTGAACTTTGCGGCTCTTCTTCGTGAGTTGGAGGCGCGGAAGGTCCATTATCGGTGGGTCTTGGCTCCTTGTAAATGGTGTAGGTTCCAATCCCCTTGATCTCAGCGATTTTGGCAACTGAAGTCAAATGAACGAGCCCAACTTGTGTCAGTAGGAAATTGAGCGCGGTGACCTGTTCCCGAATTATCTGATGAAGCGGCGTATCAGTCTCCTCCAAGTTGGTCATCAACTGTTCGCTCATCTCTTTCATCTGAGTCAACTGCTTCATGATAACCATGAAATGAAGATTGATTCCATCAAGATCGAGATGAGGCTCTAGTACGGCATCCACTATATCTCTGCCGTTTGCACTGAGCACCCTGATGTTGACTGAATTCTTGTTGGGCGGTGAGATCTCTCGCTTCTGGGCAAGGTATTCAAGCATAGCATGGCACGAAACAAGCAGTTCGGGACATTCTCCTTTCAGCAACATCTCCTGCTGCTTCATGATTCCCTCGAGGTCAAGTGTGTGAAGTGGATGTGGTTGAACCTGAAAACAATAACGTTAACTCTTTTCCAATTTGATTTAGGAATTTCTAATCACTAACAATAGCATTATAATCTTCGCATCGTCTAATGTAGCACTTTTCCAGTTCGATCGTCATCTCTTCCAGTTGCGCATACTCGAGTAAAGAAGCGAAATGAATGAATTGGGTCAACGCTATCTGCGGAATGTTGTAGGTCTCAGATATGTAGCGTAAAAGTCCGTCGGACAGCTTCTTCAAGCCTTGCTGACACAATTTCGAGAGAAAGGCTTGCAGCTGAAAATCATTGATAATTATATGTACAACAGGCGAATCTCTTACGTAGTTTGGAATCAGAGATGCGAGTCCGGCAAGAGATGATAGGTTATTTTCCCATTCTCTGGGAAGAGTTTTGGGAAAATTCGACATCAACGAAGCAACAATAGACGATGAGCTCACAGTCGGTTCCGGTTCATCCTGGAAAACAATAAATATGACCATGAAACACTTCAAGCACAAACTTTTCGAAATTTTAGAGCCGGCTCCGATGGACCTGGCATGCTCGACGTTGATGGAATCGGCGACTGCAGAGTCAGAGTTGCGTCCTGATGAGTGTGACGTCTTTTGAGAGCACTGTGGGGATTGGTTTCCGAATGTCCATGTCCAGCCAATGCTCTTTCAGCTCGCACCTGAAACACCCAATGATTTTTTTTGAAAAATCGAAAACAACAACACTACCTTCTCCACTTCCTTTTTCTTTCCGCACACCAGTTCGTGAGCTTGGAGTCCAGCCTCATTCGGGAATGTGAGTTTGCAGTAAACGCATTCCGGGGTGTAGTTAGGGTCATTGTGTGGAATTATTGGACGGAGTAACGGCTGACCACTTGTCAGACTACCCATGAAGTTCTTGTTTCCACTCAGTTCAAACAAACTCTGACTTCTACTGGCCGCTTGCAGCATACGATTGTCTTTGGGTCCCGGAGACGTTCGAGTTGAACCTGCAATAAGTGGGACGATTATAGACAAACCGACAATCACAATATCGACTGATATATATATATATATATATTTATATAATATTTATATGCATTGTTTTCATATTGAATGGACACGTGCAGACGAACAGGCATGCAAAAAGACGGTATAGCAGAAACGGGGAGTAATAGAAGGTGACTTTGGGGGGAGAGGACAAGGGTAATGGAGCGATGCTTCAAGAAACTCAACCACACCACAACTCACCACCACTATTACTGTCGTGATCGACCGAGGATTGCGCACCTATTTGGCGATGGTATGGGCGCTTTTTGCGAATCACCTGGAAATGGACAGATTCGAGACGTCGAACAAAACGACAAATTGGGAAAACGGATGAGGGAGTTTTTTGCTCAGCTTTCTTCAAACTTCAAAGGTGTGAAAAAAAAACCCCATAAATGAAATGGACTCGCCACTCACCGGGTCTCCTTGAAGAATCACTTCGTTCTCAGAGATGATGCGGCTGATGTGGTCCGACATTGACTCGTTTCCAGAAGCGGCCTTCGACGAGGAAGGTTGCTCCGTCGATTTTAACGTCGTTACCCCAATGGGGTGGCTGGATGAAGTCGATGGTATGATAGAAGGGTTAGAGTTTTGTTTTTGAGGTTGAGTAGCAACAGGAGTACGAACTGGAATCGGAGCCGACGGTGCCGATGCCACAGATTCCTCCCGTCTGGCTATGCTGATTGGAGTGCCCATTGTGATTCCACCTCTTGGTATTGGTGTCGAAGAGATCAGCAATTGTCGGTGTTGTACCTCTCGAGCTTGGTTTTGCAGCATTTGCTGCTGCTGCTCACTCAAGAGTTTAGCCAGCTTCTCCTCTTGCGACTCGGCTGAACGGGAAAAGATTGGGTAAGCATGATGAACAACCAATGGTTAGAAGGTGATGCAAAAAAGAGGAGAGGGAAGATGTAGAAGAAGTAGGAGAATGAGAAGAAGTAGGAGAAGTAGAAGAAGTTGAAGAAGAATTAATATTATTATTATTGTTGTTTATTCATTCTCTGAATCATTTCACACACGAAATAGTTTAGTGTCTAACATGCATTTTCCAACTAATTCTCTCTGAATTGCTAAGCGCTTTATTTGACATACGGAGAAGTTGTGGTGTGGTTGTGGTGTGGTGTGGTGGAAATGGAATGGGAAAACAAATAGGGAAATGACACAGAGTGGAAAGCGTGATAGTGGGATGGAAACAACAAGTAAAAGAAGAAGGAAATGAGCTCACCGCTAGAATTCTGCTGTTCCATTCGTTCCATCTGTCCTTGCATATTTATCGACTGGATGATTTGCAGCGCTTGAGCCAGCGACGGATTTTGATTTGGCTGCACTGGCTCACGCATTTCAGAAACCTCTCGCTGCTCCCTTCTTGCTCGTTCTTCCCGCTCTCGTTGTTCCCTCTCCCGCTGCGCTTTCAGTTCCCGTTCTTTCTGCTCACGTTGCAGTTGTTCACGTTGCTGCTGCTCTCTTTGCTGTTGGAAGGCTTGTTGTTTCAACAGTTGAGCATGTTGCTGCTGCTGCTGCTGCTGCTGTTGTTGTTGTTGTTGTTGTTGGAGTTGCAACTGCTGCTGGAGTTGAGCTTGCATGGTTTGTGCCAGCTGATCTGCCAGTTGTGGCGTGGAAGAAATTGGCTGAGGGGTGGGAGCCACGGAAGGACGTTGAACTTGGAATCGCTGCATTTGTTGCTGCTGCATCAAGTGGTGCAAGTGTTGCTGTTGCTGCAACTGGTGCTGCTGCTGTTGAATTTCCCGCAGCTGTGATTGCTGCTGCTGTTGAAGCTGTTGGAGTTGAACTTGCTGAAGTTGATGCTGCAGCTGCTGTTGAGGTGTTTGCTGAGATTGTTGAGCCTGTTGGGCCTGTTGAGCTTGTTGTACTTGTGAGATCTGTAATAATGAGTTGAAGTCGAGGACTATCAGAGATTCGTGCTTACCTGTAGAACCTGCTGTAGTTGCTGTTGTTGGAGTTGTTGCTGTTGCTGTTGTTGCTGTAGCTGTTGCTGTTGTTGCAACCGCTGTTGCTCTTGCAGCTGCAGAAGTTGGGCAAATTGCTGCAAAAAAAAAGTTAGATTTAGGATATATCTTATTATGACCCCCCCCCCCCGTTAAAAGTTAGATTTATTAAGCGTATGGTCATGGTTTACCTGTGGCGTGAGTTGTTGTTGCAACTGAGCTTGCACTTGCTGAGCCTGCTGCTGAGCCTGCTGCTGAGCCTGTTGATGAGCTTGCTGTTGAGCCTGTAGTTGAGCCTGCTGCTGTGCTGCTTGCTGTTGTGCAATCTGCTGCGCCAAGGAAAGTTGCGGTTGCTGCTGGACATTTTGATTCTGCTGCGGCTGCTGTTGAGCTGCTTGTTGCTGCATTTGTTGCAAGAATAGCATTTGCACAATCTGATTTCCTTGAGGCGTCGCCATCAGTTGCTGGAGTATCTGCGGCGTGATCTGCATTTGCTGCTGGCTCTGCTGCTGTTGTTGTGCTTGCTGTGCCTGTTGCTGCTGGGCTTGCTGCTGAGCTTGCTGCTGAGCTTGTTGCTGTTGTTGTTGCTGAACAGCCTGCTGCACGCTTCCCGGTCCATTTGTCTGCAGCTGTGCTTGAAGTAGTCTCTGCTGATTGATCTGGTCACGCTGTACTTGCTGAAAGTTTGATATTCCCACTGCTTGCTGGCTCATTGCATGAGCGTTTAGAACACCTAAATTCATCTGTTGAGTTCATCGAATAGATAAGAGAGAGAAAGGAAGAGAGAAGCAAATGATATTCACGTGAACTGATCGGTTGATCGGAATAGACTTCAATTCTAAAAACACTGACAAGAAGCATGGATTATAATCGCCATAGGAACAAAGTACATTTCTCACGGGCATCGCATCAGTCAGCCACGCCACTTGTTTCAATCAAATCTTTTTTGATTTATCTCACGTCTAGTTCGCGCTGTGAAGATGAAAATATCTTGTGGTCATAAAAGATGGGCGAAAAATAGATGTGATAATATCTCTCAATCAGCGTTGTCTTCTCCTTCTGTGTTGCCAAATACGCTCGGACATTCACATATCAACGTCAGATCGTTCATTCTCGGATAATGCCTTATCACCGATTAGAGTTGACCGCGCGCCCGGTCTGATGGAGTCGGAAGTGGCGATAAATATAGTCTCCGAAAAAGTATACGTCATCACACAATTACGTCACGTATGAATACAGTTTCGAAACTTTCAGTAGTTGTTCCCCCCGCTGTTTTCGAAAGACGGATATGTGTGGTGGTGGTGTGCGAGACACATTAGTCTCTGCCACACTGCCTTTTTCAATGTGTTGTCATCATCAGACCGGCTGTTGGCGCCATGATCAATGACTCGCTGGGCACTGTCAGGCGGGCAAAAAAGTAAAAGAAAAGACGAAACGGTCTCGTTGAAGGAGGAATGGAACTACTTGCTGGCAGCGTTCAAAAATCGATTTTTGCGAAGATCAGAAAACTGACATTTTTCAAAGAGATGATCTTGTACTTTGAGCTTCGAACAAAAGATGGTTGGTCACGAAAGAACCACTAGAATAACCAAGCGTCAAGATGAATGGACGTGTGCTTTTAGAATAATTGCTTCAGCTCGCAAAGTCGAGGATAATGAAAAAATGGAGTACTTTTCCTATTTGAGATCTACTTCAACAGGTCCTTCAAGAAATTCCCCCTTGATACGTTTATGAGCTTTTCCGCTCTTTTCAGAATCCATTATGTCTAGATTACTCTGTCATTCATCAAGCACTCTCAAAAAAAGCGCCCAAATGGTTGCAAAATGTGTTCAGAAATCACTAGCGCTGCTCTTCTCCAGCCGAGCACACTCTGCGGGACCAGAAAGGGCGGTCCTTGGGCCACAAGATTTTGAAAGACACTCGAAAAGCTGGGGCGCCGACGCAATGCCCCCCCGGGGTCCCATGACACTAACGGACCAAGTGATATGTGAGCAGAGGCACTCCTTCTCTTCTTCTTCTTTTCCTTCTTTCTCTCTCACTCTCACGCACATTGGAATGGAAGGGAGAAGAGCTTAAGAGAGCGAGAAAAAGGACATTCGAAAAGAGAAAAGAGGGAAGAGGCACACAAACAGCTTTGATTAAACATCAGCAAGTGGTGGAAAAAAAGTGGGGGGGAGAGAAAGAAAATGGAAAAGAAATGTAGATTCACGTGATCATTATGTGGTTTGGCGAAGGACTGGAGACGCGAAAGACGGAAAGGAAAGATGAAAAAGACGAAAACATTCTCTCTTTTTCACGACAACCTGTGGGAACTGTATCCAAATGGAATGATATCAGAAGGCGGAGGAGTGAACGGACGGAAAGAACGATGACGACGTCGAAAAACAAAAAGGGCAATACCTGCTGTCTCTTTTTTTTTCATTTGATGATCAAGTTTTGTTTTGCAATCGACAATCGCGACATTCTGAATCACCGCGCCGCCAGAATTGGAATCGGAAACATTGGTCACTGGCCGAAAAAGGAATCAACGGAAATATTGTTTGTTTCCGACATTAGTTAATTTTTGTGACTCATGAGGAAAATACTATAGCTTTTTACAGACAGAGCAATTCTATCCTCAATCTGGTTTCAATTAGAAATTTTGATCTCAAAAAACAGATGTTCTATCGAGTCTCTTATGTCGAATGGTCCGGTCCATGTCATAAACTATGTAAACTAAACATTTTCTGCCAAACAGACAATGTCGTCTTTCGCTCTACGAAACAAACAAATTAAGTACGTGAGAACTCTTTCCCAATGTGTGAACAAGACTGGGGCTTTCTCGGGAGAAAGAGGGAGAACAAAAAACGTCGTTTGTACTATTTTCTCGTAGAAATCCGATATTCGAAAAAAGACTGCGGACAAAAGCAGCGTGACAGACATCAAGGAGGTCCTTGTAGGGCTCGAGTCCATGCCAACTGTTTATTTGCATGTGAAATTAGACACCGCGGCTTACACGAAAAGTGGGTGTTAGAGTGAAGATCAGAAAAGCGATGGGAAGACAAAAAGAGAGACACATTTAGGCTGATGCTTCAAGATTCCAGACTCGCCTACATTGCCCTTAATGTTTCCATGTTTCTGCCGCCTTTCAAATGGCCAAAGATGAGAGAGTGATGATTTTGGATGTCTTCAAAAGTCTGTCAAGGAAGTGCTGATGATAATCAAAGAACGAACGGAGGGCGCGCGCCGTACGGGGTTTATAGGTTTGCGAAAAGGTCACGCAGTGTTTTATATATTTGTACACATAGTTCTGGTCAACCTACGGTCGAGTGTTAAAATATCCGTTTGTTCCAACACGTTCTACGATTTTCGGCGTACACCGAGTGAGAAATAGAGACAAATAAATTTGTTGCAAAAGGATGTAGACCACGATAAGAAATCCTCCTATCTAGATAGAAATCTTCACGCTGCCGTTTAGCAAACCGTTTTTCCGATGAACTCATTTAGATGTGATAAACTGCAAAAAACTCACTGTCAACCGGAGGTAGGCTTCTGGCGGCATGTTTGCTGTCATCAGAATTTGAGCTTGCTGCTGCCCTTGAGGAGCTCTACCTCCTCCTCCTCCTGAACCCGGAGCAAATGCCATCGTCCGCTGAAAAATTGAGAATTATAGAAGGAAAATAGTAGAAACGGAAGCAAAAAAGCACGTTCGTTTGAGTTAAATAGCAATGTGAGGCACTGATCGAGTCGGGGTGTGTTTCAATTACAAAGTCGATTATTGTGATTATTGTGAATGAACGAGAGACCAGAGGCAACACAAACCACGTAATTCGGAATACATTAACATTTTTTTGGAGAACATTGAACTTCGTTTTTGAATGGAAATACATAAACCGAGGCCTGCACAGGATTATGCTGAAGAATGGGATACATGCCGAGTACATGCGTATAGACTAACTGGTAATTCAACTTGCAAAAAATTAAAAGAGAAATTGCACATGAGGAAGGAGACAGACACATTGTGTGTGGTAGAGAAACTGAGAGAAGAAAGAGTCCGAGGGATTTCCTGCGACGAGATCAAAAGTGTCCCGGAGAGGGAGCGGGAAGATTGCGAAAGGAGGAACAACCCCGCCGAGGACGCAGAGAAGTTGGCAGAAAAAAAAACGACGGCTATCCGATCCTATCAGCATCAACAATTAGAGGCCAAGGGGGAATGTAGAGATCGTGTTTAGAAGTTCCAAGAAAGAGAAGAACAAAGCGCGGCGCAAGCATTGGCACATACCCCCAGTGACCCTGGCGCACACGCACGTGCGCAATGGTGCGGTGAGCGGTTTTGATGAGTTTGAGTGGCTTGCCGTGTTGTCGCCGCAGCAGCACACCACCCCCACTCGCACTACCGTGAGTCGGAATACATTCGGAGAGCAACAGCGCAACTGCGGGACAAAAAACCCAGCCGAGGGAGAGGACGACGGACGCGTCTGTCTCCGTCGGCGGAGAAGGCTTATGTGAGATCCGACCGCCACAGGCGAGCCCCCCGTGCACTTTGACATTGAGACCTATCGATCTTGAGGACGGCTGCGAACCTATAGGGGAGAGAATGAATGTGTTGTTTGTTAACTTCTCGGTGGTTGGCTCGCGGCCAAACAACGCGCCTCCCCCTTCCTCCCGGGCCCCTCAAGACTCTTGTTCTTTTTTGGAAAAGAGAAACGTGAAAAGCGCATTGTGAATGAGCGACGGGGGCGGGATCCACACTTTTGAACTCTCTGCGTTTGTCTTTCGCTCCCTCGTTTTCACTTGAGTGCTATTCAACGACAGATCGAGAGAAAGGAAGGGAGTAACGGACGTGATGGCGCCGGATGGACGACTTAATGGCGCCTCACGAAAAGGACATATGCAAAAAACTTTCGCTTTTCAATTCCGAGCCACCCATTTCCACAACTGTAACGTCTCTTTCTTTCTCTCACTTTATCTAAAGAACATTCGACACAGACGCCAACGTTTCTATCTCATTTATCATGTTCTTATCACTTTCGACACACTTTTCGAAAAACCGACGTCGCTCGTCTATATTTGTGGCCGAGGAGGAGGACAAATGACGAATCACAACACTCGTCGTGTTTTCCCTCTCTTCCTGATAGAACCATCAAAAAAGAGAAGCAACAAGTGAGGAACAAAACGAGAAAAGAGAAGCGAGACGCTGCGGGCCGGGAGGAGAATTTCCGCGCCAGTGAAAGATCAAATCAACAAAGCAACTTATGACGTTTGTGAACTTTTTTGACACACGCTCCCGCTCACAAATTGCAAAAGAGGATGAAAGGACGGCTAGGAGGGAGGAAATCGGCGGGCACGAGGGGTTAGGAGGCAAACAGTTGATGGAAGAGGCGGAAGAAGAAGAGGAAAGATTATTTAGTTTCCATCCCACACTGTTTGGAAACACTTTTCTCGAGCAGTGCGTGTCGTCGAGCACAGGTGTGCTCTTTGGGTACAATTTTTGCAACAAAAATTTCCGCGGGCACCAAATTAGCGACCCGGCCTTGAGAGGATCAAAACACAGACGAATGGAGATGATATCTGTGGAGGACGGAAGGAGGGGACGACCCTCGTCTACGCAATGCTATGCAGTCTCCGATGCATTTCAAACAGCTTCGAAGATCGAGAAAAAGATCGCCGATAAAAGGGGAGAGACGGAAACGAAGAATTTAGTTTGAAAGATGCAATGTGCGTACTCTTCCGAGAAAAATTCGTCTCTATCTTTTTTGGTTTTCTCACAGAAAAAAGGAATGTGACGGCAAGTATCATCACGAGGGATGGGATGTGTGATGTAGCACAAAGTTCAAAAAAAGGAAATGTGCAAAAAAGAGAGTGGCGCTTCTTTCATAATGCCGTATTAACCGGGGGGCCTACGGACGCTAGTCCACGACCATTTGTGATAGATACAGTGAGAACGATAGAGCACGGAAAGAGCGGAGAGTCTACCTCAAATATATAATGGAGTACTGGCATTGAGAAAAGAGGTCGTACGCAGAGAAACGAAAAATGAGAATTGTCGGAGACCGCAGGGGTGCTGACTAATGTGCCGGGAGTGCGCGGATCGAGAGACTCAGACGCGCGAACAGAGAGCGCGCGGTCGACGGAGAGCGAAGGGGAGATAACACAAAACGGGCAGCGGAAAGTGATGGGTCTCTCGCTTCTCCCTCTCTCTCTCTCTCTTCCCCCCCCCCCTTTCTCTCCCTCTGTCATCAACGATTCGGCACAAGGGAGGCCTGGGGGAGAGAAGGAGAGAGAGAGAGAGAGAGATGGAGACGCAGTGAATGGTCGCAAAGTTGGAGAAAAGAGAGAAAGAGAAAATCGTTGTCGACGTGGGTGAGATGAGGGCGGCTGGTGGATAGACTACACAAAGGTGCGGAGAGCGACAGCAGCACACGGAATGCGCAAACAGAATGTACACGGCGACAAATTTGAATACAGACGAGAGCATGATCGAAAGAACAGAGAATAAAAAACAATGTGGCTCATCTTTTTGTTTCTCATAAGAACAAGACCTTTTTTGGCAACTCTTTGAAAAGCACTCGACAAAAAGAATTACAGCTAATATAGTAAAACATTTGTGTGACTGGCTGGACAAATAGAGCTAGTGTTCTTTCTCTTCGAACAATCCTAAACGTGTTTGGGGGGAAGGGGGAGTGGGAGACGGGCTCTCCCTGTGAGGGTAAACATTCCCCCGCTTGTACCATTTCTAGCCGACCAAACATTGACTCTTCCTGCCACTATCAGTTATTATTAGTGTTCTCTGTACCAACCACTGACAATCTCCCATAAAAGCATGTGATCGTGAAGGGGGAAGGGGCGGATTCTGATTTGCAGAGAAAAGACGAAGACAAATAGTGATTCGCAGTGAAAGTGAGGACGGTTATTATAGTTATGGGGTGGCAGTGATAAGAGAAAAAGAAAAAGCGGTTGGTCGATCTTTTCCAAGAACGGTCGGGTCGACCGACGGGATTTTTTGTTTTTGTTGCCAGCGAGAAGCTGAGAAAAATCTAGAATTTAGCAAGAGTCTTCAGACTATGACTCAGTGTTTGCGGGAACCTCACACGTTTTTGTACCCATTCGATTGGAGTAAAAAAAACTCTGCGACCACGAGACTCAGAGCTGCCTACATAAAATTGGATTGGATTTGTGTTTGTTTCTACTTCAACACCTGGGTTATACTTGGCTTTGAAGTATGCATAGTCGGTCCCCACCCACACATATTAGATTTGTCCCCGGCCGCAAATGAGGTTTTCAGAAAGAGGGTGCGAGGGAAGCCATGATCACTGGATTTGCGGTTAACCAGATGAGCTGATCTGCTTGTCTAGTTGATCACTGATTCGCGGAAAACCCATCAATTTGGTCATCTGAAATGCTCAAAGGTTATGTTGACCAGAAGGGATATTTTATCGTAGTCCAGAAGGAAATGAGAAATTTGGATGAGAGAGATGGGAAGAATGCCTCATTTCGATTCTTTCCGATTTCACTCAAATTCAGAAAACAACCCAACATTCTCACCACGAAAATGCTAGTTTTCGTTTGCGATCAGCTTCAAGACTCTCACACTTTAATTGTGTGTGAACCGATCAAAATTCAGCTTTTTAATGTTGTGATTTTTGATTCCTGAATGGTTCAGAATTTTCCAAATTTTTTCCAGAGCCATTTGAACGGCAGGTGGCCCTAACTCACTCGTTTTGGAACAAACATCTGCTCGATTAGAACTGGTAACGCGTCTGAGCAGGGCTCATTGCACAAAAAAACCGCCGACTCTTTCCCGCGCCCGCGAATTCGAATGAATTGCCCGCATCATTTACCATTCTCTCTCAAATTCTTCTTTTCGACGCCATTTGCGATAGGCATCAAAAGCTGAACGGGAATGCCCGTCAAAACAGAGGCGCCAGCTGAATTGGAAAAGAACGGACAGATGGCATACACAGTACGATTTTCTCAAGGGACACTACAATACAGGTGACGAAATCCCTTCGAGATTTGTCATTTGTTTTCAGACGGCCACAATAATATTTTTGATTGAATATTACAATATTCTACTATACGAAATTCATTTTCAAAACTGATTGTCTGGGGGGATTCATTGCTCATAGGCCAACAAATAAAATAGTGAGTACTACTCGTGTACATGTTGATTTGACAACATTAACACAATCGGGAACTAATCTAATTTTTAGTGTCGCCCATAGTTTTTAGTGCTCAATGCCTGCAAAAGTGTATTGGTCGTACAGAAAAAGAAAAACTATGAAAGAGAAAATTGAAGATGAAGATGTCAATATTATTTTTCTCGGCGAAGGATGCGGGGGTAAACCGCCTCCACATTTTCTTGGCAATCCCTGAAAGCCGGAAGTTTGGTGCAGAGGAAGTGAGCACTCTCGCTCCTTGCCCTTGCCTTCTCCTACTTTTGTGCCGTCATTTGAATATTCTAGTCTTCGCTCGCGTTTCCGTCAAGCACACGAAAATCAGCGGCATCTCGATGTTGATACAAATCAAATTCAGGCGAGAGGATGAAAAGAGGAAAAAGAAAAAGAAAAAAGGAGAAGCAGAACCGAGACGATGATCTTGAAAAGGAGAAAACGCAGAATTTGTAGGAAATTGAGGCCGCCAAATATATTATTCATGAGAGGGAAGGTGAAAAGAGGAAGAAAAGACGGCGAAAAGCGCATAGAGGCGATGTTTGAGCTGTGCAACAGTTTTCAATTAGGTTTTTCCCTTTTCCTTCTTCTTCTCCCTCTTTCCCAGAAACCAACCCCCAATCCTATTTCCGTTGACCTTTAACTAAGACTCACCAGGGCACAGAAGGCGGGTGTTGCTGAATCTACCGAGTTGAGGTTGATTTGAGTGAAAATTAGAAGGTTGAGGTTCCTGGAAAAAGAGCAATTCAGTTTGCACGCTTTGAAATTGAAAAGAGAAAGTGATGCGGTCAAAATGATAGAATGTTAAAGTTGCGCAAAGTCTGAATAAGAGATTCTCAGAAATTGGCGACGGAAACCGCGGATATCCGTTTCTGGTTTGCTCACTGCTCTTTTTACAACTTTATTTATTCTAGAGAAGCTAGCAATTTTCCATTTTCTGCACCAGGAACTTGTGCCGAATGATAATGTGACCGAGGGCACGGGAATGACGGGAAACACACACACACACACACACACGCAACGTTATCAGGAGCAAACTATGTCGGAGAAAAAACACGTTGATAATGACTCGCAGTCATGTGAATGGTCTACAGATTGTGCACATGACGCACAGGGACAATGGGAAAGTCTGGAAAAAAAAATAAAAAAAAGGGTTCCCGCGGTTCCGAGTGGCGGAAGGAGGAGATTATTATGGCATGTCAAGGGCAGCTGCTTTCTTTTCTTTGAAGAATCAGGAAAGGAGGGAGCAGGAGAGGGGCAGAAACGGAAGGAAAGTCATCGAGCCACGGGACATGTCAGATACCCATGTCGCGACGCTTTTATGAATAAATCAGTTCGAGCAACCGACTAGAAGAGTGAAAAGTGAGGTGTTTTTGGCTGCACTTTTTCTCCGAGCAGACGCCGTTTCTCTCTTCATCTGACGACATAGGCGCATCGAACTGATTGATAACCACCGACTTTTGCAGACGGCTCAAAGAACACGGACACGCGTTTCGCTTTCGCACAGCGAAGCAAGACCGCATTTTTTCTCACAATCAGAGACTCGTGCATCGGAAAAAATCTTCTCTAGTATTTTCTATAAAATCAGACGTCTGAATACATACATACAATTACCGAAAGTTAACATTAACTAACTGGTGCATCAGAAGAGGAGGAAGGCGAACAAAGACCGGCTTTCAACTGCCATCAACAAGATGTCCTGGGACTCTGTTATTACCGCGGAATGAATAAGTCTGAGAAATGTGTGCTCGTAAAACGTGAGGACAGAAATGAAAAAAGGATTGAAACGTAGAGCTCGAATCAGAACAACAAGAGAATGTGTTTGTCATAATGTACTTTTGAAAGAGTTGTCAAAATATCCAAGGCTAAAAATAGAACACATTTAACCAATGAAAGAGATTGTCTGTGACTCACATCACATTGCGTAGTTCGCAACGGTTCTGTAACCATGAACCTCTCACGGACTCTGGGATTTACTTTCAAAATAATTCTCATGATAAAAAAGAGAAAAAACTATTTCTCATTCTCAGAATGCATTCTCACACTCCTGGAAATGTCTGTGAGTTATTGATGAAGAAGAGAGTATTTGGCCCGGTTATTGAGGAGATAATTAGACCTGTTTTGTTTAATAACTAACAAAAATAATAAATATATATTCCCCAATGTTTTTTTGCTTTGAAGTAAGCAGACACATATTAAAGAACAAACCGTTTTTTAATTCGAAGGACTAATCCTTTGATGAAGGGATTTTGATGGAAAAGTCTGATGAAAGTCTTCGGATGACTGACCATTCCTAATCCCTCTAGTCTATTTTCATAATATACAAATCATAATAATAAGAAGAAGATTCTAAGCGTTCAGATAAGCTCGGATCAATCGTCTACTTGTGATAATCTCTTTTTCGTCATCTCATCTCTTCCAAGTGAAGTTAGTGCCTTCTCCCCGCCAGGAAAAAAGCTTCGTGCCCTTTTCCTTTTTCTTTTCCCTGCCCTCTGCGCATTGAGTCTTTTTAGCCTAATTGAAATTCGCATACACTGGAGATGTCGTGTCGTCAACAGGAATCGCATATCGAATGCATGTGCGCTTTCCGGAGTCTAAGAAAATGTAGAAAAACGAGAGGCTTGATAGGAATCATATTCAAGCTCGCGCGAGCAAAATTGAAATGGGAAATGAGCGCGCGAATCTGAGAAAATAGGAGAAACGGAAGCGAAAAGAGGTTGGGTTGCATCTCAAAGATGAGTTTACTTGCCTCGTATTTCTTTACGTCATGCCTAACCTTGTTGACTGAAACAAAATTGGAAAAAGTGGAAAAGCGCATTGCGCCGTGTATCTGTATATATCTGTCACGTCGCACTCGCTCCGCATGTTTCACCTGCGGCCAAGTCTTTCGAGACACCTGGCCAGAATTCAAAAGGACAATAGAAGTGCAGAAAAGCTCTAGGATGATGAATGGCACGCAAATTATCGGATAATCCAATCCCGTGCTTCTCCCTCCACCTTCACACGCTGAGCGGAAGGGGATAAATGGGCGGAGCTACCAACTTTGTGGCGAATGTCACGAAAACAATATTATCAGAAGGGAGAAAGCCAACGGGACCGACACGGATTATGACTACTTCTCATGATTTTCAAAGCATTTCATATGTTTTCTTTCCACGCGACAGGATTAGGCTAGTGTGTGTTCGGCAGAAGCCTTTTATCCGGAGAAGAACAGATTTGTGCCAGATAAGATACACTTTTGTTGGGTGGATTGAAAAAATGGAGGATTGGATACAAATGGAATCGGAGTGGAGAGGAAGACGGGGATTTCTGTTTCTGAGATATTGGGAATCAAATGAAGCGGGGGGCTGAGAGGGGCTAAATCACAAAGAATAGTTTTTCAAGCAAAAAAGTTTAGTTCATTGCGATCTTGAAGCTTCTTCTTGAACTGGCAGAGTCGACATTTGGAGCAAAGCCATTTGGATGACGTCATTTTCTGAAAGAACTTAATGTTTCGCATTTCCCTCAAAAGAGTTTGTATTCTACAATGAAAACTATTTCAATTACAAATCCGGTTGCAACCAGATATGCTAGCAGCACACTGCCAAAGCATAACCAGTGACCGTAATCCGAAATGTAATCCTCTTACAATCAACCGACCCGATTGTGGACACTGACACTGGTCAGTCAGTAACTGTTCACTAATAGCGAATAATGAACTTGTTGTCCCTTTTTCTAATGATATTCCTGGTCAACGCTCAAACGAAACGTTGTTTCGTGAGCCATAAGAACATTCGGATATCCTGTGGGAAATCCATTGACACGAGGTGAATTTTTTCTTTTCATTTCCTTTAATTTTCACACGTATTATGGCGATTCAGAACTGCAATCACGTTGGAAGAGTGTGAAATTGCGTGCATCCGGTACAACACGCTATGCCAAACAGTACAGTACGATTACTATAGGAATGTGTGTGAAATATTCAGTGTTCCGTCTCCGTTGAAAGTGAACGCATCGAGTGAGTTGTGAAATTACCATTTCGCAAAAGATCATTTCCATATTTCAGCTGCTGAAACAATGCGAAAGCGAGAGATTGCTCTGGGGTAACTTTGTGAACATCTTTTTTGATTCATGAGATATTTTTTGTTTTAGAAATACAGAGTGTGTGATAGCATCGCTTCTTCCCACAATTGGGACCACACATCTTATCCCTCAATGGGATTGTCTTTCCGAACTTTCGAACATCCGAATGTCACCAAACACATCACACTCACTGGACATTAAACCACCTGACGCTCAAGAAGATCTTCGATCGCCGCCACGTCCGAAACCGGTGAGTCAACATTTAGTGATACATGTTTTCGACTACTTCCGTTCAAACGGATGTACAGAGTTCTTTGTCAATTTCCGCAAATAGTGAAAGAGGTATTCATTCAAAATATTCGCCTATCACAAAAACAATATCAAATGCGGGGGACTGAATAACAATGCTGAGCACACAATGGCGAGAAATCATTGGGGAACTGTCTAGACGGCCTCATTACCTATTTCCTTGGCTCGCTTGATTTGTGATTTTGGTGAAGTAGCGACCGTAGTCGCCTTTCGTTTCTTGTTCGCATTTCCGTTTTGTTGGGACGATTGAGGTAGACTCGGTTGAAAAGTGAACTGATTTTGAAGCAGTGAAAGTTGAGGCGGGAACGGGAAACATTGCAGAAATCCCGGCACGAAGGGGTTAGCTGAAAAGGGGTCATTGGGGAATACTCATGGGGATTTGTGAATAACTCACAAAATGGCAACATTGGCCATCCATATCCGGGAATCGGAGACGCAAAGTTGAATAATGGCACTGGCGCATCGTTGTTCCGAACTACAACATGCATCTTTATGTCAAAATTCTTCAAAAACTCATTTTTCACCAAGTGGAGGAGGAAAATTCTGACATTGAACTGGCAGAATCTGCTGAATCGGCAGGATCGGAGAAACTTTGTTCAGAACGACCATATCACTTTTGACAGTGGGACCAGAAACTGATTGCTGGTTCTTCTTCGATGACTTTGACGACTCTCCGTCGTTCCCACTGATTTCTGTTGGTTTCAACTTGTTGTTCTGTGCGATAATATCATATTGTCGCATCAACGCCGCCAAATGTGTGTTGCCCGAGGGGACCTTGTTGACTGCAACAAAACATGTTATTCGAACCAGTGCTATCACTTTGGAGCCTACATTTACTTACCTGGTGATTGGGATAGATTTAGAGGTGTTGTATTCGCGGGTGTAGTTGTAGTTGACGGACCGCTGACGTCTGATGAAGTGGATATTTGGGTGATCGCTTCTGGTTTGGGAAACGGTGACGTCATGACTTTAACTATCTAAAGACATATGCATACTAATTGAAGGAATGTACATTACTTTCTTTTCCTCACCTTCTCGTTGTCGGCAGAACCACTGAGAGAAGTCGGCGCACTCAAAATGTTTGTGATGCTTTCTGGATGGGCCGAACCGATCATTGACAATAATGGGGTATTGACTGAATTCATGGCCTGCAATTTCCGTTTCAAATGTGTTTCTCGGGGTGTGAGACGAGACGACAAGATTCGTGTTTAAGGATATAAAAATCAAGAAACTCGGAGAAGACAAATTCGAAATCGTGAGCAACACGATCGGTGGGGCCGGAGAAGAGAAGAAAGAGGAGCGGAGAGTTGTGACGGCAGAATCGAGAGATAATAGTAATCAACAACAGTTCGATAATACACTGCGCAACTTCGCTGTAGAGGTAATAAAATATATATGATTAGAGATAAGATAAACGCAATCTTCTCAGGTCTTGCCAGTGGTTCCCGACTGTCCGATTGGAGAACATTCAAGAATTCAAGTGATTGAAGGAGTCGAGGTAAGTGACGGTCTTTCGAATGAAAAATGAAACATTGTCTCACTTAGGTTGCACGTGAGGCCACCATCACATTCACCGTGGTCATTCTGGAGCAGTGCGTTCAAGCATGTCGTCTTAGCACCGTAAGTCTTGTGGCGGGAGCCGGCAAAAAAAAGAGAGAGAGAGAGAGAGAGAAAAAGGCCGAGAGTAATTTCTTTTCGGAAGCCAAATCCATAAAATGGCTCAGATTTATGAGCTCGTGGTGCCAGATTTATACCCTTTTTCGTTCGCCGGTGCCACGCCACGTAATTGAAAAATGGTCCGAACGGCTAGTTCAAGGGCTTACGCGGCAAACGCGAGTGAGTAATGGCGATAAAACAGGATAAATTGTGAGGCAGACAGGGAAGTAGATTGAACAGAAGACCGAGCGGGTTCCAAAAACAGGATAACAAAGAAAAGAACAACAGTGTTTTGTGTGGGAATCTCAGCAGTAATCGCCTTAACGAGTCACTCAAACTTACTTGAAACACTTTTTCAGAATTCGGACGGCTCCCGCCTGCCACTTCTTTGCCGCTCTGCACACTTCAACAGAGCAACAAGAGCATGTTCGGTGTACTCGGATGCGATAAATCCGAACGGATATCTTGAATACAAACCGAACCAAAACGTGATATACATCGAAAAAATATGTATTCCGGGTGAGTTTTGACGGGAAACAATCGTTGTGGGGGTGATACATCATCATATTCTTCTGGTTTATGGCATCGTCATTGGCACTCTCTCTTTTTCTCTGCTCTGTTGCGAGTATGTATCCCTGATAGCGGGTCTATTGGAGAACATTAATCTTGGCACACTATGATAGGTGATAAATCAAATAGTGCTCTCCGCGACAGAAAGAAACGGAGCGCTGGGAATGAATGGCGCCAAGACTCGGCTAGATTGATGACTATGGCTGACGGATAAAATCGGAGCTGAGAAATGGGACAATTTCTTTTTGCAGACATGGTGCTACCCATGTCGTGTGACGATGTTTTCCGCCGGATTCCACAGCACATTTTATTGGGTGATTAAAGAGCGAACAAATGACATTAATGAGGAAAGGTGTTGATTTCAGGACACGCTACAGAAGTGATTTCGGTGTCGAGTGAGAATGAATGTGTTTTGGAGTGTATCAAGTCGAAGGTAATTTGGCTGTCGGCGTTTTTTGAAAACCATTATTCAAACGCTTCTTCGAAGAAGTAGCCGAATGCAATCCCCAAGGCTCAAAAGGCAATTAGTCGTACGCGAATATCAATCTTTTTAGAGAGGCTCTCGGGCGTTACGTACACCCAGTGGAATAGATGTGTCATAATACTGTTCTCAACAACACATACTTCCTTTCTATTTTAAAAATCACCAAGCAGACAGAATGTTTGCAGACAATGCGATCAGTGGCGTGTCACTCAATCTTGCACTACCCCGATTTTTCCTCCTTCAACTGTATTCTCAATGTTCACACTCGACACACGAAGAACCAGTTTTTCACGCCAGAATTGGCTTACAAAGTGGATTACGTGGAACTTGGTTCATGTGTTTACAATTCTGCAGCAGGTAGGATGAGGAAAAAATATAAAGACAGGAAAAGCATGGATTTTTGAGCAGTGGCGGGTGGGTGAAAACAAACAACGGAAATGTGGGGCATCGCCGACCTGATGGTAGCCCACAAATCATTTTAATTGTCTCTTGTCAGCCGCCGGCTCCTACTCGTTTCTCTTCCATGATAATGGGCCTCTTCCCACCACCTGGCGCTCAGAACCTGATGTTGGCATCAAATTGAGAGAGGGAGAGAGAGAGAAAGAAGTCGGGTGGTTTGTGTCCCAGTTGTCGCCCCGCGAGGTTTCCATGTGAACATCGGGGCCCCGACAAATGTCACATAAAACACGACACGCTTGGCACTAAATCTCCTTTTTCTTTGACGGCGACGGCGACAGACGCCGCTGACTCTTTTACGGTGGACAAAGAATGTGGGCGGGGGGAGAGAGAGAGGAAGTCTAAAGTTTCAGATTAATTTGTATAAACGTTCAGTGATTCAGGACAAATAGCCAGCAAAGCGATGATCCCTCCTAACCCGTTCGATAAGCCGGTTTTATCGGGTACACACTTTCGCAACAAACTTTCCATGTACCGTACCAGATTACAGATGGTCAGAAGCGAGTGGGATCAGTCACATCCGAATGGAGCGAATGGACTCAATGCAATGAAGATACGAGCTCGCGGAGCCGGCAGCGGGTGTGCAATGGGTGCAACGAAATAATTCAGGTGAGCCGTGAAAGCACTCCCACAAAATGGAAGTAGCGGAAATCGAGAGCGCGTTTTGTGAAGAGTTTAACATCATCCGAAAGGGCGTCCACTTTTTTCCAATTTCCGTTTTGGTGCAACTCTAAAATGTTGGCTCACTTTGAAATGAATAGAATGGGAAGAAAGAGGGACATTGCGAGCAAGATGGATTGTCGAACTATTGTAAAAGTACTTTTTTCAGTTCATGCCATGTTTCTCAACCAACAATTTCGATCAGGCATTGCAAAAATTCATTAAAGAGCAACAAGAGAAGGAAGCGATGGGTAATTTATATCTTTTGTTGAATTGAGCGAGGAAAAGGTTTTTTGAAATCAATTTACTCATTTTTCAGTTGATGCCGTCATGAAATCGCGAGAAATCGAAGCGGAGAGGAAACTGCTGCAACAATTGGATTCAGCCCCGACGGTCATCGAATTTCGTTAGTTCCGTATAATGAAAACCGTGCCTAAATATTTATATTTGCAGCACAGAAAGCAATAAACAATGAGCAGACCCCAAAGAACTCGGTTGAGTTTTTCGGTCCCCCACAGCCGGCTCAACAAGCATCCCAAGCAATGAGCACTTTCTAAAAACCATGCAATAATGTACTCGATCTTCTGGACATCTCGTTACTGACTCAAGCAAGAAAAAACCATTTTTACAGTATTTAAAACATATTTTTGAACCAAAACCTACACTTATTTGTAAATAAAGTTATTTTCTTTATTAATTTTCAGATTATCCCCTTTTTTTGCTGATGAAGATTCAAAACTTGAGGCCGAGGCTTGGTGACCGTCATTTCGGCCCGTGGCCGCGGACTAGAAACCTCTCAATGCTACGTTTTATTAGAATTGTTGCCACGGCCGCTAGTCGTCGTGGCATTGATATTTTACTCAATTTATCCGTTTTGCTCTCAGTTTAGGTTCGCATAATTTAGAATTTTCAGAAAAATATTGTTGAAAACCGTCGTACATATTGATTTTTGAATGAATTGAGCAGAAAAACGCAGAAAGCGTCGATTTTTTTGTCCTCTTGTCTTCTTCTCGTAAAAATCGATATTTTCTGTTTTTTACAGGTCGTCTAGCCACAACTGGTTCACAATGGCTGATGAAACCGCTGCCGTCGTAGAGGCTTCTGCTCAAGAAGGTCCAATGGACAAGAAACCTGCGGAGCTGAAGTACCGAGTGAAGTCGAATGATGGACTAGTCTTCGAAATGAGCCCTGATGCTCTGTATCACTCGAACACTCTCGCCTACATGACAAAAATTCTCGATTTGACTGTCGAGAAGGCTGCGATGGAGGATCCGATCAACCTATACGAAGTGAATGCATCGATTCTGGTGAAAGTGATCGAGTGGTGCACGAAACACCAGGATAAAGCTCCTAAGAGGGAGTTTAAAGATGACCCATTGGAGATTTCGCAGTGGGACGCTGAGTTTCTGGAGAGAAACCGAGAAAACGTGTTCGAACTGATGATGGCGGCCGACTACCTCGATATTGCCGAACTGATTTCGTTGGCGACTCAATTCATCGCCAACGTGGGAATCGGAAAGACGGCCGACGAGTTGAAGAACTATCGTATTCATCAGTACAAAGACTACTTCAAGAGACCGACGCTTCAGAACATGGAGATTTTGGATACGGATTCTGATGACGAGGAGGCTTCTCTGACCGAGTCCGAAGACGAAGACGTAGACGAAGACGAGGACGAGGACGAAGACGAAGGCGAGGACGAAGGCGAGGACGAAGAGACTCCTGAGGCCGAGTAAAATGCTAATCTAGCCCGTTGCATCGATTTCTCTGACATTTTTCTTGATTCCGTAAAAATTCGGTGTTTTTTTCAAGAACCTGCTGAATAAAAAGTAATGTAATCATGTGCCGTGTGTTCAATTGTTCACTTATTGGTCTCACTAAGCCATTATACCTTTTTTACAGGAATCGATTGACGTCAAAGTTTCAGATAATCTCATCCAGAGTGCACTTGCATTTTCTCATTTCTTCATATTAATCTAAAAAATTAAGAAGAACTCCAAAATTAGTGTTCAATTTCTAAGAAACAGCACTTATGCCATTTTCGTTTGCTTTCCAACAAATTATTGCCTTCAAAAAACGGACAATCTTGCTCGTTTTCTATCCCCGAAGCATTTCTTTGTAGTGCTATCCCATTTATGTCATCTTCCGAAAATCTCGCGGCCAACTATCGACTTCCGATCGGCGGCACCGTGCCGGACACCTAGACACCGCGTATCTCTCTTATCCTCAGTGATCTCTTTTCACTTTTTCGGTTTGTGTCCTTAGATAGTTTTCTTTGTTTCTAGAGAATCCGCAGTTCAGTTTCTTCCCCTTTGATACTCGAATGTTCTGCGAATTTATCACTCATTCCCTTTTCACGTCGACATGTAACTGCATGACATCGCGGCCGCCGTGGCCGTGGCCTAGAAAACTCTTGACTTGTTGCGTGAACCAGTCACGTTTTCTGTACGGGGAATGTGTTAAAAACCTTCAAATTTGTCGATTTTTTTTCAAATGTTGTTTAAATAAGTATTTCTTAGAATATCGAATCAAAATTCTCCACCAACTAGTAGTTTTACCGTGTTTTCCTCTCAGAAACTCAGTTTTTTGTTGGCATTCTTCTATCTTAGTTAGAAATTCGTTGTTGTGGAATTTCGTCTAAAAATGCTTTGTTCTCTGATAATCATTCACACTTTCGCAGTTAAAAATTGTTTCTCTGCATGAAAACCAATTGATTTCCTGACAATATTCCTAATATAACCCCTTTCTTTTCTCCCCGATTATCGATTTTTGTCACAATGCATTTTTACAGGAAATGGCAAGAGCAACTGCTCGTCCGAAGAAAAGGACAAGTGTGGTGAAGTGTTCGAGACGGGTGCAGCAGGCACGAGCCAAAAAACCGACAAATCCGGAGGACATTCCGACCACTGCTCTCGAGAAGAAGCTATTGAAAAGAAAAATTCAAGCGGAGAGAGCACTCAACTTGGCGACGAAACAGAAGGATTGGCTTCTCGGAGTTATTGAAAAGGTCTCCAAAAACGAACGCGAAAAAATCACTGCAAAATGGGAGTCCACTAAAAAACGCGAGCAACAACTGTCGGAAAGAATAAAGAGTGAAGTGGAAGCAAGAGAACGCACGTTCCGAGAGTTCGATTCAGCCCGACGCGAACAAGTAGAGAAGGCAATGAAGTTTAAAGACAAGTGGAGATTTCTGGATAAAATTTCCCATGAAGCAATGATCTCGTCCTTCGAACTGAAGGGAATGCAGATGTACTTCTCTCAATCTCGGTGCTCCGAACTGGTAGAACAGTATGCGGCGACGACGAGCAAGTACAAAGAGAGAACCAAGAAATTGTTGGAAGAGCAGAGCACTGGAGTTCGAGACAAGCAAATGGAGAAATGGTGGAAGTGCTGCGACAAGTGCGGTGCTGAATACACTTCTACAGGCGACGGCACGCCACGAATTCTCAGTACGTTTGACCAGAACTCCACCGCATAAACAAAACAACATTTCAGGATGTGGCCATACAATCTGCGAGGGATGCACGAAATTTGACAGATACATGGTGAGCTGTCCGATCGATAATAAATCGACAAAGCTCAAAAGAGGTCTCCTGAAGAATTTCCAGATTCTCAAGGAATAAGTATTGCATGTTACCGATAAAGTGTTTATTCTGCTTTTACAATTTGTTTCCTTTTCATTTTCCAAATCTGTTTCTATCACAGCTTTTTATCTATATTTAATAATTCCTTCTTACTTTGCATTCAATTTCCTGCTGTTATTTTCAGAGAATGGCACCGAAATCTTCCAAAACCGGCGGAGGATCAACTCTGCCGATGAAGAAATCACTGGCTCAGCGTCTAAGAGAGGACATCAAGAAGATTCGAGAGGCCACCAGAACGACTGTTGAGGAGAAGGAGGAAGCCGCCAAAGAACTCAAAGAACAGAAGAAGAAGTTTGAGGAAATCAACGAGCAAATGGATATAAATGCTCAAGACGTCATCAATGATCTTGAGAGAAGCCTGTACAATGTCAAAACTTCACACAAAGAGTGTTTCCGCGAGTTGGAAAACGTGAAGAGAACGGTTCATGAGCAGGACGACGTGCTCAATGCCAACGTACGCATTCTCCGCGGCTTCCGAAACCACGTCGAATACACTGAAAAGAAATTCAATGAATCGTATGTTTGCCCGATATATAAAAGAAATGAAAAAGAAGCGAAAAAGGCGAAAACCGAGCTACTGGCGGCAAGAGACGAAATGATAAAAGTGTCGAAAGAAGTGTTCAATCGGACACCGGACGGATGGAAGATCTGCGGGTGCTGCAGGGATTTCTTCAATTCCGCCGAAAGACTTCCACTCATTCTCAGTTTGTGCAACTCTGAAAATGACTAATCGATTGTTTATCGTTTCAGAGTGCGGACACACCATGTGCAAGAGCTGCGTGGAAGAAACGATCAAGGCTCGTCACGGCGGAGCGGTCAGATGTCCGTTCGACAGGCGGAAGTTGAAACTGACAGCGGCCGACGTCGGCCGAATCAAGGAGAATCGTGCCATTTCGCTAAATTAGTCATTGCCATGGTGTCGATGGTGGTGAAATAAAGCAGGGGTGGGGATTTGCCGGCTGCTACTTCTTGCGGCCTGTGTTTTTGGCCCACTACACTTTTTGGAAATATATATTGGTATGGTGCATATCCAAGAGAATTGCTTTGACGATATTTCAACACCGGGGCCGGCAAATCCCCACCTCTGAAATAAAATATTGTTCTTTGAAAATACAAAAATAAAGCATAATTCTAAAGTTTGAGATGACAGTACAATATGATTGTTGGCAATTATGTTGCCCATGTTAAATCAGATTTTGTTGTATGTATAGGAACTCCTTCCCAACTTGCTCCTCTCCATGGAAGGGTGAGGCTGTATAATGCTCAGTTGACATGCATACTATATGTGGCAGTCTCCATTTTCCTATTCTTCCCTCTCCGCCTTCTCATTTTCTCTCGTGCTAATTTGAGCATTCGCAAGAAGATCAATCTTCTTTCCATCTCTCCCTTCTTCTCCTCCACTACATCTTGTTCCGTCCGATCTTCGTTTTCCTCTGTGCAAACAGTGTTGTCTCATGCTCATGCGCGAACGGAATCACTATAAAGATAGGGTGTATGCATAGCCTCTCAAGTTGTGATATGCATAAAATTAAGCGAAACATGATGAACACTCCGACGCTCCCGGAGCACTTTGAAATGAAAACAAAAGAGACCTCAAGAAAAGCCTTCTGCTTTATTCCTCCATTGAGACTATAACCACCACATAATTTGTTATTTATAGGCTTGTTTTTGGAAACGTGCAAAGTTGCGTAAACTAGGGTCTATGTGCTCTGCCTCCCTGATTTGTGTTTCGCCCACCGACCCCTTTTGTTCCTTGGTGAACATTTCACGAAACCACTATTATTCTTGTGTTTCCGCATCACTTTCAAAGAGCAATTATGCTTCCTTCAAACAAACTTGCAGTACTTCAGGAAGCCGGGTGAATAGTGTGAAAACGCATTGTTTTCTCGAAGAAATACACCTTTTTGGGTTTGTGTGTCGTCAACGTGTACTGAAATCTCAAGAATATTTTCGTTTTTGTGAATAACTCATGGGGAAAGTGCATCAAGATACTCGGGGTAGGCGATATCTATCCCTTCTCATCAAAAAACGAAATTCATCAAGTGCACATTCAATTCGATGACGCTCTCCGTTTCTTTGCAATTCGTCACTAGTTTCAGTCCGATTCGCTGAGCACCAGATGTATTCGTTTCCACATCTCTCATTTGAACTCGAAATCGGCCCTGATAACACCTCTTTTTTATGATGTTCGTAATCAGCAAAAAAGGAAGAGAGAGAGAGAGAGGGGAAGAGAGAGAGAGAGAGAGAGAGAGAGAGAGGGAAAGAGAGAGGAAAAGAGTAGGCCACCACTCGCCGCAGTTTTGTCTCTTGTTGCCCCGTTACCTCGTCGTTGCTCCAATCAACGGCTCACATTCCTCCACTATTTCATTGTTTTTAGTCTTATGAACATCTCTTCTTTTTCTTCAAGAAGGTTTTTGCTGGAGGGGGGGGGGACATGGTTATCAACAAAACTGATAGGCCGGTCCAGTCACAGCAAACATTTCCTGATACACTGCACCGACATTTTGAAGACACCTTGACCTTAAAACTGATGATAAATAAGAAAAATAGTTTCCGGGTAGTAAGAGGACGTCTATAATCAAGGTAAATTGCTAGGTAAGAAGCACATGGCACACACTCCAATCAACACGAAAACGTGCAGCTCGCAGTGTCGTACCTGTGTTGTAATCTTCGTGGGTACGAGACTTTCCCAGCCATGCACACATGTACATGCACACATATAAAAGAGCTGCATGAGCTTTCCCTTTCTCTCTTCCCTTTCTCCGTCCCCCCGTCGCATCACACGGGTTAATGAATTTTGGCACTAAACATGTGCGTCATCATCTTACCCCTACCCCTGTTTCTAATTAGGTCGCCGCGCTTCGAAATATTATTGCTCGTTTTTCCCGACGGTTACGTTACTAGGAGAAGGGCATCATGTTCAGCAGACATCCTGACTCATTGTGTGCGGTCTGTTTTTTTTTAGAGTGGGATGGTTTCACACTCTCTTCCTGTATAGGCGACCTCCTGAAAAGCAAACAATATTTCTCTTCTTCATTTTTCTTCTAGCGCCGCCGCCATTTTTGGTCGAGAAGTGAGTCATGCGAAGCAGCCAAACATTGCCAATACTGTTCTCCCGAAGTGTTCTTCTGTTTTCAGGTTTACGCTTCTCTTTGCCGTACATTTCAACGTTTTGCGTGTGGTTTTGAATATTCATATTCATTTCCTTGTTGGAACATTAATCCATACACGTAGTGAATCCAATTTCCGATTGCATATACACGCGCACAAATATTTTCTCACATGGGACACGATGAGAGGAGAATTTTTGATGAGTTGCTTCTTCTTTCCTCTCGATGCCCTTCTTAGTACAAGAAATCGCGTCTTCCTCGACGAAATTAGTTTGATTTGCATAAGATGGAGTGTCCGACATTCTCCCATTTTGCTCTAAAATTGAATATGGATCTTGCATTTCCTTGCTCTTCTTTTCAATGTGCTGCTCTTCTCACTATAATTGCTCTGAGGGGTCACTCGTCTCCTTCCTCACCCCATTAGAATCACACTTTTGCCCGGCTCGCCGTGCACAAGAAGACCGCCTGCCCGCATTCGGTTTCCTCTCAAAAATAGGCGTCGCCGCACTCTCGATGCACAAGATGGCCAGTTAGTTTATCCAATTTCAACACTCACTCTCAATTAAAATTTTCATTTCATCGGACTCCCCCCCTCGCTCTCCTTCTCTTCATCGTTTCTCTTCTCAGAAGCGCTTCTTCTCTTCTTTTCTTACTCCCGGTGTACTCTCAGGCACAACCCAATTTCGACATCACAAAACAAAAGCGTTGTTCGGAACGTTACGAATATGACGGACGGGCCCCCATTGATGCTCAATCGAGCGTTCTTTGAGAGAAAAGAAAACTGGCTCAAGATAATTCAGTTTGTAAGTTGTTTGTTCAACTAAACTTCCTTTCGACTTTAGGTTCATTTGATTCTAGTCCTTTTCAGACACTCGGTTTTATCAACCTCTTCACCAACTACTGGTGCTATCCAAACCAACACTTTCTCTTCTGTGGAGAAAGGTAAAAACAGACAATCAAAGTTCTTCTTTCTTTCAAAACAATTTCTATTTTTTTCAGATACTTCACCTCTGCCCAAGTGTTCCAACTAGTTGTATTCAACGGATTTTGTCTCTGTCTCACTTTCGTACTCCTTGTTGGCAATATTTCTGGTGCGTATGATGCTTACTACAAGACCAATCCGTATGTTCTTGTAAGTTTTCAGATTGTTTCTGTTCCTATGATTTTTGAATTTTTTCCAGGAGCGATACCTTGTCTACCTTCAAACATTCCTGTACACCGTCGCCTACATCACTCTGATCGTTGACTTTGAAACCAATCCGTACGCCAAAGCTTTTGTTATCCCACTGGTCAGTTCATTTCTTCTCTGTTCCTGTGACGTCATCATTCTCTTATTCCAGGTCTCTACCACTTTCACCTTCCTCGCCTATTCCATCGACTCGCTCATGCAATTCCGTCGCAAGAACTCCTTTAACCAATAACCCTCCGTCCCAGTTTTAATTTATTTATCTCAATGTTCTTGCCCTAAGGGTATTCCAAGCCATCTCCTCCCCAATCACTTAATTTCCGGGGAACTACAACCTTTTCCAAACATACTCATGTGATTGTTTTCCCTTACTTACACGTTGTCACCAAATGCTTTTATTTATTTGTTTCATTGAGAAAATGAAAATTTAAAAAATTGAATGAGTACATTATCAAGGAATGAGTGAGATTCAAAGTGGGTTTAGGATTGTTTCCATATGTTGATGCAACGTTGAAAACATGCTCATCAGACAAAAATGAGCCGCACAAGTTTTAGAAAGAGCAACAAATTTTAGTGTTATCAAAACATTTCCGTCCATATTCAAAACAAATTGTAGAAAAGTAATTAGGAGATGATGGTGGTGGTAATGGCCGTTTCACTGGGCCCCAGTTTTACGACGGTGTCCACTCCAGTCGTACTCGAGCTATTCGTTCCCTCTTCTGCAAATCAAATTGAAATAGCCGCCTCTCGATTACACACCTGAATTATCGGATTTCTCCCTGTGCTTGTGGTTATGGTTATCCTCATCACAGCAGTTTTGATCTGAAACCAATTAGATTTACTTTTTCACAATGTCTGATGTAATTTTGTACCTATCAGAATTGGCATGTTTCGACGACGAACAGCTGAGCCGCCGGAGCCACCCGCAGAGCCAGTTGGCTCGAGAACAGCCGCGTGGCGACGGGCTTGAAGTCGGATCTGAAACGAGATGTGATGATAAGTCATGATTTCCGGTTGTACGAGAACCTGCTCAACGGGAAGTACTCTCCTCCGACGCTTTGGCAGCTTGTCTCTCGCCTGATTGTGAGAATAGAACATTGCGAAGTTAGAGACGATAACCTGAACAATATGATTGTAATATGGAAATAATAATGATTTGCTTACCGGAACTGGCAGAGCAATAGTAAGGACTCCCATGACGGCGCACAAAGATCCTACCAATCTTCCGAATGACGTATGGGGCGTCATGTCTCCGTATCCGACGGTGGTCATTGTGCAGATTGCCCACCAGAGTCCCAATGGGATTGACTGGAATTGGTTGTTCGGATTTGCTTCCATTTTCTCGGCATAGTACACGAGAGCAGCGAATATGACTATTCCAAGAATCAGGAAGAACACGAGAAGTATCAGCTCCTTTGCACTGGCCCGGAACGTGTGAATCAGAATTTGTAGTCCTTGATGGTGCTGTGTTAGTTTGAAAAGCCGGAAAATACGAATCATGGAGAGGAACTCGACGACATCCTTCGGCTCATCCTCGACAACTCGCACCATCATCGCATCTGCATAAAACGAAAGAGTGGCGACCAAATCAATCATGTTCAGAGGGCTTTTGAAGAAGCGGATTTTAGACGGGCAGAAGATGAAACGGATGATGAGCTCCAAAGTGAACCAGATGTTGCAAAGCATTTCGATTTGTCCGAAGATCGGCAAGGGCTCGGTGGAAACTCGTTCGATTGATGGTTGGATGAAGCCTCCTCTGAAAGTACATTTCAGTTTTGATTATTTTTCTCTTGTACTCACGGCATGGTGATATTCTGTCCGGTGAGTACTGGGAGACGAAAGCTCTGGTGGGTCTTGAGGCAGAACGAGAAGATCGAGATGAAAATGAAGAGCACCGAAATTCCGGCAATAAATTTTGCCGCCTGTGAGCTATAGGGCTCGTCGAACAGGGACCAGACCTGGGGTTTCACCTTCATCCAACGCGTTCGCTTTCCCTAAAATAAAAGGAAAATGATAAGAAACTCACTATTTGTGTGTACCTGAAAGTAATCTTCTTCCCATCCGAACTTTTTCATAGTGTCCTGCTCGCGGAGCTGCGGGTCATCCTCGTGATCAGCATCCATTCTGTCGAGCACGGCAAGCGTCTCCTGAGTGTCTCTGCAAGTAGTAACGTTCACAGTGACACTTTTCAATTTCTGCGTACTTAGCGTGGAGAAGTTGCATCCAACAACAAGGTTCTGTATCTGACGCGTCTAGACCCCAGTACTGAAGTTCTTCTTCGAATAGAGGACCACAAACGTCCGTGGGATAATGCAATTTCCCGGTTCGATAATAGTTCAATATCTAGAAAAAGAGTCTAAAAACCATGTTACTCTTTTAGAGAACTTACCATAGAAAAAACAGCAGGATGACGATCAAAAAAGTACTCGTTGAGAAGGGGATCAAAGTTGGCAAGAGATGGAGTTAAACTGAAGGATCCTTTGGAATTTGGCTATTCTGACACTTACCGACGTACCGACTAAGGCGGGTTGCTGGAATCTTTTTGAGAGTAGCTTGGTATGTTTCGTGGCGAACACCTCCGACGTTCAGCACGATCCTCTCATCCATAGAAATGCCTGCAACCAAGTGTTTCACAAAATCAACAAGGTTTATCCCATAAACGGCGACCCTATTTTTTCATCCCCATAAAAATTTATTCCGTAGAGACGCCTAGGGCGTATACAAAGACGTCATGGTTGCCAGGAGACCAGTATAATTTTTACGATTTTTTTCCTTCTCGTTATTGCTTTTTAACCAGAGAAAAGAGAAAATTGGAAGGAAAAAAAACAATAAATCATAATGGGAGATTTGGTTTTTCATCTTTTCTTTTCCTCTTCTTGCAAAAAGAAACGTGAAGGGAGGAGGCGATGAAAATGGGAAGAAACTAAAATAACCCAGCGTCTGAACTTGTACTCATGAATTGGAAATGAAAGCACAGGAAGCAGGAAGAATGAAGAAGAAAAAGAAGGGAAAGGTGAGAAGTAATGTTGAAATTGTTTTGTGTTAGCTAGCTAACTAACACTAGCTAAAATCTTAAATTTCCGGTACGTCCATTCCAAAAACGAGCCAGTTTTCTTTATTTTTAGAAGGGTGAAATCGAATGATGGACCCATCTAGAATCGGGAACCCGCGAAGATTCACATGGTAGCTTGATAGCAGACATGTGTCATTTACACACCCAAAAGTTTATTTTTACACGAAACAAGTTGCGATTGAGAAAACGAATTGATGGGAGCACAGAGAACGATTTCGAATCTTTTGAGTGGGTCATGCTTTGGGTTCCACATGCATTTTGATGAAGTGGTTCCAAATCGCAGGGGTTAAAGACTAAAGAAAACGAGATTGGTTTTATTACAACAACCTATCAGAAAAAGAAAACCAAAAACAAAGTTTGGAATACCCACTTAACAGATCTATTTTTGGGAAGTTACAAGAGCATTGGATGCACTTTGTTCGGAAGTTAATGACGTGATTTTGGAAGTACTACCTGAGGATTTCTAAAAAATCTGAAAAAGAGATAGAAAAATCAAAAGAGATTAGTGGTGAATGTCATTCGAAGAGTTCAAGTTGTAGAAATTCACTTACATACCTTTCTTGGCACACATTACAGTAGAAGACGCGCACTGAAGCGCGAGCAGACAAATAAGAAACGCCAGTTTTCAGATCAGAAAGTGAACTCCCGCAACGGGAAGATGAAGTCACAAACCTATTCCTTCTGCGCTCGTAAAAGACGTTTCACGAAAATCTTCTCCTCCTCCTCCGTGTCCATAAATTTTCAGTGCTTTTTGCCCCCCGAGAGGAGGATCTATATGGCAGGTGGGAGGAGCTTCTTATGCAAATGCGCGGCGCCAGGAAGCAGCGATTAAGGAAGGGAGCAGATAAGGAAGAAGTCTTTGGGAGATGATAAGTTCGAGCAATGAGCACGTCTTGATTAGTAGTATCTTACCTGAAGTACCAACACTTGCCCGCAATTCATCGAGAGCGATGCTGGTGGTCGAGTAGCGAGGGACCGAGTGCCGGGTTTTCATCCTGGTTTCACGACGGAACTTCTTCCCATCTTGGACGAGCTTAGGATTAAGATTACAAAAGATTTAGGTTCCAACTTGATGCGGGTTAGGGAAAGCAAAAAAAACGTTGAGATTGAGAAAAAGTGAGTATTTGTGAATTTGGAAAAAATGCTGTGAAATGTCAAGTGAGTTTGGTTAGGCCAGAAAACAGAGGCAGAGACACAAAATACCTTGAACGCAAACCTTGTTCCATATTCGCTTCCGTTTCTTTCCCGAACAGAAGCAAAAACGAGTACTACGGGAAATGGGCGGAATTTGAGGGAAAAGTGCACAAAAACTCCGTTCTGTTTTTGTTTATCTGTCCGAAAGGGCTTTTCCCGATCATTTGGAATGAGCAAAGACGTACACTTTGTAAAAAAAACGTTTTGAATGTACGGAGAACGAAACGATGGCTATAAAGGGAACAAGTGAATAGAATAAGGAGCTGTTGATAAATTTCATGAAGCGATCGAATTGAATTTCTTCCCCGACAAGGAAATGTCGTTTTTTTCGGTTATTGGAAAAAGGCAACATTGTGGACACAAATTTGGTTTTGTGAGAAAATCGGAGATCTCAGCTCAAAACTCAAGTTAAAATTGAGGTGGGTGAGCATTTGTTTTTCCAGACGAAAGCAATTAACAAATGCTAAAAATCAGCGAAAGCATTTTAGACGCTTCTTGGAAAAACTGAACTGGAGCTTTTCAATGTCGAAGGCGTGTCAGAAACAGGCCGCTACGAAACTTTCAAAAAGTGAGGAGACTTTTGCGAAGACGAAGATCAGGAAATTGATGGCGACGCCGCAAAGCGAAAATGATTCACGTCTCGATGCCATCGAGTTCGGGCGGGAACGAGAAAAGTTGATGAGTTCTATCGATGACATTCACAGACGAGACACGACAATTTGAGAGAATGTCCTTGGCGGCTAGAATAGGGAGGATCGGCCGAGTTCGAAAGTTAAACAAAGAAAAAAACAACACAAATTACATTGAGAGGCGGCGACTACAAATATGGACGTGAGAGGAGGAGGAGGAGGAGAAGAAAGAAGAGGACAATCATGAAATGCAAAGTTTTGTGTGAAAGCATGGAATTGGAGGGCGAGTGGTGGTGAAGAAGCGAATGCTGTGTTGGGGGGACCTTCAAGAGGTGCGAGAAGTGAGAAAAGTGCATTAGGAGTGGAAGAGCTGGAAAGTTTGGCTCCAGCAAAGCCACCCACACATGCACACCCCCCTTTCCAATTTTTGAATGAATGACTGAGTGAGGAGAGATCGTTGCAAATTTGATGAACTGGAAGATTAGTTCTATGGTGTTTTGTTGCATTCGTCACCTTTTTGCCAGTTTCATGTGCCTACCGTATGATTCAGTGAGCAATTTTTGAATGTTTTTCTACCTTTTTTATATACTGAGGGTTTAACGATTTGAAAGGACTTACAGTGACATGCGAAGTTTAAATTTCTCTAGTTAAGAAGTAGAATACAAAGACAGAGCTACCGCCCGTTAATTTGGAAACCTCTGACGTAGAAAATGAATCGCAAGTGGAAAGACGGGAAATTGGGTATTTCAGAGCGGCGAGCGGAACTCTCGTGGCGTCAGCATCGGCCCCATCATTCCACAAAACGTTTCTGACTCATCTAAGTTTGTTTTCTTGATAGTAGAAGTAGATCTCGGCAATAGCTTGTAACAAACAAAACGAAAAGCATTACACCCGAACAACAACGTCATAAACCTGGGATAAAATATTGAGTGCGATGAGGACAACGGGGACGAATTTTCGGCCCGGAAGACATCTGGTTACACTTGAAACTCTTCGGCACACAAAAATATTAAGACGGCCGTTAGATTCTGATGAATGACCGGCGCCGAATGGCATTTTCCTGGTGCGGACCACGAAGGGGTGTCAAATGTGTCATCCTAACAGGGATAATTGGGTTGGTTTTGATTCCTTCCCGTTAAAAATTGTGTTTGCAGACAACGTTTGCTTCCTTTTCTTTTATTTCTTTGCTCAGAAATCACAAAACAAAAACAGCCAACAAATCTTGTTGGGAAGGAACCCACGATCCCTCTCTCACAATCCGGATCTTCTTTTTTACATGCCTGTGGGCTACTACGTGTTTTTCCCAAACATTTGATAGATGCTCTTTCAGCGATGGCACGTAGGATGGATCCAATACAATTCTTACGGGCTCTCCAAATGAAATTGACACCAACACGCAGGGTAAATTGGGTTTAGTGGGTTTTCTGAGTATGACTATGAGACAGAGAAAAAAAAACATTTTTGATCCTTTTATGAACGTAGTGGTATGAAAAAAGGAGAAAAATGAAGGAAGACAAATTCTAGAAAACTGCACTTTCTGTCAGGGAACTCCAAGTTCTTTTTTTGCCTATTCTTCTCTTTACAAAGACTTCTGTCTGCTTTGCCACCAAGCAGTTTCCGGTAGACTCTTTCGAGTTCCCCCAACACGTTTTGTTTCCGGCCACAACGAACAACCAATCCTAAAACGAACAGACCTTTCTCTCCGAAATAGTCGCTGCCTCGACGCGAGAAACGTCGAGCCGACGAACGATTCGAATCGAACCTGCTGAACGAACACGCGTCCAGCATTTCACATCGGAGAATCTGAACAGAAAATAGTAAAGAGTGAAATCAGCTGGAAATTTTTCAAGCGTAAAAAGAGAACGAACATGGCAACAAAAAACCTACACCTGAGAAAGAAAGAAATCGCGGCGGCAGGAAAACATAATCCCACTCCGCTCCGCTCTCCACTATGGACAGAAATTTATCAAGATACCCGTCGGTCGACCTTTTTCTAATTTTTCGAATATCATATTTCTCCACCTTCCCCTCTTTTTGCCTTCCTCTAAGCTCATGAAAACCGAATATGAAGAGGTAGTCTGCGAGGATCAGAAATGCATACGAAATTGAAATTGATTCAATCAAACGTTTTTGCAGTCTGAACGAAGCAAAGAATGGACAAAAAGTGGGATAGGACGAATGCAAATGTACTTTGGCTCTTAGCTGGGTAATTATTGTTCCTTCCTGATTGAAAAAGGAAATTGACGGTGAAAGGAGGGGCTGTCGAATGATTTGCGACCTCAACCCGAAAGATGTTGTCCGGAAGAAGAAGAAGAAGAAGAAGGAGAAGAAGGAGGAGAAGGAAATAAAACCATGAATAATTCCAATGGTTTGTTCAATTGGGTGAAGGAACAAATTTGGAATGAAACGCATTTTGTTTGCAGTATTTTAGAACCTTCTTTGTGCAATCCATAAAAGATCAAAAAGACGAAAACCTCTTGAAATTTGAGATACTATCCATTAACTGGCTTTCACGTTCTTCAAATTCCAAGGAAAATACTTTATATCTATCTATCACCAAATCCGGAACGGATGGGATGCATCAAAACAGCCGTATTTTAATTTTGACTTTGAGAATGTGTCATGACTGAAACAAAACGCTAAAACGTGACTGGAACAAATAAACAGAAAAGAACAGAGAACAGCGGAGAAATTCGGATAGAATAGATACGAGAAGATAAACGCTGAAGGGAGAAGCGAATCAAACACAAGAATATTCTCGGCCATCCGGAAGCAAATAAAGATCAAGTAGAGGCTTTTCGGAAGAATGTGGTAAGCGACTCGAGATTGGATGCGAGTAGATACGCGAATAATGATGGCTTGACCATTTTATGGCTTCCTTTGGGACAGGAATAGGTACGAGATTCGTTCATCCATCAGCGAAATTGGATGAATCTTGAAAAGTTGGATTTTGAGCTTTTTTGGGACAAATTCTGAGAGAGGGAGACGAGTCAAGAGCTCTTAAGGTGGAGCAGGATGGAATTCACATCTTGAACCCTTAAGATTTCAAACATCTCCTGTCTGTCTCTATTCACTTGGGTGTCATTAAAATGAAGGTGAAATAAGTGCATGAAAAATATGTTTTTCTGGGGACCCGAAACGACGAATTGAATATTCAAAACCACCGTTTGAACTCTTTCCAACCTCACGACTGCTGCTTTAATCGCTTTTCAAACGGAAAACGTGCGAATTGGAAAACAATTGGTTGCATTTGGGTAATCGGGATGAGCTGCGGAGCTCGGGGACAAATTCTGGAAGCTGATCTGATGACTAATGATCTCCTCGCGAATGCACTTGACTCGAAACCTCCGCTTGACACTTGACAGACCAAAAAAAGAGGACAAGCAAGCCAATATTACATCGAAATGCGTGCCTCTGGGCGGAGGCTTTTCCCAGTCGTCTAAATTACAACTACTTGAACATCTCATTTTGACATCTCTCAAGACGGATATCGCGCCCTTTTCCAACATGTTTTTGGGGGCAGAAAAAGCAAAATTCAAAAAGTGGAAGATCCTCCATCAAAAACGAAATCACGTTCGACTCATCCGCCGTCTTCTTCTCCTTATTCTATGATCAGATTCAATAACGAGAAAAAATGATAGAGTTTCGGAAAAGGCCGGGAGTCGGAGTTTGTTGGATTTTGATGAATAATACACTCACTCTCGACGCCTTTGTCAAGTCTTTTTTTTTGCAAATGTTCAAAAGAGGGTGGACGCTATTCAAAATGAAGCAAACTGACGAGAGAAAATAGGACAAACAAAAAAAGCGTTCTGAAAAGGTGCTCATTTTCACAGAATCCACTTGTATTTTTAAGATGTTGAATGAGGTTGAATTTGTTCGAATTTTTTGACCATCATTTCAATTGGCACAGATATGGCCTCCTCGTAGCCATTCTGCAAAATGGTTTTTGAATTAAATCGATTTTCGCAAAATCAGTCATATTTCGGCTGAGAGCCAAGTTAACGCATCTTCTGGAGGAAATTTGGATTCTACGAGACAGTCGGAATAACTTGGGGTCCCCGAGTGCTGAACGAAACATAGCTTGTGTGACTTCCAGAACATCCACAACATCTTCTACCTCACAATTTCAGAGTGACAACACATAGTATCTTTTTTTCCGGAACTCAATAACATCCGTTTCAGTCATAGTTGGAACAATTGTTGGCGATAATAATATTCATAGCGTAACCACCAGTCCTCTTCTCCCTATCTTCAAAGTACAACACAAAAGTGATAACTTACCTCTAATAGTTAACTCTGAAAAACAGGATTACCGGTAAAAACCCTAAACTTAAAATGCCATCACGCTTTTACGGTGAAATTAGGGCAACAACACGCATAATAAATCGTTTTCTGATTTACCGGAAAGGCACACTCTGTGTGAACGGCATGAAAAAGTAGATCCTATTAATTTTCTTGACGATAGTGATATTCATAGCGTTAACCAGCAGTCCTCTTCTCCGCATCTTGAAAGTATTACACAAAAGTGATGACTTACTCTAATAGTAAACTGCCAAAAACAGGATTACCGGCTCCCGGGGTTTCTTGGAGAGTCACGAGGAAAGTAGAATCAAAAAATGCCTCTCAATAACCAACATCTGCTATCATCGTCCGATAAGTGTCCTCCGAGTCGAAAAATATATAGTGTCGGAATTTGAATACGGGAGTAGAACAAAATTATTTTCTTCGGAAAACCTGTCCGGGGTCCAATGGATCTTGACTGGGACGCGTTAGGATGTAGTCGGCCGTGTAATATCAAGACTGTTTTCCATCGTGACTAAAATTAGGAATCTGAAATGTAATTATGGTCGTATAAATACTCGCTACGGGAATATCTCTCACTGAGTCGTTAATTTTGCTCGAAGCAAAGCAACTAATACACTGCTCGACGATCATCTGTTGGAAAATAGACCCTAAACGGATTGATTGTGCGGCCCGGGGAGTTTTTGCGGGCTATAAAATAAAACTAACCTTGATGGGTTTGGTTGCTCCTAATAATTGAGATGATCTAGACGCCCACAACGACGGTCGGACCAGCGACGGGGCATTATGAAGTGAATCGATCAAGAACGGCGAGGGGGACCCTCGGCTGGGAGACGCAGAGAAAAAGAGAGTGCGCGGTTTGGCGGGCGATAGGTCAAAACGGACTCGGTGCGCCCCGCTCGACTATTTCGTCCGCAAATCAATAGCATTCCGTCTCTCTACTGAAATTCCACAAAAATCGTCATTTTTTTCGCCTTTTCCATCTTTAAATCACTCGGAAATCACAATTTCTAGTTGTTTCATCAGAAGAACACCGAAAATGTTTCGATTTTGTGCGAAAAATTAGAGAAAATGCGACAAATCCTGGTTTTTCTCCGAATTCTGGTTTGTCTTCACTGCAAATATGATGTTTTGAGTGCAAAACGACCGTATCTCGTGCCGATTCGAGCGATTTGTATTCATTAACACTGAATAAAGGAAATGGTCGAATCGCTGCGGCCCTCGAGTTTTATTTTGAATTCAGCCCTCTAAATTTGATAAGGAATGTGATTGCGAACATTTTAATTTTTCAGAAATCCTCGAGAAACAGGGAGAAGAAGACCGAGAGAAGTGCCAATTACGCGGAAAAGAACACGAGAGCATCTGTGCGTCGGGCTGGAAGCGCTAAAGCGGAACGGAAGCTGAGCACGGCTGCGGTCGCCGTGGCACTCGGATCCTACTCCACTATTCCGACGTCGACCGTGACTATCCAGGATCAACCGTCTTATTACTATCCGTACGCGGCTGGACTTATGATGGGTAATAAATGTGTCCCACTCTCGTTTGACAATATCCATTGTGTTACAGATCCTAGCCAAATCTATAACATTGGCTACTCGACAACTCTCTTCAGACCCGACGTGAGTATGACGCTGTTCGGAAATTCATCGCTTGCCCCAAGACCGGTTGAGTACTTTCCCATTCTCCCTTCTTCGTCCGAATTGAACTCTTTCTCCTCTGTCGCTTTTCCCATAAGCTTTCCTCGAAGGTACTGTTGTTCTCATACAATGATTTGTTTTCAGAATATCCAAGTGCACGTGATGCCGGTGCAGGACGAGGAGACCAAGAATGCGGTCATGGACTTGGAAGCCGTTGATGCGGAGTCATAAGCAATGTGTTGTCGCAAAACCCAATTTACTGTCTTACTAATAACATTTTTGCAAGACGAAGTTGATTCTCTATTCTTTTTTTCTTTAAAATCAAGAAACTCCATCTGTTCTTTATCATCGTGAAATTCACTGTACTCTGCATATCATATTCCTGAAGCTGAAATCCTTCCGTCGCTTCGATATTCTTCAGTAGCTCATTTTGGGGACTTTTATTGTCAACAACAAAAGTAAAGGCACATGTTTCGGCTTTAAAACTTCAGATGAGCGCTTTGGTCGGCGATCGAGTGTCCGGCTTGCACCTGAAATAACCGGACACTCGCCTGATTTTCCAGGTGCAAGCCGGACACTCGACCGGCGAATCCGTTCATGTTACCTTCGAGAGATGGTAGTTTCGTTAAATTTGCGGTAGATCTCTCGAAAGATCTATCGTTTAAAATACGACTTTCAGGTTGAATCCGTGCTCAAAAAGTGACCGGATTTGCTCGACAGACTTCGTGTAGTCACACTCAACAAACACTTTCCGTGGACGGCGCTCTGCTGGTGGGAATTCTCCGGTTCCAGAACCATTTCTTTAAAAAGCGTTAATTTCAGAACGACGAATGTTTACCCTGTGTAAAATAGAAATAAGAAGAATGCGATGAATGAAAATGTCCGTGACTTCGCAAAGAACTTCATGTAACTCTATTCTTTGAGCAAACGCGTGTGAATGACTTTTCCAATCCCCGACGATTTTTTTACAAATCAAAAAGATTCAGAAGTCATTTGAGGATTCAGATAACACCAAAAAAAAATTGTCCAAAATATGACTTGATGTATATCAAATGAATGACAAAAACACGAAGATTTTATGTCGTCACAAGGAGCTGCCTATTATCATTGAATATACATGCAATACTTGTAAAAAAGGGTGACTCAGGTATTACGGTGTGAAGACCACAGGATCGAGCTTTCTCTCTCTCAAACTCACTCTAGAATTCTTTCTTCAACCTTCCGACCACAATCCTTCTTTCTATCGTCCGTTATTTGTTTGGCTTTGAACCGTTTACACACTTCCAGAGTCGCCACGTCCTTCAGTCAGGTCTGAAAGTCGTCACGATCAGTGTCTAATCGAGGCAAATTTCTTTGCACTCGGCGGGGCTCGAACCTGCGGTCTTTGGATTGCTAAGCACAAGCTTAACGGCCTACACCACCCTGGCCACGCGGCTCAATCGCCCATAGGGTGTATATATAATGGCGACGGACGCCGTTGGGCGCTGTGGTGTCGGTGATATCTCGAGAACGGATGGAGTTATCGAGAAGCATCCAAGAGCAAAAATGATCAGAAAAATGTGCTCCGTTCATCTAAATACATATCAAAAAGATTCAGAAGTTATTTGAGGATTCAGATGACACCGAAAAAAAATTGTCCAAAATATGACTTGATGTAATCAAATGAATGACAAAAACACGAAGATTCAAACTAACGTCGTCAATGTTGAACTGTTTTGTCCTCTGCCCTCAAATAACGAATAACCTCTGAAACTATGAGCAATTGTCAAAAATCACCAACTTTACATTCTTATCTTTTTTTTTCTCCCGATTTTGACACACACGAGACCCGGGTGACACGACTGACCAAATCACCCATCCTTATGTACCCTCGAGCAGCCGATGTTTCACGGGGAATGGCGAGGTCTGCTGTGTTGCGTCACTGTGTGTACGGGCGGTCTTCGCTCACTCGTCCGTAACTGCATGAGGACAGTCTTCTTGCGGACACTTCTGGATAACTGAAAAAGGAGATATCAGCTGATATATCGAGGATTTTTTCCAAAGATTTTGATCCAGAAAACTCGCATTTCATTTGGATAGGACTGCATGAAACGGCCGTTTTTTTTCACTTTCAGTTTGATCATCACGCGATCCTGGAGCATGGATGGACGCCACCCATCTAAATTGACTATTCTAACAGACGTGGTTTTTCTCAAAATTTAATTCATCACAAACAGGGAGACATCGGACGGGGCGACATCCCCCAAAAAAGTGGTGACAATGCTGAAAAGAATGACGCATTGCTGACTAGAAACAGTGGAAGTGCCAAACAAAGACGCATTTTTGTTCTATTTTTTCCAGAAAACTGTATTTTTTCAGGCCAAACTCTAAGAAATGAAGCCAAACATTTCCATATTGTTCCAGATTTGCTTTCCTTTTTCTTTCCATATCTGATCTAGCTTCTATTGTCCGCTTGAATACTTTTGCGGTCGAAAGCCGTCTAGAATTGAGTTGGAACCTCTCGTTGGGAATAGTCTCAATTGTTTTGAATAACATCTCATATCTAATAGTTTCCCGCCACTTGCAAGTCGTCAACTCGACGGAATCCAGAATTAAATGAAAATGGGTGACGTTGTAATTGAAGTTTTGTCATCTTCTCCCCATCTCCCCCAGAGCACGTTTTCCGCATGCTTGACTGAATCCAACTAACTGAAATTATCTCGCCCGACGGTTATTACTGCCCCGTATCCGCCCCCCCCCCCCTTTTCAATTCTTTTGCTGGCCAATTTTGAGAAGACGCGCGCCCTGTGCTCTTATTCTCACTTCTTCGTTAAAAATAAACCGCCCGACTCATCACAACTTTTTCATTATCCGAATTTGAGCAGCTCAATTTAGGAGAAAGTTTTGCACAGGCACGCCAATCCGGAAATTCGCATTCTAGTTCTTCCTAAATCCGGATTTCGCACTCTGGTGACCTTCCGGAAAAATCAGAGTGCTTTTCGAATATTTCTTCGTTTTCTCACATCTGTTTTGAACTGAAATGATGTTTAGGACATACAAGATGTTGAAGGAAACAGTAAAAAATATTTTTCGGAAAAAAAGTCTGAAAGTTCATGCTAATCCCATCAAGTTTAGTTTACGTTGATTTCTTCCTCTGCGTGATTCGGTAGGGAAAATGTGCAGAATGAAGGACTCTTTCACCTACGAAAGTAATTGCGGAAAGGGCGCTTGCCTAAATCTTGATACACGAGATATTGATGCACCTCTCCCCCCCACACTCACACTTACACATAATAAGTATTAATAATTAATGAGTTCGGACGTCGGAGCAAGATTAAGTGCTAGATTTGATGTTTTCCCGAATAGACGCTTCCTTTTCGTGGGCCCCGAGGACTCCTCATTCTGCAACACTTTTCGGACAAATCCGAAACATTTTTGTGAGGAATGTTCTTGACACTTCTCCGCACATCTTACATTTTCACACTTTTCCTGTCACTACCATCAGTTTGCTGATCACACTGGACGCATTCTCTCTTGCATTTCTGCCTTTCAAAAGCACCCTAGTACTTCCAAATCTGATTTATTTGCGCGATTTTATTCATATGTGTAAGCGTCTAGGGTTCCGAAATTTTGTGATTCAAAAATTCCAGAGTGTGTGAGAACTTCGGCAAATTTTGATATTCCGAAATTCGCACGCTCTGTTTTAGTTAGGTAGGCTCAAGATTCAGAGATTTGAAACATTTCGAGAGAAATCGTTGAAAAACAGTGGGAACAGATGGGAAAACAGAAATGTGGGGATGCTGAGTGATGTCCGGTTGTGTCAAAGTGTTGGAAATACAGAGAGGTGGGTGGAGCTGCACCTCCGATTGGGCGCGTTCTTGTCCGTTTCATTTCTTTCCCCTCCGTCCCTCACACTGTTTGTTTGTCAGTCTCTGAATCATTCCCGTCTCAACAGTTACCATATCTCCGGATCGTCTTCCAAGGTTTGTCCCCCTTCGAAAACGAAAAACCTAAAACCTTATGTGCGGCATTGCATTTTTTCGTGCATGCTCATTCATTATTTTCGAGAAGGCTCACGCTTCGCCAAAAGCAATTTGCGACGCGCTAAGACCCAAAAGTAACGAATTTGATTGAATTCAAAGCCGTCCCGAATCGTCGCCTTTCTTCGGTGCTCCTCTCCTGGAAATTCGTTTCCTAATTAGAAGATTAGCAGCGGCCACAGATGCCCGGCCTCTTCCGATTCCGATTCCGACGCGGGCGGCGCATGATTTACAGGGTGGGGAATAAATATAGCGCCCAAACTTCGCGTGAGCGCTGGCGCCTACAGAGCCAATGGGATGGCCGCTCATGTTATTTTTTCCATTCATCACTTCATTTTTGACCATTTGTCTAAGTTGCAGACAATTCTCTTAATATTGAGAGAAATGGTGGCTCCGTCATCGCCTAGGTCCGTAATTATGGGGTTCACAAGGATAGGAATGCGATCGTCTAAAATAGTTAGGAAGCTCGGCGTAGTAAGATTGTTTGTTAATATGACTTCCCGATGTTTCTGACACCTCGGAACATTGGAAGACAAGTAGAGAAGTGGTCCCCCGGTCCCAGTGACAACTCCCAAGATGGTCATATCGGTTAGAGCAAAAATCGTAGAAACTCGGAGAGAAGCACGTGAAAAATGTCGTCGGAGTTCCGTATGAGCTTAAAATCTATGTAAGCTATTGCCAGACAGGAACTTAATATGATTCCTTATCGTATTCAAAAGAATCGTTCCATAACAAGGACTTTCGCTTCAAGAAAGCCGGAAGTCCCGTTGGCGGCACGTGGCAAGGCACGCTCCTGCAGACTCTGATCGGAGATGAGTGGCCACACGCTGCTGGTATCGACAATGATGATCACAACAACAAGATCATCTCAGGGGACATTGAGACTGTCCGTCAGAATGGAAAAATAATTTTTAAAAATTTTTATCCGGCTTCAGTAATGGTTCTTTGGAGAATTTCCGCCAATGGCAAAACAGCACTGATATTGGAACGAAAATCAACCGTAAATGCTACTCCAGTAAGATTCTCGGGTCGAAGGAACTGTCTTGGATCTAGTTGATTACGGAAAACAAGATAGGGTCTTCCAGCAAGACGGTACACCTGCTCATCGAGCCAAAACCACCTAACAGTGACGCAAAGCCAATTTCGCAAGTTTTATCACTTAAGAAGAACGACTAGATTTCAAGTCGGATATAATTTCTATGGACTTCTCCGAGTTTGGGTGGTTTGCCCAGTATCTATCCATTCACAATTAACCAAAATAGGGAGTCCGGAAAGTTGAACTACGGAAGCCATGACACGATCTTTACGTCAACTACCCCCGTGCCGCTGCTGACTCGTATCCGAGGAGACTGACGGCTGCCAACGAAGAGAAAGGTGCAATCGGCAAAAACTGCTAATGCCATTCTTTTTGTTATTGTTTAATAGAGCTTTTAGTAGATTTACAGAAAAAAATCTTGCGATTTGAGTTTTTTACGACATTTTGAATTCGGCGCTATATTTATTCCCCACCCTGTAGTCGTTTTCTTCATTTGGCAAATGAAAAAGTTACAGTAAGATTTTCGTATTTTCCCGATTCGACAGCCCTCCATTCTTTTGTGCCGTTTTTGAATTAAATATCACCCCTGCTCAGCCGTATTTCGAAGAAAGTGAGAAACGAAAATTGAAGTATATTAGACATATATGCGCATATTCAGGTATGTGGATGTGTCCATAATTTATCAGTCATGGAAAGAAAGGGGGAAGCAGCGCAGAGCCCCCTTCTTAATAAGATTGGGTTTTGGAGAGGACGTACAAAATTTTTGAGTTATAATGCATTATCCAGACGTGGCCGCGAGGGACAGCCTATTATGTGTCTATTATGTGTCTCGTCGGAGAAAAATCATAAAGCATGTTTTTCAGACAACGGTCCCCAATGGTCTAGTCGCAGACTGTTTTTGTGTAAAATTCATCCTGCTCGCCTACAACATTGATTTTTTGCTCTCCCCTAAGCATACGGTAGCTGCTACGGCCGCTTCCTCCGAACAAAAATGTTTGCCTTTTTGCTTGCCGCCAGATTTCATAAGACCAATCCACCTACATTTGCTGCTCTCTTCCCGGGATTCATTTCCATATCTACCCATGATCTTTCATCGCTGCTCCCTCTTTCGATTTGTCCCTTTTTCACCTCACTGCTTCTCCTTCTCCTCAAATTTAGGCCATCCTTAATTTGAGCGACACGATAGGATAGAGGCGCGAAGAATTGAAACGGAAAAGCAAAAATATACGTAGATACGCACAATTGATTACAGAATTCGGGTGGCGGGTGCCAATTATATATAGCATAGCACAGAGGCGAATCGCCGGGTTTGCTCTAATTAAAAACAAGACTTTCAGGAAACGGCGCTCTCACGTTTGAAAACTAACCCGCCCGGCGGGCCCAAACCCCTCTCCCTCTCACTTTTGTGGGCCTAAACCCACCCAGTCCGAGTGTCACAATCACGTTTTGCCGCATCGAGCAGTACAACTACAGTACCCCCTTATTCAACTACGTTTAGCACCTCTATTCAAACTTTTGTCGTTCATGTTTCCTAGGACGAAACGTCTTGATTAGTTCCCAGCTAGACACGGTGCCGGTCCTCAAAGGATGTTCCGATTGTTTGAAAAGCGCCGGAATTGCAGTGGATGAGTCAAGTTTCCGATTAGGATGCGTCCAGACAAAAAAGGTTCCGCCACATATTGAAATCGGCACTATGTATGGGTGTGTGTGTGTGTTTGTCTCTGTTTTCTGTGCCAAATGTTTGCTCATTAGGCGGCACGAACTTGGGACGCCAAAAGGTCGATGACATCGCGAGCGCAAGTAAGACGAATTTGTAATTGTGCACTAATTAGCTCACTTCGATGTCGCCCGCAACATGAATTCGGGGCAACAGGACAAGAAGCAAAAAAAAAAGGGAAAAACGTCCAGCTCTGACAGAAACCGGTTGCGACGTGTGACTGACTCTGTACTGAATCACCGGCAGGCTCGACCATCACAGGTACATTCACTCACTGTGTAATTCCCAATTTGCGCGTTTGCTTCTGCCCGCCGCACCCCTTTGATTTACACTTGGCCCATCCTGTTTTCCGCAGTTTATTCATTTTTATGTGTGGTCTCGAACTTATGCTGACCGCATTCACATCTGTTCTTTCAATGTTACCTGACCTTCAAGGCGCTTCGGCTCACAGCAACATTTTGACAGACTTGTTTCCCATACAATTGTCAATGTTGACATTAAACATAACACAGTTTTGCCGAAAAGCGCCCCTGCAATCCTGGATTTTGACCCTTTCAGTTTCTTTTTGGGAGGAGGAAAGTGCACAATATAAAAACGAAACAATGTTAATCCCCCTTTTCAAACGTTTCTTTTCTGTTTTCCAGAAACTTCAACAAGTTGTGTTCCACCCACACACCAACAAACAAAATGTCGGTAGTTATGAATCATCGGCAGATTAGTCGGTTTATGTTGCCGAAAAAAAATTTCGGTGGAATCTGCCAAGCTCTCCGACAATAGAATAGTCTGGAGCCGGAATCTGTTCATTTTCACATTTCTGATCCCTTTCGAATCCCCTCGGTTAAATCTGTTCTGCACACTCTTGTCAAATCTCTGATCAAGTTCTTTTTTGTCTTTTTAATCCCCTCTCGCTTGAACTGATTGTTTTCTTCACCAAACCGCTTCGAAATATCCTGCTCGATGCAATCCCGAATTACGAAATTTCAGCGGTTCGCTCCTTGAAGGTACAAAATGAATAGCGAACCGACACCGGGACTCTCAATGGCATCGCATTTTATGACGGCGGATAATCAGGACCAGTACAAAGGACGTAAGTCAAATGTAATGGCCGACAACGCAGGTTTATGCGTTCGAGATTAGACTAGGAGCAGAGGGGGATTCACCTGAATTAGATGAGGGTCGAATTTAGGGATTAATGTAAGAGCAGATGCTCTCCGATTCGTTGCCTTTACTCATCAGTTTCAATTCATTTCTGCTAAGAGTTCTGTAAGCAAATTTTTCGGACACGAGAACTAATAGTTTCTTGAGGAAGATAAATAATTCGTGTCTCGTACTTTTTGTGACACGCATTAACGCATTCAATTCGGGCTTGTTTTCTAATAAATGCGCGAATTTCAGTATACGCAATGAATCGGCTGAGTGTTGCCAATCTGCTGAGTTCACCATCGCCGGTAGTGCAAGTTGGTACGGACTGGCAGAATATGGCCATGGAAAGATGTAAGTTTCACAGATTCCGTTTTTAAAGTCAAGTTTCAAGTTTCAGTGAATACTGGTGCTCTATTGCCTCAATTACTCCAAAATCCGTGGGCGGTCAACTTCTGGGTTCAGTTCCAAAATGCCCAATTACAACCTCACTTGCCATATGCCACATTGGCCCGGAGTCTTGTCGCCGACAACCCGCTTGATTTGAGTAATAAGGTATGTTGAAGTGTGACGAAACGCAGCGCACCAATTAATTTTAGACGATGAATTTCCTTCAGAAAATGGGAATCTTCAATGTGAAGGCGGAAGAGGAGGATGGAAATGTGACAGAAAAGTACGCAGTTTTGACTTGACCAGTCACTAACTAGTAAGGGATAATTTTAGGTCGAATGATGATTGTCTGAGCAAATCGAACTCAAACATTTTGAGGAGGAACTATACTGTTGAAGATTTGACGCAGGCAGTCGATGATATCCGGCAAGGAAAGCTTGGAACCAGAAGGTTTGCTCTCCTCTTTCATCACAATCAAATCTATTTTCATTGTTTCCTCTTCAGAGCCTCCGTGGTGTACGGTATTCCCCGATCCACTCTTCGCAACAAAATCTATAAACTGGAAGCGGAAGGCGCGATTCCATCGAAAGTTCGTCGCGGCAAAATTGCGGCCCGGAGAGCCGAAGCCGAGCAAAAAAGATGTGGTGGTGACGCGGCAGTCGCGGCGGCGACTTTATTGGACGCGTTCGGCAATCAATCTGACTCATCTTCCTCCTCTCCGCATGCATCGATGTGCCCGAGCTCACCTGACAGCACAAACAGTAGTGTGGAAGGGGCTGTCGAGACGCCCGAGACCGAAAGCAAGGTTGCAACATAATCATCGAGAACCCGATGATAAAGATACCGTGTTATTCCAGAAGTCGTGCTCTCCTCTTGACCCTAAATGGATCGAATCTATCTGGCAGAACCTGTTCAAAAGCCAGAACAACAACTTGAGCTCTGAGAGAACCCAGAATGAATCTCCGATTGAGTCTCACTCATCCACTCCGGTTCCCGTGAAACAGTCAAAGACAAATGATGAGTGGAAAAGAAGTCGACCAAAAAGAGGACAATATCGGTTAGTGATCTCTTTTCTTAGTTACACAAGTCTGGATTTTCAGGAAATATGACAAAAACGCTCTAGATGAGGCTGTGCGAAGCGTTAGACGTGGTGAAATGAGTGTACACCGAGCGGGTAGTTTTTTTGGAGTTCCACACTCAACTCTTGAATACAAAGTCAGTTTTTGTCATCCAATATGGGAGTAATAAGAAATCCTAGGTCAAAGAACGGAATCTCATGAGGAAAAAGAAGGATAACATCGGCAGTCAGGACTCGTCGGCCAGTGAAGAAAGCAATCAAGTGGTGACTTCAACCAACTCGGAAAAGTCCGACACACCACCACAAACATCCACTCCAATTCTTACTTCTGCCTCGTTTTTTGTAGCGTGACTCTATCTAGTTCAACTGAATTTACTTACTTTTCAGAAAATCAAATTTCCCTTCTGATCCTTATATTTTCTGTCCTTTTGCCCCATATCTATACTCTATTTGTTTCGTCCTATAGTCTTCTACTCAATAAAGTCGATTAAACTAAAACGTTTCCAAGATAATCATCGGAACAGGTTGTTTGACGGACGACGTTTTGTTACAATTCTTAAACCCAACTTCTATTCTTTCTTTTGTCAAGACAGCATCCGGTCAGGCGTTTTTCCTCAAATCTTCTTCTTGCTTCTATATTTAGTTTTGTCATCCACGACGTTATGCCAGAAATAGAAATAGCCACACCCATTGCTCCCATAAAACAAACGAAAAAAACAACAACTTTTTTCACGGCCGCTTCTTCTTTTTTTTCTGTGGTGGGATAACATCGTTTACAAGTCAGATGACAGTGTACAGCTCAATATAGTTGGTCATTCCGAAACGATCGCGGCCGCGCAGAGCAGAGCAAATCGTCGTCCCATAAAAGTGTGACTTTGTTAGTTGTTCTAACCGAATTCCAAATGAAACGCGCCGTCGTCTGTTCTCGAGCAAAAACTTGTCATGTGTGCAGACTGATCAGCCTTTGGACCGCCGGATAATTCCATTGGGATTCGCTGGACGACCACGAAATTTCGCCCCCCGCTTCGCGCGCATATATAGCGACCTCGTTGGTTCTTCTCGCTTCTTCCTCCCGCCCTTCACTCTTGCTGACGGATGTGTCCAGTTCGAGTTTTTAACGAATTCATTTTTCTCCTCACTTTTTATCAAATTTATATAGGTTAATCCGCAAGTCTTCAGCAAGTTTTATTCAAGTTACTTCAAAAACCTCCCTCATTTTTGGCGTTTGAAACTTGGTGACCATTGTCTTGTCTGCTCTTCTTCCTTTTCTTGTTCTTTAGCTCCCAAACTTTCTTCACTACCACTAAAAACGAGAATCGTGGGTTTTCTCTAGTTCCCTTCTCCGTCAAAAACAAACCCGAACGAGGCCAACCCGTCCGTCCCAAGGCGTCGATGAAGAATGAGGTCAAAAAGATTTCCTCAAAACTCGTCGAGTTTCCCTGGTGAATTGAGCGGAAAATTGGGCGCAATGCAGTGCAATAGCAAAAGGCGACCAAAGTATTACTCGTTTCTCTCTTTTTTGCTCTCTTCTCCCCCCTCCTACTCAAATGTTTCTTGCTGTCTTTTTAGTACATCAAGTGAAGCATCATCATTCTTTTGTGTTCGGCCAACTTACCCAAGTATTCAGTTGTTGGTTGCCTTTTTGTCACTTGTGGACAAATCCGGAAGGAAAAGTAACAGAATGTTTTACGAGCCTCCTGCTCATTTTAATTGAATTTGTGGGGCATGCCTTTTTACGACTTCGCCATCGCCTCTCCTTTTTCATTAACACGCTAGCTGCATTGGTTTGTTGTTTTCAGCCTGAAAATTCTGAAACCATGTCTAAAGTAATGGTATCCGCTCTTCCAATCGATGAGGATCATCATCATGAATTCTGCATTGATCTGCTTCATGAGTCTCTCAATGACAACACTCTCCCACTGATCACCACGACTCCACACATGCCAGCAACTGTAAGTTTCACAACTGTTTTCCAAAAAAACAACAATCAAAGATTCAGATCAAAACCCAAGATCGTCCAGTTGTTCTTTACATGGCCCCAGTCCACAAACAAGAGAACGAGAAGAAGTGCGTGTGTGGAAAGGATGGTGATAACAACGCTGCAAACATTTCGAAGGGAATTCAAAAAGTCAGCATTCAGTGACCGTATGCAGAAATTTGTACCGCTTTACTTTCAAATAAAGCTTAAACGAATTGTATTCCTAAAACACTCCTATTTTTCACTTTACTGCATTATTATTTAGAAATTAAAGACGTTTTATTCCAGAATCCTCAAGTAATCAAAATTGATTTTTTTTTCTGCTCTGTGTTCCTGCAAAGCTGTGGTTCTTTTACATCCAGCTGAACCGTCTACTGATTAGTCTGAAATCAAGAAAAATAAGGTATTCCGACTGGGATCTTGAAGACGTGCTCAATGAGAAGCAACTTGCGACAAAACGTTTCTCTCTATTTTAAGAAAAAACACGACAAATTTTTAGATCTATAAAAACCAAATTTCGATGCAGTCGACGTTTCACGAGGAATGGCGAGCTCTGTCGAAATCAGACCCTTATTTGGCACACATTCAATTTGAAGTCATTCGCGGATAAACGGACAACCGGCGAAAATGAAGTGCTTTTGAAATGCGGGAAAAAACTGGGAAAAATGAGTACTGAAGCTTCGCAGTCCGTCCGAGTTTTCCGCTTGAAATCTTTGCCGAATGGCTGACTATGAATATCGACTGCGTTGAAGCACTGAACTTCTTTCAAATCTGGCAGGTTATTTCGACTACGGCTCTCCGCTGCTCGATGGATTCAAAGTTGGTCGTTTTGGATTGAGGCAATCGTTGATTGTGTGGGAAACTGAAAAACATCAATCTTGTACATGCCGTAAGTACTGTATTAGAAGAGCATGCCCTTCTATTTTTCAGAGTTTTCAAAAAATGATCATTTCGAAATCTTAAAATCGCGTGAAACGTTTTAAAATCGACTCAAAACTGCTCTAGATCACTTTGCTGGGTGCCCTTCTATTACAGTATTTACGGTGTCTTCTTTTCAACTCATTGGGCGTCTGAGGCTTTTTCGGCCTAAAGTGGAACTGTGTGGTGAGAGTTAGATAAGCCGATTAGAGTTTCTAGAATTTTAGGCTTACTTCCGAAGATTATTTAGAAAAGTTACGTTGACTAATTAGCCGGCGGGCTCCCTGGATGTTGAGGAAGGTTTTTGGCCGCCCGTGGATCAAATGAGGGTTTCATGTGGGCCAAACGCTCATGCCGAAAGATGTACCAAACTCACCTTCGCTGACCCGACGGTAAACCTGATTTTACCCACGCCGGTTTGCCTGTGTCACTGGTACCTGCACGAAGACAGTCCTTTTGCGGACACTGACTGAAAAGTGCAGTGTTCTGCTGGGGTGTCGTCGAAATTTTTTCGGTTTTTTGTAAAGGAAACTGGCTTCTCATTCAGCGACTTGATATAATACCAGTCATTTTTTCAATCTGAAATTAGTGCGCTTTAATAACCTCAATCATTCTCAGGCTGAATCTCATGTTCACACCATTTCAATCAAGCATTCATTGCACTCTCCATTTTGTACAGAAACCCTTATTTTTCTGAATTGTGTGTTTTCATATCAGAAAACGATGTGATTCCAAACGTTCTCTGTTTTGTGAAGCAGTTTACACAACGACATCTGTTGATAGTTCATGCTTGTAAGCACCGGTGTAATTATGCAATTTCGATCAGAAAACACGTTTTTCTTTCCGTTTTTCCCTTTGAATTTTGGTTTCACAAAAACACAACTGTTCCACGACCCTACCCACAACAAATGTTGTTTATCGTTGACGAAACCTGTGCGAAACCCGAGACCAATAGTGACGGCAAATGTGGGATGAAGGCAAATGCCAAAAGTATTCGGTCCGCATCTTCGTTCTCCATATAGATATATTCAAATCCCTATAAGTGTGTAAAAGCGTGTATTCGATATCTGAAATTTGAGCCGGATAGACGCGGAGACCAGTTAACAGCCGTCGTCGTCTCGGGCCTTTTTTTCCGACAGTGGCCAGACGTCAAGCCTCAAGCGCTACTCATCTGCTCTTCTATCATCTCTATCTATTAAGAGTGCCTTCGCCAATGCCGCCGGCACAGTTTAGCATGTCGCGTTGCTCGTCTCAAGTGCGAAAAATCAGCCTTCTAACTAGTAGACTCCTTCGCGCCCCGAGGCCCGCCACCATCGTTATTCCCAACGGCAATTTTAGGCGTGTGAACTCTCAAATAGCCCTGCTCCTCATCGTACAACCTCTTTAATGTTTTTCTCTCATCTGATGTGTCTTCCACAATTTCTAAGACTTTTTCCCATGACGGTGGTGGCTAGGAGTAATCGGGTCGATTCTCCCGAGAAGAAAATATTTTCTTCCATGCGTTTGTAACTTTTCTTTTTCTTTCTGGTTCTAAGCCGCTTTTAAAATTAATTTGGAATGAGTGCCGCAAGTAGATTGTCGAAAACAGTCAGAAAAAGTCCAAACACATTGAATGAACTTTCGCGGAAAGACATCAAAAGCCAATGTATGTGGGCTGTCCAATCGTTTTGAACTCTCAAAAACTTCACGCATTTTTCTCTTCTCCCCCACTTTATTATGTTTGCATATTCAACAAATTGTCCACTCTTTTCACTGTCCGTTTTCGTCCAGTTTGTTTTGGGACCAAACCCGACGGCGACGCCGACGACACTCAAATATCTTTACTTTCCTGCTGGCCAATAGTTTTTGTCGATTGACAGCGTCACTTTGTCATATATAAACATTCGTTCCGCAATCAGCGCACCAAGCACTCTTCCTCTTCTCTGCCGCACACTTGCTGCGTGTGCGGGCCCCGATTTCTTGAGAACGAGCAAAATTTATTCGCCATTCTCGCTTCGATTCCGTCCGTCATCGTTGCTGGCCGTCCTGTTTGACCGCTCATTCCCAATAATATCCTTCGTTTCGACAGGAAGTTTATGCGTTCATACGAGTTTGTGACCAATACTCCCCTCAAACTCGACCGTCACAAAGTCTACCTCGTCGATGATGTCGCTGTCACGCGAACAGTGCCCTCGTTTCAGCCGCTGTCCCCGTCCTCCGGTGAGTATTTATTACAGTTCAATCTATACAAAAAATGTTTTCTTGTATTCATGTACCTTCTCAATTTCCATAAAAAATAACTTTTTCTTGCCACTGTTTTCATGCCCTTTATCTGTAATATTTGTGTTTGTTCAAAATCAAAACAATTTTGAATCGCTAGTCATAAATATCCAGATGTTTTGTCCGTTTGTTTTGTTTTGTAACATCTTCAAACGTTCCGCTTCCAACTCCGACTCCAATTCAACTATCACATTACCATTAATACGTTCCTTCTGTCGCACTTATCCTATCTTTTTCTCCTTTTTTTTCTTCCGTCTCTTTTCAAACAAAAAAGAGAATAATGGAAAACGGGATGCTCTCGCTGCTTCCTTCGGGCCTCTTCAACAGCATTAAAGATTGAAATCTCAACGGGATATATGGTGTGTATATGCGTTGGGGTCTCCCATGTTAAACTTGGCACAAAAGTTATCCCCGTTATATTCCCAAGAGTCATCTTGCTCTTGTGTTCTCAATAGGCGTTGTTGTGACAAATTTGGCGGCTTTTCGCAGCAACTCTTGGGCTTTTAGCAAAAGAAAGAAGAAGAAAGAGAGAGAGAGAGAGAGAGAGAGAGAAAGAGAAGAATTTCTTGCAAATTGTTAGGAACAAACTTTACTCACTCCGTTGATTGGAGAGATTCATTGGAGACATCACAAATCCCCGGGTGGAAGAGGAGATTTCCAAACTAGTTTTGTTTAGAATCCGCATTCAAATAGCAAATTTCTTTTGAACGGGAAGAGCGCGAAGAAGCTTTATAAATGAAGATCTCAATAAGCATAAAGGGATGAGAAAAAAGGAGAGGATATAACATTGAGTGGATCTCTCAGGTCTCTACTACCATAAGTGCTATTCAGGGGAAAGCAAAGCATTTCTGTAAAAACTTTCAAAAAATCTCTTCTATACTGAGCCTTCTGAGTTTTGATTCGAGCTCATTTCATAATAGTTGGCTATAACAATCGGCGCCCTCTTCCATCATCACCAGTGCGTCTATTTCGGATCGGTCCAGAATGGCCGCTAGCTGAAAAGAGATTTATATCCGTTTTTGGAGGAAGGGCGAACAAGCTGAGTGCGTTACGTTTAGTTTTGACTAGTATTTGTTCAGCACCACCAAAAAGTCCATAAAATCGACATCTTCTCTTCTTTTCCCCTTACACTTCTCGGACAGTCATGCGAGTCAAACAAAAGAAAACCAACCATATTACTTTTTCGACTGACCCGACCCTATTGCGCGGATTTACTACTTTGCTTCCCTCATCTAGAGTGTGAGTGAAGAACAGTGTCGTTAAGATGGGTCTTGGTGGTGATGACTGGGTGGGTATCATAAAATTTCTGCTCCCCTTTATTCCGAAATAATTTCCGTTCTGGATTCATGACGACAACCAATAATGACAAGTTGATCCGCTGTTTTAACCTCATTTTTTGCCGGTCTTCTCCACGAACAAGGCAAAACTGAAGAAGTGAGGGGTGCGCGCATCGACCGCGCGTCGCAACACTTAACGGATAAGAGGGAGGACTTCTTCCAAATCGGGAAAGAAGATTAGGTTCGAATCTGAATACCGGTAAATGAAAACAAGAGCGTGTCCACCGTGTCTCTTGATGTGCGTTCAACTTTCATTTCATTCCGACATGTCCTTGACTTGATGCCGGCCACCACTCTCGACCATCAACGCTTTTCGTTACGGTTTCGCAAATCAAAAATTCCGTTCAACTATAGACAGTTTGAGAATCTTTTCACGCGGTTCTTATTCTTTTTTTCCGTATCCGTATCCTTTTTTTCGCGCCGTTTCTGCTTCCAACAGCTGAGACTTTTCAAAAGATGAATGAGCATATCCCTTCTCGTCGAGGGATTTCTGTGTTCACACAATGACTTGTAGAGTTGACTGAGGAAGGAAAAAAGTATGCACCAAGAGAGTCGGGACTTGTTCCTTCTCACCCGGAACAAGTTTATCCTCTTTGTCCCCATGCTCAACTTGAATTGTTTCTCCTTTTCATGAATTTCCCATAAAAATCTCTTGAATTTCATTTCCATCTCGTTTTTCGTTCATCCGAGCGCCTCGCCTCAAGAAGAAGGATGAGGAGGAGAAGCAGTTGAACAGGCGACGTCTATCCGTTCTCATCTCACCTTCGTTTCCTTTTCTTATCGCTCCTCGCCGTCATTTTCGCATCTTTTTTTCTGCCACAATTCCATAGACGGCGATTAATGAAGGGATGAAATTATTCAGCTGCCCACAGACTACCCTAGCATCTCATTGACAATGCCTATTATGATTGCTGGAGTTCGAAGATGTGAGTTATGTTTTGCTGTCGTCTATCCACTGTTTCTGCATTATTTCACAATCACGAAGCTCTGATCTTGCTAAAAATTCTTTGGAAAACGGAAAAGCCATTACATCGAGATACTCGCCTACTTGAGCGTTGATGCTGCGACAGCCAGAAATTCGTTCAACTCGCGGTTTCCGAATTTGCCTCTCACGACAGGAAAAGCGCGTCTTCCGGCCGAAAAGTTCTCTTTTCAGTGAATTGACTATTCGCATCTCGTTTTGCCACTCGAAATCCACCCATTACTGCCTCCTCCATCGCGCAGTTTGAAACTATCGCTTTTTCCCGTCGGCCTTTGCCATTCCATTCAACTTAACTGGCTATCAAATGTGAACAAAACGTTTTTGTGCTGCGTCGAACTAATATGTCCGGAAATCTGTGAAGACAACGTCGTGTCTAGCTTTTAATGTTCCCTGCAGAACGAAATCTTTTCTGCTTTTCTCTTTCCGCCACAAAATCAACTTTTCTTTCTGTTTCTCAAATTGTGGTTTGTTCTTTTTGCACTGCGCGACAACGTTGTGTAAATCTGTTACTTCTGATCCTTTCTAATCATTCTGTTATTACTTAATACAAAATCGTTTATTGTTCAAAGGGTCATTTTGAAACACGTTTGAACAATTTATCAAAAAATCAAAATTTTAAATGTGAAAACTGATCAGCTTGTTTGTGAGGCATAAGTCCATGATTTCCAGCGTCGTCCGGTTACAACATGATAGAACGATGCGTAGTGGTACAACGACAGCCGGACGGTTTCGGGCTCACAGTTACCAGCGAGTTTCCCGTTTTTGTACACACTCTCAAACAGGACGGAGCTGCGTTTTGCGCCGGAGTTCGGCAGGGCGATCGGATAGTCAAGGTTGGTAGCCCCCGTTGATTTTTCGCGCGTTTCGGTTGAATGTATAGAATGTACGTACATAAGTAGTTCAACCGAATTACCCTCTTCTAAATCGCGTTTCGACACTACACCCACGACTTTTCACTCTTTCTAGGTCAACGGGATGTCCGTCTCGCCCAATAACCATAAGGAAGTGCTCCAAATGATATCAAGTACGTCGCAGAGGGGTCTTGGTTCAAAGCACAAACACATTCTTTCAGATGGACAAAATGTGGCATTGACTCTTTTGGGAAAACCTCCGGAACCACTATCAAATCTACCGTACCAGAATACAAAGTTTGAGCAGAAGATACATATCGCAGACCCCGTACTCATTGAGGTTTTAGGACTAAAGTATTTTCATTAATTTTATGTTATAGGCAAGCTCGAAGAGTTGGCGACAACGACGAAACGAATTGCTGGGGCAGATGGTCGATGAGGAAAGACGAAACGTCGAGGCCAGTTCTTTTTTAGTTTTTTATTTACTCTCTTGAGTCACCACTAGCTCTTGTTTCAAAATCAGGAACATTGTAAATGAATGGATTGCAAGAGCTTAAAGAACCTCTCAGGACTGACACAAGACAAATTGTACCAATTGGCGGGTTCTGACGTCCTCGGAGCAATTCAGAAGATATATTGGTTTCGGTGTAGGCCAATTTTTTCTTCCTGGCCTCGTTTTCCCTCCGGGCCTGTCCAAAAAAGGCAGCCACAAGTATTTCTGCTTCCTGAGCTTATTAATATTCGATTACCTATTGATCGTGTAATTGGTGTCTGAGACTGTGGGCCGTGGAAGGCAATGAATGGGTCGAACGAATTATGTTAACTCTGTGTGCGTTTATTTTCGAAACAAACTTGTCTCTGTTTCTATTTCTGTTTATTCTTCTGTTCCACATTGTTCTGATGTCAATGCCATCCGCTCCAAACCAATCATTTTTGATTCCAAATCTAACACCCCAGAAAAAAAGTTAAAACAATCCCGAAGAGTGTCGTTGGGACCCACTACTACCAGAGTCACCACCAATTTTAGACAAGTTTTCCGAATAAACATGCCCGATTTCTCTGGGCGCGTCGCGGGGGATGTCTTTTTTTGCTTGCCCCCCCTCCGACAGCAAGGCTCATCCTTCCCCTACAGACAAAACTGGACATCGTTTCGTAGCCTTTGTGTGTCGAATGTCTTCCAATCACAGAGTTTTGTCACTTGTCCCCACCCTTATTCGATGATTCCGAAGCGTCGGGGGGTTATCCAATTGCAACGCATGTTGTCAACATCGCCCCCCATTCCGGGCGGTTTGCTCTTTTTATATACACATCTTGTTGGTTTCGGCTTCTTTCTCTTTTTATCCATGGATCTACTATTAGAGTACTATGAGGAGAATCCTATAAAGGGGAATTCATAATTGTTGGAAAAAGCCAAGTGGGGCTCATTTTTTCTGCTCATTTCAGTCCTCTTCCACTCATTCTACTTCCGCTTTTATGAAGTGTGTTGTTTTTGGCATCATCGAGTGGAAACTAAATGTTTATAATTTCCCTTTATAAAAAATATTATCTATGGGCCTTTTGCTCCACTGGAAAAAGTGTTCACTCCAGAGACTTTCAAATTTCAAATGTCTGGGGAACACTTGGAGGCAACTAGTGTTTTTATCAACAATTTCTATCTAGTTTTATGTCAGAATCGACAATCGTTCATTTAAGGGACTACGTGAGTCGTCACAGAATGGCGAGAAGATCGATCGAGCACTGAAACGGATAGTGTCGTTGCAATCGCAGCTGAAACAGATCAAGCCGGAATCGATCATCTCGGATAGCCAGAAAAGTTTGGTGAGTTCTCAGTATGGTTCTTGTTTTTTTGGAAAAAACCGGATACTTTCAGACAAATCTCAACATGGACATCGATAGCGACGAAGAAGAGAATGACGTCGTCTACTTTGTAAGTAATCTAGATGCATTTCTCAGTGTTTTCCAAAACTAATTTCCGTTTGCAGCCAGAATCGCAGGGTGGCCCATTCTCCAACTTGGCCGAACTCAAAACTCACCCAGCTCACTTGGCAGTCTTCATCAATTATCTCTTATCACACGGCAATCCAAGCAGTTTGGTAAGTGCGCATTGCGGCCCGTTTGTCCCATTTGTCATATTGTCCCTTTTCAGTTTTTCTACTTAATCACAGATGCATATCAGTCCGCATACGGCACCGCCAAAGAGTTCAGACGTTGGGCGTTCGAAATATTCTCCACATTCATCATTCCGAATTCCCCAATGTGTATTCCCAATTCGAACCAGAGTGTCATTCAGCCGATCGACAAGGTTTTTCCGCCTGTTTTCAGAAAAGAAAAGAGGGCAAACTTGGCGCCTTTTTCCAGATAATGTGCATGACGGCCGAGCACATCGGTGACAGTGACGCAGACACGCTGAAGAGGATCTTTGTGCCAGGAAGACAACGGGCCGTCACTGACATCAACATGTACCTCAACGAATTCAGACAGAAGAAACAACTCGGGGGACAGGTGTCAGAGTCGGCCAACCAACTGACGCACATGGTTCGCGGTGACATGGCCATGGAGAACCGGGTTTGTCATGATACAGGTGAAAATTATAAATTGAAAAGCATCGATTTTAGGTAGGGGAGCAGATGTTGTTCCGTTGCCTCGAGCAGTGTAGCAACTCGGCCGACTTTGACTCTTGTGAAATCCGCACACAAGCCATCATTTCCAGCCTTGCTACCGTGATCAAGGTACTCCCAAGTTCAAGCTGGAGGGCGCACTGCAACATATTCCTTCTATGTCTCTTATTAAGATTGTGCTGGGGAAAACGTCATCTTCGTCTAACGAGAAGACGCTCGACAAGTTTCCGCAGTTCATGGCACGCGACAAGCCTCCCGGAAAGAGCCGCAAGTTGCCGGCCAACATCAAAAACCGCATTCAAGTCAAAGGGCACAGCTTTTCAATCAACTCGGTCAACACTGTCCATTATTGCTATCAGTGCAGGGATGCGATCTGGGGAATGCAGCCGTGGATCTACTTCTGTAGTAGTGAGTGCCCTATTTAGAGAGATCGAAAAATAAATGACTTTAGACTGTGACGTGAAAGTGCATCCTCACTGCACCTCGGCGCTCACCGACGCTTGTTACCCGGTGACCCAGTCGAAACAAAAGTCCAAGGTTTGTCGAGTATCCCTAACTCAATCAGTTAACCATCATTATGTTTGCTTTGAAGTCTCGATTGTCTGGTCTAATTGGCCGTTCCGACGCTAACGATGACGATGATTCTGGGAGTAACGCACGGCACGAGCCGCCAAATGTCAAATCGACGAGCTCGGACAGCGGTATTGGTGGCGAACATAACTTGGACCGCGGCATGGTGTCCAGGTCGCACAGCATGAGATACCGCGTTGTGAGTGAAGAACGATGTGATAACCCATTCGAACCTTTATTTCTCCTAGGCAACACTCCCCCAATCCTTGTCTGAAGATAAGGTGTCGATTCCAAGTTCTAAGAGGGACCGATCGGCTACTCCGAATTGGCAGAGGTCTACGGGCCACGACTTGACTCCTGCTGATGAGATTGACGAGTGTGAAATGTCGGATAGAAAAATGAAATACTTGGAGAGACGGTACGGTGAAGCAATTACATGGACATGAAGTTATATTTCAGGTCCCTAGAAAGTACGAGTCGTATGGCTATAGATCTCCAAAGTGTGAGCGCTGCTTCGAGCTGCTCTCACCACAGCGGTTCCGTTGTCACAGATGATGAGGTTTGCTCTCGCGTTGATCTCTCTTTTCAAATAAATTTCCCAGATTTGCGTACGAAGAACTACCACACTCCAGTTCTCCGGTTTCATGGATGGCGATAGCGATTTCGAGTTGGAGACTGAAGCGACTCCGTTGGAGCAGCTGATTGGCTGGGACGTCATCAGGCACCTGAAACCGAAAGAAAAGAAGCGGCAAGAAGTCATAAATGGTATGTGAGAGGGGTGATGTTATTATCAGGACTGATGTGTTTCAGAGCTTTTTCACACGGAGAGGACGCATGTCCGAAATCTGAAAATACTGTACCATGTGTTTTACAAACCAATAATCACTAACAAAATTGTCTCTGAAGATCTTTCACAGCTTCTCTTCGCCAATCTGGAGGAGTTATTAAACTTGCACAAAAGCATGTCTGATGCGATGAGATCGGAGGTTGAGAAGGTAAACATCGTTATTAGGTGATCACAGGCATATGCGTCGTCTCTGCTTTTTAGTGGCGAGCTGCAGGCCCTCGAGTAAACGGAGGTATTTATGGGGACATTGGCATGCTAATGGAGGGCATGTTCGACGGGGAAGCAGCTGAGAACTTGATGCGGATCACCGCCACGTTTTGCCAACATCAGCAACACGCCCTTGAATTCCTCCGGACCAGATGCAAGAGGGAGAAGGACGACGCTTTCGTTCGTTTTCTGGCGGAAGCGGAGTCGAACCCGGTGTGTCGAAAACTCCAACTCAAGGATATGATCCCAGTGGAAATGCAGCGTCTTGTGAAGTATCCGTTGCTCTTGGAAACTATCGCTAAGTACACGACTGAGCCGAGCGAGGTGAGACATTTTTGTTTTTAGGTTTGGTTCCTAAAGTTTGTTCTATTCTAGGAGCAAGATTGTTTGCTGCGAACAGTGGCGTCTGCAAAACGCATTCTGAGCGCCGTAAACACTGCAAAACGGAATGCGGAGAACTTGCGGCGACTCGAAGAATTGCAAAAGAGGACGGACACGTCACCATTCGATAAAGAATTTGTCGGACACGACTATACTTCCTTGAATTTAACCAAGTGGGCCACGATATCCACTTGCTCTCGCAATTCTTGTGCTCTTCAGATTCCGTCTCGTGCACGACGGCCCGCTGACATGTCGGTTCAATCGGGGAAAGATGATAGAGTTGCATGTTGTTCTTCTCGAGAATTTGTTAGTGTTGTTCACCAAGAATAGTGATGGAAACAAACTGGTGCTCAAGGTTGGAGGACAAAGACTATTTGTTTCATGTTAGATTTTGACCAAATTGGTTTAGGCATTGGAACCATCGAAAGAGACCAGATGGTCGCCAATACTACCACTGGCTCCGTTGATTGCGAAAGAAAAGGCTAATGACAAAAGAGCCTTTTTCCTCATTTTCAATAGCCAGTATGGCGCACAAATCTATGAACTCGTCGCGGGAACCGCCACTGAGCGCAAGACGTAATAGCCTTCCATTTTGCAAAGTCATTTTTTGTTAGGTGAATAATTCAGATGGTTCAAATTGATGGGCGAGCAAATACTGAGCGAGAAGAAAAACCAAACGGCCGGAATTGAGCACAACTTCGAAGTGGGCGCTCAAACGACGCTCGACTCGGACGGAATTGCTAAAGTGAACGTGGTCACCCATCCTCGACTCGTCAACGCCAACGAGATCACCATTCAGCAGCCGACAATTCTGGAGCACGCACAACCGGTTCTCACTCCTGCTGAGAAGCTCAAGAGAAGCGATGAGATCATCATGCAGACTCTCATCACTAAGCAGACTATTCTGGCACAGTTTTTGTCTAATGACGACTCGGTTAGTTACTTGCAATCAATGATGTTTTCATAATGTGCTTTAAATTTTCCAGAAAGGTAACACCGGCGAGCTTGAGAAAATAACCGAAATGCTTGGCGGCTTGGCAGTAGTCGATCTGAAACAGAGGGATGGAAAAGAGCTGGCCATGTCGGCCATCGTCCACGGCAATCGCCTTCTCGACAGTATCAACCAGAGCCTGAACATCAGAAAGGAAATGGGAGAGGATGGTCGGGATATTTATATTCTTGACAATCAGGAACCGAATGTTCCGTCTGTGCCGTCATACAAAGTGAGTACTAAGCACACACTATCTCTCTCTCTCTCTTCTTCTGCTTCTTTTTTATACTCCTGTCGTTTTCAGCTGACTGCCATCGCAGCGCCTTTAATGAACCACCTGAAAGCATTGATGCAGGTGATTCAAGACCAACACAACGAGCTTAATGTTGTCAAACAACAGCTTTATCACTACAAGGTAGCACAGAATCTCGTGATTACAGGCGGTAACTTATGAATTTCAGAAACTTGCCACTGATGTTGATACTCGTGACCGATCTGTAAGCGAAGAAACGCTCACCGATTGTGGGGAGGACCGAAAGATGATTCCGAAGCGACCGCGGCTCCCTTCGATTCAACCCATGACTTGAATGATTTTTGAATTTCCGAAATTAACTGCATTATTTTTCAACTTTGTACCTATCTTTTTCCTGTCTCATCTAAACCCGTTGTGTAGTGTCATGGTTATCTATCTTTTTGTACTGAATTCACGCAAAAATCTCCGTCTCGGCTTTATTCGCCTGCAATTAGTCCGAAACACTCTCGATTTCCGAACATCTGTCTCATTTCACAATTTCTTTGCGTTCCACGGATATTTTGGCAGTTTTTCATTGCACTTCGCTATGCTGCATAAAAAACCACTCAATTGTTCATTGACAAATCATTGTTTACTGACAACAGATGGGGGACAAAAGCGAATCTTTGGAGGTAACTCGTATTCTACCCAAATATTTTGAATAGAAAAAAGACATCATTTTCCTATATTATTCATTTTTTCTATAATCCTCAGATGGTTGCAGTTTGCGAGTTCCGTAAATGATATCCGCAGTGGACCACGAACGGCGGAACGCTGGAACAATGAAGATAATCGCCAGGATGACTCCACCTGAAAAAAATTTAAAAATGTCAAATCCTGCTCCCAAAGTAATTCAAATTACCGAGGACATCAGTGGGGAAATGCCAATTATCGGTGACTCTGGTCACGGCGGTGAACACAGTCCACACAGCATAGATCGGCACGAGAATGTTCCGAACTGTGATGATCTCCTTGATCCCGGTGTTTGTTGCCATTCTAAACACGAAAAACAAAACGAATTAGGTTTGGGGTGATGTCATTTCACCTTCTCAAGTAGATGAAGACGAAAAGGAAAACGTGGAAGGCGGCAGCGGTGTGTCCGGATGGAAAAGATGTGCGGGCGGTGCGGATCTTTCGAGAATTCGGGTTGGTGCACACAAGATCGGCCGCTGAAAATGAAACAATCCGTTTTTCCAATAGGAAAGGAAAAACAAACGGTCTATGAAGCTCTGTTTATCTGTGCAATCCACTTTGGACCAGTCAGGCTTGCAAACGCTGAAGAAATGCGGACGGAGACGGCCAACACTGCAAAAAGTTGAGGTTTCTTAAAGTTCCACGAGTAAATGACTCACTAGCACTTGAGGAATTCCATGGCAAAGGTGCATGCCGCGTAAATGACGAGGTACTTGAGATATGTGATTGTCGTGGCCGAGAAAAACTTGGAAAGACGGTTCGAACCCTGAAAAGATGCGGTTGATCACTTAAGAAGAACGGTTTTGACCAAAAATACCTTGGATTTGTAGTGAAGGATTGCCTCAACAAGAGCAACGATGAAAAATGGAGAGCCGAGTGAAATGACGAGAAGATGCTGGAAGAATGATGAGTTATGCTCATTTCGGGAAATTGCGGGAAATTCGTTACTTTCAATCCCACTGTGTTCTCTTTGAATGGCTGTTGAATAGAAGTGTCTCCACAGGGCATTGCTCGTTCGTACGGATTTATTCCCGATCTGAAATCATCAAATTGACTTTTGATCAAATTTTGCTGACTGGTTTACCCGGAAAACCAAAGAAACAGAGAACAACAGACGGCAAGGACGATAACGATATCCAGTGTCATGTAGATGATACCCTGAACGCTCTTTATTCTCACAATGCAAGAATTTAACAAATACTACCTTTCCAATTGCCATATTCTGATCGATTTCGGTTTCCTCCCCAAAACGCAGCAATCTGCCGCTGAACGTTGTTCGTCTGAGCACTTTCTCCGACATTTTGCTGGAAAAATATTTGATTATCAATATTTCTATTGGAAGTTGACGAAAAGAAAACAAAATAAAGGTGATAAACAATAAAAACCATACACGACGGTCCACAAATAGTGTGAGTGCGGTAGAGCGCACTTGCATTCCAGGCCAGGCCTCCCCGCGCTACGTTTGTGCTGACGTCAACATTAAACGAAACGAGAATAACGTGGTGTAATGCAATCGCATGACGTAAAATTAACGTTTCAGACGAAAAAAATCGATTTTTATTGGATGCAACATTACGAAAATGCAAACAAATCACAAGACAATGATGACATAATGCATTTAATGAGCCACTCTGAACTAGGTGGATTTCTGTGGGACAAAAATGAAAGAATAGTTAGTATAGAATCTTATTTAGTGCAAGAAAATGAGCAATGAGCAGGACAACATATCACAAACACAGTTTAAACTATTCTCGACAACGAAGCGCATGGAAATGAAGTATTCTAGCACGGTAAAGCAACGTATGTTTTTATTTGGATGAAGTTTTGATCACATCGAAGGATTTTTTCAGATTTTGATTTGGCAACTGAATGAAAAAGAATAGACAATTTGAAATCGAATGGTTCTACAATTCGGGGAAAGTCGGATAGGGTCTAATTGGAATCTTTTTCTTATGAAAATGGGAATAATGCAAGTTCTGAAACGGGGTTGGGCAAATTATCACAAAGAAGTGTAATATAACATGAAATTGACTGTTTTGGGCTGACAACAAGTCACAAGTCGCCATAATCGGAACACAGACACAGCGTTTCCGACCGATTAGAAATTATTGATAGTGGTGCACCATCGAGCCCTCTCCACGATTGTTACCGTCCCTGATTTGAAGGTACTGGTCGAATTCGTGCGGATTGATGTCCTAAATGCATTTATTTCGGAATATTTTGGAATATTATGTACTCACGTCGATCCCATAAGTGGTCTGAAGTTGACGGTGCATCTGAGGTTGATGCTGGTGTTGATGTTGGTGTTGTTGCGGATGCGGCGGCATCTGGTAGTCAATCTCCATCGCGTTGTCGTTCATTTGATTCTGAAAATCACCAAGGATTGTAGAGATATCACATAAGTTGCACTCACGTTTTGGTACTGATTTGTCATTTGGTTCATCACCGGGTGTTGCTGCTGCTGTTGCTGCGGTTGCTGGGAATGTTGAGGTTGTTGCTGTTGGTACATGTAGTTCTGATCATGAGGATGCTGAAATAATAATTTTGGATGCATAAAATGATGGCTTTATTACCATCATGTTCGGCTGCATCGGCGAAATCGCCTGGAATTGCTGTTGCGGACTGTCCAAGAGTCCTGAATTCATCAGCTGCGCGTTCTTCTCTTGAATCACCATTCGCTCGTTTTGTAACTGTTGAATGTAATCCATTTGTTGCTGAGAAGAGTATTGCGGTTGTGGATGATTCGGAATCATCTGCGGGTGCTGATGGATTGAGGGTAATGATCGCGACGAGTTTCCATTGTCGTAGTAATTATTGTAGCCTTGGTTCATTTCTTCGCCTCCTCCACAATAGTTTCGTTCCGGAGGAGCTAAAAAGAGGAATGTGGTTCATTTATCTGTTTTTCTCTGAATTGCTCTTACCAATAAGCCGGGGATCGGTCCACGTGGTCGTCTTGGTATTATGATCTTTGAAGTAACGATGTCCCTCACTATCATAGCAGACTTCCCATCCATGCGGCATCGGCAGGTGCTCTACATCCTGCTGGCTTATGAACGGCCTCCTCATTGGATCGAGAGACATGCTCTTTTCGCGCCCTTGTTGTACCATTCCTTGATGAGTCGGCGGGTTTCTGAAATGAAAACGGTGTTGTTGTTTTTTGACATCCGCAAGCAAACGCATTTGTTTTTCAGCAGTGAAAGTGAACAATAGATGCGTCAGTATTGGCAGAATAGATGGGTTATTCATTGTTTTTCAAAAAAGGATAGTAATTGCAATTTTTCTACTATTCGCCTTCTTATTGACTCACTCTGAATATCCGGCGTACGAGTAATTAGCTTCATGAGATACGGACTTGACGTGAGATGGTTCGGGCGGGAATCCAACATTCATCGGTGGCAATGCGGAGACGCTCTATAAAAGCAAATCATTTCTTGTACAATCTGGTAAGTGTCCTGTTTTACTTTGGAATGTTGATGATTGACAAATTGCTGTGGTGGTGGAGGTTGAGGAGCGACTGACGGCCGTCTAAAACTGATTGTTTTGTTCCGTTTGTTCATGTTTTTCTGCAAACTCACTCAATGTTATAATCGGGATGAAGTTCCGGAGCGCTGAACTGTCTCTTGTGGAATACTTGCTGGCTAGGATCCATGCCCACGGCCGGACTGACCGCCGCTCGACTGCTGGAGGCCACTGCATCCACATCTACAGAGCTCTGAAATGAGTCCTTGAAACAGTCATTGTACGGTAGCGGAAAGAAGCAAGGACAAGTAAGACTATCCATCCAATGAGCCGGAAATAAGTACCTGCGGCGAGTGACCCGCACTGCTCCCTCGAGGCCTTTTCTGTTGAAAAAATGATGATGGTAGTTGTGCTGGCGGTTTCTGTAAACGAATACTGTCATTGGCTAGAAGATATTGCGAAATATTTTCAAATTAGTCGCCTCTTTGTCACAAATGTCAAATTGATTGTGACGCAATCAGTGTCACCTCGAGCGAATCTCGTTTAAATGTATCAATTCACTGAATACTGGCGAACACTCTGACACGAGAATCAAGTCGACTGTAATGTAATACCATCTTTTCTCGCCCCGACTACGGTTTTACACAACACTCAATTTCAGACAACAAAGAACATGCGTCACAACTAACCTTTGAAATCGGGTTCTTCTCGTACTTCTTCTCTGGCCTCTCTTTAATCAACTTCTCAATACTTAACTCCGGATCCTGATACTGTGTTATCAAGATCTTCTTGTTAATGCGCTGTGACGCCATCAAACCTGAAAATAGCAATCGGATTAATATCACCTGGAGTGTGAGAAGCCAAAAAAAGACGGAAGTAGGCAAAGGGCGGACTGATGTGAATGACAATTCAGAAGTCTGAAGGAGGAAAGGGGTGGATGTGGATGAAACGAAAGGAGAGCAAAACACAACATTAAACCAATAATAATAATAGTGTGTTACAAGATAAAATGGATAATCGCGGAGAATCAAAAAGCGGATCAGCCAACGCAATTCAATTTCCAGAAAAACACTAGCAACAACAAAACGAATGCTTCATCTTTCGACCATTCTGCGGGCGGAGAAAGACGCTGCCAGCAACGGCGACGACGACGACAGGCGAGGAGGAGGACGGTTTAATACAATTGCAACGGAATCAGAAGACGACGCGGAGAGATGCGAGAGAAGGGAGGAACACGAAATCGGGTGTCTAGAAGGTCAACCAATTGTTCGTGTGTGCGTGCGGCTGGGTGATGCCTCCCACCTACTACCCTTCTCCTTCCTATAACTTATTATGATCAATTCAAAGATAACCCAAGTAGATGGACTGATCCGACCCGACTGTTCGTTTGTTCGGCGACGCGCACACAAACCCAAACCGGCAGGGATTTTCTTTCAACACGAGAAAATGTTTTCAAGCGCGGAGGGTAAAGAGTTGGAAAGAAAAGGCCCTCCGATCCTTTTAGAACTCGTGTTTGTACTGGGTGTTACATACAATGCCACAAGTAGCGCACAAACAAACACACGTTCCCTTCTTGCGCTCCTCCTTCTTCTTCTTCTTCTTCTTGTGGCTAATAACACGTTAGTAGTAAGTTGGTTCGGTACGGACTGATGAACTGATTGTATTGTTTGTAGGAGACCGCCGAAACGGGCGATGCTCCTTCTTTTTGTCCGTATTTTTTGTGGCCACAACAATCATCTGTTAGTATTTTTAAAGTTTTGGATTGGATTGGAGTGGCAACAAAGGAATGATGTGTCATCGAAATATGACGAAAGAAGAAGTGGGAAGGGAGGAGAGCTGAAATAGACTAGAGAAGAAGGTGGACAAGTGCAAAAGGATGACGTTTCTGATCTTTCCTCATACAATCTCTTTTTTGCAGTTCCGGTCTGTCCATGATATGCAGGTCTGATCTTTTCATCAGCCCACGCAAAGGCCGCATTGAAAAAGAGAAAAGAAAACTTTTTTTTTTGCTTATCACAAAGTTTGGTGTTCACGGATCGGACCAACAATAGACATCGAAAAACAAAATATTGAGTATTGAACGTTTCTGATGTAAGTCATCCAATTACAAAGTCCAATTTCAACATGTAAGCGCAAAGATTTGACTCTTCCGAACCTCGGCGAAAGTATCGAAAGGTGTGTAGTTTGTCATTGTCCTTCTCCCTCGTGTCGGGTAGGAAAACAAGCATGAAAAAGTGAAGTGCAAAGAATGGTAGCGCGGCGGCGGCTCACATGACATTTCCGCCGCGCCCACTCAATATCCACAAATGGGTGGGTGGGTGGGTTCATCATTCAGTTGTGTTTTGATTTTTGTCCGGCTCGGTGTCCATTAAAATTGTTTAAACACCACCCGACCGAATGTGTTTGCACTTCATCTTGAATAATGTCTGTTTGCGCGATTTAGATAGTGAAAGAAATACGAAAAAAAGGTCAGAGAGTTTGAATCAAAAACGATTCAGAGTTCGAGTTTGCTCCCCCATTTTGTTGCCAAGAGAGAGAGAGAAGAGAGAAAGTGAAAGAGAGAGAACCGATTGAAACAAAACAAAATGTAACATCTTGTCAAGGGTAAGGAAAAAAAGAGAAAGAAGAAAACGGGTGTTTCAGTCGTTACCGTAGTCGTTTATGGGATTGTCGGGTCTCGCCTCTCACGTGATCACGGTTAGACACAAAGCTGATCATATTTCTATTTTCACCCCATTGAACACATGATTATAATTGTAGTAGGATTTGGTTTGCAGTATCCCGTTTTGTAGCGTTTTTTTTTGCTCCGCCGTCTATTTTTACATGTTTCCGGAAAAGATTGGCATTATTTCATTAAAACGGACGCTGAGGGAGGAGGGGATGTAAAGGAGATAACGAAGGGACACTTCCGTGCCTCCCACGCGTCTCGGCTCAAACATATTACACTATCAATCTTATAACACTTTGCGCCAAGTCCGTTAAACCGGAACTTTAAATATTGACTGAAACGGAGTGTTGAAATTGGAAAGAAAAGGAAAAACTGAAAAAAGGGTGGGGTGGAGGAAACATGTCTGATAAAAACTCTCTTTCAGCGTGTCGTATTTATTTACCGCTCTGTCACATGAGTTATCATTTTTTAGTGTCCTGGTGCGGGGTTAGAACGGCGCCGATACTTCCTTTAAGGGTGACGAGCAGTGTGCGAAAAGATTAGAGTCAAGTAGGTATGGGAGGGGTGACGAATCAGGTGAAAGTGGGGATAAAGGTATTATAGTGATATTTCGGTCTCCAAAAAGGTGTGGCGCTCAATTCATTTTTCCATTATCTAACGCGCCAGAAATTGGAGTCTTTTGCAACAAAAGTGACCGATACTAGGTCAGTTGGCTAGGCATATTAGACCGAGAAACGAGAGATGGCCTTCATATTCAATTTCTGGGCGCTGGTTTCGGATATGCTGAGACTTGGCGGGACAGTTTCTTGTCAAGGAAGAGGCAAAGATGGAAAAGATGAAAGTTGCGCAAAACAGATGAGTCACAGATTGCAAATCGGTCATTGTGTCCACCCCCCTAAGGCAGTTTTTGATGTGATGCCCACGCAACCAACACAAGATACGGTGATACTCGTTGGTGACAACATGTATCTCGCAATTATGTATCAGAGCAGTTCAAAATGTTCAAAACGCCCCGCCAAAGGCAAATAAAGCCGACTGTTCTCTTTAGTGACGCAGTTCGGTTCAGCTTTTCAAAGAGTGGGTCAAATAGCGAAATGAGATAAATGAGCAAGTTAACGGAGTACGCGAACTTGAGACGCGTTTGTAAACTTTTGAATTGAATTACAAAACTACGCGTCCTTCCTAATTTTGAACAACTGAACTCAGGCTACGGTAAAACTACTTGCAACAGATCTCTTCCAATCAACTCCGTTACTGATGTTGTTCACATCGGCAGCTATTACGAATCACACGTTGACTAAGTGATCTGACCAAACATGAACATCCCATGTGTCTTGAACCCAAAAGGAAAATGAGGAAGAAGACGTTGGTGGAAACGAAGAATGGCAAGAGGATTATAGTTGTCCGGACGGACCTAATACTACTGATCCTTTTCGACTACTAATGGGTACATCTCTTTTGGTGAATAGGAAGGAATACGCCAGGGATCTCACCTACAAGCAATCAAGAAAACACACAATTACACTCACAAATCACTCAACCTACATGCACACACATCCCGCTCTCACACTCACGGGGCAAAACGACTGGTTGTTAAAGGCGCCCGCGGGTGTCTTCCTTCTCCTACTCACTTTTACCTGACGTCTCTTCACTTTGTCTTGTCTCGTCTCACCCTCGGGAGGTTGACTAGTGATTGGAATCGATTGGCGACAATTTCTCTCTCTCTCTCTCTCTTTTCCTCTCTTTCCTTCTCTTCATCCTCTCTCTCGCTCATCCCGATGTTGTGAGTAATGTTAACGGTCTATGGGTTCTGTTCTCATCACCTAAATGCTGGCCAGCGACGAAAACAAGAGATAACCTCAAATCTCATCCACACAGAGTAACCAAGTAATAAGAACATGAAGAAGAAGAAGAAAGAGAAAAAAGAGAACGTGTATCCTTTTTCGACGGAGAATTTACTCTTCTCCTTCTACCGTATACATTCGTTGGCAAAACCACGCCATAATGACAAGAACATCAATCACAGCGAACAAGATGCGGATAACGGCTTGTGAACTGATAACCAGAGGGTAGCAAGTTTGATCGCGGAATTACATGTCAGGGGAAAAAGAGAGAGAGAGAGAGAGAAAGAGAAATGTATGATTTCAAACTTCTGATAAACGATCAGAAGAAGCAGGTCAGTTCTCGGAACACAACATTTGCAAAATCAGCTGTTCTAACTAAGAGTCATTTCTGAAAGATTGTTTTGACTAGTTTTGTACCTTTAAAGTTCACAGTGACGCTCAGGGGGAAGCACTGTTATGCTTTTTATAGCTTTTCTCATCCCCTCCTCTGTTAATAGCAACAAAGTACAGATAATGATTAAAACATGATGCAAAAAAGATCAGAGTAACTAGACTGCGCTTCTAAACGCTGAAGACCGGTAGTAAGAGAAACATGTCAAACCACGCGGGAGTACATAAAACGAGTGTGCAACTGAGCTCACAAGAACCTTCTAACGTTGAATTTTATTTCTTTTTCCCTCTGCAGACGGCCATAAAAACTAAACGACCGAGAGACCGAAATAAAGAACGTAAAAAGAGAAACTGGGACTGATAAGGTAAGAAGCGCAGATCTGTTTGGTGCTCGAGGGCTCGAGGAGGGCGCCTAAAAGTAATGTTTATCAAACTACAGTGCACATTGTGCATATGTTGCCTATTTGCTTATTTGGTTCGAACGACACGCAAGTCTGTTAGCCGTATGGGCAGCTTAAGAGGTGTCCCCCCGTTCCAATCGACTTGCTCCTCTCTCTCCTGTTGCTCAACTTCTGGAACTAACGTCTTCCTCCGCTTCCGCTGTTGTTGTTGGGACCCCCACGGACGGGGTTCGAAAAGAAAGCTCTCAAGGATTACATATTTGTAAGAGTGTATACGTGACGACCACCAGACCAGAAACCACCCGCACAAGCACCAGGAAGCACTTCTTTGACTCGATGTGATGCGCTTTGACATGAATTCGAATTAGAATTAGACGAGCGTGTCGTGTGTTCAACTTGATTCCATTTTTAATCACCGTTAATCAGACAAACGATCCATCAGGCGGCATTTTTCTCAATCCAAGCAATTTCAGAACAGTATGTAGTGACGTTTTTATTTGTTATTCGGACCCTTGACGGATACAATTGGCTTTTCGAGAGCACCAAGACGTCCTCCTCCTTCCTGTGTCCGAGCCAAATGAGAATTGACCAAGCGCATGTACGCGGCCATCTGGCCCTTCTATTCATCGCCTCGCCCACTCGATTTGCCTTCTTCCACTCACAAACGCTCCAAAACACCTTCCAAAAACAATGCGCCGCGTGATTTACAGTTTTGTCGTCAATTCTGGTGTGAAACAGTACGCAATCCGCACGACTGCACAAGTCATAAATGCGCCGACTGGGCCGTCGACCCGTCCGCACGCACGTTCGGTTTTGCACGTTTTTTGGTTTTTGTTTCTTACTACTAGTGTTATTACAAATGAAATGAGAAAAACATATTTTTCATTCATTGTGTGTGTTTTTGCCAAAAATGTGCAGTTTTTTTGCGAAAAAGATATTTTTCAGTTCATACTGCGGGTTAGCCTAGAATGTTGTTTTTCACACAAATTCCAACAAATTTCCAGTCTATTCTTCAATATTTTCAATGTCCGATGTTCTCAGTGTGTTTACACATTTTTTGGGGGCACAGAGTGAAAAAGAGAGAAGTTTTCTGCTCGGATGCAATCCTATATCTCCTGGGAGAAAGCGGTTTTCAGCCACCATCCATATTTGTTTATGCCTAATTCTCGTCTCATCACACTTCCTAACACATCCTACGCACGGGATACTTGGACACTCTTGTGACCCCTGACACTCTCTCGAAACTTGCATCAGTTTGATGAGATGAATTCTCAAATTTATGCAAGTTGTCGCCCCCGCTCGCGCTTCTTCTTCCGACCATTCCGCTATTTTCAATGTTCCTCTCTCGCTCTCTCTTTTCTGGCGTGTCATCCATTTGAGGCCTCCTCGTCGTCCCCTCGAGAAAGAGCCGCCGCGGCCGTTGCTCGACATCCTATAATGCGGAGACAACGAGAAGAACATGCAATGTGTGTGGTAAAAGAAGCACCAAGTATCGATCGATGGTTTTGGTGTTGTTCTTACTTCTGTTTATACTTCTCACCCTCGGCCGGGGGGTCATCGATTTTCTTTGACTTTCCGCTAGTTCTCCCTCCTAAACAAACGTTGTTTGGAATTGTTCACTTCACTCGCGCTCCCGAAAAAATGACGTCGCGTGTCGGTTGATTTCGCAATCAAATCACATCTCTCTCCTTTCCGAGAATTTCCAAGCCCGAAAGCGCCGATGACACAAGTGGCAATGCCGTTTTTTGATTAAAGAGCAATAAATTCCAGCTGCCATGCGCATATTTAATCAAAGCCGCCCTAGGTTCTCACTTTCCATTAGATTGAATACAAAATGGGATTCGGTGTGCGTGAAACAGGGAAAATATCTCTATCTTATCAAATGTCGGAAACAAAAACAATCTGCGTCCCGTGCCTTCACTTGGTTTTCTTTTCTCAATTACGTTTACCCATTCTCGTCCTTCTCCATTCTATCTTACTAAAACGATCCAATTTGCAGCAAATCTCTAGTCACTCGTCACTGTTCTCCCATTCAAAATGGCCGATACCTACGAACAACCCGGTAAGTCTTGAGGAATATTGGCCAACTGTGCTCTCTTTCACTTAGTGCCAAGGAGGTATTTTGGTTTCTACGTTTTGGTGCCCAATGATTGGTCGGACCGCATAAACAATCGGTCATTTTTTCTCGATTGCTGTCGTTTGGTAGCCGAAACTGTGAGAGATGAACTAATAAGATTGGAGGGCAAGCGGGCATCAAGAGGAGGCTTGGCAGAGAGTGTACGGGACGGAGAGGGGGCAACGGGTGAGGGGTGCAGATATCGATCGGTCGTTTGTTTGAGCGACGGCCATACACGTATCGCTGTGAGTGTTAGTGAGTGTCTCTGTGTCTGTTCGCCTGGCCAAGCCTCTGCCCCTCCAGCCTTTCACAGTCCTTTGTTATGATCAGTTTCGCCCGTCTTCTTCTCGCTCACTTCACCGAAAACAGGCTGAATTTCGGTTTCACACTGTTTTTGTTACTTCACCTATCCCTTTTCACATCCTCCTTTCATTCTTTCGGTGTTTGATTAGTGCAATGACTCTGACTCTGACTCATTTTTCGTTCCTACGTCGTCGTTTCGCAATCGTTGTGTCGAGAAGCAAAAAAATTTAGTGAAATTATTAAAAATTTAGAAAAAATGCCAAAGGGAACCAAGAAAACTAATGAGAAAAAAGCGGACCTTGAAAAGTTTGCAAAAGAGTTGCAAGGAAGTGATTCGGATGAGGACGCTGTTGTAATTGAGCAGCCAACGGTTGAGCCAATCCCCACCCAAAATGTTAACTCTAACGAGAAGAGTAAGACGAAACAGATAGTTTAATGCGATTCCCCAACAACTCATATTACAGAAATCGAGCTCTCCGCAGCTGAGAAGGACCAGCTCCGCACCGAACTGGACAAGGTACTATAAGAAATTTGAAGTCATTAGACTAAATAATAATAATTCAGACCGAGGAGGAGATTTCGACCCTGAAGCAGGTGCTCGCCGCGCGGCAAAAGCACGCCGCTGAGCTCAAGCGCAAGCTGGGACTCACGCCATTCTCGGAGCTCTCGCAAGACCTCAAGGGCAGTCTCAAGACTGTCACCGACACTGAGGCGTAAGTCGAGAAGAGCATATGTGTCAGTGAGTGATTACCGTCTTGCAGGTTCCAAAAGACAGCAGAAGTGGCGGCGGCGACTTCCGATACTGTCAAGGAGAAGTGGAATGACATGAGAAACTCGTCTCTCTTCAAGTCTTTTGAATCTAAACTCGGAAGCGCTTACAACCAGGTATGGGGAGGCATTCCTCCTTTTTTAACAGTACATTGAATTTAATTTTAGGCAAAGATGGCCGCGTCGACGTCGATCGATCATCTGGCGGGAGCTGCTCGTGGACCAAGCCAGACTGGAACCCCAGTTGCCGAAGAAGCCAAGCCCATCGCCTAAGCACCGTCTCACCTTCCACCACACAATACGAAAACTGTCTAACAACTGGGATTCCTAACCTAATCTAATGTATTCTCGCTGAGTGTTTCATCTTTCTTTTCCCCCCAAAATATCGCCACTTTGTGAATGATCGCGGCTTTCTCTGTTAGTAGTCAAGTGTTATTTCTTGCACCCGCGTGGCCAATGTATTCATACCTATTTATTTCCTTTTCCATACCAGCCAACACATTGAGTAGAATCGCTTCTTCTCGTTTGTGTCTCTTACGTAATGGTATGTCTTTACAAACACTGAATGATTCCATAAATAAACTGGATAACAAAGGGAACAGTGGGCGCTTTCGGAAGCGGTTCGAAAGATCTTTCCATAAATCTACCGAAAGTAAATAACAAAAACGAAGATTGAACAGTACGTTTAAAACGGGAAAACGGGATAAAAGAGTAACAATAAAAATTGATCATTTTGTTCGATTAATTACTCTTCAATGATGTCGTCTTGAACGGCCTCTTCCTGCGGTTCATCGGCTGATGTGATATAGTCTTCCGTGTCTTGAGTTGTGAATTGGGACATGTGTGTCAAAAAGTCCAAATTGCGGAAAGACAGAAGTCATCAGGTTTACACAGAAGGAACATTTTGAATGACTTGTTAGCTACAAATCGGAACGGAATCATTTTTCTGAAATTCAGAGGACATTTCTGGAGTAAACCTGTAGAACGTTTTGGCATTTTGACTAATTAGCCGGCGAGCTTCCAGCCGGGGAACTATTCCCAGCAAAGGAAGCTCTCGTTTCCGTCTTTCGCCACGGGAAGGCTTAGTCATTGAAGGACATGATCGTCATCGGACGATCCGTGCTCCTCTATAATGGCGATCTGTTCTTCGAGAACTACTACTACCTCGGGTTACTTTGGAAAATCATCCGAGCGCGACGCCTAATCGAATATCCGGTTTGGAGCGGAATATCTCAAGGCGGGCTTGGAGACGTTTCATATTTGGTCAGTTAATGGTTCACATGGACATTCATTGAGTCATTGACAAGTGATTTTTGCTGTGTGTGCGTGTACATTTTCTGACTAAAGCAATACAACTGAAGCTTTCTCATTGACAAAGGCTAAAAAGTTATCCGCACATAATCTCATATTGTTTGCTTCGCGATTCGTACTAGAATTGTGTTCTGCGAAGACTCTGAATACGAGATTAATAGAGTTACACCAACTGATATGCCGCATTCTCCTCTTCTCGCCTTGTTTCCCATGGCAACTGCTCTCATCTCTAATGCAAACATCCAATTTTTCCACCGATATCTTGTTTTCTCCATTCCATTCCCGGCTCTCTCTCTCTCATAATTATTGAGCACGGAGGTGTGGCGGATAGTAGTTGACTCGTCTCGGTGGCCACGCTAGTCACCCCCGTTTCGTCATCATCAAAATATATGCATGAGAGAACTAGTACATAGAAGAGTGCATTGATATGGGGGTTTTGAAAGCAAGAGTAGTCGTGTCGAATGTAGATATTAGTTGAAAGCTTGAAGGGCACACTTCTAAATCTAAATCCCCTCTTCTTTCCATTTCTTTTCATCGACTCGCGCACGTGCGAGACTCTGAAAAAGAGCTCATGAGATTGGCAGAGATTGCGTTGCGCTGCTAGTGATTATCAGAATCGCCGAGCAGAAACATACATATCCACTTTTTCTGACACCCGCCCGCCAGCTATACACCTTTTTATTTTATTTTATTCCAGCAGACATCACAGCTGTCGACTGTGCTCTCAACCGTCACCGTGTCCCCTTTACCGTACTCTCTTGTCACTTTTGAACCGATGGGTGAGGCTTCGGATGCTCGTCTTTATCTACAGGATAACAACATTCCCCAGCTTTTTGAGGTTCAGTTTTACTGAAGTTGTTTTGTAATACTTGATTTGAAATCGTATTCAGGGTTTGATGACTGGGCTGATCTACAGTCGTCCCGATGATCCGTTGAAGTTTCTGGAAGAGTCGATTGGAAAAATCCGCTCGACACCAGGAATAACAGTCTCATGGGATATGTTCATTGGGCCAGAAGCAGGTAATCCGTGTATGAGTTGCTAATCTGAATACATTGCGTTTTCGGCTGCACTATAGCTTTTTTTGAAACACTTTTCATACCTTACAACTATTATATTGAGATTTTTGAATCTTGACCAAACCGGAAGCACACATGTTTTCTGATTTTTCAAACTTTTCGCCTTTCACATGTATTGTGACTGACTCGATCCGTGAACTAGCAATGTCGTCTATTTTCGTGTTTGGCACCCGGATATACTTCGAACTCTCTCCGACTTGTTTGTTTCGTTAATAATTTATACTGTGTCATGAATCATAAGACACATGTGGAATTTTGAGCTGAAATTTTTGATCATGAGCACATCCTTATGTAAAGTGTGGCTCACCTCATTACTTCTTTCACGTCAGTTCAGATTCTGAGAATCACATCTCAATAAGAAAAAAGAAAACCAAAACAAAACACAAAGGTAGAGAGAACAGAGCACGCATTCTTGTTGTGGTGCCCCAGACAAAACGTGCTGCCGTCCATAAAAAGCCCTCGGGCTCCGTCTTGCGTACGCAATTATCCCCTCCTACGTCGCAGGTTATATTGTGCTCACTGGGTACTCTTTGCCCGTGCGTGTTTTCCCAACCCAGCTTCTTTTTAGTGTGTTTCTGGTTTCAGGCCGTGTCGCCAGAAATTATCCGGTCGCTTCCTCTGCTCCGTTACAACAAAACAAAAGAAAGGCCTCTCAGACTACAGTCACTCAACCCCGAATATCTACAAGCGCATTAGAAGCGTAAGATCTATTTTTGACTTTGAAATGAAATATCTTGCTTTTTGAAGCGAATCCAACGAAGTTGAGGCAGTTGAAATATCCAGAGAACCATCGAGAACCAATACTGTTGAGCATCGTACTCCTGAACCCCAACTTTCTTTGGAAAGCTCAAAAGAAGAGGAAATGGTGAGTTTTAAATGTTATAAATTGGTGGTCCTATGCTGTTTTTTTTTCAGGTTGTTCATCGTGTTCCGTCTGTGACAAGAGCTGCTGAAGTGGCCAAGATTCCGGATGTTCCGATCATTCTGTTCATGGGTGAGAACTTTTATAAAACTTTTCAATCCTCTTCAAATGAACTTATTGTCAGGAGGTCCTGGAGGTGGAAAGACAAGGCATGCAACTCATGTGGCAAATTCGCTGGTTGATAACGGATTGGTGCACATTTGCATGCCGGATATAATCAAGACGGCACTGGGGAAATACAAAGACAAATATCCGGAATGGAAAGAAGCTAACGAACATTATATACGAGGTAAGCTCAGAACAGAAGCGGAACAGAATTGAACACAGATTACAGGAGAGCTAATCCCGAATCAATTAGCTTTGACATTGTTGAAAGCAGAGATGGGAAGGCATCCGGACGCGCAAGGTTTCTTTTTAGAGGGCTATCCGAGGGAGGCACGGCAAGTGGAAGACTTTGAAAGACAGGTTTCGTTCCTTCCGTGTATTTGGTGGAATTTTCAACTGTTACTAGTCCAGGTGAAATCGGTGAATATGGCTCTAATCTTGGATTACGATGAAAGAACTCTTCGTGATCATATGGAGCGGCGGGGACTTGGCATGGAAATCATTGATCAGAAAATAAAAGAATTCAAGCAGAAAACTTTACCATCCGCGAAGTACTTTGATGATCAGAAGTTGCTCCATCTGGTACATCAGAAACTATATAGTTATAGAAAACCTCCAAGCGCTTTTCAGATACCCGGCGAAACAGATGATACTAAAATTTCTGATAAAATGAAAGCACTTATTGTAAGAGCTCTAGAATCAGGAGTTCCAGTGTTGGCAGCAATGCCTCCTCATCCGGTCCCTGTTGAAAGAAACCACGTTGCAACTCCTCCGGTGTGTCTCAAATCCCCATTTCTTACTCATCATTACAGTTGTCAGGTCAATCCAGTCATTTCGTCTCCTATCATGGCTGAAGCGGCGGAACTCGAAAATAGCGTTGTCAACACAAGTATAGTCAACCACGAAGACATCAATCATGTAGGGACGGAACCGGCCGAAATCAGGAAATGAGCACCGCCAACTTTCTGTTTTCCAGGACTTGTCGACGTCAGCAATTCGGGAGCCACGGTCTGTTGCACAGACACCTCTTCATTCGTCCGCTTCTGCGGGAGGCGTCGAGCAACAACCAGAGACGCCGGCTGTTCAGACCCCCGACGAGAGTGAGCGTGGTTTCCGGTGAAATGAGTGGCACACAATTTGTTTTCTTTTTAGGCCGTGCTACTTCAACCGCCAGGTCTAGGGAATCGGCGAAAAAGGAAAAGACTCCAACTCCAGGTAATGCAGAGAAGGCAAAAAAGTACCAGATACTGGAAAAGGGACAGAACAATAATAATTTAATTTGTGGGTTCAGACAAACGTTTGCCAAACTCGATCGTAGTTCCCATGTTGAACCTACCGCAAGAGAATGGTAAAGTAAAAGTGGAAGCGAGTGAAATATAGAGTTTTCAATTTTTGCATGAGTGTGAAAAGGATGCACTGCATGACTGGAATCGCACAGAAAAATCAATGCGGGGGTGTTTCAGACCGAATGAGCACCGGCGACGCAAATCACAACTCGAATGACGCTTCGGAAACCAGTTCTCTTGAACTCGGTGATCCAGTGGGACTTCCGAATAACGCCCCGGTGATACTCGTGCTTGGTGAGCCACGAAATCGGATGAGTGAATTGAAAATCGAATGTTCCAGGAGCTCCTGGGTCACAGAAGAATGATATCAGTAGAAGAATCGCGCAGAAATATGATGGTTAGTAGTGTTGAATCCCAAGATTCCAAGATAAATGAATAATTTTCAAATTCAGGTTTCACAATGCTTTCGATGGGCGACATTTTGAGAAAGAAAATCAATAGTGAGAAAAATGATGAGATGTGGGAAAAGGTGGCCAAGAAAATGGCAAACGGAGATCCGATTCCGACTGTAAAAAAGCACACCTGTCTGCTATTATTGATTGATTTGTTTCAGAAAATGGTTCGCACGGTTTTGTACGAAGAACTTCAGAATAGAGGGGCTTCTAACTGGGGCTACGTCATAGAAGGATACCCAAAAACTCCTGATCAACTTGTTGATTTGGAGCAATCGGTAAAAATTATACCACTCCGCCCGGCTAACTAAGAATTTTCAGTTGCAACGGACTGATTTGGCTATTCTCGTCGACTGCACTGAACAGTTTTGTCTGGAAGTTATTAACAAAAGAGGCAGAGACAATAAACGATCTGGTCAGTTTGAAAGCGATCAAGAGCCGAACAATTCCAAGGTTTTCCAGATGACAGTACTGATTCAGTGCGTGCTCGAATGGATTATTTCAAGAAGAACACTTTACCGATGCTTAAAACTTTAGATGATAAAGGCAAACTGCGCGTGGTGAGACATTCGCATGTAACGGTATGCACTATCCTTTCCTTCTAACATTTTTCTTCGAACTAATTATTCAACATACATTTCGGCATGATAACTGTTGCGAGAGAAACGAGTTTTGTTCAGTTTTGAATGACATTTTGCACGATTGACTAACCTATCTCACTAAAAAGTGTCTTTTCTATCTCACTCCTTCTGTAAATCTGTCTGTTCTTCAACTATTCATGAAACCTGAAAGCAAAATGACATTTAAGGTTGACGGAGACGCAGATCCGGATGCTGTGTTCAAAGAAGTCGTTCAAGTTATTGACAGAACACTGTTCATTGAAGGTTGATTCAAATTGTCTGTGTTATAGCAACCACCGTATTCAGACGACGGAGACGGTACAAGTCTCGGCGATTCGAAGAAAGGAACGTTGGATTCTTCACTAAACTCTTCTAATTAATATTTCAATACCATTCTTTTCTGATAGGGTAGAGAAGAAACAAACTCGGAGAATCAGTGATTTTTAAATGTACATTTTTGATCAATAATTTTGTCACACTACCACAGTTTAGCAACAATCTTGAATAAATGGAACTCTTTTTATCTTTCAAGTTGTAGTCGTGGAATCGTGGAGCATTTGGAAAAATCGTGGACTCAAAATAAATGATCGTGGTAAAAACGTTTACGATCACAAAGGTGGAGGAGGCGGAGCCGCAAAAATTTCAAAAAAGGCGGATGTACTATGGTACTATAGTACATCCATTAAACATGTAGCACACAAAGCTCATTTGACGAAAATAATTCGGTAACTCCCCATTTCTATGATCAGAAGACGTGCAATTATATTGTTGAAACAGTTCTTCCACCTTTTGCTGGCTTTTTTTGTAGTATTGTCCGGTTTGGTAGGGTAGTCGATTATTGCAATTTTAGTGGTTTTCAAACGAAACTCTTCGGATAATTTGAAATTGTTTTATCAAAATAGACTTTATCTTGACGAGAAAAGGGGAAAATAATTGAGAACAGGAGAAATTTAAGACCTACATTGCACTACTCTAGTTTTGTGGAATCAGAAAAGAAGCCACGCAACGACGAGAATTGCAATTGAAACGAAACCTTGAAGAGAGGTGGACAAAATGGGAAATCGAATCGTTGTGATACCAAAACTCAAATAAAAATAAGAAACAATTTGGAAGCGCACGGGTATAAAATAGAATGATTAGAATACTCGAGATGGAATTTCTCAGGTAGTGGCCGGGACAAAAGGATTTTGTGGTTGATGGGGAAGGGGGAGAGGTGATTGAGGTAGTGCATAAAAGAGGTTTGTGTGTGAGAGTAGGAAGTAATTAGTCACATACGCTACTGTCAGTGCTGAACAGTTTTCACCGTAGCTATACAAAACCAGTGCATCATGAAAAAAGGTGAGTGCCAGAGGAAAATGGTGCTGAAAAGGATGGGTGATTGGGCGGTGAGGTAGAGCGGGGGATGGGTGGATCAACACTTTTCTTGTACTTGGAATTGGGAAAATAGTTGAGGTGCAAGTAGGGTGCGGATAAATATCTCAATCACAAAATCACAATCATAATAGTGACACATCACATTAGAGCATTAAGTAAGCAAGAATTGACTTGAAACATCCGGGGAGAGGGTTTGTGAAGTAAGAAACGATGGACTACGGACCACAAAAACGAAAGAATCTGAAGAAAATGCCAGCAAAGGAAAGTCGAGAAAGAAAATACAATGACTAAACTGAAAAAAAAAGTAGAAAAAATATCTACTCTGAACGTGGGATAGCTGCCGACCAGTTCATGGTGTTGAGATAGTTGGAAAGGGGTTCAGAGGTAGGAGTAAAATATATAAATCACAAAATACAATTGACAGCACAGTGTGAAGTTTGAGAGAATGAGAAGCACAGGAGAAAATAGAAGGGGGTTGGGTACCTAGAAGACGGGGAAAAGGTTTAGGACGACCGGATGTTAGATAGGAGGGTTTCTAGTCAAGTAGAACATGAAAACCGGAGACCGAACATCGACTCGCATAAAAAAGATAACCGTATTGCTCGCAATTTTTCTGGAAAAACAACCCAACTCATTTTGCTTACGACTGATTTGTTTTCCAAGAAAATTGTTAAGCGCTGGTCTTAATAAGATAGAAGACGGAAAAGGATATAAGCAATAGTGATATGATAGTGGGTATTTACTAGATGGATGTGGAAGAAAAGGGTAAATCAGGTAGATGGACAGGAAGGGAGCGGCGAGTAGTGAGGTAGACAGACAATATCAAAGGATGGATGAAGGGTTGAGGTAAGGTTGAAGAAATGTGGCTAGATTTCAATCGAGGCAATTCACTGGTTGTGAGGTAATGTAGGGTGGCATGGCATCAGTTTTCGAGGTTCTTGAAATATCTAGATGTTCTACTTGATCTTGAAAAATTCTCCTGGCAGCTCCTCTGCTTCTCCAGAACGCACAGTGCCCATGAACAACATTCCGGCGTTACGAGCAATATCCTGAAAGTGGTGCATTAGAAGATTGTTTTTATAGGATTTCCATACGTTGAGCATCCCCATCGCTTTTGGAAGACGTTCGAAGATACGGCGAGCCTGCTCCCCGTACAATGATTCCAAATATCTGTAAGGATGTATTGGACATTGGATTTCAGAATTTGCAAATGATTGATACCTATTGAGAAGGCTCATGAAATGATTGTGTTGCTCGGAAACGATGCGAACGTCGTTGTCGCTCATCGGTGGGTCCGAACGGACTGAGAACAGAACAGCAAGCATGACTAGATACACGGCAAGTTCGTTTTTCTTGATCTCTTCGTCAAAGAAACCAAAGAACCTGAAATGGTCGGCAATCGGTTACGGTAATTGTCTCAAGGTCAACTCACTCTAAGCATTTTGCTTTTTGCGCCTGCGCATTTGCATTGAGTTTCGCGAACATGTCATCAACATTGACAGAAACATTGGCTCCCTTGATGGTTGGGGTCTTGAAGGAGTTAGTCATTGGATCGTAGCGAGTCACTCCTCGGACAGTCAGCATTTCGATCATGCCTCCTTTCAGCAAGGAGAACTTGCCCTCCTGAGACACTTCACGGAATGCTGGGACTCCCTTTGCGACCTTGACGAAACGCCTCATAGTCACATCCATGATGTTCATAATGTCAGCCGGTGTCTTGTTCGCCTGAACAAGACTTTAAAATAACGCAAAGATCCGAGAACACGGAGGCTACCTTGAGGAAAGATTGCAATTGTCTTCCTTGCTCCATCGGGTCGTCCATTCCGTAGAACACCTCACGGACAGCATCAAGAGCCTTGAGCTCAGCGGCATTCAGCTGATAGTTGATGTTCCTGTCGACAGCTGGCACTTGGAACGGATCGGCCTCGTATTGGAATCCGTGTGTTGGCGGCATCTGAAGAAACGAATGTGACTAGTTCGACATTGGAAAGAGGTGGGCGGGCAGGGCAACAAGCGGGGTGGTCTTGAAACGGTATTTGGAAAGAATGATTTGACGGATGATTGCCTTGACACAAAGCGCCGTCAGTGTCTGGCACTGGCTAAAAGTGCATCTCTGCGCGATTCTTCTGCGCGACACCATTTGAGAAGTGAGATAAGACAAAAGACAGCCCAACCCCGGGCATGTAGAACAAAGAAACGGCCCAAAACGGTGTTTTTGAACTTACGTATTCTGGTTTTGGAATCGACGATTCTTGCATTTTCGGCGCCATGTTTTCCGGGCTGTCCAGAGCCGATTGGATAACAGCGTCGTAGAACGTGTTCATCTTGCGGAACATTTCCTCGTCGCCACCACCAGTCGCCGTCATCATGCCCATTCCGAACGAGGCAATGTCAAAATGCGACTGTTGATTTGGCATGCTGCTGCCTGGAATTGCAGACCAACTAGGATGTGTTCCTAAGCGTGCTGCCGTACCCGATGAGGTCGAGTTGTTACGCGACAGACTCATGTCGCTCATCGGCGCGCTGTACGGTGGAGTCGTGTCGCAAGGAAGTGGATGACCGTTGCAGTTGTAGGCAGCACTGCAACTAGACTCAAGGTCATCGGAGTTGTCACGTCATTTGTTACCGTTTGTTGATAGGCTCTTCCTCGTTCATCAGACCCGGAACTTGCGCTCCCGGAATCCGAGCGAGAAGCTGTTTGTACTCCTCGGTCGAAAGGACAACCTGCAAAGATTAGATCATAGAAAATATTATGTTTTTTCTGTAATATCCGCAACAATGTTTAATTAGTATATTGGTATATTAGTATTATGCAAGTTTGTTTCTTTTCCTCAGTTGTTCTTTTAAGAACACGTTTTCATTGTTATGGTGTGGTGCTGAAGTAGAAGTAAGAGGCACATGACAATTACGGTTAGGAAGGAGATGCATAGAAGATAGAAAGAAAATATATTGTTTACCTGTCCGTTGTTGTCCATTTTCGGTCTCGGATTGAGCGAAGTTTGCGAAATACGATGAGCCATCATGTTTGGATCGTACTAAAAAGATTGTTGATAAGGTGAATGTGTGTTCTAAATAGATCCAAACATGGTGAAACAGATAATGTGCATCGAAAACTTCTCGGGGAGAAAGAAAGTCCCAAAAAACAGAGAAAAGCGAAACAGTACGAAGACTATCTGTTTCACTATGTATGCTCTGAATCTACGATAGTATTGGAAATGTGTATGTTTACGTGTGTGAAACTCAAAGACACATAGAAAGAGCACACCACGTGGCATAACATTAACTGTTCTAATATTATCAACGACCCCTCAGTTTCCTGTTTCCCCCCTCTGAACATCAGTGTTCCGCCGATATTTGTCCTTTTCGTTCAATTCTTATCAAAATTCTTTTGCACGTCAAAGACAGTGTAACAAGCGCTCCTCTTAGGTGGCCCCAAGCGAAGTCGGCCGTTTCTTATCATGGGCGCTTTTTCGGTGGTTGGTTGCAATCGTCGTTAGACGGTTTCGATGACATATTCCATTCATCACTCAAAAATCGGCGAGCGAGTGCGACTGTGCGTGTGGGCGGTCGTCTATTCTATCTCTCGGCGCCAATCAAACAATCGACCTCTCAATCACTTTTGAAACCTACCCCGTCTGGACTTTTATCGCCGTTATGCATCATCGTCAGACTTCGGTTTGGCGGCGAATCGGACGCACTTGAACCAACTGGAGACGTCAGCGGATACTGAAAAAAAGGAGAATGAGGAATCAGAAACGAAACGAGGAAAAGGGCAGAAATGACTGGATGGGAGTGGATGTGGCTGCTGACCAGAGTCACATGAATTCGTACTACTTTTAATTAAAGCGCACGACTCGTTGGTGCTGGTTTTTGTCGTTCACGTGATGAAAAGTGGGATAATTTATGCTTCTTCTTTCAGTGTAAATATTGGATTTCTGTTGACTCACACTTAATTGAACCTTATTCTAGGCTTCTCTGCCCATGTCTATTCCTAGAAATCTGGCAATTCGTTCCATAGTCCCTTATTCACAATTATCACTCAATTCAAACATTTATAATACGCAATTCCTCGGTGTTCGAAAAAACTACAATCACTTGGATTCTGTCTCGCCAACCGACCGGTTTCCGAATCGTCACGCACAGTTTCTTGCATTCGGCGCTGTTTTTTTCTCAGGAAACAATATCTTTCGGTGATATGATAGACGAAAAGCGTACGCGGAAAAAGGACAGATAACACCCGTTTGTCCTTATCTCGAGTGTATAAGTAGTGAGAGAGAAAAGTACCGTATCCCTATCAAGTTCCGAATGATGTTCTCAGATCTCTTTTGATTGGTGTAAAACTAAAACTGACCGGTTGACCTCCTGGTGGGCTAATGAGCTGAGGCATCACGTTCGGCCGATTGACTTGCATATGGTGCATCATCTGAAAATAATTCATTTAGATGAATTATATCTCCTCTTTAGTTACCTGGTTGTCCATCGGATTGATGGTGAGTGGGCGTTGAGCTTGTTGTTGCTAAAACGGGAGAGATAATAATAAACTGCACTAATTCTAGGGATTGCTTACGTAAACGGCCACTCCTGGGTGTGGAACTGGTGATTGATGTTGTTGTTGTGACGGTGGCGGCGGTTGCGAAGGCGGATGTATCGGGTGCTGCGACCGTTTGCCACCGTTGCCGGTGTTGTTCAACCGCGAGTTTTTTCTCCGCCGAAGCTGTTCCTCATTCAGTATCCACTCTTTCTTCATACCGACTGTGAAACACTTGCGCAAACGACACTTTTGACAAAACCGCCGGCTCACAGAGTTAATTTCGCAATCCTCAGAATATGGACATTTGAACTCCTGGAAAAAACAAGATGTGAACAGAGGAACTTGGAGAAGCTACAGTATACCTTAGGACGTAAAGCATTTCTCCGGAAGAACGCTTTGCAAGATTCGCAGGTTATCACGTTGAAATTATAACCAGTCGCATGATCTCCGCAGACTCGGCAGGTTTTTTGACGCCGACGGCTTTCCTGGAATATAAACAACAGATTAAATTTATATTTTGCTTATGATTTGTTTACATCGTTGGCTTCCATGTTGCCGTCGTCTGGAGAGCCACACGCACCAGAACCTTCTTCAAGTTTTACTCCGGATCCATGATATCCTGGAATAACGAGATTGTAGAGTGATATCGGTGTGCTCATCAACGACAGTTGTCCTCTGTCCCCGGTCGCATCCGTCCCCCGTCCCCCGTCAGATTTCAACCGAGCTGCGGCCGCCGGGAACCCACTTTTTGTGAGCGCCACTCACTTTTCCCTTTGGAAAAGTGCAGTAGCCGTCCTATGATCCTCACTATTTCGTTGTTCTCACAACGCTGCGGAATAGTGTAAAGTGTGTTTTTCGTGTTCCCCCTATCACCTTCTTCTCGCAGCTTTGAAGTGATAGCGAGACAAAGTACTCTCCGACTTTTCGATGGCAAAAAGAAGTGGCAAGAGAGAAAGAATCGGAAATCGGGTACAACGAGAGTTTTAGCTTATCAGCATTTAAACAGAGCAGTTCCTAGTACCATGTTTTGTGGCACCGTAAAAGTGTCAGAAAACGACCGATAAAACTTCGTATAGCGGTAAAAAAAAGTGAAACTATTCCGTAATAGTACTAATTCCTGCTGTAAACGATGATAATAAATGTGCTCCGATCCCGTGACTATTTTTTTCTTGCCCCGAAGGAATTCGAAATGAATGATCACGATGTCCAATTAGCATTCAATGGGGAAAACCAAAGAATGGAAAGGGAACATCGAGCGTTTCGTTTCTATTGTACTATTTTTAGTCAGCCCATGTTCTAAGAAAACGTAGAAATGTACCATTACCATTCATCCCTGGAGCGGCTCCAATCGATGGTGGGCTGTGGATGACAGGGTCGTCAGGCGTGCTCATCTAAGGCTGGAAATGAGTATCATTAGGGGACAAGAACACGACAACAGCGTTACTCTCAACATATTTCTTCATGCAGACAGTCTTAATGATTTACTCAATACTTCAGTTTTTCTCCCACTTTTTTTTCACCTACTCGACTTCTGCACTTCCGGAGTCTCCGTTTCTCGTCAACATCTCTAGCCTCCTCAGGCGTTTGAGTCAGATTTAAGAATGAATTGGTGACATTGGTCGGCCAATAGTAGGTAGGTCTATTGATAGTAATCAGTAGTTGGTACATAAATAAGTTATCCAGGTCAATGAAAGGTTGTTGATGTTGGAACATCCTAGCAGTAGGCAGCAGCAGCAGCAGCAGCGGGCGGGCGGACGCTATCACCTCGTATCTAACGAAAGGGCAGTGAACGGAAGAATGGAGGAGCGGGAAGGAAAATTTCATGCGGGCACAGGGAGAAAAGTGGGTGGCGTCGAAGAGCGGTCGTGTGTCTCTTCTTTTTTTTCCGTTCTTTTCGCCAATCAGGAATAAAATGTCTATTGATATGCCCCCTCTCTCTTCATCACTGTCAAACTCTAGTTTGATTCATTCTCGCTTCTCGATCATTTCACAGATACACTCTGAGCAATTGATATTCAATTTCATAACACAAACAAATGACTATCTGGTTGCACTTTTCTACTTTCAGCTACAGTTACCTTTCCGTAGAACTTATTCAGCATCGTCCAGTTAATATAGTTTTGAGACGAAAGTAAATTGTCCGCCATCGCAGAAGTTAGAGGTAGAGGGGGAGGGGGGGAGGAGAATAATTTGAGGTAGTACTGTGATTCGATTTCAATTTCAGGAATTTACAATTACAGACAAATGGTTTTTGATCGATCCGTTCTCGTTCTTGATTGGTTTACAGGAAAAAATGAGGTAGTTGGAGATGATGAGAAGCAAATTTAGACACCGAGATACAGCTGAAAGTTCACATTCAACTGCTGCAGACAGTCAGTTCATCGAGGAAACCAGGGCTCCCTGAAGGTTGAAAGCGTTTTTGTAATGAAGAAAAGATGAAGAATGCGCAAAAACACAAGGAAGGCGTCGGAACGAACGCGAGAAAAGTGGAAAAGGGTGATGCTGAGACAAAGAAATAGAGCAACGATGGAAATTATTTGGGGAGAGAAGGAGCAGACAAAAAAGTCGTTGTTTTGACTCGGACTCGTTGAATTTGGTGGGAAAGATAGAATAGGGTAAAGACCGGGACAACGAGTTCCGGTGGCCATTATAGTTGTTCTCTTTTTTTCTAACAAGCACTCACGAGAGGTTCGGATTCTTTGGATTTGGATTCGGATTCTTTCTCAAGGATCCATCAATGGGCATGACTATAAAAGAAAGATCTACAAAGTTCAAATAGATTTTAAGAAGATTTAAAAAGTCCTTAATTACCAAAAGATCAATTGTTATTAAAATGTACGTCTTATCGAACGTGTCTTATATATAGTCTCACTTCAAATCACATAAATTAATGTTCCCTACACCAGCCCATGACGTGTGACAAACAGATTTGGCTCAAATGATTTGAGAGTGAGGAAGCTTCGCGAATAACAATCATGATCTCTCATTCAGATGTTTTCTTTGAATTGCACCTGTAGTACACGAATGCTTAAAACTATGACAATGACAATGAATCAAATGATGGCAATAACAAATTACTTTTTTTTAGTACACAGGCAAACGGACTCAGAATGTCCTCTTACCGGATAGTTCAAGTTTCAAAGTGCAGTACCCCACAGGAACTGACTAATATGGATATTCCTGCTGGGAGAAATGGTGTGTTGCTGGAAGAATCCACCGTATTCTATTTTCCCATCCGCCTTGTGCATCTCAAAATTAGCATCGTTCGCTCATTTTGGACTCGTTCAGGCGACTAGTCCGCCCCCTTTTCCTCTTTTCCTGCTCCTTTCCGAACGACGCGAGAGGCGAAAGCAGATGAAGAAACAGAAAATAGGAAAAAAGAAGCGGACGGACGGACGAACGTCGTCAGTAACATGCTCAATCGACGTGCTCGTCGTCGTCGTAGTCGTTCGCGCGTGCTCAAAACAAGTTTTGTTTTTCTCATATCCTCAGGCGCGACGCGGCAATGGCAGCGCAGCGAGCACACGCACACACTTGCATTCAAGATCCAAATAGAGTGCTGAACAGCCCTTCTGAAGAACATCTTCAACAACAAGGTGATAGAAATATAGAGCAACCACTTTTTTTCTGCCTCAACTTTTTGGGCAGCATCAGGGAAAAAAATTGGGAAATACTTGAGACCTTATAGCACTTGTGATAGTGCATTGAAAGGTGGCTGTAAACTGTCAACCAAGAAAATGCTAGCTAAGTACATTCCCCACGGTCAAACCGTCTGATAATGCTGGCATGCCGCCACTCAACAACCCAGTTTCAAAGCGATAGAAAGGAAAAGTTAGAAAAAACAAGATAGTGCGTCTTTAGAGACAACGGGGGTCAAGTAAGTCTTTTACCCGACCGATGTCTCGCTCATTCCGATGGCACATCACTGTTTACTTTTCGACATGGAAGGGAGAAAAAAGCCAAAATATTTGTTTTGGAGCTGCATGGACCTCTAAATTGTTCGTCCGAACAGATACGTTCACGACGGCCAGCTTCATGTTTTCAGCTCTTTCCCCCCGCTTAAAATTGGACCCTTGAGAGTTGAACGGTCGAACGAAATGAATTGAATGGAAGAATGTCTAGAAATCGTTTTTAAGAACTTACAAAAGTGTGAATGGCAAGGAAATTTCAGACCGATAGAAAAATAAATGTATTGACTATGAACGACGAGCGTAACGACGATAAAGTGGAGGAGTTTTTAAAGTTGAAACTTGGTTGGTTGGTCACGAGTTTGTAGGCCGGCGGCCATTTTCTTTTGACAGGAATGAATGTATGCGTCAATGTCTCACCGCATGTGTGTATGTGTGTTCCATGTTTTTTTTTCGGCTGTTTTTCAGCCCCGTCGGCCCCGGGCTATAATCGCCGGGGCGCTGGTAGAGGTTCGCACTCTCGCCAGTCCACGTTCACTTTTTCAACCACTCTTTTTTACTCTAGAATCTTTAACAAATACATCGAGACATACCACACGCACTGCGATTGGCCGGTGTCAGCTCTGGCCTGCAGACAGAGTTCCGCCCACTTTGGTCGCGTCGTCTCTGTCGCCGAGACTGCTATTTCGCATCCACTCTCCCTTTCTAATCTTGTTCAATTCACTTTGCGGGCAGCAAAAACAAAGTATACGGTAAAAAAATGAATGTGTGCGTGCGTGTTACACTAGAAGAGGGCGTGTTCGTCTTCCCGAACGAACAAGGACGCGTTCTTGAGGTCGGGAGGTGAATCAGAATCAAAATAAGTCGACGTGCACTGTTTCTTTCCTTTCCGGTTATTGTTTTCGTAATCGATTGGGAAGAAGAAATTGTGATGATGCGAAATGATGTACTTCAGAAGGGGAAGTAAAAGGTCAAGCAATAATCCATGACCTTGGAAGAAAGAAAAGAAGTAGAAGAACAGAGTGGCCGCAAAACAAAATCTTCAATTTTTTTGATTTAAAGAAAAATTGTCAACAATCAGAAAATTTAGACTTATGTACGAGAATGTGAGGCTTCTCGTGGAACACACACGTGGCTATATTCAGAAGAAAACGTTGGTTTCAGAAATGCTCTTTATGAGAACGCAAGCTCGAACTTGTGGGACTACAGGAATGAGGCCGAGCGGGCGCGAGCTGGAAGTGTGAGGCGTTTTCTGTTGTTCAGCTTTCCCAGAACGCCAAAGCCAGAGCGAAAGAGCTTGTGACGAAGGAAGTATAGCGTACCAAAATCAGAGAAAAACGAATATTTTTGTGTACGCCAAAAAAAAAAACTAATCTCACCTTAGCCAAAAAAAACCAAATTACCTTGATCGGAAAGATTTTACTAAATGAACTAGCGCCTAGCGGAAACGGGAAACTGATATAATACAAAACATGACGTTCTTCGAATAATGTCGAACAAGCCAACACTGCCATTGCCCCCTCATTCTTTTTTGGTATTAATTAACATATTTGCGTGGTTGAAATAACTGTGTCAGCTGGAGGAGAGAAAGAGAGCAGTCCTACAAAAAAAAAGAGACGAAAAATGTAGAAAACGAAATAGAAGACGTCAGGAAAGGCTGTCGAAGGAGAAAAATACAGAGTACACGTCGGGGACGACTATAGGTGGCAAAAGAGGGGAAGGGGGGAAGAACAGCGGTAAACAATCGTCCTGTTAAAGTACTACTGTAGGTGCTCCCCCTCGAGAAAAACCAGACGGCTTTCGATCGACACACACACACGGGGAGGTTGAAAGGAAAACAAGGTGTGTTACTGGTGATTTCGAAAAAAATTCAGAGTAATATGTTCCACAGTTTTTGGTCGAGAACAGTAGTAAAATTGCAATCTTTTGTTTTACAGACTGTTCCTCCCACCCGGTGTCAAATTTTTCCAAAAGCAAGCAGTGGCTCTTGTTTTTGCATTAAGACTCGCACCAACCTACGATATCAGTCATCTCTCAACTACATGTATTCGAAAATAAAGGCTAATAGGGAAATCAGATATTGTAGTACTACTGTAGTTCAGCCCGCCCCTTTCGCGTGCTTGAAATGTGCGGAACACAGAGAGGACCAGAGGGATTTGTTTGCACTGCGCCATTGAATGTCTGTTTGTTGTGTCAGCAAAATGAACTTATGGCACTTCCGAGAATTCGGGGGTCATATCTGGAACGACTGTTATTCTAGTTTCCCTCTCTGCCTCCAATTGTCTCGTCTTTAGTCTTTCTACCAAAGAATGTTCTTATCATACAGTACTTCCCGTACCAGAAGTTCCATCGAAGCTCTCATGGCAATACCATAACTCAGGCCCAGTCGACCGTGTGAACTTGAGTTCGACAATGCAGTCACAGACAAAACGTAAAAAAAGACTGGGTCATAGTAGCACAAAAATATGAGGGAGGAAGCACAA